ACCACAACCAAAATCTCAAGCGTTCTTTTTTCCGACTGCTCCGTATCGCCACACTGCAGTACGGCTCAGCCTTTCGGTGTTTCTTCCTCGTACAGTGCCTCCAGCGTGCCATCCACTGCGAGACACTGGTTGCACCTTACAATGTCTATAAAGAGCCGGATGAGAAGGTTCTTTCTGTCTTAAACTTAGAAGACGTTGATCCAATGAATTTGCATTTTGTAGCGAGGGAAGATGGCAAATGGTGGTGGAATCCTTTTATTGTTCACTTCTTATGAATGCAATATAGAACACTTTGTTTTTTGCCCGGATAATGTCTCTAGTGGAGTAGACCCCTGTGGTGAATGTACTGGCATAATGTATTATCACCACTCTAGTTTTATGCTCACGTGGGCTTTGTTTTAAAGTCCGTAAGAATGCCGCTGTAAGCTCACTGTATTGGCATTAAACCTTAGCTTGTCCCAAAGCTCACTTCATTACTGCCTGCATCGGTATGCCGACTTTGACTTCACTGCCGATTCAATTGAAACCAGTAATAAGCTAGCTTTGCCCACAAATCAGACCGTGTACAATCTAAGTTTTTTCCAGTGGCACGATTACATACAAGCCAGCTGCATTACCGCTATTCCCCACCAGCGGTCTTACTGTAGCATGAGAAACCCCCATATTTTTGTTACTGTACCACTGAGTCATTGACGCGGGTAGGGTTACGACTACGGTACAAGGCGGCAACGCACTGGATAGCTGGATAGGACCCAAGCGATGATTCACGGTGGTAGATAGTAGACGCGGGGTTCATAGATCTAGGGTTGGTGGGGGAGGTTCCTTCAGTCAACTTCGTAACAAGGCCAGCATAATTGTACTCATCCCCCAACAGTCAACCGGCAGGGAATACCGATACATCCTCCATTGATGCCATGTCTAGGATAACTACATCCTCCATTGATTCCACGTTTGGGATAACTACCTAGAGACATACAAATCATGTTCGAACAATTCAATAAGTACGAGCAAGTACCTAGTGCGAGGCTTGTACATTTGTACCTAATGACCCCTTTACTGTAGTCTATCCTGCGAGTGATGGAGGGAAACCTGAATCGAGTCAACTGATCTCGAGTCTCGACGCAGCCAGCATCGATATACCTACCTTCTAGTACACTCGAGGCATTCGCTTCGAGCCCAGTGAGTGCGGTCGATGCGTAGGAAATTTATAGGCGAATCGATATCAACAGTTGACTCTATTCTGGCGTGTGAAAGGAATTGTGGAAAGTCGAACAGGCAGGCAGGAATACAGGAAGACAGGCAGACAGGCATACAGGCATACATGCAGACAGGTGGACAGACAGTCATACAGGCAGTATCGTCAACTCCCCCATCTCCTTGGTGGAGAAAAGGCTCAGCGTAGAGTACCCAGACCAGTAGGTTAGAAGCCCAAGGCTTCCTTCTGGGCGTTTTGCAATCGATACCTATCGTCGTGAGCCTTGCCCAGAGTACCTACAGGAAGAGAAGCCAGTGATATGTCGTGATACGTTGTGGCGGAAGAAGGCTCAGACTCAGGCTCAGACTCAGGCTCAGGCTCTGACTATTGCACAGTGCACACGAGGGGTGCTGAGTAGCGAGCACACAGGTTGTTCATCTGCAACATCCCAATCATGATTGTTTCTTTATATCCTACTGATACGGTACGGTATCAGAGCGGGGTCCCATGAGTGGTACAGGTACCGGAGGAATACTGCACGCTTTTGTTCCTCGATGAATTGTCCAGGCGAGTACTAGGTACCTACCACCCACAGCGCTGTACACAGTATGCCATCGGAGGGAACCGGCGGAGTCACTCACCTCACCATTTCCAGGACTAGGGACATATCACTCGACAAAATTGCACCGCGCGACGACGCACACGGTCGGTACTCTAGGTACTGTAGGAGCAGGCCGTATGCAACAACAATTAACTCTCCCTCTCTTTCTCTTTCTCGATCAAAAGGGCTGGACACTTTTTATACCATTACAGATTGGACTCAACAATTTTGCGGCGAAAAGCAATGCTCGATGGGTAATTGGTCCTATGCATTTCGAGAGTCTGGAGTCCGGCCGCGACTTTGTGGGGCTTGCTAGGTAGTTTTGTGGGTGATCTGTACTGTACCTACAATACTGTACTATGCAGTCACGGTAGTGGGCGTACTCAGGACCGTGTACATACCAAGTATGCGGAGTGGATTTATTATTTATATTACTCTAGCTGGAACGGGATTCTCTGCCATGCATATCGTAGAGTGTAGAGTGTAGGCGCTGCATATTAATCACTCGGGGTTTTGGGCCGGTAAAAGCAAAGACAGCGAGAGCGTTCGCAGCTCCTTTCCATTGGCTGTAAATAGCCACCTCAACTTCCAAGCTCCTACCTAGAGCGGGGAGCGCAGACGTCCTCGTCCTCGTCTGGAACCGCACTGCTGTGTAAGACCGTAAGTAAGTAAGGAATGGTGGGTCATTGCTCACGAACGCAGCCAGCGGGCAGGCGAACGGTTACTTTGGGCTCTGGAGCACACACCTAGGCACACAGTATTGTACACTCGGCGGTTGTACGGAATCGTCGCCGGCAAGCAGGGACCGGGGGGATCATAGTGTATCACCGCGGGGCGGCCGTAGCGAGTTCTCCGTGCCTATGTGCATACTCTACTCTATGTACATGCCTCGGATATGCAGCCATTCGGGTCATCTTTATATGTGGGTGCCCGCCTGCAGCGGCCAGGTTGTGCGTGCGTGCGTGTGTGTGCGTTGCACTTCACCGTGCCGGCGCGAGGAACGAGATCGGTGGAGATACTCTGGAGTATGTATGCCCAGCTGCGGTAAGGAGGGCGGAAACGGGTGTGTGCCTGTTGAGCACTGTATGTACCTGAAGGCTAGAGGGGAGTTGGCGGTGGGTGTCGGGGCATCGATTGGCTGATATAGCGACGAAGATTGGTTGAACGGTTTCGAGCGAGTGGGAGTGTGGTGAATCCGATGGGTGGCTTTGGTTCGCAGGAAATTGTGCTTCTGAGGGAAGTAGAGTACCAGACGGACGCCACAACAAGGTGGAAAAGAGGAAAGGAGGGAAGGAAGGAGGGAGGGAAGGAAGGAGGGAGGGAAGGAAGGAGGGAAGGCTGGAAGGTCGAAATAGTATGATTGGCAGCATCGACATCGCGTTGGGTGATCGTACGCGCAAGTGACTTTTTTTGCTCTGCAATTCTGTCCGTTCCGTGTTCGACGGGCAGGTTATTTGTCTGATCGCTTTGTACCGTTCGACGTGCGAGTGGACCCTGTGCCATGGGCAGTGGCACCGGCGTACATGTGTGATGGTTGATGACTGGAAAGTCGAGCAGGCGGCGCTAAGAATCCCTATGGTTACGATTGAGCGATCAAGTGAGAGTCGTTGGGAAAGGATGAGGCGATCAATCGGAGCAGGCCATCGAATCCAGCAAACAAATACTCTAGAGTAGCCGTCCGGATCCGTTCGTTCGTTACGTGGACGGTCAGTACTAGTTGGCCGGGTATCGTGTTGACTTGGTGCGATGGATGTACGAGAGTGAGTACCTGCCCAAGTAAGGACGTATACATGCACGTATGAGTCTTCTGCTCCAGACCTGTTTGTTTTGTACTCGAGTGTGCTCGGTCTTTCCGGCTGTCACCGTTTGGCCATGCATCCGTGTGGCTTGTAACATGTGGCTTGTGGTCTGTGGCTCATGGTCTGTGGCTGAATTGCGGTCCCTGTCGCTGCATATATGCGGGGAGGATTCGATCTAGAAGAAGGGATTCAAAGAAGAAACATACAGCATGGTCTTGTTTGTCCCCACTTGTCGCTCTGTTCTGTGGCTCCATCCGCGGCCTGCATACGAACCCCTCTTCCATCTCCTCCCTCCACACCTAACTGGACTTTGAGTTTCTCAACTTTCTTTCCCAGTCTCCCAACTTAACTACCCCTCCTCCACCTTCGTCCTGTTCCCCGCCCTCCCATTCGTCCTGCTTTCCCCCTCCCCATCTCCATCTACTTCTCACTGCCTTCCCCATCGTTCTTCATCGCTGCTGGTAGGCTGGTGTTGATTCCAATATCAACCCCCCCCCCCCAACAACAATATCACTCCCGTATATATACCCACCTGCACATACCGGTACTTACCCATACCCGCTGTCGCCCGCTGTCTCCGTTGCGTCGCCAGCTACGGTATCCTCTCTGCCGCACCGGCCGCTACCTGTCTCGCCACAGCACAGCTGCTCTACCACCTACAGCTGCAGCGCCGTGCCCTTGCTTGCTTAGTCCTCAAAAGCCCCGTTACCGTCGCCAAACACAATTCGGTTGCCCTCGGCGGCCGTGACGACTAACGCAAAACCCACTCTACGCTTTTGCGGTCGTTTCTTCTCCCGTCGGTAGTCAAAGCGGCTGTCGGTCCTCCTGTCCAGAAAAAAAAAGAAAAAACCAGCAGTCACTACTCCCGTCCCCCCTTCCACCATCGACACGCGACCGAGCAGACACAGGAAATCAAGCAATTGCTGATCCGAAAGCAAAATAAAGAAGCCGTAGCCATTGTCTGCGGCGTACCGAAGTATCCTGCTGCTGCCATTTTCTTTGGGCCGGTGAGTGCCAATTGCTTTGCTTCCGGCTTTATCCAGAGTTCCGCCGGACTTTCATGTGCCGCCCATCATCCCACCAACCAATCCCCACCACCCATCAGCATCATCCCGCTAATCCCACAATCTTTTTTTCAGGTCCACCCCCGCTACAGCGAAAGCGAGAGAGAGTGACAGAGAGAGGGACACACAGCGAGAGATTCACTCTCACATCAAAGAGCCCTTCCCACCAAACCCTTTCCACTTCCGCACTCGCCTCTCCGACCCCACTCCCTACTGCGACGCTTCCCTGATCGTTGTTCCGTCTGACGTTCAAAGATCGTGGTTTAAAGTTTCCCGTTACAAACCACAACCCCTCCTCCTCTCCTCATCCTCCTCCTTCCCTCCACCCCCCTCTCCTCCCTCCCCCTCTCCTCCTTACCAACAACCTCGTTCCAACACACCCGTACACGCTCCTTCGAACGTGTTCTCTCTCGGTAACAACGACAACGGTCCGTCTCTGAATACCGCTGCAACCCGTACGTTGGACAAACTTCGCCACGGTCGCAATCACTGCTTGCTACCCGCGCACACCGAACCCCATTGAACGCGAAAAGTCGCCTGTTCCTCGTCGGCACTCGAGAATAGGATTCGTTCATTTCCGCACTCTGATCGGCAAAACCTTTTGTTGTCATCTCGACTCAGTGGTGCTGCTGGCTGGTCGGAACTTTGTTCGCTCAACCACAGTTCAGACCTGACTTCCGCATTTACTCACCTCACACTACAAACCCCCCAAGTTTGATTCGCGATAGAATGACTACACGAGCCCTCGGTGCGTCTGAAACTGCAACCTCGTACGCGGCTGCTCTGGCGTCGGGCTCTTCGAAAGCTGCTCTCGCATCCAAAGTTGAGGTTTCACCCGCTGTACCAGCTATGGTCATGACGAACGGCATCCCGGAACCCGTCACCGGCACTTCCGATCATCTCTCTACGCCCGCTGAATCGCGTCCAAAGTCCGCTGACTCCTCTGCGCCGGAGGTGTCGAGACAGTCTACCCCGGTCATCAGCTCAAACACCAAACAGGATGACGACTCGACCAGCGCTGCGGCTGCGGCTGCTGACCTGCACGAGGAGAGGTCGAACGGATGGGAAGGAAACTCGCAGACGTCGAGCCACCCGGATAGCAAATCTAGTGGTGCGGACTCCGCCAGGGCTAGCGACTATGTCCAGCCGACTGTGACCGTGAATGTATGGCAGAAACGACAGGAGGAGGCTGCCAAGAAGAGCGTGTCTCCGGGCATCCCTGCTTCGGTCTCGCCTGGTCCGGCACAGAAATCGTCGGCTTCTGACAAGGGGCTCTCTACCGGTAAGAAGATTGCGAATACCGATGAGAAGAAGGATGTGGATGTGAGGAGGGGCACCGACGAGGGTAAGTCTCGGGACACCACCCACCCTTTTGGCGACGTAGCTACGAGTTTGCCTCGAATGCAATTCTAACGACATGGCTGTTTGATAGTACCAACCAAACGTGGCAATCGGCGGGGTCAGTCTCAGGAAAACGACACCACACTGTCACTACCGCCCCCGGTCACCGATACTATCTCCTGGCCGACACCGGATCTCGCTCAAGGTGAGTTTAAGAAGGAGAAGGAAAAGGAGAAGGAGAAAGACGAGAAGGAAAGGATTGCCCCAGCCGCAGGACGTGGTGGTACCAAGACCTGGGTTCCCGTGGCCATCGATCCTCCGTACGTCCCGCCGATTCAGACTAAGAGTAGCCGCGAAGGTCGTGGGGGCCGGGGCGGGCGTGGTGGTGGGCGTGGTGGTGCAGCCGGTTCCAGTGACAGACCTGAGAGGATCACTGGATCTGGACAGGCTGCTGCCACTTCCGGAGCAACGGAGAGCGAACGGGGTCGCCAATATCCCACTCGTGGGACTTACCAAGGAAGCAAAGGTGCGAAGCGGACGTCCAGTCCCGGCGGTACCACCCAGCGACGAGAGTCCAAGGCTGGTGTCACCAACGGTCCTACGGAGCGAAGGAAGGATGCTGCGGAATGGAACGTCGAAGCGAATGGACTCGTAGCGGCATCTGGCGCGGTTCAGCCTGAGAGGAGCCGACCAGTCAGAATCGCAGAGGATGCTACCTACGGCGGTGCCACGAACCGCCAATCTTCGGAGGACCAGGAGAAGGCAGCTAGCAACCACACTCGGCCAGATAGGGGAACCCAGTGGCACAATGGCGCAGGGCGCGGGGAGTCTGAATCGCCCAGCACGTATCCTCCGAGGGAGCGTGGTCGCGGTGGTTACAGGGGACGTGGGGTCTATCACAACCAGTTTGCGAACGGACATCATGCTTCCCCGGCTGGCTACCAGGGACACTCCAATCCTGCAAGCCCACCATTCGCGACTTCAAATGTAAATACACATCAGTACCCTCAGCACACCCATCCGCGCGTAGGATCATTCAGGGGCCGTGGTAATTCGGGGTACAACGCTCACCCCTACAGGTTCAATCCTGCCATGCAGCCACCTTCGCTCCCGCAATTCGCTTATGGTGGCGCTGGATTGCCCTATGAGTACGCCATGATCCCTGGAATGCCGGTGGTCGACTATGGCGCTCTCACCGTTCAAATCAACTACTACTTCTCAGTAGATAACTTGATTAAGGATATTTACCTGCGAAAACACATGGACAACGATGGCTACGTTAGGCTGTCGTTCATCATGGGCTTTCAGAGGGTCCAGCAACACACCAAAGATATCAATGTGCTGAGAGATGCTTGCCTGAGTTCTCCGGAGATCCAGCTGACGTACGGGGTGGATGACTACTACGTCCGCAAGAAGGAAGGTTGGGAGAACTGGGTATTGAAGGAGTCGGACCGTGACGACTCTGCCAAGCGTGGCATGAGTGACTGGCACTTTGATCCGCGCCAGCGTCAGCAGCAGAACGGTACGACGCTTACTCCCCCAGGAGAGATGTCCGGATCAGCGGAACCTTTTTTCCCTGACGCCGCCGGCATGCCTTTTTACCCGCAACCGATAAACACGGCTTTCGGCTATCAAACCCCCGCCTCGATTCTTTCGGCAACTGTCCCCGAGTTTTCCCCGTCGTCCAACAATGTGCAGCAGGGTATAGACGGAGAGATCAATCCCTCGGTGCCCATGCAGCCCATCGACGAGTGCAAAGATGCAGAAGTTGATGCTTTGATGGTCGTCGTCAAGCGTCCATCGACCGGTGACAGCGGTGCTGTGCAGACTAACGGCGTGACCGACATCGGCGGCATTGATGCGAGACTGCGTAATTCCAGCCTCAGCAACGGAGACGGTGCACACGAAGAGTCTGGAAGGACTTCGCAGTCAAGTGGTAACTATCCCTCTCGCAAGCCTCACTCGGATGACAATTGGCTCACACATCTTCCGGCAGCCCATGGTGTGGACCCGAACATGACTCATCGCAGCTACAGCGAAGTTCGCGCCCAGGCCCTCAAATACAGGGAAACCAACGGTCTATTCAAGAACAATGACTTGATTACTCTATACAAGTTCTGGTCGCACTTCCTGGTTAAGAGCTTCAACAGGGCGATGTACCGAGAGTTCAAGCACTTTGCACTTCAGGACGCAGACATGGCTGTCAGATGCGGCATTGAGGAGATCTTCAAGATGTACGAGCGTTCGTTCAAGGACCGCAAAACCATCGGATACGAGATCATCAATGACTTTGTCGAGCTAGTCAAGACCGAGGCCAGGCACGGTGAGACCTTCGGCATGGAGAAGCTCAGGTCGATCCTGGAGAACCCCAACCTCAAGGACGACTACAGGAATGTCATTGAAAGCCTCCTCGACAATGACACGCGTGCGATCCTCTCCCAGGAGATGGCAAAGAAGGGTTCTCGCTCCGAGATCTACAAGGCTGTACGCTCATCCCGCCCTCCTGACGCCTTCAAGGCGATGATTTTGTATAGGCTGACCATGGACGAATTTCAGGCAACCATGGCATCATAGGAGATGGCTTGGTACGCTCCTGACGGATCTTGTGTGGCGTGGGGATGGTAAACTGCGAAGACTTTATTTCGATTGAACGAAGCAGTTTTACAGAAGTGGAATAGGTGAGGATCACAGGGTGGGGCAAAATAAGATTAGGAGTGGAAATGGAGTGTCTGGTCTGGCGGAGGGGTCTTCCTTTTACCGTTCTTTCTTCTTTTTCCTTTTTTCTTTTCTTTTCAAAAAGCTTATCCTTATTGCTTCCAATCGGCGTACTCTTTTTTACCATTTCCTTCTTTTCTTTTCCTTTAACTTGTTCTTGGCTTCATCGCCACCTGCTCAATGTTTATACGAGCAGAGAAAGGACCTTGATGTCCCTTCTATATTATGTCTGCGGTTTTTTTCTTTTTCTTTTCCGACAACTGACAACAATTAGAGCTATGGCTTTGCTTCTGTTTCTCAGTTTTTCATGTTTATTTTCCAGTGGTTTTTTTTTCTTTTCTGTTCTGCTTTTCTCGGGTGTTTAGGTTTGCATTTTTCTGCCTCTTTTTTTTTCTGTCTTTTTTTTCTTTTCGTTGTATCTTCTTGTTTTGCATGTTGGGTGATGGGTTGGTTGGGGAAAGAAAGGAAAAGGGAAAAATCTCCATTCTATTTTTGTTTTTGCGGCTTTTTTTTTTACTGCTGTAAAGGACGAGAGCATGCGGGAGGCGGGAAGGGACGGGACGGCGGGACGGTGATTCTGCTTCTTCTTCTTCACCCTTATGTTTGGGGGTTGGAAGGGGGATATGTAGGACATCGACATCGTGTCATTAGTTTCTCTCTCTCCGTATTGTATTGCTTTGCTTTACTGTACCTACTCCGCGTGCAACTGGCTTGTGAATTGCGTGTTGCATTGCATGTCTGTTTCCACGTTGTTTTGTGATGTTTTGTGATGCGATGCGATACGTCTTTGTTAAGTCACGGCTTTTAGGGTGGTTTGTGTGCTGGTGCTGGTGGTAGTGGTGGCGGTGTAAATTAACTGGTCATAACTAATGAGTGGAAATGCAGAGGTGGTTGCTGTTGAGACCGTGAATGGGGATTTGGAGATGCCATTACAGGTGTAGAAGCCTAGAAGGAACGGTCCTGAAAGGGAAAGGGTGGTTCCGGGAGGAAACATGAGATGTCACTCTGTACTCGTTAGCCCATCAGCCTATCGAGGAATCTGCTTTGTGGGGGTATTTGTCGGCCGGTGCTCCCCTAGAGAATAGAGTAGGTTTACTCCAGCGGCCCCACCGACTCCACACTCCACACTCCAGACTCTAGACTCCTGAATGATCTACCTAGGTACATACGATCGAGAAATCTCCGAAACCAGTGCGGAGAAAGCTAAGGGCCCGTTTGGATGGCCTCAGTTTTAGCGAAAACTGTCAGTTTTTTCGAGAAACTGAGCAAATGGAACTGAGACCCCGTTTGGATGGCACAAAAACTTTAAAAAAAAACCGAAACTGTGCGGCTCCAGCGACGAAACTGGTACTGACCTCGAGAGGTCATTTCTTTGCCGTCACTCAGTATCGCATTTTAACTTCAACCATGAGAAAAAAGCTGGGCCATGTGTCCACTATTAAAGTTCTGATGAAGCCTATTATTCAGACTTATGGCTGAGTGATCTGAGAATTGCCAAACACTCTGTTCACCTCACAGTTCTCCGGAAACTGAAACTGGACAGAATTCGGTGTCCCGTCGGGGAACTGAATTTCGCTCTAAAACTGGAACTGAAAACTGAGGCCATCTGAACGGGCCCTTAGTATTGTACCCACCTACTTCTATCCTTTCCTTTCTTGAAGTTGAGAGTTAACTCCTTACGCAGTACTAGTAACGCTGCACTATTCAACCAGCGCCTCCAAACTGCCCACAGTAAACAGTCCAGCCCAGCAGCCCAGGGGCCAGAAGCCCAGTAGCCCAGCAGCCGGGCCGTTGGGCTACATACGCAAGGGGCAAGCTGCAGTATAGGTACGCCTCCAACCAAAAACATAACCTCAAATTCCAACCTAAGCCCATATTCCTATGTAGATTAGGTATGTACACTTCAATGTAGTTTATAGTAGAGTAACCACTTGCAACCAGATGGCAGAATCACCACATCGTCTGTGGACGATATGTAGACGGTGGGACTGGCCGCTTGTGCTGGGAATCGTGTCGGCTTGGTACCGGCTTGGGATATCGTCCAACTACCGGCAGGTGCTCTATCAGTGGTCAATCAGATACCTACCTGTGGATCTATGGTCTGTGGAGACGCGCGGTAGGTCCTGCTATGTAGACGATTCGTCCATGGTTTTCGTGGCCAGAATAGGTATCCGCATTGTTCTAGTTACCAAAAAACATAGCAGTTTTGCTACTTCGCATTTCTGAAGGTTCACGTTCGCCTCGGGTCTGAAGACTCCATGTAAATCGGAGGCGCATATCTCTTCGCCCAGGGATTCACCGTGTAGTTGGTGTGGTAACCACAGAGCATCACTCACCAACACTCATCTACAAAACTGTCATAATCTCACGAACTTGGTGACTATGGCCGACCTGCAGGCTGCCGAGCTGTGTAGTCGCATTGTCGAACATCCGCTTTGGGTCTCCCACATTTCTGCGTGGTCCGGTATGTACCTAAGGTTGCGGATGTGCATTGCGATGTCGGTACATAGTGCACGAGAAGCGTACGTACCTAATGCCATCTTTGCTTGCTTGCGTGTGCGCCGGGTGTGGAAATCATCGGACCTACTAGTAGCTCTCGTATGTAGCTTGGTTGTGGGGAATTGGAGGTTCGAGTTCGAGTTCAGTCCGGTTGGTAATTCCATCCGCCGTCATGCCTTCAAGGACAGGCATGATATCGCTCTCCAACACATGCAAAAGCGATATCATGACAAAAACTCCACAAGACTCCACAAAACTCCAGTTCTATTTTTACCAAGACTACCAACAAATGTTGGTATATCCACAGCGCGCCAAATCCCGTCTACTCCTCGTCGGCATATCCCTTATGATATCCAAGCTCCTCATCATCCTCCGAATCGGCAAATTCATCGTCACTCTCAAACTCGCCCTCGTCAGATCCGTCCTCCATATCGTCCAGATCCGTATCATCGTAGAAATCCAGCGGCAGCTTCTCCTCCTCGTCATCCTCGTCATCCGTCCACTCCGCGCCCATCATCTTCCTGTTCCGATGGACCCTCTCATCGAGGAGCACACAGGTCCTAGCAATCAGCTCGACGGGCGCGCGCTCACACACTTCGGTAACGCCCTTGACGCCCATCAGTCCGGGGTATCCAGCCAGTGCCCACCTCGGCTGGAGTAGGAACGCGACCATTTCCTCAGCGTCGATCCAGTACTCGGGGTCGCAGGGGGAGCCGCCCGTGAGCTTGCTGATCCACAGCATGTAGAGCGATTTTGCAAGGAGGTATTCGAGCCACTGGGACCAGGCGGCGCGCTCCTTGTCGGACTTTTCGGGGACGTGCCCGCGCAGCTCGCCCAGCAGCAGTTGCACCGTCGCGTTGACTATTCCCGCGATCTTGTAGCCGGCCTTGATCGCCTCGTTGGTCGACGGGAGAGGTTCTGCCACCACCACCGCCACTGTCAGCGCCACTGCTCCCCCGCCGCGTTCATGTGCTAGGTGGGGTGGGGGTGTCCGCTCTCTCACTTCCGGCATCTTCGATCATGGCGCGCGCAATGCTGACCGCGAAGAAACGGTACTTGGGCCCGCGCCACCGTGGGTCGTCGTCAAACGTCTGTGCGAGGTTCAGCGAGTCGAGGTGCGACTTCCACAGTTTGCTGAGCCGCCGCGAACACTGCGAGAGCTTGGTCGACGTCGAAAGGCTCGACGTCGAGTCGAAGATCGTGCAGATCACGCCGTCGGGGAGTTTGTCGAACATCTTGCTGATTGGCTGGCTGGTGGAGAGGGCGAGGAAGGAAGTCGAGAGGGACGAGGTGGACGAGGTTGGTGGGGGGACGCTGGTGGGTTGCTGAACTTTTTTTTTTTGGTGCGCCACAAACTAGTCTGCCTTCGAGATCGACACCTCGCGTCATGAGGTGTCAAGCGGACGAGGCTGCTTTCGAGCGGCTGCTACTCTACGCGCATGTGATTGCACCAGCCTTGCCCGCTGCCGCCCCCGTCTCCACCGCCGTCCCTGCCGTGTCCTTCTCCCTGCGGTCCACTAAGTTATTCATTTAATTCCCATCTTCAAAACTGTCCAACCCTTCACCTCTCCTCCCGGAAGCGGCTCACTGGAAGCCATCCTGCATCCACCCCTCACTTCCGTCCCATTACCAGCAGAAGCTCGATTCTGTATGGCCCCTAGCAAGCAGTGTGTATAGTAGGTACTCTGCATTTCGCAGCAAGCGATCAGCACAAAAGGGAGCACCATCAGTTTCGCCCGCGGAATGCCGTCTGCGTGTGGGGTTCGGATCCGAGACGCCAGCATTCACTCGCGAGAAGCTCCGGCACTGGATGACTGGCTCGCAGAATCTCCGGTACCTAGGGGATAACGGGCGAAGGGAAGGCATCTCGGGGCTTCGGGTTTTCTCGAGCAGGTGCAGCATAGGTATTACCAATACAGTGCATGATCTGAGGGAGGCAGAGCATGTACCACGGTAGACAATGACGAGTAGCAGGAGATGCCGTAAACCCGGATAGCAGAACTCAGTGAGGCAGACGCGCCCGTGTCGGTAGGTATCTGGCTGGAGGAAGCTCTGCGGAGATATATATATAAGCGGTGGGATTTGGGTGGCTACTGTAGTGAGGACGGAGAGACGCCGGTAAAGGTCAGAATGGTGAGCGGGGTCGCCATGGGTATCGAGAACCTTCATGTATAAATTACTCCTGTTCCCTTGGCTTCCGTAGACATCTGCTAGAGCAACTTTGTACCTTCGTTCATCCGTGACGAATCGTCGTTCATTAGAAGAGCACGGTTCATCCAGGACGAATTCGACTGCGCAGCCGCAGTTCCTCTGCGCATCGCCTGCACTGAACGATCTTGTGGCCGGCCTATCGTGCTGGCGAGTGACGTCCAGTGGATTCGCACATGCGTCAGTCGGGGGTGCCTGTGGATCCACAAGCTTGTCGCGTGCATTGTGAGTAGTTTCCGGTACGTCATGGCATCCATCACAAGCCGACGTACTGCGCCAAAGCTCCAGCTGTAGAGAAAAGAAAGAAGCTTCAGTTACTCGCGGAATTATTGTTACGAGGGCGCATGGGAACAGGATAACGTTCTGTCCGTGGTCTGGAGCAGAACATTTTATCCATGCGTAAATAGAGTAGCCGCGGTGCCACCCCAGGACCCGAAGACCCCACATGCCGAGGTCCTGGCTGCTTATGTACTTTGGCCCCGATAGATATCCCACTCATCCATCCCATCCCTCTTCCACGCGACTCTCTTCCACCACCGCCACCACCACCACCACACCGTCAGAAACAGAACCATGGCAGCTCTCTGTGGACCCTCGAACGCGCTCTCGTCGCTCCAGAAACATACCACCGCCGACCGCACACACCAGCAAGACCGCTTCCGCGGCCAGAGCCACCAAGGTTCATCACAGGTACTGTCACTCACCACCGCCCCCAGCCCCCCTCCAGTCCCCGCGCTGACAGAGTACAATCAGGGCTTCAGAAGCGCCCAGAACCCAGCGTGGGGCGATAATGAGTTCGACGCCTTCTCGTCCGCGGGCGGCGTGAGCGCAGACCCGTTCTTTGCGCCGCAGCAGCCACAGCTGTTCCAGCAGTCACAAGCACAGGCACCCGCGTGGGCGACGGACTTCCAGCGACTCGACATCGGCGCTGCTCCCGTACAACGGTTTCCGATACAACAGCAGCAGCAGCCGCAGTGGGGACTGGAGTTCACGCAGAGGCTGCAGCAGAGGGAGCAGGCTGCGCCGCTGATGCAGCAGGAGGGGCTGGCTCCCGCGACGACGATGGCGAGCGGTTACTCGGGATTCGGTACATACTCCCCTTCGATGGATATGGGGGTGTCGCAAGTCCAGCAGCAGCACCAGCAGAGCGAGTTTCAGTATGACGAGAGCGCGTTCGAGCGAGCATTTGCCGATGCCGAGAGAGAGTTTGTTGCCGAGGAGGAGCAGTTGTTAGCATTTGAACGGCCCGTAGAGGTTGCGGACAAGGTCCAGGAGAAGGAGCAGTTGCAGAGGGAGGGCGACGATCTGGCTAGGACTGCGGGACAGTTGCTGGATTCTGTTCAGGAAAATACGTCCGCCAAGTTTCAGAACAGTAATTTTTTGGCCCTGATGCGGAAGTTGAGGGATCATCAGGTCGTCGTTGAGGGGAATGACATGGTAGAGGCGAAGGCTGCGGAATAATGGTTTTCTCAAATTCTTCTGGTTTGCGTACGGTTTATTGGGAAGCGGTTCCGGGTTTTTTTCTTTTTCTTTCGTTTCGTTTCTTTGCTTTTCTCGAGATGGCATAAGAAGTAGATCTTAGATTACAGGCGTGTCTTTTCTTTGTATGTTTCATCTGGCGTTGGGGAATCTTATTTCAACTCTGTCTCTTGTAGGCGGGAATATCTACCTACCTATTCTACCTAGTAGACCTGTCTGTCCGCCGCCGCCATCTGCGGATTTGGATGTTGGTAGCGATTTGTTAGTGGAGTCGGCCAGAAAATTTACGTGGTGGCCTATGTAGCAGCCTAGCATAGCTCCGCGAAGCTCCATTCAAGTTGTTCATCACCGAGTTCTTCGCAGCCATGATGATTCTGGGTGACTTCGCACGGAGTAAATAATTGGCCAGGCCCCTCTGACCAAGAACTTGGCCGCCAGTCGTGATTCGCGCTGACGGTTGCTGGACGTGTGTCGTTGGCCCTCCTTGGGACTCCTACCAGTTGCCCATGCTGGTTGGTTGGTGCTTAGGATAACTTCAACTCGGCGGCTATCACACACCCCAATTACCCCAATCCGCCCCTAAAGTAAACCCTCGACCACTAGACACAACCTCCTCCTCATCGAGCCCCAGCCCAGCGACATCTGGATACCCCAAAGTCCGTACTCGGTACTATACACCCCAGCCCTCCCGCCCGCCCGCCCTCCGCTCGCCGCCAGATCAGCTGTCGTTGGACTGCATGCACGTTGACGGCTACTCCGAATCCACCCTCGCTCCTTCGCCTCCTCCTACATTGCTCACCACCGCAGAACACTCCTTGCCTTCCCCGACGTGTCGTCCTCTACACACCTACAGTCGCACTTCTCGACCGCCGAGGACGCTCCCTCCACGCAGCAGCCGTCTTCCTACGCCGAAGTAATCGCCGAGTCTGCTAGCACACCCCCATCACCGCCAGAATCACCTTCGTCCAAGTCCGCGGAATCGCAGAAACAGCAGCAACCGGGGAGTCTCGTCGCCGTCGTCGGTCCTTCATCTCTCGTCCCCTCGCCATCGTACAGCAAACAGGATCCTGAGCAGCCACCGCCACCTTACACGGAAGCACTCTCACCGCTCGATTCATTCGTTTTCGCTATGGCAGCCGCAGGAGGTTCCGGGTCGATCATTACGCAGGTGCAGCAAGGAGGGCCACCGCTCAACACGTTGGCAGGTACGGGCCCGATAGATATATGCGCGCCGGCGTTCTTTTTTTCATCCTTTGTTCGGGCAGATCCCAACTGACATTGTGATTTCATAGATGCACCAGGCACTGGAGAAGAGAACTTGACCTTGGACCTACGGTAGCTTTTCTCGCGCTTTCCTTCCATTCTGGCTCGAAAAGACCCCTCGCTTATCAAGTCGCGTGCGTGTGTTTGTGACAGAGGTACCCCGTTCATTCTGTCGCGCGACGAACTCCTGACGCTGCCCGAGTTTGTGTTGTTGTCGCTGTTCCCCAACGGTCTATTCCCCGACGGACAGCAGAACTCGTATCATGACGATGGAATCTACATAGTCGACGTATGTTGTTGTTGCCTTTGTCCTACATAACGCAATGGCGCCAATCGCTGACACCCGCCACAGTTCGATCCGAATTGCCTGAAATTTATGCTCGACTTCTTCCGGAAAGTCTCGTCGACGATCACGGTGGCTTCGGCGGACGAGGACGAGGAGGTGAACCAATTGCAAACGAGCCCTGCCAATGTCCTGCAGGACCGTGCTGGTATCATTGTCCTGCGGGAAGACCTGGATTTTTACGCGATACCGCCGAAGCGCGACATCTCGCGCCAGGAAATGATGGAGGTCAAGCGCGCTGCCGGGAGAGTCCTGCTCAAGCAGGATGGTATCTTTTCGGGGTTGAGGAGGACCGATGATACCGGCACTACTGAGCAACATCTCATCGAGATGTTGACCGCTGGGTTAGATCTACTCGCATTCTACATGGCACGTAACAGCTGCCGGGGGATCTTGTCTTGCTAACTATGGCAGAGGATTCAACGTCGACGATACCTGGGGACACCGCGCCGGAGAGCCGAACAAGGCCGTGATCTGTAGTCTGGCTCTGGCCAGGTTGAGAACCGACTCCAAGGACTCGAATGACAGCAACGTGGTTGGAATGGCGCAGAAGCTGCTGCTGTTTTGGAGGAAGCCCGCAGTATGTACCATAACCTTTTTGCCGTGCTGCCATATGCTGATGTTTTTGTTTTAGCGTCGATGCTGGTGGGAAGGCCTCGAGCTCGAGGGCGTCGACGGCGTGGATGGAAAGCTGAAAGTGTGGATCCGTCGTGTCTGGACTCTCGAAATGGTCTGCCTACCCTTCCCTACACCGTCTTTCCTACTCCATACTGACATTACTACAGAGCGTCATTGGCCTCCGTTAACAAGCAAGCGGACGTGATGCCGTGTCGGAGTGCTATTACAAATTGGTGATTATATATGGCCCATCAAGTGGGGTTTGGGGTGTTTGGTTGTAATGATCGGTGTTTGTGTCCCGAGGGGAATCTTTCTTCTTTCTGCTTCTTTTTCTGTGTGCCCTTCTCTTCTCTTCTCGTTTCCGTCGATGGCGACACCGCGCGTGTTCTTTTTTCTTGTGTCCGTCTGTATCCCCCCCTTCGTTTCGTTTTCGTTTTCCTTTTTCCGCTGTATTGCTTGCTGTTCGATTGCCGTTCTTGATATCAGTCGCTACTTTACTTACTACTACTGCTGCTGCTGCTGCTGTGCTGTCACCCATACCTACCTATACTGCTATTAAGTACTCGTTTGAAGATTGGTTGTGACTACTTACCTGGCTCGATGTGGGCCGTGATGTTGCGATTGCGGATCTGGTGGGGTTCTGAGATGGATTCTGAGATGGGGTTCCAAGATGGGTTCTGAGATGGGGTTCAATGAGGTTCGATGAGGCTCAATATGGAGGTGGAGATCCGGATGGAATTGAGTCTCGCAAGTCTCATTCAGGCTTGCGATTGAGGGTGTAGTAATGTGGTGAGGAAAAAGTAGGTCGAGCATAGGGAGTGTGAATGGGCACCAAGCAGAAGTGTGTACCGGCTTGGATGAGGAGAGGCGAACCACCTTAAAAGTGCGGGACATCCCCCTCCCCCCAGATTTCTCACTCGCGCACGCTGTTTGCAATCCATCAGATTAGGCACTCTACCTAGTAGGTATACTATAGATCTCCCCCGCCTCCGGACTTTGCCCCTCGCACTTTACTCAGTACTCCACATAACGATGGGATGATCACTACCCACAACCGCAGGTCCGCAGCTACCGTCCGGACCATCCCGCACATCAAACTGATTGAATAGGTATGAGAACAGCACGCAGCGGATCCGGATTGTGGATACATATGAACAACACACGACACCACTTTACTCTACACAAGTAGAGTAGGTACTTGATTGACTTTTTTTTTTACGGGTGCGGGCCCGCTGTATATCGATAGGTAGGTGGGTGGGTATGTATGATGTATCGCCCACTACTCTACTGGTATGTACGAGTACTTACGGTACTCTACATACCTACTCTATCATCTGAGGACCCGGGCCCGGATGACGGTGGTGACGGTGGTGGTGGTGGCGGGGTGTCTACTGCACAGTATCTACTACACACCCCTACATACACTGCTATGTATATCCCGCAGAGCGAGAAGCAGAGATAGCGGAAGTGGGGCAGTTTATCTTCCACTTTATCGGGACGGACTCCCCCTCGCCCGCACGGCGCACGTACTCAGTACTTACTGCGATTGGGGGCCCGGCCGCTTTTCGCTTGCGATCGTCCCGTCCGATTGGCTACTCTGCGCACTCTACACGTGCATGCTGCTGCTGCTGCTGCTGCGGATAATCAAAGTCGCCAGCTTGTTTGCACATATGTATAACGCTCCGCTGCAGCTGTGCTTATGTCAGAGGGATCGGAGCTACAACTACGTACGGTATCCAACTAACTAACTAAGCTGCGAGGAGTAGTTGATTAGGTAGTGATAGCAAGCAATCATGATTCATCTGTATACAGAGATTGGCCACCTCGTCAGAAATGACGGGCCGGGCTGGGCTGGACTGAGGTGGGGGGGTGGGGCGTGCGGGGGGGGTGGGAGCTTCATGTATAAAAACCGTGTTCGGCCCTCCCCCATCCATTCAATCGAGAAATGAAAAGCCCTCAAACCGACATGCCGACCACCTGCACAACATCTTCGAGCACCTCCTCCACCTCGGCGGCGGCTGCAGCAGGAGCGGACGACTCGCAGGCAGCCAAAAGCTACCCCGCGATCCCACCGATCTACTCGTTACTGCTCTCGCTGCCGTCACTGGTGGCGCCCTTCCTGCCCGCGGACCTGGTGGCCGCCTACCCCACAGCAGTACAGGCGCTGCTCCCGTCACTCGACCCGATCGATGCGCGCCTCCGCGAGCTCCTCCCCAAGTCTGCAAACTGGACCCACGATTTCATCACGGCGCTGCAGCTCTCGGGGCGCTGGACCCTCGCCACAGACGTGAAAGCGAGCTTTCTGCTTGCGGGGCGCAGCCGCTCGCGCGAGGAGGCCGCCGCCCGCGTGCTCTGGGCCGTGGGCGTCTGGCGCCGCGATGGCTTCGGTGGCAGGAAGTCTAAGGAGATTGGGTGGCAGACGGATGGCCTGCTGGGGGGCTTCCATGTGCCGGGTAGGGAGTGCGATAATGTACAATTGGCCTCTGGGGACCTGGGTGAGGCCGTGGTGTGGGTCGCTGGGAGGGCGTGGGCCGTAGAGGTGTTCAGGATGGGAGAGGTGGTGAGCGTGGAGGAGATAAGGGCGCAGCTGGAGGGGATTGTGAGGAAGGCGGCTGGGCGGGTGAGACTTCATGCATCTAACTATCCGTTGTCGTGGATGCGAAAGCTAATGGAGTGCAGGAAACGGCCAACATCTCCGTCGCGGCGCTGTCACATCGTCTCCCGCGGGAACTATGGGCGAAGACCAAAGCCTCGCTCTCGTCAGATACGCGGACCAACATGACCATGAACCGCCTCTACAGCTCGCTCACCACCCTAGCACTGGAAGACTACGTCCTGCCACACCCGACGTCAGACGCCCTCGAGGACATCCGCGGCAACTGCGACTCGCCCAACCGCTTCGCCGACCAAACCCTCAGCTTCGTCGTATACTCCGACGGGGCAGTGGGGATGACGACCGACCACACCGTAGCAGACTGTTCCGCGGGGCTCGAGACCGCACTCTGGCTATCCGAGCTCGCCGCAAAAGCAGACGTAGGACGGCGCCTATACCAAGTGCGGGCACGCCCACCCAAGGAGCTCTCCTTCCCCGCCCTCATCACCGCATGCAAGATGCTACCGATGTACAACGGGCCACGGGCGGGCGAGCCCGTGCTGTTCACTCCCGCGCCGCGCAAAGCACCGATGCCACGGGGGTACACCGACAACGTAGCGCGGTCTGTGCGGACGCTGTCTTTGCGGCTGCCCAAGGAGCTGCTGCAGAAGCGGCTGGTGGATGCGACGCTGCAGCTGGCGCTGCAGGCGGCCGTGGGTAGAGATACTCCCATCACACAGAGCGTGTATCAGCGCGGCACCGCGAATGCAAGGAGTGAGCCGGTCATGGCAGTCACCGAGGAGGGCGTGAGGTTCATCGAGATGCTCGCCGACGCGGATGTGCCGCCTGAAGAAAGGGAGACGGCGTTTCAGGTAGCGGTTGCCGCGAGGGGAGAGAGGATAAAATGTTTGCCTCTTCCTACCACACACCCACAATTTGTGCGAGTGACGAGCGGCGCTAACACTGGAACAGCAAATACCTTCCCCTTCTACCGCAACCTATTCCTGCACCCTTCGTTCTCAATGCTGCCGCCATCACCCGAGCTATCCACGATTCTCGCAGTGCTCCACGTCGCGTCCGGCGCACCGGTGGAATGCGAGCAGCCAGGCAGCAACGTGCAGTTCACGGGGTTCACCATCTCGAAAAACGACAATGTCGCTGCCGCGTCGAGCAATCTCTACCTCGAGCAGCAGCTGGTCGCCTGCTACCTGGCAAAGGTCGACGAAGACCAGGAGGAAGACGACGGCAGCGTCGAGATCACGTTTAGTGCCTCGGGCGAGTTTTGGAGAGCGGAGTTGGACGATGTGGTACTGAGCTTTGCCGGCGTGTGGGAGTTGATTCTAGAGGCGGCTCTGGGACGCGGAGGTGGGTGGGAAGGTGTGGTATAGAGTACGCACCTACCGTATACGTACCTTGTAGATAGACTTGGGTTGTGTAATGTGAATAATAGATGTCCGCTTTCTATTACTTTGCGATCCCATGATCCATCCATGATTATTTGTGACAACTTTTTCTCTATACAAATAGATATGTAAAGTGAAGCTGAACCCCCGCAAGCAAGCAACCAAACCCAGAGATGAAAAGCAAAGCAAAACCCAGACACCAGGAAATAAGTACCCACGTCACGTCTCGTCACGTCACGACATCTCCTCATCTGCACTATCGCTCTCCCACTCCTCCTCCTCCTCATCTCCGTCCGCCTCTTCCTCATCCTCGCCTTCCTTCTCGGGTATAACTTCCAGGATCTTACCCAGCAATTCCTCAGCATGTTCCCGGATCCCCTCGTCTTCCCACTCAAGGGCGTTATAAAGCTATTCCACACATCAGCACTTAACCCACGCAACCCACGAAACAGAACAGAAATGCCGCCGCCTACCTGTTGACAAGTCTTCAACCACTCCCTGGCGGCCTCCCACAGCTCCGCCCATCCCTCCCTCCTGGGCCTCTCCCTCTCTCCCAGCAAGAAGAGCGTCCAGCCACCTAGATACCACAGATCCGGCAACTGATCATCCTCGGCCTGCAGTCTCTCCAGGACTTCCACAGCGGTCTCATACTGCTCGGTCTCGATGAGCAATCTCGCCTGAGATATCCTAGCCGCATAACTCGGCATCTCCGGGCTCTCCGCTTCCAGCTCCTTCCACGCTCCCACCGCGCGCTCCAATGCCGCAACAGCATCCTGCACTCTCTGCTGCGAGATCCTGACACTGGCAAGGGTCTGCAGCGCCTCGGCACTATCGGGCACGGCCAACAGCGCCTGTGTTACATACGCCTCGCAGCGCGCCTCAGCGTCCGCGTCCATGCACAGGTCGCTCATGTAGATTTCCGCGAGCCCGCACAGCGCCGACACGAGCTTCCTTTCCAGCCCGCGCTCGACCAGCTCCTTCTGCGCCGCGCCCCCGACAACTCCCCCGTCCCGCAGCGCGACAAGCCGCTGCAAAGCCTCCACCCCCGTCGTGTACCAACGCACGGCTGCCGCGCCCCCCTCGGGACACAGCTGCGCCAGCCAGAGAAACTTTTCTGGGCCGGAGCCGCCGGCGGACTCGTGTGCGCCGTTGGGGTCAAGGGTTGCAGCGCGGGTGTACAGCGTGTAGGCCGTGGCTACGTCGCCGAGCTCGACGTGGATCTCGGCGAGCAGCTCGAGGGCGCAGAGGGACGTCGGGGATTGCTGCAGTGCTTGTGTTGCAAGCGTGAGCGCTTGGTCGGGCTCGTTGTTTGTGTGCAGCAGTGCCGTCGCCGCGGCGAGGAGGGTCGCGGTCGACTCGGCGGGTGCGGGTGTGGGTGCGGAAGGGGTGGCGTGAGGGTTGCTGGATAGGCCGCCTGTGCTGTGTAGAAGGGATTTCTCGCGCGATCGGGTCTTGGACTTTTTTTTGTCTTTGCTGCTGGGTTTTGTTTTCGCCATTGCTGGGTGTGGTGTTGGTGGTGGTGTTGGTGGGGGGGGGGGGAGTGCGGTATTCGAGGAGGATGAGGAGGGTCGCTGGTGGTGGGGGAATTATCTTTTTTTGCGACACCTGCAGGGTTGGTGATAGTGTGCACGGACCAACTCCTATGCCCCGCCATTTAGTTCTGCTATGTGAGTAAGTAACATACAAGCTTCACGCCAACATCGCACATCGCACTTCACCACCACCCACCTTCCCCACTACCGCTCACCAATATATACGTGCAACCATGGCGTCCGAAGAACAACTCGAAGAGATCGAAGTCCTGCAGTCGATCTACCCGGACGAGCTCCAACGTACCACCTCCCTCCCCGCGCTCCTCCCGCGCTCCTATCACCCCGCGCGCCCACTGACACAGAAACAGTTCTAACCCCGACCTCGTTCCGGATAAAGCTCCTTCTCGACCCACCTCCTCTGCCAGGCGCATCCGCGGACTCTATCGAGACCGAGCCGATAATCCTTCTACACGTGTCATACCCGCCCACGTACCCCTCGGTAGCGCCCGATCTCGACGTGACGCTCGACGAGGGGTCACCGTCGTCATGGCTGGAGTTTCCTGAGGACAAGGGGGTGCTGCTGGACGCGGTCCGGGAGACGATCGAGGAGAATCTAGGCATGGCGATGGTTTTTACGTTGACTAGCACGCTGAAGGAGGCGGCCGAGAACTTGATCCTGGAGCGCGCGACAAAGCAGGATAAGGCCCGTGAGGATCAGTTGCGGCTCGAGGAGGAGAAGGAGATGGAAAAGTTCCGTGGAGAGTTGGTGACTAGTGAGAGGTTTATCGAGTGGAGGGACAGGTTCAAGCGCGAGGCCGAAGAGGCGAAGAGGAAGATTGTCGAGGATGAGGAGGCGGAGGGGAAGAGAGGTCAGAAAGCCAATATCAAGGTTGAGGAGAAGAAGTTGACCGGGAAGGAGCTCTGGGAGAGGGGTCTGGCTGGTAATGCGGATGAGGAGGAGGAGGAGGGCGAGGAGACGGTGGATATTGCAAAGTTGAAGCTGTCAAACTAGATGAGGATGTGCGATTGCACATGCCGTGCATGCAGAGGGAGATATTGTAGTCATTTCCCTCCTACCAACAAATCAAAGATATCCCTTCGTCATTCATTACTAAAGAAACACCGTCGCCATGCCATGAAATCATCACACCTTCCACATATCACTCTCATCGAACGGATCACCCAGCCAGCCTAGTTGTACCCCATTAGCCCCCCATCCCACACTCCCATCCCCCACCCCCGGAAATCCCACTTACGAATAGCAAAAACCTTATCCACACAGCGTTCCTTAGCATGATCGGCCTCCTCCTGCGCGCGCTTCCCGGCCCACGTCGGATTCTGCCCTGCCTGCCCCGTCTGTCCCTGACCCGCCAGACCCAACAGCCCCGTCATGCGATCGTGCGCCAGCCCCGAAGCCGAAGACGTAGCGGGGCCTGGACCGGCCTGCTGCTGGCTACCGGGCGGAGACGTGGGAATACCGCCCGGGTGGTGGCTGCTCGCGGGAGGCGTCGACGGCGTTGAGGACGGCAGCGACGCGTTGTCGTGCATTTGCGAGTCTTCGCCATCTGGTGTTGGGGTTGTGAGTAGGAGCGGCGGAAGTGGGGGGTGGGGGGTGGGGGGAGAGGGAGGAGGGAAGGGGACGGGGGTACCTGAGTGCGTGGACATCTTGAAGGTGTGAAGGCGCGGGTGCGGGGAGGTGTTGCGTGATGTGTGGGGGTAGCTTGGAGGAGCTGTGGAAGCTCTGGGTAAGTCGGTAGGTACCCAGGCTGCCGGTTGACCTGGGATGGTGAGGCTCGAGAGGCTAGGCTCTATATGGACACACGAGTAGACTAGGGCACGAGTGACGAGATCATGGTTTCGCACTCGCACATCATCAATGGGTTGTAAATATGTCACTCGACTGCTTGGTCACAGCGGAGGCCTTCACCCCTTTTCCTACACTCCCGAGGCTGAAGCCTTCTTGTCTGGATGGAAATACACACCGTACTTCACACTTCACTGCTCCATCACATCACCATTTGCAACATGGACATCTGAATATCTGATTTTCCCAAAGACATACAAAACTAGCAAAGAGCGAAGCGCGAAAGATCATACGGAACCAGCAAAACACGCAAAACAAGCAGCAAAATTCAAATTCTACCCTTCCCTTCCCAAAAGACCAAAGAAAAAACAGAATCGACACTATGATAGTAAAGTATAAAGGAGATGATATATATATATAGAGCAAAACAGACGAGACGATACGAGACTGATAGCAAGCAAGGCAGAACGTAAGCAAACCCAAAAGAAACACATACGCTGCGTATATCATCCCAACATGAGCGCCCCTCCCCCCCCCCCCTCCCTGCCAACAGCCCATTCCCCAGCGATTTCACCCACCCACCCACCCCGCACAAAGGAAAAGGAAACGGAAAAGGAAAATAGAAAATGCGAACTCCCAGCAGTACAGCCCAACTCCAAAGCAAAATTAAACAAATCAAATCAAATGGTATCAACTTCGAATCAAAACATTTCCCCATCATCGCCCTCGAGGACTCTCATAGCCTCGCGCAGTCTTTCCCTTAGATCCGACCGCGACCTCTCCCCCTCCGATTCCATAGCGCAGCACACCCGTCCCAGCGCCTCGATGACGCCCTCAATCAGCACGCGGTCCGAGCGGCCAATCCGCAACTCGACCTCTTCTTTGCCGCCGACGCCCATGCCGCCGACCACCATTGTCTGGCTGTCTCTTGTCGACGTGGCGATCGTCAAAGGTACTCCGCCGCCATGCCCTCCTTCCCCCCCTCCCTCAACGTCGGAATCATCCTCGTAGATGAACATCGATTGCGTCTTTGTAGTGTCCACGGATTCGCGGTACCATGAGGATGCCGCTACCGGAGGCGGTGGTTCGTCGGATGGGGTCTGCGGAAGCTCCTTGTCGACGTGGGGAGTGTGCGGTGCTGAGTGGTACCCATCGTCGCCGGGCGAACTGGCGGTCAGCCATCCTCCTGGTATCGTTGGTGTGCTCGAGGGGGCGCGCAGCTGGAGGAGTTGGTCCGCCAGGCTGGGGCTTGCTCGTGCGGAATCTTCCCGATCTTCGTCTGCCGTGGCGTATGATGATATCGATACGAACGAGTCCTTCCTCTCGAGTAGGCGCGGCGGGTCGAGGGGAGGGAGCGTGGCTGTAGCCGTCGACTCGGTCCCGTCGCTGCTCAGGGAGGCCGGTCGAATGCCCTTGAAGAACGACTCCCCAAACAAGTAATTATCATACGAGAAAGCATCCGAGCGGATCTCCTGGCGTGCAAAGACCGGAGAGTTGACCTCCTCCCGCCGAGGCCCGGTCGGGGTCCCAGAGCAATCCGATCCGTCGACGGAGTACTGGCTGGACGACCGCTGGGTCGCCACGTGCTCCCACTCCTGCTCGATCGTAGTGTGTATATTCAACGCTCTGCTCTCACGGATCTCCTCCAGATTCGGCGATGTCGGCGACCATTTCGGAGTGGTTTCTTCCGATCCGGATCCGGATCCGGGCGTCGAACTCGAGCGTAGCGAAGATCCGCTCTGCCGCCCCTTCACGGTCTTGGTCTGCTCCTGCAATGTTGTAATCTTGCCGCGCAGATCCTTCATCTGATCCCTCAACGCGCGCATCTGCTGCGCGCTGTTACACCTACTGACCGTGCGCGCCGGCTGCTGCTGCTGCTGCTTATCCGTCTCGCGCGGGTCCTCGACCAGATCCGACAGCCCCCTCAAGTCCCCAAACGACCTCCCGATGCCCAACGAGCGCGCATCTGTAACCGCACTCTCACTCGCCGTCCTGACGTGCGCCATGCCCGTCGCCGTCACCCCGCGCTCCTCATTCCCTGTCCTGGCATTATTATACCTCCAATGCGGCGAATTCGCGCCTCCCGCACTCTCCGCTCTCCTCCTGACCACGGGGCCCACAGCGTCCAAATGCTCCAGGAGCGCATTCGGCGTCGCCGACGGCGACAGAATGAGCGAGCTCCTGGCGCGGGAGATATTCTGGCCACAGAGATCGAGCCTCCTCTTTGCGCTGGCGAGGACCTTTTCCGCGCGGCGCGAGATATCGGGTTCACCGGATCCCTCCTGACCATCATACACACTCCCTTCATACATCGACTCCCCGCCCCACACGGAGCTGTCATCGCCAAACTCCGAGATCGTGTCGAAGCCGAACCCTTCGATCTCGATCGTGCCGTCCGACATGAACGATGCAACGGAGACAGACCGCACCGCCCGCCCACCACTCCCCGCGGACGGATCGGGCGACGGCGTGCGCGTCTCGGAGTCCGGGTTCGGAGAGTGCTCGGCTATGTCTGGGAGCAGCGTGGGTGTCCGCGTGTGCGCGAGCGTCCGCGGCGCGAGCGTGCGGTACGTCGTCCCGGGGGGTTGCGCAAACATGGAGGCGGAGTGGGTGCGTGCGTGCGTGGTGGATGCGGATGTTCCGGTGCAGGAGAGCGACGGACGCGGAGGGGGGAGAGGGGGGGTTATGGTGATGGTGATTGATGTCGGGCTCCGCGAGTGGGTCGTGTGTATGTGTGCACTGTGCTGGCTGGCAAGTGATTAAAGTATCTAAGTGGTTATTTAAAGATCGAATCGAAATCGTCGTTGATGATATGATGAAGTGGGTGAGTGTTAAACGAGTGGCTGTGTGCGATTGGATTGAAGCGAATGGATGAGTGAGGACGCGATACATACGGCGGCAAAGATTTGTCGCGCGCTGGACGAGTGGACGGTGCGAGTCGTGTCGTGTTGGTGGCAGACGAGGGGTGGGAGCCTGGAGAGTTCGTGGGGGAGCAGACTCGATGGAGTTCGGAGTTTGCAGTGCACTGTCGAATTGGTGCTCTCAATATAGGTTGTTACTACTCATAGTGCTCTAGAGAGTCCGTGCATCCTCCTCCTCCTCCTCCTCCTCCTCCTCATGGTCACCGCTCTCTGTAGTGAAACAACACCTCCGCCGACGCCGCCGACGCCGCTGCTGCTGCAGTTCTACCTTCTGCCCTCATTCCGCTCGCGTATATCTACTCTCCTTCTTCTCTTCATCTCTTCTTACTTGCTCCAAACCCCCTACCAACCGTGACCGTGATCAAGAGCGGAAGGAAGCTGTCAAGCTGACTGCACTCGTGAATGGCTACCGGTAAAGCCCAGCCCAGTGCCCAATCCCAATGCCAGTGCCCAAAAAATTCCAGCTTCCGCGCAATTAATATCGAGCACTCTATCCCACCTAGATTCCTAGTATCTATCCAACCAGGCTGCATTCTTCACGAACCGAGTATGCAAGCAAGCAAGGGGGACAAGAGTAAAGTCACGCTCCCATCAACCAGGACACGAATCTCGGAGTCGATTTTTCCCGTAGAAAACCGTGGGGAAGGAGGGAGGGTGCGGAGAAGGGGGGGGACTCTGGAGGGGAGGCGAAAAGACAGGGCAGGCCCCCGGAATAGCACACGAGTGAGGGCCGGCCACACTGCCGGCACCTACTGGGCGCTGGGCAGGGGACGTAAACAAACGAAGACGCTCACCACCAGTCAATCCATTATTCCCCCCCCACACACACACAAACACGCAAACACAAATACCCATGAACCTCCACTCCAGCTTCGTAACGAATACAAACACGAACCACTCGTCCATTTACAGACCCTCCACTAACTATCATACCCTCCACTCCACTCCACTCCCCGTATGTACTCCGCACAACTTTAACTTTATTACCGTACCATATCAGCCCCCGATACTCTATGTACAATAGGTACAATACATCGCATGTTTTTGCGCCGGGAGTCGCTCCCGACCACTGCGACCAGTGCAGCTTATATGGAGATATCTGGAATCATACGGTGCATACTTGCGCTCCTCTCCCTACATTTCATGTACCGGTATGTATGCATACTCTTCTACTTGGTACACAGCACTGGTACTGCGACCTCTGGCCTCGAGATAAATATCACTTGAAGCCGAGGCTCACCGGCGCGCAGTCACTTTGTGAGGGACCGACTTGGGTTATTTGCGAGTATCTATCGTATGGACACACAAAAGGCTCGAAGTATCGACATAAGTTGGGTTGTAGAGTACCTATGGTGCAAAAGCACCTCGCCGAAAAACTCCCTCCCTTACACACACAGAGAGAGAGACTGAGAGAGAGACAGACACCGGAAATGCATATCAAGTTATCAACAGCGCGCACTGTTGGGTTGTGCTGTTTGGTTGCGTTGTTTGGTTCAATTTAGGACGAGTCAGTCCAGTTCAAGTCAGTTCAAGTTCAAGTTGGGAACTTGGGGAAAAGAACCAACCAACGGAACCCCCGGGCTCCCCTGGAGGCTGGCTGTATCCGGCGCTTCCAGACCACTCTACTGAGGCCAGACCACTCCGCTCCAAGAGTAGAGTATGCGATGATCAAACATCGGATATCGTAGCTTCTATCGCCAAGAAGGATAATAACTTCTGTAAGTACTGAGTAGATATGTTTCTCACATCACGGATTCACGGGCGACGGGTGGGTAGTGGGTGGTGGGTGAACAGACCACCCACCGCGACCACCCACTGCGACTACTTGTGGTGTTTGTTTCCCGGGCACACGAGCACCGGAGATAGAGTACCTAAATCACCACCAACGGATCCGGACGCATATACCCAACATGGGAATAGTTGCCGGTGGGCAGATATCTACTACATATATCTAAAAGACATTCAGCTCGTACATAGAGTAGGTATGTAGAGTACATACAATCCTCCAGGCTGGCTGGCTGGTTGTATTCCCGGCGTAGATCACGGCAGCGCACTCGCCCACTCGCTGTTTTGCATCTGCCGGTTATGTACCTACTACCGGTACCGGTATATCGCTGGGGAAGAATCCTCGGAGCTCGGAGCGGCCAGAGGAGTAACGACTTAACCATCGGTTTCAGCGCGGGTTACCGGTATCTATGTGCGGTCGGTAATAACTGCACGGATCTACCTACTATAATACCACCCAGTACGGTACGGTAGTTATGCCCTGGATCAATCATCGGACTGAACCTCGAAGCGTGGCCTCCGAACTCGTTCGAGATGCGGTCGGTCGGTATATAGGAGCAGCAAATTCAATCGCCCCACGGCGCAGGAGAAACTTGAACTTTCAATACCTACTCTAATATACAGTACATCCCTATAGTTATTCAAGCTTAGTACCTCAACATCAATACGTTTGACAGTTTTGAGTTCTTTTAGTTTTTTTTCCGCCCTCAGCTCCGGATCAGGAATCAGAATCAAGATCGGGAATCAGGGATCAGGAGAAAAGCCTCGAAGCCTCGCCGCCCCAAAGCCTGGAGCGGAGTACTCTACATAGAGCTGCAGCGGCCAGGAGGTCGTGCAGTGCAGAGTTTTCGACGCACGCCCTGTGGAATCCGAAACGACGTCTACATATCATACATGCTGAGGCTTCTCGACTATACAACCAGTAAAGTACTCTACCTACGTCGGCTTCCACCGCCGGATAAGGATTTTATGCATAAGACTCGAGACTCGGCCACAGTTTCCGAGGCCGGCCGCCGATCGCCTCTGACGGGAGGGGAGGATGACGGGAGGGGAGGATAAAACCTCCATAAAACCTCCATAGGTACATAAAACCCGATATCTACCGTATCAGTGTATGTGCATACATAACTACGACCAGACTGCGTGTTTGGCCTCCGTGTGTATGCACATACCATACTGTCGGTGTGCAGAGTTTGCTTTTTTATTTTTCTTCACTGCAGACGCGGTCATATGTATGTGAAGAAGGAGAAAAAAGCCACAGCAGCAGCAGCAGCAGCAGCAGATATCAATCCGCCCACGTATCAGCCCTTTGTTCCTGGCTGGCTGGCGAAGTTCGTGTTTCGTATTTCACAGCCTCCCGTTCACTTCACTTGGATACTTTTATTCTTCTTCTCCACGATTAAAGAAAAAAGGGGGGCACGTATGTCAGCTGAGACCGACCAGATGCGGTTGGGAGGCAGAGGCAGAGGCAGGAAGAGACGGGTTGAGCTAACCCCTTGTCAGTAGTTGACATGACATGGCATGGCCAATCACTCGGGGGATTCCGAGACAGCGGTCGGAGACTGGACTCTGGACTCTGGAGTAGGGCTGAGAGATCTGGAATATCTACATATCATATGTGTGTAGAATAGGTAGAATAGGTGGAGTATTAGTAGGAGGACTGATGCTCGAAACCTGATGTCAGTAGAGTCAGCGCGCACAGCTCCACACAGGAACCGCCCCTACTCTTTGTACCTGCGGCGAAATGCACCCGTGCCTGTCGTGCCTGTTCTCGTTTGCGGCGCACGACAGCCTCCCTCCCTCGGGAGGGGCAGCCGTGTAACTGTGTAACTGTGTAACTGTGGGACTGTGGGACTGTGGGACTGTGGGACTCGACTCGAGTGTCGAAACACTTCGCCACTGTGCGACCCATCATACACACGGTAACTAATGGCCGAGCTCGAGGGGTGGTTTTGGATGCTGGCGTACGGTACGAGCTGGACTCTGGAGGCTGGAGGGGTGGTTGGCTGATAGAGTATCCTCCTCGGAAACAGCGTGGACGGCCCACGTTCGCGACGAAGCTCGAGAAGTCTCAAGTTCACTCGGAAAAGCCTCGAACCGTCAGGATTATGTAGAATCGGCGGCTGCCATATACTCTACTATTGTACTCTACATACGTCAACAGAAGTTTCGCGATCGAATGCTTAGCCTAATGCCCTCCGGCGGCAGGTAGGATTGTTCATATGTATGCCTGCTACCCTACCCGTGTAAACATGAAAGCCCTGGTTACACGGGCTCTAGATACCTCCGACTTATGCATCGTTCGCTGTCTTCGCGTGCATAGCATCCGATCGAGGCGATACTCGCTGTTGCCGCCTCGGATCCTGCAGGCTGCATGTAGAGTACTCTACCTAGGCAGATGTACCTAGAATGCATCTCCAGTCGGTCGAGCATATGGAGGAGTTCGTTGCGACCGTTCGGGGGCGGGGGAGGGGGGCGCCTCGAGGTGGCTCATAGCATAACCAAAAGCGCTGCCGCCGTGCTAGTACTCTAGAGCAGAGTATCGTGCTTGCCCGCTCCCGAAGTTCCACGAGGATTCCTTCCTGCGGAGAGGTTGCATACTGGTAAAAGGGGGACTGGCACTCACTCACTCACCCACTCACCCACTCACTCACCCACTCACTCACCCACTCACTCACTCACTCACCCACTCACTCACTCACTCACCCACTCACTCACTCACCCACTCACTCGCTCACTCACGTCACCCAGAGTCTGCACTCTGCACTCTGCATATTATTTCTCCCTCCCTGCTCCGTGAGGACGGACGGACGATCCCCCCCCCTGCGGGACAACGGCGCTAGGCATGCACAGCTTCAGTAGTGGCGCTTGTGTTGATGGGATTTCCGCTGGCAGCTGTGCACGTTTTCTTTTATTTCTCCGCCAACAAGCAGTGGACAGTCGAGGGTGCCGGGCAGAGGGAGGGGTGTGGAGAGAGGGTGCCTGGGAGGGAGGGGTGCCGAGCGAGGCTAGGACTACCGAGATGCATATGTTAGCGATTGCATGACACCGACGCTGTTGGTTCACGGGTTGTCTGTCTCGACGGAGCGGCTCGCCCAATGTGTGCGTGCGTGTGTGGTGTAGGTGAGTGAGTGAGTGAGTGGAGTACTCGGGTGCGTAGGCTACTTATGATGCCATTGTCCCGCCCACCCTCCCGTTCGGCTTGAGAGCTGAGAAGGCATTGTTACACTGGTGGGCTGTTTTCTTGCTTGTTTGCTTTCCTCTACTTCTTCTCCTTCTTCTCCTTCTCCTTCAGCTTTCTCTTCCCGAAGTGAAGTAGAGTATTATCTTCCTTGTCTCTTCAGACGTCCATTCTTTCATCCAACAATCTTTTCATCGTCCCCGCCAACGGAGACAGTCCTGTCATTCACAATGAGACTATTCGGATATCGATCGGCGGATACAACCCTCGGCCTGCTGTGGACACTGTCGTTCTTTGCGAGCACTTCGGCCGCGGTTTTAGGCCGAAGACAAGAGGTGGTTGTTTGTAGTGCTTCCGAGCTCAGATGCACCGTTGCTGGCGCTCCGCAGTTTTGTTGCCCGGCATCGCTGGTATGCCTCCATGCAGTCCATGTGTTGGGGTTGGTCACTCATACAATTTGATATTAGCAATGCGGGACTGTACGGAATTCATGCATCGATAAAGCGTCGCCGACGGGACTCCTCACCGCTAGCAATACCGTCGCCGATACCAAGAGCATCAACACATCATCACCCTCACCCAGCATATCATCCGGTGCTTACCCATCGTCACTCGCATCTGGGACTGCCAATCCCACTGCTACCGCAAGCACCGCCGCTGCGACCCTGGGACAAGACAAGTCCGCTAAACCACCCATCATCATAATAGCAATTGCGGCCAGCGCCGGTTCGCTCTTAATAATCACACTTGTCTCCTACTTCTGCTATCGGAAGCGAAAGCAAGGTCGGCAGATGCTGGCCGCATATGAGGATCCGAAACGGAAGCCTTATGGATCGGTCATTCTTGGGTCGGGCGAGAAGGCATTGTCTCTACGCGAATTGCCATCACCGCCGCCGACAGCACGTGCAACCCTCTCGGACGATGTACTGGCCATGTCCCTGAAACCAGCGGGCCTCAAGGAGACTGATCATGCTCCGACCGTCCAGGTTGAAAATCCAGCTGGGACCGTCGAGGCTGGCATCACTGTGTGCAAGCCATGTCTGAAGCCGGCGAGTTGTGGCGAGACCGAGAATGAAATGCAACTGGCCCCACCAATCGAGTTGCATCCGGCCTTTTCAAAGTTTCTCGAACCACAGTCTTATGATATCTACTCTCCCGAGAGCCCTGGATGCCTTCAGATGTCACCCCAAGAGGCGGCAGGGCCACTGGAGGATGGTGGACATACTGCCGGCAATGGAGACAACGGCTTTTGTCCACAGGAGTCTTCGCTTCCTCGGATTGAGACCCCTCCTTTTAACCCACCCCCACACACGCCACGCACGCCACTCACGCCTCAAGAGTACAACCAGGATATCTTCCAAGAGTATCTCCAAGATTTTCAGGAGGATATGGAAGAGGAGTACATTGAGGAGTCCCCCAGCATGTGGAATCAGCAGGCCGAGTTCCCAGCCCCAGGAGGACCACGTTTCAACAAGCAACGGGATTCCTATGCGGACACAGCCGACATCTACGCCTCCTATGCCCCGCAAGGTTCACTCGAGATCCATTGCCCGTCGCCGACCTACCCGCAGGACATGTCACTTCCGCAAAGACTCGAGACACCTAACCACTCGCCTCGTACTCCACCCCCACTGAGTCCACTCCGGGGCCATTGGTCTCAGCAGCCTGCTCCCCGCGAGTTGACGCCGCCGCAACGGCCGATGACTGCCCACATGACGCCGCCAACATTGCAGCCACAGCCCAGGTTTCCGGTGACGACTACGCCGCCCCCACCGAATACCCCGCCGCGGCCGAAGACGGCTAGTCCGTCCAGGCCGCCGAGAGGGCCCGATGTCTATGTTCCTCTCGAGATGGTGATCCATTATCCGCAGATGATCATGCCTCACGCTTTGTAGGCTGCATCACTCGGTCATTTCTCACTCTCCTTTCCCACGCACTCTTTCCATCATTATGATACGCACTAGCACTAGCATTTGATTTTCGGTTTTCGGTTTTGGTCTTGGTTTTGTTTTTGGTTTTCGGGGCGCGGTTGTTTTTCCTGTAATTGTTGTTTTTGATTTTTTTTTATCGCTCTGGCGCGTGAGGTTGCTTATTGTTTATTGATTATTGGGGACTCCGGGATCGGAGCGGACACACCACTACTAGTACTTAAGTAACTATGGGGAATGAAGATGAACGGGCATGTACGGAGGAGGTGTTGGATGGGGTTTGCACTGGTGGGTTTCGGTATTGGGGTTGGGGATCGGGGTTGGGCATTGGGGTTGGGGATCGGTCAATATTAGGTATCACTCGTTTTGGAAACTCGTTTCACCTACCAGATTTTTGTTTTGTTCATTCATTGATTGCAGGCGACCTATCTAGATCATGGTAATGTCTACCCGTTCACCCCCCCCCCCCCCCCCCGGTTTCTCCGCCACTGTCCAACCCAACTTTCATCAGGCGGCCCGATGTGGCTTTCCCTGCCCCCGCCGTGGCCTGTCCCAACAATGTATGAGCGCACCAAAGAAATGACATTAGGAAAAGACAACTTCCACTCCCTCGACTCGTCCCTGCCTCACTGCAAGTCACTAGTCGGCGCCGCTCCCTCAGCACCCTCCTCCTCTCGCCTCAGGTCCGCCTCCATTTCCTCCCGCTCCCTGAGCTCCCACTCGGATACCCCACTCGCTGCATCTTCCTCCGTGGCCTCTGGCATCCGTCTGCCCACACTTTCTGAAGAGGTGCTGGTGCTCGAGTCTGTGTCTTGTACGTAGCGGCATCATCCATCCGCAGCGGGCGTCTGGGCATCCGGGCGGCTTTTCGTCCACTGGAGGTACTCTAGGTACTGGACGGTGAGGCTGTGTCCTGTGGTGCTTGAGTTGGTAGAATCTCGATTCTCGAGCCGGGCGCTTGCGGGCCGAGCTGGATTTGCGGCAGGTCTCTGGCCGGATTTCCGGCTGTACCGATGGATACTTCTTGTGAGTGTGAGTGACTCTGCTGTCTGCAGCCCATGCCTTGGCTTCCTTCCATTTGGCTTTCGAGATCGATCCCGCGCTTCAGATAGGTAGGGCAAGCGATGGGGGTGGCGGATGTCTGGTGGCAGACCATCCAATAGTTAGGTAGTCAGTTGACATGGGAACACTTGGTTTAAACTTTAAACAGGTCAGTTTTGGTTGATTTCGTTCTCGGTTCAGTTGGGAACAGAGGCTGTCATGTCAGTTCCCAGTTGGTTTAGGTATATGGGTATGCCTGGCAGTTGTTCCCGCGAAAACTGCCAGCCAAAATGGGCGAGATATCTAGGCTCCCATGGTCACGGGAACAGCGGTCCCTAGGGTACAAGGAATGCGGCACTGCCGTATTAACTAAATGGGCACGAGTTAATACGGCCTCGGAGGATGACAGTCAAACGGCTCTAAAAGGGCTCCTAAAAAGGCCCTAATCCGGCTATTAAAGGGCTCCATAGGCTTAAGGGCTCCATAGTCTAAAAAGGCTCTACATACAAGGGCTCTAAAATGGCGCTGTCACTGATACGGCTATAAAAGGGCATAGTTGATAATATGGCTAACCTCAACAATTACTCGAGCGCGAACTGCTGCTTGAAATTGCTGTGGTTCTATGTATGATAGCTACTGCTGCTCACCCCATATATATTCTCCCCTCCCATCCTCTCCCCGCATTTCCCCGCCTCTCCCCGCCTCTCCCCGCCTCTCCCCGCCTCTCCAGCCTTCACCCGGGTACCTTAGCACATATTCAACATGACCGGCGTGCTGAATAGACATTCTGTTAGTACCGGGACAGTGGGTATTCGCAGCGAGCTAGGTCTAGGAGCGCAATACGTACCTGCTGCAGGAAGACCAGAGGCGAGGGCGAACGACGGCGAAGGGAAATACTGTGTGGTGGAGTGACAGAGGAGGAGGGCTCGGCGAGAGGTGGGGCCGTCAGCAAGATGAGAAGTTGTTAGCAAGAGGAGAAGCGTGAGGAAGAAGTGACGGAGGAGCTGTTAGCGAGAGGGGTAGGGTGAGGAGGAGCTGCCATCGAGAGGAGGAAGTGAAGGAGGAGATTTTTGGGAGAGGAGGAGCTTTTAGCAAGAGGAGGAGCGAGAGTAGTTGCGGCGGGAGGAGAAACTGTCGGCGGGAGGAGGAGGAGCTGTCTGCTAGGAATGAGCTGTCTGCAGTGCAAGAGGAGGAAGTGATGAAGGAGGAAGTGATGGAGGAGGAAGTGATGGAGGAGCTGAGGGTGCCACCGTGCCGGTGAGAGGATGACGTAGTGATGGAGGAGCCGTCAGCGTGAGGAGGAAGTGAAGGAGGAGATGTTCGCGAGAAGGAGAGGAGTAGCTGTTCACGAGATGAGGAAGTGATGGGATAGCTGTCAGCGAGGGGAGGGAGTGGAGGAGGAGATGTTCGGGAGAAGGAGGAGAGGAGGTGTTGTTGGCGAGAGGAGGAAGGGAACTTGGAGGAGCTGTTCTTGAGATGAGGAAGTGATGGAAGAGCTGTCGGCGGGAGGAAGCGCATGTGGTTAGTAGTGGCTGCGGGCATCAACATTGGTGGGCATGGCTGGGGGAATGTCGGGGGATACGCATGGTGGGTCGACCGAATAAGGAGAAAATTCTCCATTTATAAATCGAACCCTATTCATCACTCGAGCCGGAAGCCTAATGAGCGGTAAGGGATCGTTTTACCAACGGATGCCCGAAGAGAGTGGTGGAGAGACATTGCATTTACTACTAATCGCCAGTTTACACCTAAACGCCAAATCAGGCTTCTGTCCAATTGACATATTCAGCATTGGCAGCCAAATTAAGTATAAGAGCCCAATTTGACTATCGTAAACTGGCCGCAATTATTGCCAAACGCCTATAGGCTCAGCTTAGGCCAATTTACTAGCAGAAGCCTGAAATACCAGAGCAAATGAGCCGCATTTTGTGTCAGGAGCCGGTTTACAAGCAGGCTCGCATTTACTCAATAGCGGCTTGCCGCATTCCTTGTACCCTAGGGGGTGGAAAATGGGTTCAGTAGGTAGATACTAGATTTGAATTACTACTCTAATGCTACATACCTACCCATGGGAGCACAGCGATTGAACCTCTTGACGGCGCAGAGTCAATTATGGTTACTGACCGTGTAAACATGCACCCGAGTCAATGTGAGTCAATCAGGATTATTGACTTGGGACGCGCCAGGGTCAATTACGTTTATTGACTAAACGTGTCCCGGGGTCAATCGGAGTCAATCACGATTATTGACTCGAGATGGCACCCAGTCAACCACGGAGATCGATATCGTTGGCTTGGATACTCTCCAGAGCTTCAACACTCTCGGTATGATACCTAGTGAATGCCGATGATCAGTCAGAATCATCTTGCCCGAGGAGAACAGCCGTTCAACCTCAGCCGGCATGGCTAGCTAGAATAGACAGACTGTCAATGGCCATTCGGTTGAGGTTAGGTAAATGACGTTGCTGCCGCGGTTCCAGCCACCATTTGATCGCGGCAGGACGGTTTCGAACATTCCTCTCGACAGGTAATGAACAATACATAGTCCCGAAGATTGTCAACCGGCGGCGTCCTACTGGGCGCTGGGTTAATAGGTAGTAGCGACATATTGCGCTTATTTAGAGGAAGCAGGATGAAGAATAATACTTTCATGATCGGACACGATCGAATACACTGCGAGTGAACAAAAAAAAAGAGTTGCATTTTCTCAGATGGCCAACTGCGAGTCCGACACACTGGTTGTGGAAGGAAGCCCCGAGGGTGGGTGTTGAGGTTTCCAACAACATAATCAGCCGTTCAAACCTTGCAGCTGCACACTTTATCCCCGCGCTTCGAAATGCTCCGCAATATTGATCCCGGGTTGAAGGGTTTTGTCATGGGGGAGCACTCGTCGAACTGCATCTAATTGACACTGAGGCTCGCAATTAGAAACATCTAGAGTAAGTCTCCGATTACCGGCTATTCTGGTTTCTCACTGCCCACGTCGCGTCGAGGAACTGTTCAAAGCTCTGCCTGTAAAGTACATATCATATGATAAGCAATCGCTTACGGCGCGTTCGATCAATGAATGTGTTGTCCCAGCACCGGCGCCGCTGCAGCAATAATTCACCATCCATACCATCCATCGACTGGTAGAGTCCTCATCATAGTCCCTATCATAGTCCCCCTACTAACTACTCTATAGCGCATGCGTGTGCAACCTGTGCGACCTGATGCCGATCATCCCATCCCGTTCCAGCTAGTTAGCGACGTCCGTCCACACTCCCAACGCATCTTCCCCCCGGAGGACGACACATCGACACGTCTTCCTCCAGTCCTCACACGCGTCTCGCCCGCTTGCTCGCTCGATCAGGTCCCCCTACCTTCGGGTCTCTACACATCCACATCCGCATCGTCGTGCGCCGGCCGAGCCACTCCCACGTCCACTCTCTAGCCACGCTCTCTGCGAAAGCAAGATCAAGAACAAGCACGAGGCTGAACGCCACTAGGGTGTACCTACTCTACTCGGTCTTGCCGCCGCGCGCCGCTTTCGCACAAGAGCTCGTGGCAATTTGCGGATCAGCCTCTGCGACTACTCACACTTCACACGCCGAACTTCACACGCCGAGCTCCCCACGACACGGTACGGGACTACTGTTGTTGGCTTTTCCGCACCCACACTCGCTCGCTCCGTCGCCGGCACCACCACCACCGACAGCCCGCGACACGACCCGACGGCAACGACCCGACGGCGACGACGACTGCGACGACGACAGCAGCGACATGAATGATCCAATGATCTACTCACCGCCCGCACCAGCCATACCGGCAGACATACCGGCCGCCGCGCACGCAACACACTCCCACTCGCACTCGCTGGTGATACCAGACTCGGAGGCCGACTCGGAGTCTGACCTGACGGAGCTGTCGGAGCTCTCAGAGCTCTCGGAGGTGTCGGATCTCGAGGGGTACAATACCGACGAGTATGCGAAGGAGTTTCCTGTCGGTGTTGATGTTGATGGAAATGTTGTTGTTGATGGCGATGGCGATGGCGATGTGGATGTGGATGGCGACGACCACGACCACGACGATATCTGGGAGTCCGAGAGTATTTTTGATGATGTCCTCGATGAATTGACGGCTGAGGAGATCGGAAATGGTATGTTGTTACTGCTGGCTGGCTGGCGGGCTGGCGGAGGAGAGGGGGGGGCGGGTTGTAAGGAAGGAGGGATTGGGGCTGAGGCTGATGTGCGCAATTAGATGAGGAGGCCGTTACGGAGGAGGAGAGGACGCAGTTGAGGGCCCTGCTCAAGCAGACGGGCGAGGAGGGGTTCATCCACGCCGTCATTGTCAAGGGAGGCATGTCCGTACGCAAATGCTTGACGGCGTTCAATGTTCGACCGGTATGTACTCCAGTGCTATTTCTCGGAGAGAGTGGTGGATCGGCCATTGCGGTGGCGGGGATCGCATTATGCCGGTGGAGCGACTCGGAGATGTTCATATCGAGATTCCTAACTCGACTTGTCTGTGACAGCCTGCTTTCATGGAAGATGCTCCTGATAGGTCTCTCGTGGGCTTACTACGAATCGTTGTCGGCCGCGAGATGATGAAGCGGACACGGATTCCGCAGGTCAATACCGTCGAGCGCGTTGTAGAGCTTCTGAGGGAGGCCAAGAGCATCATCGTTCTTACGGGAGCAGGCGTAAGTGACTGTTTCTTTCGGTTCGTGGAGACGGTCCATTGACGGGCACTAGATTTCGACTTCGCTCGGAATCCCCGACTTCAGATCTAAGGGAAGCGGTCTCTATTCTCGGCTCGAGGGGCTGGGTCTCAGCGACCCACAGGAGGTGTTTGACATCGACATATTCAACGACGATCCGACAATATTCTACTCTGTTGCGAAAGACATTCTCCCCACGACAAAGACGTTCTCGCCAACCCACGCGTTCATCGAGTTGTTGCAAAAGAAGAACAAGCTGCTCACACAGTATACCCAAAACATAGACAACCTGGAGATCCTCGCCGGCATCCAGCCCGAAAAACTGATCCAGTGTCACGGCAGCTTCGCGTCGGCCACGTGCGTGAAATGCAAGCACAAGGTTCCCGGCGAAGAGATCTTTCCCGAGCTTCGTCGCGGCGTAGTAGCCAAGTGTGACAACTGCCTCAAACTCCTCGCGGAAGGCAGCGCCGCCGAGAAGAAACGGAAGCGTGCTAAGAGCGCGGAGGAATGGCGGAAGAAACGCAAGCGCGCGAAGAACCCCGAGAACTGGACCAAAAAGAAAAAGTATAGCGAGGACAGCTCCGCCGACGAGGAGGAGAGCAATTTCCGCGAGGCGGGTGTCATGAAGCCGGACATTACGTTCTTTGGCGAGCAGCTCCCAGATACCTTTCATAAGCGTCTCGTCGACCATGACCGCTACAAGTGTGACCTTCTCATCTGCATCGGCACGAGCCTCAAGGTGGCTCCAGTCTCGGAAATTATAGGATTCTTGCCGCCAGATGTCCCGCAGATTTACATCTCGAAAACTGTGAGCTCCCCCCCTCCCCCCCTCCCCCTCAAATACGTTGCATACACTAACAGACCGCAGCCGGTGGAGCATGTCGAATTCGACGTGGAGCTGCTGGGCGAGTGTGACGGGTGCGTCGCGGAACTCTGCCGTCTCGCCGGCTGGACACTCCAGCACGAAATGGTCCCGGAAACGCGTCCAGAAGTCGAGTGGAAGAGGGTCTCGGAGGGTCCTGGAAATCGGTTCGAGTACACAATCAGGGAGAAGGAGCATTTGAGCTAGCTACTTAGCTAGGTGATACATGTGTAGTTTTCCTCTTTCTTTTTTTCTAGCTTCTTTTTCTGGCTTCTCTCTTCTTTCTTCTTTCTTCTTATTCTTCTTCCTTTTTTCTTCTGGCTGCGTTGAACTCCTGAGTAAACTGGGTGGATTGGGTGGATTGGATGGATTGGGTGGATGGGATGGAGTTTCTGATCGGTTGGCTTGATTCTGTCGTTCTGTCTGTGTCGTTGTCTGTCGTTGTCTGGCTTGCTTGCTTTTCGTATGTACTTGTCTACCGATGTCTGGTCTTCTTGTTATCTTGTTCGGTTCGGTTCGGTTGTTCTTAGAGTAGGTATGAGCACATTGATATCTGGTACCTACCCCACCACCACCACGTTTGATCTGGGGAGGGAGGGGGGTTTCATGAATGTGGATCCGACCTGTCAATGTCTATGTCTAAATCATGATGCGCGCACTCTATATGTAGTAGGCACCCTGTCTACGTCCGAATAACCAGGTTGAGGCAGCGATCCACTTTCCCTGCCCCCGCGCTCGTGTGAGTCGTGACTTGGGTTTGTTTGGTTTGTCGTTAATTGCTTGCGACCCATCCAGGTAGATGATGGCAATATACACACTCCGCTGCTATACCGGTATAATTAGAGTACACTGTCCAACCCGGCGTTCATCAGACGGGCTTGGACTTGCTCTATCGAGCCCACAGCTAGAGTAAAAAGCGCACGAGTGATATTGATAGTGATATGCAATATGCGATACCTATCCGATGCGTAATGTGTGATCTCGCAGGGGGGGGGGGGGGGGGGTTTACACTTGAAGCTTGACACTTTACAGACTACTCAGGGTATTGTACTGTACAGTACATAGGCGGAGTGTTTTTTCAACCCCCGGGAACTGGAGACCACGAACCCGAGTGATCTCCAATGACCAGACTATTTCCGTCACCGGTGACCAAGGTTTAGAGTATCGGTGTATCAGTGCGACAAGTGATCACTGACAGTGTGATTCAGGCGAGCCTGGGGGTGAACGTGGATGTGCGCCGTGATCAGTTCGAGCTTTGGATTGTGCGTGGGGTTGTGGAGGGACGATCTGGCGGCCGGTAATGACGGCTAAGTATAGGTCCAGGCGTCCCTACTCCCGCCGACTCCCGACTTTCGAGTTCCGGGGGCACAGTGCACAGACAGTGCACACCCCACGCGGTGGGGGCGGGGCGGGACGGGACGTTCTTGATGTTTTGATGCTTCTTATGTTTACAGTTTGGGTTTAAAGTTTTGTGTTTGTGTGCTCAGGCGCTCTCGCGGTTGTTTGCGTTTACTACTACCTACTACTACTACAGTACTACTACCAGGTAGTAGATTTCGATGCCTGAGTACACACCCATCGATGCCTGAGTAGAGTACCGGTATAGTTATGTCGATTGTCGATGCCCAAGTGGCGAGTGCATAATCATATCGATGCCCGAGTGGCGAGTGCACAATGTAGGTACTGTACACCCGCCGGTCGAGACTCGAGAACCTAGACTCGTGGGTTTCAACTTTCGAGGCTCTACCATACGCACGTACTCTAGGTAAGAGCGGGCTTCGGGTCGGGCTGGGCTGAAGGTGGAGGTGGAGGTGAAGATGGCTCCGGCTTCGTCTTCGGCGTGTTCTCGCTTGCTTTGCCGGACGATTCTCGAGTCCCGAGTCCCGTGTCTAGACATGGGAGTTAATCTATGCACATAGGGGCGGGGTGGTGGGGCTACCAGTTAGGTATATTGTACTCCAGGGAAGCGGCGAGCACTAAGATCCTGCAAATCCACCGCACCCGCTGTTGGAACTTGGAACCTGGAACTTGGAACTTGGAACTTGGAACTCGGAACTCGGAACTTATGTAGAACTTAGAACTTGGAAGTTGTAACTTCCGCCGAGGGGGTGTGGTGCAGCATGCTTCGGCGGATCTCGGCGGATCTCGCCCTCGCCCTCGCCTCTCGGAAACGAAACGAAACGAAAACCGCCGCACTGTACTGTACTGCAGCTCGCCGACCGGATATTTCTACCTATCTTCCACTATACTTTCCGTGCTACGAAGGGCCGGGTCGGAATGATTTCGGCGTGTTTCCCCGCCGCCCGTGGAGGGGGTTTCTCGGTCGTATGTAAGGTTCGGTGAGCACTACATGGCACAGAGTGCTGGAAAGTATCGCCCTTCAAACTCGACAACCGAAAGCGAAGATCTTTCAACCTCTTGGGGATTTGGGATTTGGGGCTTGGAAGTTGGAGCTTGGACTCTTGGAGCGAGTGATGGCTGTGTTCTTGTAACTAGGACTAACTAGTTTTTGGCGCTCCAGTGACGTCTGATGGCTACCTGCTTGGTAGTAGAGATGGCTGCTGCCTTCGAAAGTCGGTGAAGGCCGGTGGTTACTCTAGTTAACGACCAACCGACCTATGGCGACCGATGGCGACCGATGGCGAATAGGCAGCAGCGATAGTAGTGGTGGAGGCTTAGCTACCGGCACCTACTCTGTCACGGCAGCATGTGGCTCCGCGCATGCACTCTATATAGGTAGGCAGAGTGGAGTACATCTGCGTCTTTCATACATGAAGATCCTCACTCTTGAGCCTCCGCGTCGACGTCGGCGTCGGCGGTGTTGATGGGGGTTACGCATTGGATAGATATCGGCATCACCACTCCCACGCATCACTCCCGCCGCTGCTGCCTGAAGACACGATCCAACCTAGCTCGCTAGTTACTCGTCAACCGGCGACGCGGCTATTCGCAACAGGAACTCGGACACATGTGAGTTTCTCTGTACTCCGGTTACTTTGCAACGGAAAATAAGTCTGATTGATCATTGGGTCGCAGCCGAGGGGTCGATGTAAGATGTGTGTACTCTAGAGTATGTGCGCCGGCCAATAAAAAAGAAAACTGCGGGGGGCGCAGTGCAGCCCATCACTCAGGTCGCTGCAGTATTGGAAAGCACCTCGAAAAGAGTCAGGGGAGTGAGGGGAGGAGTGAGGGCGAGGAGTGAGGTGCTCTAGGCAGCCACCGTGGGAGGGGTGAGGGAGCGAGGAAGGGAGCAGACAGGGAACGCGACGACGTTGCGGCTTCACGTCGACTGCGACTCGTGTTCGCCGCGTCGTGATAGGTCCGCGAACGGAGAGATGTTGCAGAGTCGATGGCGGCCGTACAAAACTTATTCGTATCCTGCGTGGCCACCACCACCACCACCACCTGCATCGCGAGGATCGATCCTCGAACTCGCAGTCTCCCACATCCCTCCATCCCTCCCCCCCACCGTACTCTACACCCCTGTGGAATGAGTCACTTTTTCTCGCACAAACCCTACGACGCACTAAACCCCCTCCCCCAAGTTCCATCTGCACCTTCCCCATGTACTGGTACTATACTTACTCTCGGCCGCCTGTCGTCTGGATGTTCCGGCACACAAGTTATTTTCCCTCGCCAGAGAAACGATGCGTACGCCGTACATAGTTACAGTCTTACGCCTGTGGGCTCTGTGTGCGCGGTCTGGGGAAGATGTGCGCAGCTGTTTTGTCTTCACCCCCACTCCTGTGCGGGAGACTACGGTAGAGCACTCAACACCGGAGCAAGTTACTCTACCTAGGTGCCCATATCCAGCGCCACGCCGGCGTGCTCCGAGGGTTGGCCTTCTATCCCTCTGGCCAAAACGGCTCTCTCTTGCCGACCGCCCGCCGGTCGAAACTCAGCCCGACTGTAGGTAGAGTGTGTACCACTTCCACCGGCGAGCTGCGAACTCTGCTGCTGCCGTTTCCCTGCCAGTGCACATTTTCAGGCCGGGCGGGCGGGCAGTGTGGGTGTGCGCAGTGCAGGCAGCTGTGGTAACCTCTACTCTATAGTCTAGGCTATCTGGTTAGTGGACAGTAAGACCAGGAAGTTGTGTGCATGCTTTCCAGTGTGTGTGTGTGCGTGTGTGCGTGTGGCCTGCCGGTGGAGGAGGAGGATGAGGATGTGGTGGAGGATGAGGAGTTGGTGATGGTGGTGGTGGTGGTGGTGGTGGTGGTGGTGGTGGTAACTAGTGGTGGTGGGTTAGAGTGTGGGCTTGGAGTGTGGGTGGGTGGGTGGGTAAGCCCTTCCTTTGACTTTGGTTGGGTCCCACGCCCGAGCAACGCGGTTGCTGCCTGGCCTCGCTTTGGCCCTGCGTATAAGTATTTGACTCATCCCCCCCCCCATTCACGTCCCCTCTTCTTTTTTTTCCATCACACCAACATCCCACACCACGCATACATACCCAACATACAAGTATATTTCTGGCCCATCATGGACGCCTAATCAGGAACCACCGTTCCCCGTAACCCCCCACCCAACCTTTTCAAGAGTAACTCTGCAACCACGCATTCCCCAGAGATCCCCGGATTTCTGTCTTCAACACCTTCGCTCCGCGACCGTACCCCGCTACAGACAGCAACCATTCTTCCCCCGGAAGTACCCCCCTTTAACGACAACCTCCAATCATGGCCGCCCCACACCCCTCAGCTCCAGAGGCATTCGCCGCAACTTCAACAACATCAACATCAACAACAAGAACTCGATCACCCTCCAAGTCCCAGCACATCCATCAGCTTCAACGACCACGTGCTCTTTCCGGCGCACCCGTCTCCCAGATCGACCCCTAGTCAACAACAGCTTCGAAACGCATCTCTGCCCCAGAACCGTAGAGTAAGCGAAATCGTTCACGGTCTCGGATACACCACTTCGCCGTCTTCATTCAGCCATCGGTCTTCAGTTTCTTCCTACCCAGCAACTTCCACCCAGCCCCAGCTCCTGTCGGACAACGTACACCAGCAGTATCAGCCCGACGCTACTTCGCCCCATCAGCCCCAGCAGCAACTCTCGCCTATCCTCAATCCTAAGGTCGCTGCGAGATACTATAATCGGATCGCTCCTCACAGGTCTGCAATGACTCAAGGTAATATAATACCCGCCTCGCTCGCTGCCCCAAACACTTCCTCTTCTCTGCCATCCTCGCGACGCCCACCGCAAGAAACCATGGAAATGAACATGAATATGATCATGATGGTTAACACACGCTGCTATCCAGATCAGACCAAATTCGTCGATCCGGACGTGTGGAACGAGGATCTGTGGGCACACGATCTCGCCGCCACAGGCTCTGAGTTCTCCCCCAACATCGGCAGCGTCGACATCTGTTCGGGAAGCACAGTATCTCCCTCGGAGATACTGATGAACAACCCCACAATGCCGACCCCGACCTTCTCGTCTCCGTACCTCTTCGACTCACCGTCGGAGGGGTACGAGACATCACCTCTCTTTGGCGTCGATGACGTTTCCGACAGCAACGGCTGGTTCAGTCTCTTCCCCGACACCAACCCGGACTCCGAGGAGCCTGGTCTCGTCACCCCTTCACAGAACCACCACCACACACAGCACTCGCCCCACCAGAACACTGGTGACGAGATGATGGAGGAGGAGGACTCGCGGGACTCATCCGACTCCCCCGGGACCTCGCCCAAGTTCTCGGGTTCGTCCCGCGGAGAGAAGCGCTCCTCCACCTCGGGCATCCGCAAGCGCTCGATGCCCCTCCCTCCCATCGTTGTCGAGGACCCCAGCGATATCATCGCTATGAAGCGGGCCCGCAACACTCTCGCCGCGCGAAAGTCCCGCGCCAAGAAGGCCGAGAAGATGGACGAGATGGAGGTCATGATTGAGAGGTTGCAGGCTGAGGTCGAGCACTGGAAGAACATCGCGCTCAACAAGGAGGCGATGTGAACGATCGGGGAGTTTTTATTTATTTATTTCTTGCACATAAAAGTTTCCTTTTTGTTTCTTTCTTTCTTTGGGTCGCTATTTATCTGGTGTGCTCTCGACTTTGGTCGTTCTTGCTTCGAATTTCTCTTCCGGTGTTCGCTATCATGCGTCTTTTAGTTGTTTTTTTTGGATGGAATTGGAAATCACGTCTTCTTTCCCTTTCCTGTTTCTGTGACGGCCGTACCTACCTATTTCTTGTTGTGGTTTCTTCTTCTTTTACCTTCTTCTTTTACTCTGAGGGTGCCTCCATGGCGGGGCTGCAAATGCGAATGAAAACATTTTGCAGAAACTATCGCTTCCGTGCCTGCCGTCTAGAAGATACTAGTAGTAGTCCACCTAAAGTAAGAACTACTCTAGTATAGTTACCGTGAATCGACGATCGTGAGGTTCGTTTCTAGCGAGGCGGATGATTTTTCAGCCGGACTGTGCTCCGCCGCTATGGAGGGATGAGGCGTTAACTCTCAGCGGCTCGGCGGGTGCCTGAAGCTAGAGTGTTGGACGACGGACGACGATGATGGCGATGATTTACTTCTAGATCGTTGCGTGGGTATTAGGTATATATTCGGACGGCCACTCCACTAGTACCACCCAGCCTGTCCGGATACCCACACAACCATCTGGGTAGGTAGTAGTCATGCGTACCTAAGAAGTAAGAGGTACCTGCTCCAGAGTCCTACCAGAGTATGAATATTCCCAGATCTAGGTACAGATTTAGGCACAACGACAGACATAGTGACAGAGGTATGTAGGCGCAGAGACAGAGGTACATACAAGGTGGAGTATGTAATGTAATGTAATAGGAACCACAGACCGAGCGCCTTCTCTGCCTGGAGCTACTCAGGTACCTAGTCTGCAAATTCCCCCGCGATTGACGATGAGGCCAGGAGGTGAGGAGATGCGGCATCGTGGGAAGGACGAGAGTGTGTACTCCACTTTTTGTTTTGTTTAATCATCATTTCATTTAACCTTATTAGATCATGGCGGATTACATATCCTTTTCCACCCGGCTGTCACCGAGAGGGGGATTCAAGTAAATATGTACCATGAGCGGTCACTCCGCATCAGCGAGTGATATCCATGAACCATCAGCCCGCCCACCCACCCGCCAGCCCGCCCATCCTCCCTCTCTCCCGCCCGTCCGCCCTCCATCCCTCCAGCCCTCCCGCGCACCTCACACCCGCAACGTCGTCCATAAGATCGGTCAGCCTAGTCTAACGCTCTTCTATTCAATTATTCAAACTTCAAAGTCTAAAATCTATCATCTATCCATGGTATGTACTCCACTCAATGACTAGAAACAACCCTCGAAAACACCGTCCATCTAACCAACCAACCAACCAACCAGCCCAGCCAACCAGCTGAAAGAAACAATGGAGCCAAAAGCCTTCCAAAGCCTCCTAAAGAACCAAAGAAAGGAAAAAGAAAACCGAATGCCATTCATTCATTCATGCACGTACTTGGTACCCTATCCAGTACCCTATCCTATCTATCTATCTAGCAAGCCGAAGAGAGCAAGCACATTTCACAAAGATCGTGGGCAAAATCCAAACATCATGAACCGTAAAAACCAAGATCAAACCCGAAAAAGAAAAGAAAGAAAAAACAATCCAAAGAAAACTCAATAAAACAAAGCCCATTTTCCTTTGCCCCACTCTCGTTACGCCGGTACCGGTATGTCAAGTAAAGTAAACAACACAAATCTCAGCAACAACCCAGAAAAATTCCATCTAAAAGAAGCACATGGAAACCGACAAGATCTCGACGGAAGTAAAGACGGAAGAGTAAAGTGAAGTAACAAAGGAACAGGACAGAAAAATCAAACACCGCTGCCTTCTAGCCACTCATCGTAGCAGAGCTCAGCGCCATCCGCGCCCTCGACCGCCCAGGGCTCGACATCATCCAGAAATCCCTCCATGTCGTCGCAGTATCCCGGCAGTTCTCGCACAAACTCGGCATCGAACGGCCCCTCCGTGCCAGCGCTCTCCAAGATCTGGCTGGCAAAGAGCGGTTCGAAGTCGACTGCTCTACTGCCGTCTCCGTCTCCGCCGCCGTTAGGGTCGTGCATGTAGTGGCTCGGCAGGAGCTGGTACTGGTCGCCCAGGAGCAGCGGGTCGACGTTGGAGTTATCATCGCCGTCGTCGAAGGCCTCCGTCTTGACGTGCGTTCGTGGCTGCTGCGGAATGTAGTGTGAGCCTGAACCCGGTGCTTGCGCTCTGCGGATGGTTACGTCTTCTATTACCGCACTACCATCAAGGTTTGAGATCGGGACGGCAGACGACGAGGCTCGGACCGTGGTTTGGTAGTATTGTCCCGCCATGTCCTGTGTACCCATACACGCCGGTGGGGTCTTCCCAGGGTTTGTGTGGTTGAAAGACGAGCGGTGGGCACCTCCCGCTTCGAGGTCGTAGGGGAAATTGAGGTATACCAATGAGTTGTTCCCCGCTGCTCCTGCTCCTACTCCTGCTCCTACTCCTGTTCCCACTCCTGCTCCTGCTCCTGTTGATTTCTGAGGGCGTTTTCTGCTCGCAGGGGGTTTCTTAGCAGAGGAGCTGGAGGCCGAACCGACGAGGGCGAGATCTAGGCCTAGGTCTAGGTCGTCGAGATCGGTGATATCGCCTTCAGCCCCGGCCGCCTTCTCTTCAGCAGCGGCTTTGGAACACTTGCGTTTGCGGGAGTTGTTTTGTGCTTTGCTGGGAGAAAATTTGTAACCGGGATGTGCGGCTTGATGGTTGAACCGTTCCAGTTTCGCCATTTCGTTGTATTTCTCCCGTACCGCTGGCGGTTCCAGCGGCCAACTCTCGCCACTGACGGAGGAGACCACTTGGTGGTTGTTCTGCAAGCACCACAACTTTGTGCGTTCGGCGTAGGCGGAACGGTACAGCATAAACGAGTTCATGGGCCGAGTGACGTATCCTCCTCGCTTCTCGACCTCCTGCCAGCGTGTTTCGGCCGACCGAGTGACCCAGCTCTCCATATTCCGTACGGGAAGGTGGTGGTAGTCTCTTGTTAGCTCACTCAACGGCTTGGTGAGCTTTGGCAACTTTAGTCTGTCTGCCTTCTCGCCTGGAGCCTTCCTTTTGCGTGGTGCTCGGACGGCTTTCGGTTTGGGCCCTTGTTTGTCTTTGCCGGCAGCGACAGCTGTGTTGATTGAGCCCGAGAGGGATTCCAGAACATCTTCAGAGGGTGTGGGTGATGGCAAAGTATGATCAATCTATTCGGTACGACGGGACGTCAGTATTGACCTATCGGAGCCCGTGCATATTGCAGGCGAAGTGTAGAAGTTGGAATTACTCTTTCCCATGCATCACAAACGTGATCACCGTTGTCCTGCAAAACCACACGAGATTAGCCCTTGCGAACGGAAGATCTGTTCGGTTAGGTTACACATACTCTTGAATCCATATAATGATGATCCGTCAACATATATCCCTCGCCGCCCTACACTCACAAGAGAACTGTAAGTGCCCATTTCACAATCCCAGCCGGGTGGTCTTCAATACCCAACAAAAAGCAAAAACTTACCATCAAATCATCATCCTTCAAGAACATGGCCGACCTTGGGGGGTTAAACAGATCGAACTGATTCACGTCGGATTTCCATTCCACCATTCCACCACCGTCCCCGTTGCGGTCGCAGAGACCCACAGGTAATGCCGGTGAATTTGACGTGCTGAGCTCGTAGTTGCTGTGCCGATCCACAATCGGCGAGCCTTCAAGCTTGTACGGTGTTTGGGCCGGGGAGTAAAAATATCCGTTCCCACCGATGTTCAGGTCCTGTGGTGTTGATGGGTGCGTGGTCTGCAGGAATGATGAGGAAGATGTTGATGATTGCTGGCCTGGCCCTTCTCCGGCGGTCGAAGATGTAGACGAGTTGGGCGGAGAGAGTCTCTCCAGATCCAATACGGGGTGGTGGTGGTGTTGGTGATGGTGGTGGTTGTGGTGGTGAAAGGAGGAAGATGAAGGTGTGTATGATGGGGCGTTGTTGTGGTCACTGGCCCGGGCCACCGTGTAATGGTGCGGCACTGCTGCTTCTATTTCCTCCGATGACATGGGATGAACTCGTGGTGTTTGCTGAATATGTGTATGTTCGCGGGATCGTGTTGCCAATCGGCTCGTTCAACCTCTATGCCAAACGAATGACGAACAAAGAGGCTGGAGCTACGATCGTCTGAGATGATAACAGTCGTGATGTCGATGTTATTCAGCCTGCCAGCCGGAAGTGTTGTGTGTGGGGGGGAGGGGGGGGGGGGAGTGTTTGGACGACGTATATATGCCCGTGAACGGGTGGGTGATGGCTGGTGGAGGAGGGTCGGAAGGGCGTATGGGGAGAGTGTGTGTGGGGTAAAGTAGTGAAAAGAGATGAAGGGGGGGTGGATTCCGGCCAGCTTTGTTGGGAGGGTGACCAGAAGGAAGGTAGGGAAGTGGATATGGAGGGGGGGAGGGCGGCGGGCGGGGTGTGAACTGGACAGTGCTCAGTTCCAATCCGGGGTGGTTCGCAGCAGCGTGTGATTGGTGTGACTGGGGCCAATACCTCTTTGTCGATGGAGGTCCGCCGTCTGTCGTTGTGCACGCTTCCTCTATGGAGCTACAGGGCTATTAAAGTTGAAAATGCGCACCCCCCAATCGGGCCCTACTAATAGCCGCGGTGGCTACCGCTACCACTTTTGACAGGCTTGGAAGGAGCGGACTTCTTCCTGTTGGGATGGATGGCCTGGAGGTAGTTGCAGATGGGATGGACGGATGGATGTGTGGAAGGTCGGGTGGATTGTCCTGACAGGTAGTGAGTTGGGCGAGGAGGGGGGGAGTGGACTGTCGTCAGATGTGGCTTCCTGCTGCTGCCCGTTGGGCGGGTGGGTGAGGGAGTCAGTCCTTCGTCTCGGAAAACCAGGTCTGGTGGATGTATTCCGCAATAAAAATCCCCCTTCCCCCCTCCCCAGCAACCTCACTTTAGGAAACAGAGATAGAACAGAAATTGAGCCACAGACACGAATCTACTCCCATCTGGCGACCCTCCAACTGGCTCCTACGATTCACTAAAATACCTCTGTTGTCCGATTGGCCAGACTCCACAGCGGGCAGAAGATGGTCCAAACCCAACAGCAGGCAGAAGGCAGAAGATGGTCCAAACCCGAAATCAATCTTGCAGGACAACTGGGAGTTATGCAATGCAGAAGCTCGAGCGGTGGGAGAGAGTGGGGGGGACGTGGATAGGTGCAGCTGATATTGGGATCTGGCGGACCGGTGCAATCGATTGGCCTACCGCAGGCTAACTGGTCCTTTTTTTCTTCCTTCTTTTCCTCCTTCCTGCTTCGGAGACGTTGGCTTTTACGCTCGCACGCAATGCAATACGGAAACACCGTGGCTTCCAGGTTGGTCGGATTAGATACTGGGACAGTATTGCATAAGATATATACCGGGCCAGAACTCCTAGTATCACTGGCCAAGTGGACGACTTCCAGTGGCAGTACTTCTAGTGATGGCCGGTACGGTGAGGGGGGAGTATGAGGAGGGAATCTCGAACGGGGGAAAGGAAACGGAAACCTCGCAGTGTGTGATTTCGATGCCGATACTCCCGCAGTACCTAGAACGATCACAGTATGTTTTGCTGCTCGGCCAGTTGTGTTGCTGTTGCAAAGGAACCTCGCGTTCGGGGCAGTTGAGTTAGAACGGAGCAAAACCCGATTCCTTCTTCGCCGACGCACTCTCTTCCCTCCTTCGCCGCTCCCGCAGCCCTGTGAGCCTGTGAGTGAGCTGCCCACCCCCTCCACAGAGAGAGCAGTTTCGTACTTCTTTGTTGCAGCGTCTCGGGCGGCAAATATCTGGGTTGGGTTGAGTCCCGTGAGAGGCGGGGGGGTGGGTGATAGCGGCGGTGTTTTTGCTGGATGATTCTGGTCGGTCGGGGGTACCAGCTTCTCGGGTTGAGAAGGTGGATACAGGCCGGGGCGGTAAGCAGGTACAGTCTTTGTTCGATTTCGTACTGACACCTGGGAGAGAGATGGGGGGAGAGAGAGGGAGCGTTGGACCTCGATCAGGATCGATTGGACATACCACACACTCCCCCTCCAGAAAGCACAGTTGGCGCACTCCCCCCCCAGATCTTCCGAGAGGATCGGCTGAGCGAGTATCCAAACGGCCGGGACATACATAGCCTATCTCGCCGATACGGTTTGGAGGCCGGAAGAACAGCACTCGCCGGCAAGGAGAAGGGAAAGGGAATTATGCCAAGGCATGAAGGGGAAAGAAGCGCCGATGGACACGAAATGTACATACATACGCGTAAGCGGGAGGAGCGGAATGGAGGAGGAGCTGAGTGCCTCCTCATCGGCGGTGGTGGTGGCGGTCCGAGCCCGCTCCGCCCGCTCCGCCCGCCCGCCCGCAGGACGTGTCTGGACTCAATTAACGGCCAGGCCCGACGATCAGATTACTTTTTCTGGATCTTGACCACGTGAATGAGTGCTGCATCGATCCACACCCATCTTAGATGCCCACTGTGGAACGCGCATTCCGCACGAGGGAATCTAGACATCGGGATATCTAGTGGCTCCACTCCAGTCAACCTTTCGCAGTAGCTGTGTCACATAATTATTATTTTTGGGCGTGGTCCGGATTTCGGCCACGGTACGGACCTTCGCCCCGGCTTCGATCCAGCGCACATACCTCTCGGAGAAGAACTCCCACCCCGTCGTAATCACATATCTGATTCAATCATTCATGGCGGAGGTGCAAATCATATCTCCCGCCGATACAAAAAACGGCCTAGAGAAAGGTGCAAATTTGACCCCCACCACACCACCACACGACCATGACCACCCACTTCACCCATCATCCACGCTCCGGACGAGATCCGTGGCGTGTACGGATGGAAGACGCAGAAGGCAGAAGAAGGGCCAATCCGATCCGTGGACGGAGGTAGGCAACATCCAGCATCAGCGGCGGCGGCGGCGGGGTGCTTTGCAGCTGCAGGATGCCGAGAGCCAGACATGCAGCGCTGATACCTATCGCTTCGGCTGACAGCACAGCTGTGCGGGCTGGTACGGGCTTGCGCAGGAATTCTGATCACGGGGGGTATCGGCGGGGGGAGATCCCGGGGGGATGTCGGCGAGGCAGGGAACATGCTACTGCCCTCCGTACAGTTTGCTTCCAGCCAGCCAGCCACAAAGGGCACCTGCACGACATCCACCCACCAACCCATCCACCCACCCATAAGCAGCCATCCAACCATCCAGCCAGCTAGCTAGCTCCAGCAGGGTCCAACCATCGGGGGGGGCACGCGCAGTGTGGCCGCACTCCGCCAACTACCACAAAAACGGCCGCAAGTTGCAACCACTGAACTGCACATGCAGCAATCTCCTCCCGCTCGTTCTCCCACTTCCCACCTGTCAACCAACGGCCTCTAGCTCTGGTCGGCAGCAAGTTCCCCTCACGGAAAAACCGGCCGGCCAGCACAAAGCCAGCCAGCCGGTCAGCCAACCAACGAACCAGCCAGCCAGCCAATCTGCCTGCAGACTTCATGTTCGTGATACACATCTCCTGTGGCCACAACGCACCCAAGCAGTTAGCACGAGCTCCAGCCCAGTGCTGGCACTTGTCTGCCCCCCCCTCACCCTGCATGGCCAGCTTCCACATATATAGTATAGATATAGGCAATCTGCCATCGAACTGCCGGCAGGCTCATGCTAGATACATGTGTGCCCCACCCAGCCTGGCAGCGTGACGGAGGTACCTGACAGTCGTGGTGTCGGCGGCGGCGGCGGTTCGTGGGCGCCGTTTGGCGAAGTGAAGTGAAAGATCCAACATCAAAGCTTAATTCGGCTATGCGTGATGCGTGTGCCTGTGCAATGCACATCACCATCACCATCCATATCACCACCGTCATCATCATTTGCATCTGCATTTGCGTGCTCACTCTCTTGGCAGGGACCCACACACACACACATGCACGTACATATCCCTGTGGTTTGTAGTTGCGGGGAGAGGGGGAAAGCATCTGGTTGGTTGGCCCGGTGGGCTTCGATGGAAGCCCATGATCACAGGCGTAGGAATGAGATCCGAAAGCTTCGGTCGTTGACGGAAAAATGTCAAAATCGGATGATTTTCTGAGCAGCAGAATGATGCTAAGCATGGGAGCAACGAACGGCGGAGGAGGGGGGAGGAACGAGGAAGGAGGACGGAGGCCGGAGGACGGAGAAGATGGAGGAGGGAGGGAGGGACTCAGGGAAAGTGCACATCGGCCATGTGAGGAGGCCCCTTCTTGCTGCAATCCTTGTGTGTTCTAGAACATCCAACCTCTCGGCGGGAAGGAGGAGGGAAGGAGGAGGGAAGGAGGAGGAAAGGAAGGAAGGAAGGTTGATTTGATCTACCACCACCACCCAAATAGTATATTGTATTTTCCCATTCGAGCCGCGGTCCGCAATTAGTGCAACACAACTCAACGACGCAACGCAACCTCCATCAAGCCTCTAAAAAAGTATGATCTAAGGTTTCTGGACTCTAGAGCTGTAAAACTGACAAGATATGAGACATCGAACGCCGTGATCTGTTTCATCCCAAACTCCCCATCTCAGAAATTCCCCACCCGTGACAAGAAAACATCGAAAACATGTCGTTGAAACTGCATCGCTGCCTATCTAAAGGTTATTAGGCAGAGGTCCTAATTCTGATCGGGCTCTCCAGTTGGTAAGTCCCTAGACGTGCCGCCGCCGCCAACATCTGCCATACCCAAGGGCGGTTTTCCAATAGTAGTAGCACTGTTCTCGATATCCATCGCGATCGGCTCCGTGAATTCGGAGTGTTTTGGCGAACTATTAGCAGTCACCGCCGAACCAACAGCTTCGTCGAACGGACCTCTGGCCTTTTCGGGCGAAGGAGGGCCTACCCGGAGCTTGATGATCTGCGGGCTGGGTGGCAATCCGTTCGGCTCTACCGGTCCCTCGCGGCTCTCCTTGTAGCGCAAGCACAGGTCGCAGATGAAGTCGGCATCCTCACCACCTGGCGGCAGTTTCACACACTTGAGGTGCTGCCAGACGTCACAGGAATCACAGGCGATGATGTTCGTTCCATCTTCCTAGAGGCAGACAGTCAGTATTCAGTTACGCAAGTGCTACTGGTTAGATCTTCAGCACTCAAGCATACATAGTTGATTCCGTGAGCGCCGCATACACAATCAAAGACCCAATCCTCGATCTTCTCCTCTTTGGGGGGCTCAGCTTTAGCTCTTCTGGACGACCTTCTCATGGCGGAGGATGAGGAGTCATCAGCAGAAGTGCCGCGACTGGAATTGGCCTTGGAAGTGATCATTGAGTGACTCTGCGTTTTGAGTCTCTCTTGCCTGATCCTCATTCTGATCGCTCGCTCCTGGATGACATATCAGCAATGTAAAGCATGTAATCCCCGTGTTCCCACGACAACATACCTTCTCCTTCTTTTCGGCCTCGAGTCTCTCCTTTCTCGCTGCAGCCGCCGCCTCAGCTTCTTTTTTCGCTGCAGCCGCCTTCTGCTCTTCCTCCTTCTGACGAGCAATCTTGGCGTCTAACCGTCCCGACCTCTTCCTGTTGGCAACCGCCTCCTGCAACTGACGCTGTTTCTCCTTCTCCAGCCAGGTCTTGGTCAAGTCCGGTACCACCTCTTCCTTAAGGTACGCCCGAAGTGCCTTCTCGTCCACATCCTTGGAGTTGTCGAAGCTACTGACGAAGACAGTCCAGTCGTGCAGCGAAACACATACACACGACCAGAGTCCACCGATGCTCCGCTCTTCCTCTCCGTCCTCCTCCGCCGTCGACACCCGACGTCTCTTGGCTGCCTTCCTCTTGGCTTTTGACTTCTTTGGCGGCGGCGGCGGCTCTGCAGTCCAAGGTGTGCGCCGATACAAGCGGTTATCATCGAGGATGTAGTAGGTATTTCCGGCCCTATCGTAACCCGCAGGCTCCATTCTCTGAGCAGACCACACGTTAGCGTAGCCCAACCCAGCGCACTTCGCCCAGCACGTTCCGTCCGATCCCACTTCGCAGCTGCACCCAAAAACATACCCACAGCAATTGCTCTTTCTCACCCGCATTCTTGACCTTATCCCTGACCCTCTCGGGGTGCTGGAATGCCCAGACGCTGAGCTGGTGCAGAATGCGCACGCGCGTGAAGACATCCAGCTCCACGAACCTTCTTGCGGCGCCCTCGGCCTCATCTCCGAACGGGTCCGGCATCCCCGGCTTGCGCGCGACATACTGGCGGCGCGCGTACTCCTCGAACTGCTCCGGCACGAGCCCGCGGTGCGACGATACCGCCCGCAGAAGGCCCATGCTGATCCGTACGATGATCTCCGACTGCGCCGTGAATAGCTCCGTCTCGAGGTCCTATGTACATATCGGACGGGTTAGCATTAACATAGTGGCGCGGGATATATACCCCCGCGGAGGAAGCGTGCGCGGTACGTAGGACTCACCTCGAGGCTGAAGGAGTCCGGAAGACCCAGCAGATCCGTGCCGAAAAGGTACAGGAACTGCCCCAGCGCGGCGAATTCCTCCAGGTTCCGGAGGCGCTCCAGGTCTGCCGCCGAAGACGGCGGTGGTTGTGTCGACATGTCCGCTGTGAGTGGGAGCAGTATGAGAAGTGGGTGGAGGAGGCAAAGTTGTCGAGTGGTGGGTGGAACTCGATGTTGTTGTTGTCTGCTGGGTTGGGTTTCCGAGCGCGTAAAGTATATAGTAGGTACGGTAGATATCTGGATCCCTCCCTCTCTTCCTCGGGCGGTGTCCGTCTGTAAGAACTGGCAATTACCTACTACTACCCCTGCTCGAAGTTATGCCGAAGTGGGTAGCCGAACGAAAGGGAAGAGAATTCGCTTAGGGGTCCTGAAGAGGGGAGGGGGGGAGATGTGATGGTGTGTGAGGGTATGTAGAGTAGAGTATGTGTGGAGGGAGGACGTTGACGTCGTGTGTCGGTGTCGTATGTAGCTTCGGACGGCGGCCGATCACTAGATAAGTCCAGGAGGACGCGCTTGAACCAGGAAGCACGCGATGTGTGTGGCGCTAATTAGCGTGGGGGCCAGAAAGTACTCTAGTGACATGTATGCTACGGTAGCCGTTCCTGTTGAAGGCTGCTTCATGGTGGCCCTGCTGGCTGGAAGTATACATGCATAATGCCCTTTAAAGATTCCCTGGAGGCAATTTGCCGGTTCGAAAGGCTGCAATGAACCATTCAGACTCCTTTTGATGGTACCAATGGTACTTGGGTACAATGTTACATCCAACCATGTGAATACACATACCAAGGCGCGTTGTCTGAATGGTAGAGTACGTGTTCCCTGGATGTCTTTGGCCGTCCAAGTTCTATGTACATACTGAAGAATGACTGCATCTAGAACTCAAGCGTAGAAGATCTCACAGCTTCAAATTTCAATCGCGGTCCTGTATCATAGATTTGCACTCGCGATCTGCGGTATCTTCTGAACAGTACCTACCGTAGTTCAACAACAGTCCTCTAATAATATTGAGCGTGCCACAAATTTATCATTCCTAATCGTCCTCATCATCATCCTCGTCCCAATCCCCAAAGATCTTCTTAAACACCTCCTCCGACGCCTTCTCTGCTTCCAATGCCTCATTCTTATCGGCGTCCACCTGCAGCACAGCCGGTGGTTTGACCGTTTCATAAACCGGCGGCGCTATTCCAGCGCTGCTACCACCAGCACTGTAGCCCGGGGCCGCTGATTTCGCCTGATCTGTGGGGGCCGTGGTGGTACCCAAAAACTGCACATTAAACCGCTTGCACAGCAGCCTATTGGGTGCAAACTCGATGATGCTTCGAGTGAGGGGCCCATATATGCCAAGCTTTGCGGCTGCTTCCGCAGGGTCCTCCTCTTTCGCGGCGGGACGGTGGAGGAGCACGTCCGAGTCGAGCCCACGGTCCATGTTCCCCTGGATGTTTGATGCGAAGGTCGAGGTCGTGAAGCGTGTGGCCATTGACCCGGTCAGTGGCTTGAAGATCCGCGCTGCGCCAACAAATTCGCCCATCTCTTTGGCCCAATCTTGTGTGTTCATGCCGTATTTCTAAGGGTGTCAGCGACGGTGGGGTTGATGGGGGAGAGGTGATACTCACTCTATCGGGGAGGCCTTCTTTGAGCCCAGCCTTTACTTCGAGAAATGACCTGTACCGCGCCTGTTTGTCCGGGTCGTCGCCGTACGGCATGTATCCACCATTCAGTGCCATTATTGCTGCTTCCGAGTCCAGCGGCGGGACTATATCTGCGATGGAGGGGCGGGCAGCGGAAACCGGGGCTTCACCGAGTCCCTGGGGAAGGTTGGTTTTGCCGGTGAGATTCGCGATTCTGTTGCGGGCATCGGGAGTCAAGAAGTCAAAGACAGACTTTCCAGGCAGAGGTGCTTCCCCCAATAGAGCCCCGCGCGCTCTGGGATTTAGACTTGCGGCCGCCTTGTCGGCAGTGGTGGATGCGGCGGTTGGCGCGCTCGCCTCTTCTGGCGTCCCCTTCCAGCCGTCTGGAACTACCGGCGGTGGATAGCGAGGTTCGGCCAGCTGCACGGAAGCGTCCGAGAGGATGAAGCCTGGTATTGGCAGTCGGCCATCGTGGCACTTGCGCGCCGTTTGGTAGCTCTTCAGCGTTGTCCCTTTCTTGGGGACAAACACGTGCTTTCCCACCGACGGCCGAGCCACAGGGTTCTTCTTCTTTGGCTTGTCTCCTCCGATGACCTTGTTGTACGTCCACTTTGGCCGGATCTCGTAGATGTCTTCTTCATCTTCCCCGTCGTCGTTGAGCACACCGACTCCGAACGCGGCACCGGAGGCTTTCTTGGGCTTCGACGTCGATGGTCTCGAAGCAGTACCAAATGCAATCTCCTCATCCTTCTCCTCCTTCTTCGCAATCGACTCTTCCTTCGCGTATCCCAGCCCTTGGGAGTTATCCTTGCGCTTGAACGCAATCAACCTCGAGTTCTCGGGCGCAAACAAAAACGCCTTATCTTCCTTAGCCGCGGTCGCCGCCAGGTCACCATCGAAATCCCTCGCCCTCCTCAGCGTCTTCGGGCCAATCCCCTGGCCCTCCTTCCATCCCATCTTCTTGAGCAGCTTCGTCCCCATCGTATCCTGCATAGCGGGCACCAACAGATCCATCAACGATCTCCGCTGGCCAACAACATCCTCCGTCCCGCCGACCCCGCCGATCCCAGCAAAACTCTCGCTCGTCTCGAGCTGCCGCGCCTCCTCCGCCTCCCGCAGGTCCTCCTCGTCCATGAAGTCCTCCGGCTTCGCGGCACCGGCTTTCGTCGCCCGCGCCCCCCGCGAAGACTTGAATGTCGCTGGTGTCCAGCCTGATTCCGCGCATCAGGTTAGTGATGACGTCGACGAAAACGAAAACGACCACGAGAGGCCGCGAGGTGGCCTAGCCGGAGCGTGGAGTGGGTGCTGACCTTCTTTCGAGCCTACGGTATTGAAGTAGCTGTATGTGTGCGTGCACGCGTCAGCTCCAGCTCCGACATCATGTATACCATCTGCCGCTGCTTGTAGGAAGGAGGCAACTAACCCAGCACTAAACCCGCCCGTAAACGCGCCATGAAGCCGTTTCCTGCCGCGATCATCGACCACCTCTTGTTTCCACACGGGCACGTAGGAGCCGTCGTCGCGGGTTGCGGCGTCGAGTGCGGGCAGTGCCCGCCCGTATACTGCGAATGACGCCGGCGGCGGACGCTCGAATTCGCTGCGGGGGCGTTTTTGCGCCATGAGAGTGTTGTGGGAGCTCGAGGCGATGTTGCGTAAAGTAGGTAGTTGGAATTAGTTAGATATCCAACTGCTGGGATCCGCGATTTGAGATTCCGCGTGTGAGACACTGAGACACTCGCGTGCGCACGCACTGGGGTGCCGCTGGCTGGCTGGCGGGTAACAGACGGAGAGCTTTTAGCTATGATATGATGATATCTGCGGCTTCGTATACACAACTTAAACTTCAAAGGCCCGGCGATGCAGATAGTTACGGTACATACGGTACCTTCCTACCAGTGTATTGTACGTGAGTCTTGCTGCTCGGCCCGGCTTCTCTAGAGCCCGTCCGGAACTGGCGTAACGGACGCCGGACGGTACAGAGCCCCCGGTGGATAGCCGAGAGGACACCCTTCAACGGTGGGTTTTACCTTTTCTCGGGCATCCAACACTGGTGGAGCAGGTACCACATAATCGGTATCATTCACGATATCCAACCAACCTCCACCGCAGGTCTGCAGCTGCCAAAACCCGCGCACAGGTCCCAGCCTGTCCAGTGTCCAGTGTCCAGTGTCGCCGTGTCAGTGGCCTCACGTCATCGGATATCAGCCGAGCTCGTCAGGATCGATTTTCAAACAACCCATGATGGTCCGTCCGTCTTATACTTTATGCGACTTCATGCGACTTCATGTGACAACAAATTGATTATCTCGCGCAACCCATGATCCCCTTCAATTTCATTTATACCTACCCCCCTATGTGGAGTAGGTTTGTGGAGTAAGTGGCCCCACCCAACCACGTCCAACGAAGTCGTGCGTCGGCTTGTGCATGCATGGCTGGCTAGATACTTGAGGCATACATAAGGGAGTCCTTATATACTTTTCGGAGGAGATTTGATACATACTTTGCATGTGGAGTCGGAGTGGGGGGCGAGGAGGAGGGGCGCACGGGCGGATAGCGCGTCTATGGCGGCGGCGGTGTTTCGTGTTAAACGATCGCCTTGCTACTATGATCTACCAGCCGCTTCTCGAGATATGTGGTATATGTCTCTGCGCCTACATAGCATGCGTCGTTCGACTTTGGAGTACCCGTGATACCTAGATGTGGAGGAGCAGGTGGGCGAATCCCTTCGTTCAATGAAGGGGGGTTTTGCTATTCTTCCTGCGTCTACTGGCCTGCTGCCTAGTAACTATTGGTAGGCGCTTCGTTCCTAGGAGGGGGTGTTCGTTTCGAGTGGGCCATGGCGATGGATGAATGGATCAGTAGGTCTCGGCTGGTCGGGTGGTTCCTTTACTGCTTCGTCCGCTTCTTACGCACCGACACATTCGTGGTCAACTATTTGGGTATGGTAGTAGATGTCCCCGCGCTCTCGGCCGCGACGCCAGCCGGCGTTACTGCTCGGCGCCTGTTCTATCCGGGCTGGACGGTTTCAAACTGCTCCCTGTGCGTCCGCAACGGCTCGCGCTACCCCGCTCCCTTCGGCCCCTCCCCCATCCCCCTCTTCGATAGGTACATGCTTCCTGTCAAAGGTGATTGTTATGCATTTCGCCGGGGTGCCTGGAGATCGATGATCGATCTCTGTCAATGCGTGGCCTCGCTCGCCAGCCTACATATGATATCTGCCACAGATATCAGTGCTCTTTCTCATCTGTAGGACGGGTACGGCATGCAGCTTACCGCGAGCTTTGTTGCGGATGCGGGGACGTCGGAGACGGTTGGGATGGAAGAATCCGTTTCATGGCATTACCTACCGCACATACTGCGACTCAGTGGAATCGCTGATATCCTCACGGGGTTGCGGTTGCGTCACTGATCGGCGCACATGCTCGACTCTCGAGTCCGGTTCGGACTGGCAATGATGCTTCGCCCGGCCTGTATGTAGAGTATCAGTACTCTAGTGTACCGGTATGTAGGCAAGTACCTGATGCACCGTCCACGCCGGCCGCGCACCCACCACCACCACCATCACGCTCCGCCCCGGCCGTCCCCCGGCTGACTGAGCACGAGCTTTTATACGCACGCACGCATGCGGAAAAGCAATATTCACTAAGCGGTCGAATGTGGAATATGGCTGGCTGGACCCGCGTTCCTGTGAATGTTCCTGTTCCTTGTTGTGGAGACGTGCAGGGGCGATCCATCCACTCCGGTCAACTTCCCTCGCACCCGTCATCTTATCCGTCTGATTCTTCAATCTCTCTGCCAAGCTGCTCTTCCGCCGACACGAACAGCCAGCCAGCCAGCCAGTCTGAAGAGTTGCGAGTTGCAACCACCCTAAGGCACTCGTGGAGATGCCTAAACTAAGCACGAATGTAAGAATTATGCGCCCTTCCGTATGCACCCCAAACCGGTACGAAATGGCACATGTGCTGCCCCTACAAGCGAGAGTGTCTCTCTAGTATCTGCTAGTAGTGTCCTCATGCGGGCGCAGCCAAGGTGTTTGCTGGTTGGCTCGATATCCTCCTCCTACATACCGGGTATGTAAGTCCTTGCTATTCGGACGGGGAAGGGGGGGTGGTGATACCGTCCGTCAGAACGTCTTCGACCCTTCCTCGCCCCGGCAGGAGGCCGTCAGCAGCAGCAATAGCAGCAGCTGTAAAAGAAGCAGATACCTCATACCCAGCAGAACCCAGCAGACGCAGACAGACAGGACCACACAACCAGGCAAACCAAAGCAGACCAATCGACCGCATCAAATCATCCCTCGCGCTCCTGTCCTCCCTCCACCCCCTGTTGCTGTACCCTGCTTTCCAACTCGTCTCCGCATCCCCACCCTCCTCCACGTCTCTACTCTATCTGCTCTCACAATCAACTCCTCCCTCCTCCTCCTCCTCCTCCTCCTCCTCCTCCTCCTCCTCCTCCTCCTCCTCCTCCTCCTCCACATCCCTCCTCCACTATCACCTTCTCATCGTCCTCCTCCTCTTGTCTGCCACCGCCTTACCTCCTCCTCCTCACCATCTCCTACCAAACTATTCCCACCCACCACCCCCAAGACCTCTTGCTCCTCTTGTCTTCCTTTCGCAGTTCCAAGCGAAACCATCCGAGATCCGCATCATAATAAAGATCCCCTCCCCCCCGCGTCCTTCTATCCCACCCCCCGCTTGCCTCCCCTCATTCCAACAAAGGCGACTTCACCCTCCCTCCCCACCCCCCCACCACCCCCGAGAGAGAAAGAGAGAAAGTCAGAGACAGACGCATTCCCCATTCGTGATTGCTTGCAATACCGCACTCGACCCTCCCTCCTTCACTTGGAATACACGAAACAGCTTGTCCAACCAAACAGCACCATCTGCGACCGACCTAACCCGCCCCTCTTCCCTCTCGGTGCAACCTCACTCGATGCGGCCGGTCCCTCTGCGATCCCATCAGCAACTCTACATATCTCGCGCCCAGTCTACCCTCAGAACCATCCGCGTTTAGACTACCGATCTGTGCTCGAGCTACTTCCCTCCGCGATACTCTGTACCTCGGCCATATCAGCACCATTCGACCAGCCGTCGCTCAGATCCACAACCTTTCCTTTGCGCGATATCCATTTCGCCAACCGACAGTTCTTCATTTTTTTTCAACTTGTTTTTTTTCCCTGAATTGTCTTGCGGCGCGCCGTTGAAGCACGCCACCCTCCCTGACTCCTTATCTCTGGGTTTCACCCTTCGATCCCCCTGACGTCAGGTATCGCGTTCAACTCTACCAACCAGTAACTCCCTCCCTCCCTCCCGAACAACCATAATGTCAGCTCCCGCGACGCATCAGAGTCCCGTTGTGCTCCAACGCCAGCATAGCACTCGTCAGCAGCAGCAGCAACAACACCAGCGCCAGCCTTCGACATCGAGAAATACGGCTCCGTCTTCACGAGAAGGCGACCACGGTCTGAGCCAGCTTCCCGCCCGTGACGCCGAAACGTCCCGCCTCGTGTCTGCGTCTGGCAATCCGCCATCGTCCCACCGACCATCCCACTCGAGACAATCATCGGCGATGTCGGCCGCCACACACGCTCCGCCACAACCGCCGGTCGTCATCGACGAAGCGGGTAGGCAGGTGCCTCACGCGCAGCAGCGCCCTAGGAAGACTTCCATTCAGGGCCCAAGCGGGACTTGGAATCTTGGGAAGACGATTGGCGCGGGTAGTATGGGCAAGGTCAAGCTAGCGAGGAGGGCCGACGGGTCGGAACAGGTAACCACACAGTGTAAATCACTCCGGAGGACGTTGAGAGGCTTATCGTTTGTTTGTTCAGGTTGCCGTCAAGATCGTACCTCGGCAGCTTATTCAGGAACACGGCATCGACCCCGCTACAGGTCAACCGTATCCTCCTCGCCATGACGACAGCAAAGAAATACGCACCGCGAGGGAGGCGGCCATCGTCACCCTACTGGACCATCCGTACATCTGCGGCATGCGAGATGTCATCAAGACCAACAATCACTGGTACATGCTGTGCGAGTACGTCAACGGTGGTCAGATGCTGGACTACATCATCTCTCATGGCAGACTGAAGGAGAAACAGGCTAGGAAGTTCGGGAGGCAGATTGCAAGCGCACTGGATTATTGTCACAGAAACTCGATCGTCCATCGGGATCTGAAGATCGAGAACATCCTCATCTCCAAGACCGGTGATATCAAAATCATCGACTTTGGCCTCTCCAATCTGTTCTCGCCCCGTTCACACCTCCGGACATTCTGCGGATCTCTGTATTTCGCGGCACCGGAGTTATTGCAGGCGAAGCAATACATCGGACCGGAGGTTGATGTTTGGAGTTTTGGCATCGTGCTGTACGTGTTGGTTTGCGGAAAGGTGCCCTTCGACGACCAGAACATGCCTGCGCTTCACGCAAAGATCAAGCGCGGAATGGTGGACTACCCGCAATGGCTCTCGAATGGTAGGCCGCGATCCCCCCCTACACTCCGAAGTTGGGAGCGCGCACTGACCGGAAACTCTAGATTGCAGGCATCTGCTCTCCCGAATGCTTGTGACGGATCCCCGGCAACGTGCAACCCTTCAAGAGATCATGACGCATCCCTGGCTCATGAAGGGCTATTCCGTTCCACCGGAGAACTGTCTGCCGGCCCGGGAGCCACTCACTCTCCCGCTTGACCCTCTGGTCATTAGCGGCATGACCGGATTCGAGTTTGGGTCGTCCGAGATCATCACGTCCCAGCTGACAAAGATCGTGTCCTCCGAGGAATATCAGAATGCGGTCAAGCAAGCGCAGCGAGATGCTCCGCTGGCGTCATCCTACCAGGAGAGAAAGAAGCCGTTCGCATTCGACTTCTACAAGCGGCGGTCATCCACGAGTTCGAAGGACACACTCACGAACCTTAGCACCGAGGTCCTGCCATACACACAGACGGATCCGATCAACGCGTACAATCCGCTTGTTTCGGTGTACTATCTCGTCCGCGAGAGACTCGAACGGGATCGCCAGAAGGCAGCTCCTGGATCACACGTGACACTTCCGGCTTCAGAGACCGAGAAGGTGCCACACATGTCGGTACCCAGACAGCCCGAGGCCGCTCACACCAGTGAGACGAGCTACGAGGTGAGGGGCGAGCCGGCCGCTACATCCGGTAGGACAAGACCTAGAGCTCGGACGCATGGAGATGACGAGGTGTCGGAGGCGGTCAAGAATATCAATATGAACAATAGCAGTGGTGTCTCGCCTGCGCCTTCTGTAGCTCCCCCAAAAGTGGAGCAGCCATCTTCAAGAAAGGATCTCTCGGTTGGGGGCATGTTACGCCGGTTGAGCACCAGGCGTCATCAGTCGCATCATCGTGGGGAGTCAACGAAGGGGGATCTAAGCAAGGCAGCCGCACCACCAACCCTCTCACTACAACCTCCAGACCAACCACCTTCCAATCTACCCAAGACCAGTCTTTCGCTGAGGAGGCAAAAGGAACCGGTTCGCCCAACACACAACGACACATCTCAGCCTGGCCAGCCCGACCTCTTGACGCCTCCGACCACCGCTGATGCCGGCGCCAGAAAGACTAAGCCTCTGGGACGTTCTACCAGTGTATCGGAAGTTGACTGGCGACGGAAGTACAGTCGGCCGAGAGCTTCAATGGAACCTCCTGGCACCAGTGGCTCGGAGAGATCGGTGGCGGGAACGGACAACCCCAAATCTTTCGCGCAACGAGCGAAATCGGTTGGACATGCCAAGCGAGACATGATGCAAAGCCGCCGCACAAGGAAGGACGACTCGGGGAGCATGGCTGCCAACCCCGACGATGTCGCAACGGACGACAATGCAGATGTCGCTACTTCCATGGGCAGTGGAGACCCCAATGCATCGGCGACACCGTCATCGGACTTTGTCAAGCCTGTGTTTCTCAAGGGTCTCTTCAGCGTATCGACGACTTCCACAAAACCTCCAATCGAGATTCGAAAGGATATCATCAGGGTGTTGGATCAGCTGGGTGTTTCGTACAGGGAGATCAAGGGCGGCTTCGTTTGCGTCCATCGGCCCAGTATCGACCTTAAGAGCGTCGTCGAAGGCAGCTCTGAGACGGAAGCGACCAACATGGTGTCGACTTCGGCACACCGGCGGAAAATTTCGTTTGGCAACACTGGCGGCAGCAGTAGTCAGCAGGGCTCGTCGTCAAAACAGACATCGTCACGACGACAGAGAGCGGATACCAGCTACACTAACAGTGATGCATCGAACGACTCTGTCAACGACGGTGTTCTGGGTGGTTCTTTGATCCTGCAGTTCGAGATCTACATCGTCAAGGTTCCTCTGCTCTCGCTCCACGGGATCCAGTTCAAGAGTCACAACAAGACCAACACATGGCAGTACAAGAGTTTAGCGAGTCGGATTCTGTCAGAGTTGAAGCTGTAGAGGGTAGCCATGCCAAGAAGTTTGCTTTCTGTCTTTTCCGTTCCGTGTGTTTTGTTGCGCTTCTATCGCATTCCTCCGATTATAGGATCCTTTAATCATCTGCGAATCTCCCACAGGATGGATTCGAGTGTCAAGTTTTTTTTCTCCGTGGCGCTTTCCTCTCCAACTATTTCCCATGTTTGTTCTTTTGGCATACGGTTTCTTCCTGTGTTTTACATACAGCACATGCAACTCCTCTGTATAGGATTGTTTTCATCTTGTTTTGGCTCACGGTTGGCGGTGGAGGTGGTGTCAGCTGTTTACTCTGCAGTGTTTCTCATGTTTTCGGTTTCGGTTTTTTCTTTCCTTTTTTTTTGGTTTGCCTTCTCTTCAGCGGGTGTAATTGGTGTTGTCCGTTTTGAAGCTCTTTCATGTAAATCGTCTTGATATCCCTTTCACATGAGCGGACTGTTGATTACGGGATTCCACGATTTGTTAGTTCAGGTGTCGGGGGTCGGGTGGTGGATGGTGGATGGCGATTGGTTTGTGGGGTTCTTTTTTTCCCTCATGTGTTTATGTCTGTTTCTTTTTCTTCTCTTTCTCCCTCCCTCTCGCGAACGACTGACTTGTGGTATATTGCTATGGTTGGCTGGCTGGATGGCTGTTCTGTTGCGATTTTGTTTCTGTGTATCTATCTTATGAATGCGAGGCAAAATGGAGTGATGTGCTGTGGTTATTGTGTAGGAGTAGCCTAGTAGGAATGCGATAGTTGCTGTAATGTAATTTACGGGGCCCTCTTCTTCTGATAGTGATGGCGGATTGACATCAATCAATGTGATGTACCTACGAGACGGGTTCCTGAACCCTAATCCCTTCGCCACCACCACTGACCAGACGCCATTTAGACTCGGGAGAAGGCAACGGGAGAAGGCAGCTAGCCTCGGTTCGCAACAGAGCGAGTAAACCAGAGCGAGCGTTTCAACGGAAAGTTAAATGACTGTTCTTACGCAAATACTGGAAGACTAGCACTGCTATTGCGTGCAGGTCGAAGCATTTAATGCTGCGTCGCAAGGGAAGTCTTCGATGCGCTTGGAAGCGGCTTGTTTGATCGTCGAGGGCTCTTGTTTGGTGCTATTGAGCTAGCGCTCTTCCGTATAAAACTACCTAAATGCGGGTGGGACATAGCCGCCGATTGCCAAGCTTCGTCAACACTTCCTAGTCATACATACAGCACCTTGAGTACTCCTCATCGGACCGACCATCTCCACTGCCACCACCTCGTGCTCCTTTCTTCTTTTTCTCGACACCAACCACGGAATCAACTACTCCTCTCTTTCGCCGATCGGCTCAACGCGCACCACCACCACCACTACCGCCAGCAACTGTCACGAGCCCCCACCACCACTACCGCCCCCATCATCAGACCAACATGCTTCAGCCCCACCAGGTCTACCAGCAGCAGCAGCACTTCCCGCATCCCGACGGAGGTTGGATTAGCCAGCAACAGCAGCAGCAGCAGCAGCAACAGCAACAGCAGCAGCAGCAGCAGCAGCAACAGCAGCAACAGCAGCAACAGCAACAGCAGCAGCAACAACAACAGCAGCAGCAGCAGCAGCAGCAACAGCAACAGCAACAGCAACAGCAGCAACAGCAGCAACAACAGCAGCACCATGTCAACCCCTACGTTCGAAGCATTGCGATGCCCCAGCACCCCTCGCCAGCTCCGGCACCTACCGGCGGCATGTCGCTGACCTCGCGCTCGATCACGGAGGAGGACACCAAGATCTACACGTGGATCATGGAGCTGGTACAAGGGGACCGAAGGGAGACAGCATTGTTAGAGCTCAGCAAGAAGCGGGAACAGGTGGATGATCTGGCCGTCATTCTGTGGCACTCCGTTGGTTCGTTCACACGCGCGCGCCGCTCGGAGGTGGGGAGACGTGACCGGATTAATTCTAACTTTGTGGACAGGTGTCATGACCTCGCTGCTGCAGGAGATTATCTCGGTTTACCCGTTGCTGATGCCGTCGAGCTTGACGGCCGCCGCGTCGAACAGAGTGTGCAATGCGCTGGCTCTGCTGCAGTGTGTGGCGTCGCACAACGACACCCGTGGATTGTTCCTGCATGGTAGGATCTCTCCGGCGCAAGTGGGGATTGGAAACTGATATCGGTGCCGACAGCGCATATTCCGCTCTTCCTCTACCCGTTCCTCAACACGACATCCAAGTCTCGGCCCTTCGAATACCTTCGGTTGACCTCGCTCGGTGTCATCGGCGCGCTGGTCAAGAATGACTCCTCGGATGTCATCAGTTTCTTGCTGTCGACTGAGATCATTCCATTGTGCCTTCGCATCATGGAGACCGGCTCCGAACTATCAAAGACGGTAGCCATCTTCATCGTGCAGAAAATCTTGCTGGACGACATGGGGCTCTCCTACATCTGCCAGACGTACGAGCGCTTCTATGCGGTGGGGACTGTGCTCAGCAACATGGTTACCCAGCTAGTAGAGCAACAGACGGTCAGGCTGCTCAAACACGTTGTTCGATGCTTCCTCCGGTACGTTTCGCCCCATCTGGCCTTGATTTCTCCTCGCTAACAAGCCGACAGGCTGAGCGACAACCCGAGGGCTCGCGAGGCTCTTCGCCAGTGCCTACCAGAGCCCCTCCGTGACGCCACCTTCTCCTCGGTCCTCCGAGACGACGCGGCGACCAAGAGGTGTCTGGCACAGCTGCTGATTAACCTCTCGGACTGCGTAGCCGAGTAGGAGAACTCAAAACGCTGTGTGCGCGTGCATTAGCCATAATGTATCCTGCTCTGCGTTGCTTTTTTTTTTTTTTTTACCCTATTCTTATTCTACTAAATGGGGCATCTTTCGTGTCGCGAAACTAAACATCTAGAAAGTATATCTTGTGTAATGACCAGCTTACATAATACCTTCCTTCCTTCCTTCTTTCAACTTCAACCCTTCTTTGAATCCTTACTTTTCCTCTTCCTCTTCCTTTCATGTGTAGCTTGCTTTTCATTTTTATTATACCACGCTATGCGGCAACAACGGGGTTGGGGATTGGTGTGGTGTGGTGTGGTGTATTACCTGCTTGCTTTGCTTCATCTTTTACGTTCCATGTATCACGACCTTATCTTTTTTCCTTTTCCTTTCCTTTCCTCCTTCTTGTACAACCGTATCTTGTTTTCTGCTTTTTTCCCCAACATGGCGGCGGAGGGGAAGAATGATTTTTTGGGCTAGGGTTTGCTTTGCTTGTCATGTCTGCTTGTGTTTTTGTGGTTGGTTCGGCGCGGGAGAAAAATGGTGCTTTACTACTTTACAGTTTAAACGATGGCTTGTTCTTGTTCTTATTGTGGTTTCTATAAGAGGAGAGAAGGGGAGAGGAGAGGAGAGTTTTGGAAGATGAAGATGAAGGTTGGTGTGGTAGTGTGGTAGGTAGTGGGACAAAATGGAGGCAGGGAGGCGGAGAGGAATGGGAGGCAGCGAGGAAGGGGTGGCGGGGTGTAGAATACCTATTGTATCTAGGTTGTAACATGATCATGATCGCGATTCTGATTCCGATGGCGGTGGTGCTAGTTTTGGGTGTGTACTGCACTGTGAAGATGGATGGCAACAGGGAATACTATGCGGTGAGGTGAGGTGAGTGTAAATGAACAGAGAGAGAGAACATCAATTTATTGTCGCATGCAGAGTGTTAATGGACACCTAAGGCTGAAGTGATAGTATGCCGAGTTACAGGGTGATCGACTATGATTACGACCTCCTTCTGCCGAGTGATAGAGTGATACCCATGCCGCATAAGGCATAAGGCTGATCGGCCGGCACCGCCTCCGCACGCGTCCCCCCTCCAGCAACCAACCAACAACTTGTCTCCCCCCTCCAGTAACCACAAAGATGTACGGCGACCTCTCCCAAACCCTCATCGCGCACGCGAAGCGGACATTGAGCCTATCCTACCTCCCCCCCTACCAGTCTGAGATCGTCCGCTCGATCACGCGCGAAGTCCGCGACCTCGACCGCGACGTGACCAGCATTCTTGCTCCCTTCACCGACGCTGGCGGATTCGACCCCGCCGCCAGCCCGGCTACAGCGTACACGCTGCTCGTACACCATCTGTGTATGCGCCGGAATAAACGGTGTCTGCTGGCGTATCATAAAGTTAGGGTCGAGAGGATTGAGGGGGTTTGTTGGAGTGGGGGTGGTGGGGGAGGGGAGGGGGGCGGGGGCGGGGGCGGGGGCGGGGGGGAAGGGGGTGCTGGGGGGGAGGGGGGCGGGATGTGGGGTGGGGACGGGGGGGAGGGCGAGGCGCAGGGCGATAGGCTTTCCCCCGAGGAGGAGGAGTATGCGCGTGGGTATGCGGACTTGCTGGCTGCGGCGAAGGGGAGGTGGACGGATGTGGATCTTACGGGCAGTCTGGAGCCCCCCAGGGATCTGTTTGTGGATGTTAGGGTCCTGAAGGACGCGGGTGAGATTCAGACTGAGTATGGGTATGTGAAAATGTCCTGGAAGGAGAGGGGAGGGGAGGGGGGAGGGGTGGGATGGAGGATGTGTGCTGATAAAGGTGGCAGCGCGATCAATTTGACGAAGAATTCCCAGTTCTTTGTCAGGCAGGGCGATGTCGAGAGGTTGATCCAGCAGGGGTTCTTGCAGAAGCTCAGTTGAGGGAAGGGAAGGGAGGGATGGGTGGGAGGCGGGGAGGCGGGAGGGAGGGAGGTCTACGGCGTTTGGGTTGGGTGTGCATTCAGCGTTTTGCAGCATTTGGCGAATACGATCATGAGGTTCGGGCAAACAGACACAGGGCATCTGGCGGATTCAAACCGGGACTGTGGTTGAGGCATCATGAGGAGCTCCGGGAATCCGAATGACCGATACCATACCATACGAAACACCAGTCACCGTCTAGGTTTCCATGTGGGTTGAACACAGTACTAGTAGGTAATATTTACAGCTATCAAAGCCGTCTATAGCAGTTGCCGTCTACTCCCATCAGCCGAGTGAATCAGCCGAGTGATATCCCATCCACATCCATGTACATTACCACCCCCCATCCGCTTTTCCAGCTCACCAGCCAACAAGCACCTCCATAACCCCGATCACCTCGACCGTGCCCCTACCCTTCCTGGAACCCCCCAACCCCAGTCCCCGTGCCGGCCGCGGTTCACCAACAAGTCCCCACACGCTCTCCCACGCCTCTGCATCCCCATCCCTATTCTCCCCGTCCTCAGCACTATCCCCGTCCTCAGCACGACACAGCTCCTCGGCACTATACATCCCCTCCCCCTCCACGCCCCACGGATGCACACTCGGCTGCGCAAACGCCAGCTCCGGCGGCGGGAAGATCGAGTACAAGCTCTGTCTTCTGCTCCTGTCGCCGCCGTTGCCGCCGCTTCTTCGTCTGCCGCGGTTACGGCTGTCGGTGGAGGAGTCGGGGGAAGAGAGGGAGAGGGTGGTGTTGGTAGATGTGGCCGAATCTGGTGAGGCTACACTGCTGCTGGTGGAAGTTGAGGAGGAAGAGCGGTGGAAGATCGTTGTTAGAGTTAGGGAGATGCGCCGGCCTCGGGATAGTGCGCGTGGTCGGTGGATGGTGGGGATGTGCATTATGTTTGGTTGGTCTGGTTGGGGCGAGGTGGGGCGGGGGTGGGTGGGTATCGGGGTGATGTGGGTGGATGTGGGCTTGCGTCGATGAGCGGAGCGGGATGCTGTGCGGTTCGTCACTCGTTCGTTCCTTTGTGCAGGTTGTGATGTGATGTGATGTGATGTGATGTGAATGAGACGTGAAGGTGCGATTGAGTGTGAGTGAGCGTGTATGTGTGTTTGTGAGCGTGAATGAGCGTATGAGCGTGTGTGTGTGTGTAGACGAGTCTGTGGAGGAGGCGCAGCCTTCCTTTTGCTTCCTTTTGCTTTCTTCGATTTATACTGCCGATGTAGAGAGAGAGAGCGAGTGACAAGAACGATACCACCCAAGCACTTCAGTGAGTAGTAGATACTCTACAGACTTCAACATTCGGATGAGGACGAGGACGAGGAATTCTCCATCATATAGTAAATACCCCCCTCCCCCTCCCTCTCCTACCTACTCCCAATGCTACGGGTACGTACCCCGTACACAGTGCACAGTGCACAGCCCACCTATCACGTACCACCACCAGCACCACCACCCCCATCCCAGCACCCCCCCCCCACCTCTCCACCTCTCCACCCCCCTATATTGGTACCTGGTATCCTTCCATGCCCAAGCCTAAGCCACAGGTCCAGGTCAAGGTATCACTCCACGTTTCACGTTGAAACCCATCTCGCACGTCCCACCCAGCAACCTCGCAGCTGGGGCCGGCCGTTATAGCCGGTAAAATGTGCACCCGTCCGTCACCTGCCAGCTTCCTGTGTAGAGCGTGTATACCTTGACATCACATCCCCTCCCGCCAGGCACTCCCGTGTATATCAAGGGGTTACTGGTTACCTACCTACTGGCGATAAGGCGAGCGAGTTCACGGGCTCCATGCTTCATGTAGTACATACTTGGTACATTGTACATATCAACATATCATACATATCAACATATCATAGGTATCATAGTTAAATATTATGCAATAATTAAGTCTACGTATCGTATCTCGCACGCATCTCGCACGTATCTCGCACGCATCTCGCACGTATCTCGCACGCATCTCCCACCCTCCCACCGTTCTATCATAGCAGGTGATTACTCTATACCCCATATCCCCCATCCCATCCCATGGCCACACACACACACACACACACGAGTAGAGTAAAAGGAAGTCTCAAGAGCCAAAACATCAATGTAACAGAACAAAACAAAAACAAAACAAAAAGCCCCCACCCAAACGCCCCCCTCCCAGCAGCCACCTGCCACCTGCTTCATTATTACAATCATCAACTGCATACCTACTGTCTAGGACCTGGGACTGGCATCACCCCTCGCACTCCCGCCAGCACCAGCACCACCAGCACCAGCACCACCACCAGCAGCATTCCCACCAGCACCACCGCCACCACCGCCATTACGACTACCCTGTCTACTAACCTCCCCATTGCGGCTTCCATTCCTGCTGACACTTGGGGATCCCCCCGCGCCGGGACCTATCTGGCTCTCAATGAACGACCTGATCTGATCGCGCCACTCGGAGTCGTCAAGGGCGTCCATGACGACCTGGGGGGCGACCTCACTTGTCTGGCGCTCCGCGGTGGTGGGTGACTGCGCGCCGGCGCCGTACCACAGGCCGATGCCGCCAAAGCCGTCGGATGGCCCCGCGCCCACGCGCGGACTAAGCGCCGGCGAGATCATCGGGCTCGTACTAGGAGACAGGTTGGGCGTCGATATGTACGGTGGCGTGCGCCGGCCCGGACCGCGCTGGCGGAGGAAGCTGAGTGGCTCGTTGCCGTCCGAGAACGGGTTCACGCCGCCAAAGCTGAACGCGCCGCCGCCGGCTGCATCGGTGGGTGAGTCGATGGGGCTGAAACCGCTGGATTCTCCGGTGTTGTGGTAGCTGTCGTCGAACGAGAGGCGAGGGGGCACGACGGGTCCTTCCTCGTTAAGCGTGATCTGGGGGATGTCCGAGTTGTGGGGGACGATGTCGGTTATGTCGCTGGCGTTGTCGACGCGGATCTGCGGCACGGTGGTGGACGGTGCGCGACTGATCGTGCCTGGGGTGATCCGGCCGAGCCTGAGGTCTTTGAAGCGTTTGCTCCAGTACCTGTAACTGCCTGTCAGCGTGTCGACTAATGCAGGGATAGACGGCACATGTGAAACAGGAACTTACAGGGTCAGGAAGAAGTTCGTCACGACATTTCGCTGCACCTGTTCTTCCACTCTCTGCAACCTGTATCGTCGACGCAGGTATTCCTCAAGCCTAGTGTCACAGAGTCAACCACCGGATAAATCCCTCACATCTGCTTCAAGTGTAAAACCAACCTCAGACTCTTGTTGTCGTTGATGAGTTTGTAATGCGCGAGAATCAGCAGGACCGACTCAAACGAGACACCATAGTCCTTATCCGCCGAGACCAAACACTCCTCAAAGAACAGCGTAAAGGTATGCCTCTGCCTGCGGATCTTGTGAACGGGGATCTGCGCGATGCGCCTATTCAATTTGTCCAGGTCAATCCCATGCACGGCCGCCGTCCCCTTGTTGCGACCCTTGGCGCTATTCGGATCGACCCTGCAGTCATCGAGGATACTATGCACCGTAAACGGGTCTTCATATACCCTCATCGCAAAAATCCCCGAGAGCAGACCCAGCAGCCTCGGAAACCTGTCCTTCGCTATGTACCCGGTGCCGTCTGGATCGAGCGTTGCCCAGGCCTGCTTGAACTTGCGGATCTCCTCGCGCGACACCTGCGACGAGTCGCCCGATCGTTGATACACGTAACTGAAACTCTCGAAGATGAGCGAGATGAACATGCTCACGAAGATGTACATGCTCAGAATGTTCCAAGAAACAAACAGTGCGTGGGCGTAAACCTCGCTGCCACAGTCGCTGTCGAAGAATGTCTGGCCACGTACGCACGCCGGCTCGATCACCTCGTAGTCGCTCATGATTTCGTTCCATCCCTCTCTATTTCACACATCAGCATGGGACTTCCATCACCCATGGATCGGAGAAACCCTTACCCGCACGTCATCCTAAACAGCAGGATCAAAGCCTTTGGCACGGTCCTGAAGTTCATATTACCGTTACCGTTCGGGCCGATCTTCGTCAAGCCTGTACCCCAAAACCCAATCAATATCTTCCAATATAAACCAAACGGATCGGGTCACTCACCGAAAGTCTGCGTCAACGCTATCGCATAAACCAAGAATAGCACGAACCAGGTCGCAATCAGGTTCCCGATCGAGGTCAACGACGCGGCCGCAGTCTTGAATAGATGATCCAGCTGGTCGTTGCGTGGGATCAACATGATCACGACCGACACCAGGAACAGCTTCTGCAGCTGGACGAACATCGGATTGGCGTATCCAGCCAGCAGCAGGAGAGTCGTCACGAACGTCCCGCTGACCGACAGCAGCGCGTAGATGTCCCACTTGCTCTTGATGAAATTCGACCATGTCAGCCCCACCACGCGCACAGCCAGGTTGCCGATGAAGGCGATGTTCAGCACCAGGAACAGCCAGTCCCTTGTCCTGTCCAACGAGCCAGGCGAAGGATGGTACTCCAGTAGCAGAAGCAAACCATGGATCATCAATAGAACGGTAACACCTCTCTGCCAATACCCATGCTTGTGCGTCGCCCTCTGATAGCACCAACCCTTCCACTCCGAGTCGGGACTCTTATCCGGCCGCTTCGACGGCGAGACCTGTCTCAGCAATTTCCTCAGCTCGAGCCACGTGCGCTGATCCGCCGTCAAGAACGCCACACCGGTCTGTTCCGTGTAATTCCGCATAAACACAGACACGAACAGTGTCAGGACGAAGACAGCTCCCAGCAGATTGAAGACGAGGAAGAACAGCGAGTTGACCTGGGAGTGAAACGGTTGCGGCTGCATTCCCTTTCCGACGACATTCTGCGCGTTGAACATGACCCCAGTCCAGCCTTCTTGACTGACAATCTGGAACAGAATAAACAAGCTGGTGCCAAAGTCGTCAAAGTTGAAGTACGGATTCTCGACGACTCTTGGCGCGAGGACGTCCCACTCGAACGGCTGGCTGGCGTACTCGTGTATGCAGTCGGTAAGGTTCACTATGCCGTTGCCGTCGTTGCACGCATCCATCTGGCCGGCAAACAGGTTGACTCCGTAGATGGCGAACGGGATGATCAGCGACAGCGACACGAACGCGGCAGACAGAATCTTCTTTCCGCCCAGAATCACAACCGAATGAAACGTATCCTGCGCTGTACCACTGATGTTGAGCAGCCTGAGCGCACGCAGCGCCTTGAACGCACCCACAGCCCTGCTGATCTCATCCTTGTTGGTCAGGGACGACGCAACACTGATCCACAGCGTGATGAGCACAATACAATCGATGATTCCCCACGATCCGCGCAGATAGGCATTCGGCGTCCAGATCAATCCGTCCGCGATGATCTTGATTGCCGACTCAAACGTGAACAGCACCACAAATCCCGCGTCCACCAGAGTAAACCAGTTCTTGCGCGAATTCCCATTCTTGGAAAAATACTCCTTCTGGTAGAGCGGCGTAGTGAAGCAAGCCAACACAACCATGGCCACGATGGCACAGTAGATGATGATCGAAAACGCGTAACTGATCGTGGTGTTGGGAGGCAGACCAGCATATCTGACGTTAGCACGACTGGGCCCCACCATCCTCTGACACATGCGCCTGATCGGGTTCTGAGGACCGAAGATGAACAGCGAGACATTGTAATTAGGGTGCTTAGCCAGGTATTCCCTCTGTGCGCGCTTCCTCCGTTCCGCCTCAGTGACCACCTCCTGCGCCAGCGCCGTCGGCGCCAGATCCGCCACGGACCGCGACTGGAACGAGTAGAACGGGTTCGTCTCGCGATCCCTCCACACGCCCTTGGCCTTGGCAAACCACCGCTTATAGAACCTCTTCCGCTTCTCCTCCTGCATCTGCAGGTTCTCGACGGCGGCGGCGACGGCAAACTTGGCTCCTGCCGTGACATCCTGGCGATGTTGGTGTTCTCCCTCGTCGAGGAACGACTCGACGATCGCCTGTTTGGTCAACATCTCGAACGCGGCCTGCTTGGATTGCGCGGCCTCCGTGTTCATCTTGTTCTTCTTTGACGAGAACAGTGACGAGAGTTTGAGTCCTTGGGTGGGCGCCCTGTAGCTCTTGTTCTGTAGAAACGCCTTGACTTGGTGCATCCGCTTCTCGTCCTCTGTAACATCGAAATTCTCCTGGATGACAGCAATAAACATGTTCAACACGATGACTGTAGACCGCATCAGCACAAATCACGTCGGAAGATCGGAGGGACAACTTACAGTTCCCAAGAATGAACCACCCAATAAAGAACATAGCACTGATCCAACCGACACCGTACGGCTGCTGTGCCTCAGTAGCCATGTACAGCAGCGACGTCCAATCCTCGCTCGAGAACACCTGGTACATTCCCAGGAAGGCATTAAAGATGGTAAAGAAGCTGACAGGCGTCGTCTCGCCCCCGATCTCTGCCGGAATATCGCCTCTGACGATTTGCACAGCAAACAGCGCGCAGAGAAACGTGAGGAGGATCACAAAGAATATCAAGTTGAACAGGCCCGAGACGTTACCCAAAACCTTGGCCAGAAGGTTCCGCGTCACCGGAATCGCCCAGACCAGCCGGTATACCCGCAGGATCTGGAAGGCGGTGAGCCAGTCGTAGATCCTTCCGCCGTGTCGCACCGGCGGGAGTAGTATGATGCAGGTGATGACGGCCAGGAAAAGATCCACCCAGTTCCTCCGCTTGGTGTGAAACCCTCTCCAGTCCGAGACGAACCGGAAGATGATCTCGAAGAGAAGGATCAACGTGACGCTGGCCTCAACCCGATCAATCATCCTCTCTTCCCTTTCGCGCATCCGGGCACTGCGGAACGTCTGCGCAAACAATCCCGCCCCGATGACGACGATCCAGAGGTGGCGCGAGAGATCGTAGATCTTCTTGAGCGTGCTCGGCTTCCGCTCCGCCTGGCCGTCGTTGTTGTGGACGGATGAAACGTCGTCTGCGGAGAAGGCGCTCTTACTGGATTCCTCCCGGATGACTTGAAACGAGGATGTAATGACTGCAATCAACTGTTCACACCATTAGAGCTGTCCGCTGATCCCAGAGAGCTGAACACTTACCAAATTCGCCAACCAAAACGCCAGAATGATAATCGCCGCAATGAAAACTGTGTCCAATCAGCAACCACTCCCTCGCATTCACTCAAGCGCACTCACAGCAAGAAGCAGCCAAGTAATCACTATCAGCGGTGTAGTACAGGAGGTCCGAGAACGTATTCGCCGTCATGACAACAAAGACGAGTTCCAGACTCTGGACGATATTGTCGAAGCTGACAGTGCCAGCATATGGATTCCCAACGACCATGCACAGCGAATTCGGCGGACAAATGTACCCCTTCGCCTTCTTCGCGCCGGGCGTGATTCCATCCCTGAGTAGAAACGGCCTCGACCTTCCGGTCAACGGGTCCATGTATCCGCCGCAGAACTGAAACTCCTGCGTGTAGTTCGGCTGCAGCCCCTCAGGATCAACCCAGACGCAGTTTCTCTCGAGCGAGCCCTTGAAGCTCTGCACGCCGATGACGGCAAACACCAACCAGAAGAAGCCGATCAGGAAGGCGACGTGGACGAGCAGCGGGGCGGCCTTCTTCAGACTGCGCAGGATGACCGAGGTTCCACTGGTAATTCCCAACAGCCGCAGGATGCGCAAACAGCTCATCATGCGGAACACGTAGAGGTGGCGCTCCGCCTCGAGTCCGGATACACACAGCCCAAGCGATATCCAGTACGAGATCACGGCTACAAAGTCCAAGCGATTGAAAGAGTGGCGGAGAAACGCTCGTCTAGCGAGCCGGAATCGGGCTTGCGATTGTATGGATCCCGACCCGGGAGCGTCCGATCCTTCCGCCATGTTGAGTTGCGTGATGGACCGCATGAGCGATGGTGGTTCGTCCATTCTGGTCGGCGAGACTGCACGTATATTATCGACCCTTTTGGGCGTCAAAAAAGTTTTCGCCTTCAAGACGATCCTCCGGCGGAGACCACCTCTTGCTTCTGGATCATCTTCCTGGACGGGATTCATAAAGACGCCAGAGACAATACATCGCGCAACGATTTCGATTCTACTTGTGTCAAAACCGAATACAGACCTCCGATGCATGGAGGATTCTTACGTGTATATACTGAAGAGGACGAGCAAGGCATAATCAATTGGCGAAGTTCCCCAGCTCTTAGCTCTCGGGTCGTCGAAGACACTCGGAGCCGAATCAATCGTGAGCAGTATTGTCTGGACCAAGATCAAAAGCAAAATCAACGGCTCGATCGCGCTGAATAACACCTGTCAGCCCCCGTCTCGCGCACTCCCTTCCCGAGATCTCATCAAACTCACGGATGAATGAGCACATCACACAGAATCAGCCTGACGCGACTGGTCGGCGAGAAAATCCTGAGAGTATTTCCCTTGAGCGGATTGACCTGTTCCCTCCACGGTCTTCGTTCCTGCGACGGTTTTCTCAGCAGCTTTGGCTTCTCCAGCTGGGAGCCTCGATCGCCGCTCGCGCCGCCATCTCCATCTCCCACATCCTCAATCTCGATCTCTGGCACACTCGTCCGTCTGCTTTCGGAATAACTCTTATTCGAGCCCTTCCTTCTTATCGTCTGTTCGACGGCCTCGGGGTCGTTACTCAGATTGACCACGCGCTGGGACATGTTCTGGACGGCCATGGAGACTCTTCGCACTGGCGACGCCCCGGGGGAGAGGGATCTGCTTCCCGAACCCGTCCGCGACGGCGAGGGGCGAATGAACGAGCCCGACCGCGTGCTGCCCGACGCTTTACTAAGGCTCCGGCTCAGCCCCTCCTCGGCCGCGTGCAGGTCGTCGCCCAACGACGTCCCCGGCGCAAACCGCACCGACTGCGTCGACAGCCGCTTTTCTGTCCCCGCGATGGGCGCCTGGTTGTCCGCCAGCGGCGCCGAGTCGTCGTCGACACCCATACCACCCACACCACCCACCCCGCCCGACCCGGAAGACCCCCGGACCCCGCCGCCGCCTGCGTAGCCAATATCGCCGTATCCATACCCGTCGTTATCGTCGTCATCATCATCTCCATACGGCGGCAACCCCAACCCCAGCCCCAACCTCAACCCCAACGCCGTCGTCGACGTTACCGGCTCACTCAGATGCGCGGTACGCCCGCTTGCCGTACTCGCCCCAGCGGTGGACCCACTCCTTGCCTCCCTCTCCCTCCCAGAGTTCGCAGTACTCGCCTTCCTCCCCGGCAACCAGCTCCCCCGTCCCCTCACGCTTCCCAGCGCCTCATCCACCTCGCCCCTCATGCGCTGGACTTCATCACCTCCATAACCATCCCCCCCATACCCAGCGTACCCCCCGCATCCATACGAAGGCACCTGCAGATCCGGCACCCCCAACGGCGCCTCCGGCCCGCCGCCACCTTCGAGCCGGTCGTAGCTGCTGCGCCGTCGCAGGTGCGTACTCAGCCTGCGCCCGAGATCCGCGCCGTGGTGTAGGAGCGAGCGGCTGCGGCTGGCGGAGCGGCTGCGCGGGTGGGAGTCGGAGAGGGTGTGCGTGAGGGTGTGCGTGAGGTCTTGGAGGGGGATTGGGGTGTTGTGGGGGTCGTTGTGGGGGTCGTGACCGCCGCCGCCGGAGGAGGTCGACATGGTCTATGTGAGGCGGAGGGATGGTACGCGTAGGTAGGTCGTGGGCTGGGAATGGACGGGTGCGGGTGCGGGTGCGGTGGAGTGGAGTGTGGTAGGTAAGCCGTGTCGTGTCGTCTCGTGTCGAGTCGAGCGGGTCGTGTCGAGTCGAGCGGGTCGTGTCGAGTCGAGCGGGTCGTGTCGAGTCGTGTCGGCCGTGTCGTAAGCAGGATGTAGGTACGGTACGAGGGAGTGAGCGTGCAGAGCAGAGCAGTGCGCAACGAAAACCGGCGGAGGAGAGCAGGAGTGAGTGATACGTAGACGTCTACTCAGTACGGTACTAGGTAACTACAGTACTCTATGCTAGATGCATTTTCTGTGGAGCGAGAGTGAGTTGAGTTGCGTTGCTGCGTTCAGGTTCAGGTCCGGGATCTGCAGTAACTACTCTACGACCAGGGATGAGGTGCGGTATAGTACTCTATGTAGGTTGGTAAGTATGATATGTAGGGTGGGTGGGTGTGGAGATCCGATTTCTGGCTGGATGGGACGGCCACGGACGGCGGACAGACAGACAGACCGCGCCTCAGCCTCGAAGGGACAGACGTCAGGAAGCGCAGCACAGCACAGCACCCTGCATCAACCACTGCTTCCTCTAGCTGTTCTGAGGCACCTTACTCTACTAGTACTATACTAACTAGCAGTTGGTTAGGGCAGAGCCAGAGAGAGCTCTGTTTAGCACCGCCGCAGTGGATCGGGTGTTTTTTGCTCTCAATTGCAAATGGCGACAGCTGCTGCCCTGAAGAATCGCCAGCCAGGCGGAAAGTCGCGGAATTGAGCTGAGCTGAGATTGATGCAATCCCAATCCTCCTACATTACCTACAAAATGTAGGTGCATATTCCCGCCCGCCTCTCCTATCGCCAACAGCCATTATACTCCCCAGATATATACACGTCGCGCCGAAAGATGTGTACATTTCATGAAACCCAAACTCCATCGCGAAAGAAAGAAGAAAGAAAGAAAGAAAGAAAAAAACAGAATAGATACCAGAACACCTCCGATCCCCCAAGAACAGACCAAGAAATAACAAGACATTTAAACCCAACGTACTTACGTGGCCCTCCCCCGCTATCTCGAGCGGACCAGAGCATTTACAACATCACCCCTCTTCCACCCCTGCGCCGCCAGTGTCTTGTTCTCCTCGAGACTGTCGCGCACCGGTATTAGAAGCTAATCATCCAAAAATCCGTCGGGAGAGCGAGTCGGAAGGGAGGAAGTACGGCAGGGAGGAAGGAAGACTCACATCCTGCCAAGGTACATCAGACTGATCCGTTGAGTTGCCGGTAGCTACCCCCGCACATGTCAACAACCAACCAACTATCTTTAACCACCCGGTACGGCACCGGTATCCACTGCCAGGAAGGAAATGGGATGAGCAAACACACCTGAGCCTTCCCCTCAACCAGCACGGTAATCCTCCTCACCGTCGCCGCCTCATCGACTTTAATAGCAACATCAGGTCCGCCCCGATCCGACAGTCTAGCCTTTAGCAGCACCTCGCGGCCCACGCGCATCTTTCCCTTCCCTAGATCGCCCGCCGCGTCATCCTCCTCGCTCTCCTCATCCTCCTCATCCATACGCCCCCTCTCCACCACCGCGGTAGAAACATTAACCGGATCGCTAAAGCAATATTCAGGAATTTCATAGCGATGACCGGACTCATCATAGACGCCTCTTGACAGATCCCCTGTCCATATCTATCAGCACTCGTCCCCCACCCCGTCCCCCCTCCTCCCCCTCCCATCGGAATCCCAGAGTCACCTACCAGTCGGCACAGTAATCCCCGCCGCGTCGACAATGCCCTGAGCAGTACTCAGATCCATCTGCAGCATTTCCGTGGCCGCCCTGAGCGCGCCCCAGATCTCGGGTCTTCCGGTAACCCTCGTGTCCCAGAACTCGTTGCGCGCGCGCTGCAGCGCCGCGGACGTCACAGCCCGCTTGCTGCTCCAGGGAGGCTTGCGCACTAGCGCGTGGTTGTAGCGGTCGCTGAGCGGGATCGGGGGGTGCGGAGGGTGTTGTAGGTGCGGATGGTGGTGACGGTGCTGGCGGGAGGGTGAGGAAGGTGGTGGGAGCGGTGGTGGGGGAGGCGGTGGTGGTACGTGAGCCCGCGGCGATGCCACTGTTGATGTCCGCAGCTGTTGCGTCTCGGTGTCGGCGCCGCTGGCGGACCCGGCGGACGGCACGGGGCGGGAGATGCAGCATCCCATTTTCTGCGGACGAGATCACACGGAGGGCATGGGATGTGAGTGAGTATGTATGGTAGGCAGGTGGTAACGGTGGTGGTGGTGGTGGTGGCGGGTGAGCAGTGGTGGTGGTGGCGGGTGAGCAGTGGTGGACGATGGACGGTTGGCACGAAACGGAACGAAACTCAGGGTCCACGCAGGTCACCAGGAGTAACCAACCAACAGCAACAGGAAAGTGGAGGAGGGAAAAAGGGAAAAAGTAACTTTTCTATGTATGATGTATGTAACCTGCACCGAGGGAGGGAGGGAGGGAGGGAGGGGGGAGGGGACCTGAGTGAGTGAGTGAGTGAGGGTGCGAGAGTGTGAGTGGGGGAGAATGGCAAATGGTAGGTATGGTAACTAAATGGTCATTCGCGAGGAGGGGAGAAGAGAGGAGTGCAGAGGAGATGGAGTGCGACGCCAGCCAGCCTGACCACGCCACCGTCCTGAACCGCATTGCGTTGTACGACGGGACAAGCAGAAGAAAAAAGGAAGGGATCCGAAGCTGCATGCAGAAAGGCCGCGTGTGGGGGGACGATGATGAGTGTGTGAGGAGGTCGAGAACTCCAGAGTCCAGAGTACTTGCGTAGTTGTGCTACTGTGGGGAGCTGCAGCCCCAAATGCCATCTATTTGGAGCATCTGAAGACTGGAGCAGGTAGAGCCTGGAGCCTGAGGTAACAAGCACTCTACCGGCACTCTCCAGGCCTAAGCGACGAATTGCTATTTGCGGGCAAGAGCAAGGCTTCGTATCGCACCCCATCGCATCGCCTAGCAGCCACTCTAATTCACCACAAGACCACTCATCGAGTCCAATCCATCAAACGATAGGTACCATGCAATCCGTCAAGACAGAACCTCCCATTAATTAAAATACTATCTTGCGACTCTCCTCTCCCGAGTTGTCGGATTGAAAACAAAACGAAAGCGAGAATAAGCAAAAAAATACACAACGGATGCGTGCAGTAAACACAAACAGTAAAAAGATAGCGTGTAGTGAAACCGAAACGACACTCCCCCAACCCCAACCCCAACCCCAACCACCACTACCTCCCAGCCCCGCCACCCCTATTGATACGATTATTACTATTTCCTATGGCTGCATCACCACCAAAATAAGAAAGACGAAACACAAATGGACACTATAAAACATGCGAGCGAATCATCGTGTTGTGGCAGGAGAAGATGCCACATACACGAAGAAATTGGTATCCAAGAAGCAACACGCAACGAAATTAAAGAAAAAGGCCGTCAGGGAGGAAGATGTGACTATAAACACAAGGAGAAACCCATTTCAAGCAGAGAGTGTGGAGGCACCACAGGCAAATAAACACCGTCAACAAAAAGCAGCTCGCAGAACGTTAAACATTAAGGCGCTGTAACTCGAAAATTGACCGACAAAACTTGCACAGGAATGTTATGCCAGGTGTGCAAAATGGGTCAAGAGGAAGAGAAAGAAACAAAAGTGACTTTTTTTTATGCGGCCGCCTGTACGGGCTTAGCTGCCGTCACATCGCTGACTGCTGGTGCAACCTCGGCGGGGGTCTCCTCGGGCTTGGTCTCGGTCTCCTTGACGCCCTCAGCGGTCTCCGGCACGGCCTCCTTGGGAGTCTCCTCCTCGGCAACGGCGGCAGGGGTGGCAACCTCCTTGGCCTCCTTCTCGGGCTTGCCAGCCTTGCTTACTTTGCGCTTCAGGCCTTCGAGGAAGCCCTTGGGGACGGGCGAAGTGGAAGGCTTGGTGGTGCTGGGCTCAGCATCCTCAGAGTCAGACTTGACGTCCTCGGCCTTCTTCTCCTTAGCACCAAATCCGAAGAAGCTCGACTTTCGCTTCTCCTTGGGGCTAGTGACGGCGGCATCCTTGGGGACCTCGACGGTAGCCTCCTCGGTTGCAGGAGCGATAGGGGCGACCTCCTTGGGGGCCTCGATGACGGGGGCGGTCTCGGCGGCAGCGGCGGCAACAACGGCGTCGACCTTGTCCTCGATCTTCTCCTCGACGTGAGCCTTGGGGGCAGGGCTCTTGTCGCGCTTGGAGAAGAAAGAGAGGAGGTCGCTCTTGGGAGAGGTGGGCGTCTTGCGGTCGTCCTTCTTCTCCTCGTTGGCGGCAGGGATGTCGATGACAGGGGCGGTCTCTGCGACCTTCTCGGTGGTCTCGGTCTCGGCAGCGGGGGCAACAGCCTCAACCTCCTTACCCTTCTCGGTGGCGGTCTCCTCCTTCTTGGGTCCACCAAAACGGGAGAAGAACGACTGGCGGTTCTTCTTGGGCTCGGGGCGGGTCTCCTCAGGCTTAGCCTCCTCCTCAACGGGCTTGGTCTCAGCGGCGGGCTCGGTGACGGCGACATCGACTATTCCCAATCAGTATCGTGATTACCGAAAAAATAATTAAACTCGGATTTGCAGTCCAAACTCACCACCAGGGGCAGGGGCAGCCGGAATCTCAGTGGCATCGAGCTTAGCGGGCTCCTCAACCGCCGCGGCCTCCTCCTTCTTGTCCTCGACCTTCTCCTTCTTGTTCAGGAAAGGAACGTTGAATCCGGAGATTCTCTTGTTCTTCTTCGACTGGGAGCGCTTCATCTCCGTCTTGTGCTCGGTGGCCTCCTCGTCAGAGGTCACGGCAGTCTCGGGGACGACGGCGTCGGTCTTGGCCTCCTCGGTGACGGGCTTGGCGGCCTCCTCCTCGGTGGTCTCCTTGTGCTCCTCCTTCGTAACAGCGGGCTTCACGAAAGCAGCAGCAGGGTTGGCTACAACAACAGTCAGAGCCCGATCCAAAGCACTCCAGGGAGGAAATAGATCAAAACTTACAAAGCTTCTCCAAAGCGGCCTTGTACCCCTCGGACTCGTGAACCTCCTCGGCAGTGGTCTTGGCCTCGGCGATCTTGGTTTTGAGGGTGAAGACCCAGCTGTCACGCTCGGCAGCGGGGGCCTCAAAGTGCAAATCACCGGTCGACAGCTTCAACACGAACTTGTTGGAGCCGCTCTCGGTCACCTCGGTGACATCCGAGAGCTTGATGATGCCGTGGGGGTGCTTGTGGCCCTCATCCTTGGAGTAGAACCACAGTCCCTTTCCGGTCTGGAGCGCGTACGCGCACGTCGCCTTGGACGAATTGTCCTTGTGGAAGTAAGTCTTGAGGTCCGACTCGGAGATGGCATCCTCCTGGAAGTAAAAGAATCGCTTCTGCTTGAAAAAGCTGTGGACGCGAGGATATCATTAGTTAGCCACTAGAACCGCAATCGGCAAGGATTAGGGAGGGGGGTGGGGGGAGTGGCCCATGGAAGGTGGGCCGGAACAGGTAAGGAACATACGATAGCAGGCCACGATGCGACTTCTGCAGAGCACCCTCAGTGATCTCCTTGGGCTCCGGCTTCTCCTCCTTCTTGTCCTCTACAGCCTCGGTCTTTGGTGTCTCAGCTGTCACAACGACGGGGGCTATTGGCACGGTGTCGGTGATGGCGGGTGTGGCCTCGGGCTCGACGAGGGTGGTGGCCTCGGTGGGCTTGACGGACTCCTCGGGCTTGAGATCGGACATGTTGGGAATGTGGGTGGGTGGGGTTTTGTTGTAAGAGGATGGATTAAAAGGGTGTATAGGGTATTGGTATTGGGATGACTGGCGAGTAATCAGGATTTAAGGTCAGCAAGAGCTCCGTACGAAGTGAGATCGGGACGGAAGCTGTGGCTGGTAATGGAGGGGGTGGTGAAGGGGGAAATGGAAGGGGATCAGATGGGCGGTTGGCAAGTGCAGTTCCGTTTGACTATGGGGGGGAGGGGGGTGGGTGTTACGTACAGAGGGGGTACTGTGTATTTTGGAGGGAGAGAAACACAGAAGCAGCACAAGAAGCGGAGAAGGAGGGAGGGAAGAGGGAAGAGAGAAAGAAGTAGAAGAAGTGGGAGAGTGGTGTGAGGTGGGTGGGGGATGAAGAAGAGGAAGAGGAAGAGAAGGAAGGAGGAGGAGGAGGAGGGCAAGGCAGCGATCGAACAGTTACTCTAGAGGAGGTAGGAGGAGGTAGGAGGAAGCAGCAAGCACAGCAAGCCGGGCAAGGGTCTTCCTCCTGTTCGATTAGACAAGACTTTCTGCCCTTGGATCCCTCCACTCTTCTTCGTTCTCTGCTCGCCTGTCTGCTCTCTTTGACCGCCACTTCGAACCGATTGGCGTTAGATCGTGGTTGCGATGATATTGTCCACTCACACGTGCCCCTTGTTTTTTTTTTTTTTTTTTGCTGCTGCTGCTGCCGCATCGAAGCAGAGCAGAGCAATCGAGTCGTGCACATCCATCGGGAGTAGGATGATTCTAGATGGTGCTCGTACACGGAAACTACTGGCCCATACTTACATAGCCGCGCCCACTGACTGATGATCGATTGAACGATCGAATGGAATGAACGGCGAAACGAATGAGGGAACGAAGTCCTCACCGACTCGAGATGAGCCGTGCAGATAGGCCATACAGATAGGTGTATAGAGTACATTGATACCTCCAGCCCACTCCTATCAACGAACGCATCACAACGCAGCCGCCGAACTCTGCCCACTCCCACCTTCCCAGCCAGCAGCCAGCTCCTATGTATGGTACAAACTGTGCATCCATACAGAACTGCAACAGCCGTTTTCCTCCTTCTCCGCCGCATCCCATCCCTCCATCCCCATCCATCCCTCCATCCCCCCCGTCGTACTCTATGTACCCGCCGCCGCCGTTGCGTACACGGTACACGTCGTCGTTGTTGGTCGGGGTCGGGGGGGGTCGGGGGTCGGGGGTTTGTTTCCAGGATATTGCGTTCTGGCACCACCACCGCGTCAACAACCCAACCCACAGAGGGGATGGGGAGGGGGGGAGGAGGATATATATTACTATACATACCCAGCCCGACCGTTAACGTTTCAGCATCCAGCAGCTCATATCTCCGGCGGCGGCAGTGGCAGTGGCATCGCCATCAGTATCATCGTCGTCTCGTCCCTGCCTATAGAGTAAGTAGTGCTATCTATGCTATGCTGTAGAGTAAGGCACCTACCTTCATATCCACGACTCGCAGCTTACTCTACTCAGATACTCGCCAGGCCCTTTTCCTCGCTTTACCTTACTTTAAAATTGACCTGCTTCTTTACTGCTGCTTGCTGCCCCAACGCAACGCTACCCTGCGCGGCCTGAGCCTAATCGTTCGTTCGGTCGTTCAAGCTCAGACTTTCGTCGCTACTAGTTGGACTCTAGCACGCTCTGGCTCTAGCTCGCGTTCGCTAAATAACGCTTTGCCGACATGATGCTTTGCTTTGCCTGCCCGCCTCGCTCCCTGCCTTCCCAGAGTGTGTTGTATGTAACTAAGGCACCGTGTCCGATCCGCTTGTACATGCCCCCTCCGCCTGACCCTCATTTCGGCGAGGGGACTTGGCGGGATTTGCGGTGGTTAGTACTCTGTGGTAGGGACGGTGGGGATTTCCTAGAGAAGATAGGTAGAGGGTAGCTTTCGATACTTTCACATGATATGGAGTCCCTCCTCCTCCGACTCCTATGTATGATGAGGTGTGTAGATACGGAACCCGGCTGCTATCGGCTGGCGGGCGCTATCTACGGTGTGATCGCCCTTGCTCTTGCTTCAACTCGTTCCTTCACCCGCAACTCCATCCTCGAACTGCTCGAGCGTCTCAAGCTCCTGCAGAAACTCGTACAGAAACTCGAGGATCAGGAGCAGTAACGGGAGCAGGAGCAGGAGCAGGAGGAAGGGTACGCTAGGTACTTAAGCACGCAGGTACCTGCAACGAAAAAGGAAAAAAAAAAGAAACGACACGAAAAGGAACGGCGCGAAAAGGAACGGCGCGAAAAGGAATGACGTGAAGAAGGAAAGAAAAAGAAGAATCCCGCCCCCAGTCCGAATTTGATGCTGAATGGGGAACCGGGGAAGTGTTGAAATTCGTGTCTATGGCTCTATGCTTTGGATCTATGTGTCTATACAGCGTACCGTAGGAGCACCCATACATCTTTACATACTCTCTACCTTCTCCGACAGCAAAGAAGCAGAAAAACGATAACCCACAACCCACCTGTGCTCAGAGCTACCCACTGATCTAGACTCCGCATACCCGGCCATCCTAATCTCCCAGTATCTCCCAATCTCCAACGTCGTCCGCAAAAAAAAGAAACCCCGAACTACGCCTAGAGCAGCTTCGAAGCACCGGACCTAACGTTCTCTACTCTAACTTACCGTAGTGGGCTTCACCCCTTTTCTCCTGTAGTTAGTCAGGTACATAGGGGAGATCTCTACATAGGGACGACGGGAGAACGGACTCCTTACCCTGCCTTCTGCCTTAAGGAAAGGGATCATACGAGGCTACCGCGGTAAGGTAAGGGACTCGGACTCAAACTCGGACTCGGACGCGGACATGGACTTGGACTCGGGCTTAGGCTCGGGACGGAGATGGATGGCCGGTGATTGCCGTTGAAGTAGAGTGACTTCGGTAGATGCTCAAAGTACTTTAGATACATGACATAAAGCTCCCGCTCGCCCCCCCCCCTCTCCCAAAAAGCCTAAGGTCATCATCATCATTAACATTGTCGCCTCCGCACCACAGCATCCGATTAACCATCCATCACCTGCCTTCCTTCGAAAACCATTCTCACGTGCACATCATCACACAAACCCCCGCCACCAAAAAGAACCACGAGACACAATATTTGCACCCACCACACCCATCAATATTTGCCTTCCATTATCATCTACCTGCCTACCTACCTCCTACATACCAAAGACTCAGACCAAGTCCAAGACTCGGAGGACCAAGCCCAAGACGCAGACGCCGTCCTTCGTTCCGTTCCGTTATCCAGCGCTGGTGAGAACATAACTGTGCGCAACCCAAGTCAGTCAGCCGTGCGACGCTGTACAACATGCATGAAACAGCAGCATCACGTGTGCAGTTCCTCGCGCATATTGAGGGGCGAGAAGAAAAATAATGAGTGGTGTGGGCGAGAGTGTGAGGGAGGGGTGCAGAGGGAAGAGGGAAGAAGCGGGGTGATAAGCGAAAGAAAGAAGTATGTGCGATAGATAGGGCGCATTTCAAGCGTGACGCCCTACGCAACGCAACGCAACGCAACGCACTTGCTCATTCTCCATCGGATGAGGGGGGGGGGGGGGGGGGGGGGGGGGTAAATCAGACGGATCGAAAGACTGGTCACACGTTATGATATGCCGCCTACGTACCTAGTGATTGCGTGCATTCGTTCGGTCGTCAACCTAAGCGATCATTACGTTAATAACCTTGGGAGTCAAGCCATCCGCGGGGGAAGTCGGATGGGGGGAAAGGGTGGATGAAACCCAAGACTTACTTGAGAGCGATCCTCAGCAGCTCCGTGGCTGCCTCGCCATTCTGGATCTGCAGCTTGTGCCACGACTTATCGTCCATGACCCACGCGACCGTATCCTTCTCGGCGTACACGGTTGCACTGCGCACTGTTTCCGAGAAGAAGGGAAGTTCTCCGCACGTGGTTCCTATTGCGATCTCCATATCAGTGTCTGATGACGTAAATCAGCTGGACCGGATAGTGAGGGGGAGGGACGTACCGGCCACAATGCTCTCCGAGAATCGTCCTTGATCGAGATCGTATTCTGCATGGAACATACCATCTTCGATAAGGAAGAATTCTGTCGAAACATCCTATACCCCAGAACCAATCAGTCAGCACGATCGTCTTGTATCCCCCCGGCCATGTGCGTGCCGTGGTTGTGTCGGATGTGCTGCAGTCGGTACCGCTATATGCGAGTGATAATCCAAGACAGTCTCCGGGGGTTGACATCTACAGCGGCAGCCCCGGGGCCAATGACAGCCTTGCCCAAAGACTACCCGCAGTCGGTACCGAATGTCCGATGCGATGGAAAAGCACAACAGAAAAGTAAAAATCGAAAAAAGAAAAAAGAAAAGAAAAAACTGACCCCTCGCTTGAAAACGACCGTCCCCTCTTCGTAAAACCTCTTCTCAAAGAAGCCACAAACACTAAACCAAAAGTCCTCATTCTTCGACGTCATTCCTTGAAACGTCTGGAGTATTAGCGGCAACGGCTGTCGGAAGCTAGCCCATTTCGTGCTCTGCGCAACTTCATCGCTACCCAGCGTTGTCTGCGCCGCGTTCTGCACTATAGTACGCCGCGGCGATGCTGTGGCCGGGTGGAAGGCATCCATGATGAAGTTGGACGACTTGGGAACATCGAGGAAGGATGCGGTTTTTGGTCGCTTGGGCGTATAGAGTGCTTTGAGGAACTCGTTCTCGGTGTACTCGAGTGCCTCGTTGAGGGTTTCAAAGACTAGACCGCTGGTGTGGTCGTCGCCCCACACACCGACGGCGCGGAGGGCACTACCAATCTCCCCACCACGTGTTACACCACTCAGCACCATCTCCACACCTCTTGTAGCCATGAGCCGTTGCATCCGGGTGAACGCCTCGGCGGCCGAGAAGTCGATGCCGGAGACGTGGAGCAGATCAATGATGACGAAGCGGGTTGTGTGCTGATCGTCGAAGAGACCCCGCACGCGGGTTTCGACCGAGGCGATAGTACCGAAGAACATGTACCCTGCAAGCTTGATGATCTCCACCTGCGCGCCGACTTCGCGGAGGAAGCGTTGCTGCGTGGGATGTCTCCGGACCGTGGACCGTGCAACCGTGCCCGAGTATGTGGCGCGAATCGGCGATTTTCTCGAAGTCTGAAGGACGAGCGAAACACAGGCGAGCAAGACACCAACCAGAATTCCAATCACAAAGTCCCATGCACCCATGGTCACCACAATGGCACAAATCTACGATTCCGATCATCAGTATCAGTGGTATTTACGGCGAAGAAGAAGAAGAAGAAATATAAAAAGTCGGGTGACATACCGTGAAGTACTCCAACTTGCTCAGCTTTCTCCACGTATCGACCAGCGCCTCCTTCATGAGCTCGATTCCGAGGAGGAAAATGAGCGCACCGACGACCATGACGGGTATGTACCCCACGACTGCCGGTCCTGCCGCCATTATCGCAAAAGTTCCCACAGCCAACATTATGCCAGCGAGACGGCTGTCACCACCGGCCCGCATGAAGAGGATCGAGTTGCTGTAGACCAGATAGTTCTGAATGCTCCCACTGAAGCCGGAAAGTGCGTTCGAGACTCCGTGCGCAATCAATTCTCGGTTCACGTCGACGTCGTCGATGCCCGTGGACACTGCAAGTGCAGGAACATTGATGGGGACGTGGAGGATACCGAAAAAGGTGAGCGCAAACATGGCTGGAACCGTCTTCATGAGGGCAGTCCAGTCAACGGCACCAAAATCTATGCCCAATTAGCATCGATTGCCGGTCCGACCACATAAACCAACCGGCCCTATAACCAAGTACATACCGTAGAGAGTGTAGAAATGGTAGAATGGAACTCCTGAAGCCGGAGCACTGAATATCCAACCGGTTCCTCGCAAGTCGGGAATGGATAGATTCGGAATCGCAAAGACAACAATATGGAAGATGACCGGGATGGAAAGAAAGTAAAGCGGCATGAAGAGTGTGCTTTTGATGACCTTCTGGCATAGTATCAGTCCCCAGGCCAGGATCAGCGGAATAATCCATAGAGCAAACGTGGCTGGTTCGAACAGAAGGGCGAGCGTCTCGAAGTTATAGCTAAGGTTTCCGTCGAGTCTCGCGCACACTTCGAGTCCCGTAGCCAGCAGGAACCATCCAACACCACCGATACAGCCAACCAAAATGTGTCTGGGAAAGAACCCGATCAAGGACCCTAGCTTCAGATAACCCAACGCGAAGAAGACGGCGCCAGTGAGGACTGAGCTCATCGCATAAGAGAGAATCGTCGTTGCAAGGACCGACTTCGGATTGTCTTGGCCAACTTCCGCTAGAATCGTGAATGCCATCTTATGGAAGAACGGTACAACTTCGATCTACGGCGATTTTTAGCAAAGGAAGGAACTCATGAGGAGATTCCGAATCCACGGCGGTAGGAAACATGGGTGAGAGAGAGCCATACCATTTCTGATCCGATTCCTCCCTTGAACGCACTGCCTCCACATGAATACACGAGCTGGGATACGATACACGATACGTAGAACATGGACAATCCATCGGGGCCCAGATCACTGAAGATGCTCTCTCCCAACGGGAACAAAATCATACCTTCAATCGAGATCTCAGCATCAGAATGCGCCCGAAAAAGAGTGAGGGGACCACTTACCGTATGACAGGCCGTCCAGCACGTTCAACAACAGCCCCAGTAGCACCGAGGGGAGGAGGCTCACCGGCTGTACCACTCCCTGCTTCCACACATCTCGCGCGGTCACTTTCCGCTTGGGACGGAATTTCCGTACCGCATGTGCACCGTTCGCCCCGAGCCATTTGCGCGCACCGTCCAGACCGCTCCGTCGAAACAGGGATTCATGTCGGTACTGCGACTCCAGGTCTTGAGCCGACTGCGCCGGTGCCACCGTATGATAGAAAGCGTGCACATCATCCGTCCCATAGTTCTTCGGCAGTAGCGAATCTCTCTCGGTCGCCACGGTCACGACGGAGACTTCCCTCGCTATCGGAGGTGCGACGGGTGCCAAGGGAGGTGATTTCGGGGGCGAATTGTCGGCGCTGAACAACCGCGATAGGTGCGACGGGCTCGCAGGACGTGTGTGCAGCGAAGAGACCAGCGACCCCCGACGACCCTCGGGGTAGCCCGAGTGCGGACCATTCCGTGACCCTGGCATCGGTCGTCCCGGGAGTCTCAGAGGCGGTACGTCGGGATCGTGGGCGCTCGGAGACATTCGCGGAGAAGTTCCCAAGGCATCCGAGAGCACGATGTTGGCCAGCTCTGCCGTCTGTTCTCGCACGCCGACGGACGCGTAATGAGGCCAATGATCGGAGGAGTCTGCGGTGAATTTCATTGTCAGTGATTAACTCGGACCGATCAGTATTGCTGGCACCGCCGTCCCCGCCAATGCCACCGCCGCCGCCGCTGGAGGAACAACGAACCGCCATGGTGCTGACTGCCGTGGAGATACGATCGGGCTCTGTGCGAGCCAAGTATGACGGGGACCTGGAGAGGAGTCGAATTCGAGGACATGATGACGGCTGTGTCGTCCTCCTCCTCGATGATCACCGATCCCCTACGGGCCCGAGTGGAGGGCCTGTCGTCGTCCGTGTCCGCGGTGCATGGGCGCGCAGCACGAGCGTCGGACGTGCTGGCCTGGTACGAACTCGAGAACATGGTGGTGACGACAGTGGCGGGCGATGCAAGGATCTTCGGATCCGCACGACGGAGTCGTGGGATGGGCGGGGGAGAGACGTGAGCGTCTTCTTGATATCGTGCGGGCGGGGACGTATTTTTCTTCTTTCTTTCTCTCTCTTTCTCGGAGGTTTATGTTTTCTTCTGTTTTGCTGTTTCGGATATTATTACGTCAATTGGTTGCTCAATCGCGAACGGGATGGTAGTACTACTACTATATACCGGTACTATGATAGGTACGGTAGTGTAGGCGGAGGAAGAATCCGAACCTGCAGCGCAAGCAACGCGGAGAGAGGGAGAGAAAGAGAGAGAAGAGAAGAGAAGCGAGACGTACGAAGTCGATAACGAATGAATGAATGAACGCGCAGCTTCTGGCGGGCTCAAACCAGTTTTCCGGAGAGATGCAAGAGTCTGGAATCGGGGCGGGAAGAAAGCACGTCGAGGACTCGAGGCGGATGCCCAGGCTTAGTTACGAGAGCTTTTTGATGGCAGCGGCCACCATGTAGATAGAGTAATACCGTAAGCAGTTATCTGCTATCCATCTGCCGCGCCTTTTGCCATTGTACCGGGGTTTCCGCATCTCGCAAGCATCCCGAGTCGTGCCACAGGGCAGACGCATAGGTGAGAAGTAGGCAAGAAGTGGTACTTGGATATGTACGGTATATTCCAGCTTACAGCAGACCGCTAGAGTACTCTACTGTAGAGTGCTGGCCCCCTCGGTGCCGGACGCATATATTTCCGCACTGTGCAGCCGGTCCCACAGTCTTCAGGATGGACGGGCGGGATCCAGTCCTCGCAGGAAGAATTGAACGGCGAGCTGGCGAACCTGGAACTTGGAAGATCGAGGCCGCCTTCGTCTTCATCCTTTAACCAAGTGCAAGTACGAACATCACAAGCTCGAGGCGTTCGCGACGGTGAGGGATGATATTCGCGAGTGGCAACGAAAAGCCACGCAGAAAAAGGCGGAAGCCTGAAGGAGAAGAGTTTTTTTTTCTTTCTTTTTTTCTTTTTCTTTTTCCCCCCTTCCCACTGGGCCTACCGGCCGGCGATGATGACGCCGCCTGGATGGTTCGGGTGCAGAGGTGCAGCGGTCAACGTGGGGGTGTGCATGTGCAAATCGTCGTCGTCGTCCCGGCGCGGTGCGTCCTCCAGGCTCTCCAGGCTCCTCCAGGCTCTCCAGGCTCCTCCGGGCTCTCCAGGCTCCTCCAGGCTCCTCCACACAAATAGTATGTATGAGTTGACTGCGTGCGTTGGTTGGTGGATCATCCAGACCGCTTCCTTTCCAAAACCGAGACCTCCCTGAGCCCTCCCTCGCTCGCTCGCGGCTCGCTTCCGCTTCCAACTGTCAACAGCGGTGTCTCACCCAGCTAACTACTTTGCATCATGCATGGCCGGTCCGGCACGCACCTAGAGCACCGTTCCTAGTCTCACCCGGCTGGCCGCTGGCCCATGTGTGGGGTCGCAAGTCGCAACTGCCGCCGCCGCCCCGGCTGCAGCAGCAGCATCGGAGCGGTGTGAGGCGGCCACTGCAAGTCGGTACGTCGGTAGAATAGACATGGAATAGGTGGAATAGAATATCGGTAGTACCTACCACGTTCTATCACTCTATTACTCTGCCTATACCACCTATACCGGTACTGCAGTGCGAATGCACCTCGCGCCCATCGCCCATCGCCCATCCAGCTGTCTCCCGCATTCTGCAGCAACATCTGTGCCAGTGTGCCAGTATGCCAGTGTGCCAATGTGCCCGGAATGCCATGATATATCATGTGCACTCCAGAGTACCGACAGACCAGCGGTGCACGGCGGTACGTCTGTACATAGTACCGTAGGCATGTTCGGTGACTCGGTGAGAGCTCGGCCAGTGCTGGAACGAGCACTTGATCTACCCAAGCACTTGGTTGTGCCGCTGCGCCGAATTGCCTACCTACCCGCCTACCTGCCTACGCACCGAAGGGAGCTCCAGCCTTAAGGCACCTATCATGTACTCCATGCATGAATACCGCAACCTGCCCCCCGCCTTTCGTCATTCGGGATTCGGGCCCACTTCGCTCGCTCAAACAGCACATTTCATGCGCGGAGGCGGGGGCGGTGGGGCGGAGCGGGGCGGGGCGCATCCGTGGAAGTCTTCATGTATCATGTCATGTGCTGTGAATCATCGTGAGTGAGAATCGATGACGCCGCCCACGGCAGCCCATTGCCAGCCATTGCGTACATACGGTACATCATAGCGGAAGCATCGTGATTAGTGATTCTTCCCTCGGCTTTGGTGATCGACCAGCTGGTCCTAAATTCTGCCGGACCCCGGGAACCTGACGCACGTAGCATATGAGGAGCACAACTTAAGCACGGAATCGATCGTTCCAATTTCATATCAAGCGGCTTGTATTGCGCAATGTGCAGTGCGGACGAGACATTGGTGTGGACCGTGTGGTGTTTCATCATCTTGCATTCGACCGGTTCTGGCTGTGCAGCTGATACTCTGGAGTCTAGGTACGCTAATCCCGTGCCACGAGTGATACACTGTACCGTACATACCACCCCACCTGTCGGTAGGACTGTCCTGCTGTCATCGGTGTCCCCGGGGTACCTATGGTTGAAGCCGGAAGTCAACAAGTGACCAGTACTGTAATAACATTTGGCGAAGTACTGTACTATCATGGCTCTGCTCGGCCCTAACGGTTGTTGAATAGTAGCCACCGTAACTGATCCTCAGTCGCCCCATCACGCCTCAAACTATATACCGAGGTTTCCTTCATGTAGACACTGGAGTCGGCTGGGGATAGTTACGATGGCATCCCGGAAAACGGGCTTTCCACCGGTGTAGATATGTCGTCGGTATCGCCGTGTTTTTGCTCCGTCAGAATACCTACTTACCTACTGGTTCATCGGCCACCGGGTGCTGATGGCTGGCTGTAAAAAGTACCGTAAACACAACAACACGATGGCTGGCCCTCCATACTCCGGACCCAGTATGTACATCTTTCACGTCAGCTTTTGGGGGCAGAGGATAGATATCCAGCCACAGTGCACATCGGCGCACAACCTCCTTGCTTGGATGTGCGGTTCCAGTTCCAATTCCAGTTGACTGACGAAATGTGGCTGGAATGCAAATAGTGACCGCCGGTATGTACCTACATATTCCACATATCCCGATACATATTCCGCGAGTACCTACCCACCTACCCACCTACCTAGACGATAGGTACGGTATGCGTTAACCCATTTGCCGTCGCCATGATGATGCGGGGGTGGGGGGCATTTCCACGTGCCCCTTTGCACCAGGTACGATAGGTATCCGCCACCACCTCCGCCGGCACCGCCACCACCACCACCTCCTTACTTCTGCGGGGTCGTCGTGACGGAATGTGCCTAGAATAGAAAGCGGAGGCTCGGTGGCTGGTACCTAGGCATTCGGTGTGCCGTCCCGTGGGCTGCCTTGGTCCTTGGAGCTGCCGGGATCGTCCGGGCGGCGGTGGAGGGGCAGCATGACCGTCCCGAGCTCGGTTCTGTGGTGGTAGATCGACGAGTATCGATTGGTGCAGGTATTCCCGTACTTCGACTCGAGATGCACGGATTTCCATCTAGTGATGTCCTCATCCTCATGCTCCACGACCAGTTAGCCAATAATCCCATCGAGGCATCAATGGTTGCTCCGTTACCCTTCACCGCATTGTTGCTTCCGAAACCGTAAGGAATGCCGAAGGGGGAATACCTAAGGCGGACGTGAGGGGGTTGATCGAGTATGTATGCTGAGTAGAGGCTGCTAAGAAACTCACTTGGGTATTTCGGGGGAAGGGGGCACGGCGGATCGCGGCCCGAGGGGAGGGCTGAAGTACGGGGTGCACGGAAGGGAGATAGGGAGGGAGATGGGGAGGAAGATGGGGAGGGAGATGGGGAGGGAGATATGCACCTAGGGAGGGTGAACAAGCCTCCACTGCCCAGGGGAAAGAACCAGCCGCCGGGCTGCACATGATCCATAACCCATCACGCGGTGGTAATCGAGGAGAACAGAATATGGGGCAAGGCCGCCACCGATTCTGATGCTCGGGCAGGACTGCGGAGGGCCTAATTCCAGCATCAAGCCAACGACTTAAGAGTCGTAATCGCATGCAGGCCCCAGGGCACAGCTTGAACGCTTCAAGCTCCAACGGGTAGGTATCTGGCATCGAGCCTCGACGGCAATGAACAGTCCAGCATCAGACAGCCGCATGCAACAGCCCTCAGCCTCCACGAAGGTACCGAATACCTAGGTAGCTGGAGTACCTATAACCGGCCGCGGACTTTGCTCAGATCAGCTACATAAAGTACTAAGGTAGGACATCACCGAGAATACTCGAACCCACTGCCCACCTAGGCCTGCACCTGGATAGACAAACGCATTAGCAAATATTACACTTAACTATCGGCAGCGGACAGCGGGGGTAGTGGACAGCTTGTAAGGCGCTGACGACCAGCAACCTGGCGGTGTCCCGGTAAACTGTACCTATACCCACCAACCGAAATCCCGTTCACGCTCTGGCCAGGCCGGGCCAAGTTCCCTCCACGAGTGACCGGGTGGAGGAGGAGGAGGAGGGCGACCGGCATCTATACCGTAGGTGGTGTATACGATCCAAAACCCCAGCAGACCCGCGAACACTTCTTTGGAGACCGTCCGGCATGAGGAGGGGCAGGGTGGCGGCCAGGGGAAAGACGAAGAAACGGAAGGTTGAGGTTTTGATAGGTATCTAAGCTTTTTGCGGAAGAAAAGCGTAGCTCAGCCACACTTGGCTTTCTCATGGGCACGGATATGGGCCGGACAAACGCAGGAAAGGTGGGAGAGGAACAAGTGGAAATGGGGGAGGAAGGCACTGCCAACGAGCCAGACATCACATGATGGAGACACCGAGTAGCATCCTGAGAGAGGCGGGATATGTATGCGCTAAAATTTATGACGATCGGACATAGTCGATCTCACTACCTATGATGAGAAGAAAGAAAAAACAATTAACCGAACTCACTAACTATGATGTGAAAAAGAACAATCAACCGAACTCCGCGTCTATCACTGAAAGAAACTCCCACAGAAAAAAGGAGAAAACCACACGAAAACCGAGACCTCGAACGCCCAAAGAGATCCACCATTGAAAGAAATGCCCACAGAAAACAGGAGAAAAACAGAAGAAACACGAGACCTCGAGCGCCGAAAGGGATCCACCATTGAAAAAACCCCACAGAAAAACACGGGACCACTCAAGCCCAGAGGAATCCAACGCAGCTGTCGCTGCCACATAGACAGGGCTTCGATTCCTTGTCGTCTTTGGTGGGAACAACCTTCTTGGTGGGAGCAGCGCTCTCACTGGTGTACGAGAAGGTGAGTTCCTCGTAGGGCTGGATATCGCGAGCCGTAAATAGGGCCAGGTTGTATATCTTGCCATCTTGCCTCTCCGACGTAACCGCGTACGTGAGTAAGTTTGGATCGCATGAGTGGTTGATGAACCTGGAGGCTGCTCCGCAATCGCGGCCGTCTATCGTGCAACACGAATCCTGTGCAAGGACATCTTCTCCCTGCTCGTGAAACTTGTCCAGGTCGAACAAGTAGCTGAGATTCATCTCATTACCGGCGTCAGCGCGGCGCCTCGTCTCTGTGGGACCGATGACTTCCCCAAGGTAAAGTTCAACAAAGGTGCCCTTCTTGAGGAACTCGGGAGAGCGAAGGCCTAAGTTCAGTCAGCATCATATAGCAATGAAGTGAACTAGTTGAATGTAGGTATTCACCCCATCCTTTGTTTGTGGTCTTAAAGATTTCCAGCTTGACCTTGCGTCCCTTCTGGACGACGCGGCTGGAACACTGGGGTCCGCAGTTGCAACGGGAATTGCACTCGAAGATGGCATATTGATTATTCCTCGTGATGCGGCCATGCTTGTCGTACTGCTTGCGGCCGGTTTCTTCCGGGAGCTCATCGAGGCAATCACAATTTTCCTTGTCGACACAGCCAGTCACCGGACAGCTGCAACCGACAGTAAAGTTGTTGTTCCACGTGGTGACCCCCGCGATCTCCTTCAGACTATCAGTCAATCTGAGTTCCTTGATGAACTCAAAGTCAAGAGGAGGACATGGCTCGTCGTCAACGCTGTTGACAAGAGTGATCTGCGGACCCTCGATCTTGGCCAATTTTTTGAGGAACTTGTGGTGTTTCGGGTTGGCAAGCACAGCGGGACGAGTCGGTTCATCCTTGTGCTCGTATGGCTTGGTCTTGGCGGATTTGGAAGCCATCATGCCTGGCTTCTTCTGCTATTTCACCTCAAGTTAGTAGGTTGGGATTTCGGGATTGAGGGACAGAGAATCTTACATTGTTTTTGTCCACCATGATGTAGGGAGGTTTTTCGCCGGCCACTAAATCCCAGATGGTAAAGGGCTCTTCTTCTTCTTCTTCTTCTAAGCTGGGCTCTCTCTTGGAGGTGTTGAGCAACTTCAGGCGCTTGGTTATGGAAGTTGAGTTTGATGCTCTGCGCTTGCGCCTAGTCCTAAAAACAAGTCAGAATAATCGACAAAAATAAGTGTCCTTAATGCATACCTCTCTTTCCACTGCTTGACGACATCCTCTAGTACACCCAGACACCGAGTTGGCTCCCAGGTGTCATAGGAAGGGCCCAAACCCTTCCATGTCACCCGGTACCACGGGTGCTACACGCGTCATCAGCATCATTGTCTTCAACTTATTTTAGATGAATACTCACTCCTCCGATGTATTTGACATCCACAACTTTGGTGGAGTGATTCTGTACGCAATTAGTTGGGTTGAGGCTCAAGTCTCTGGCTTTCAAGGCCCTTACTTCTGCCATCTGAATAGAAAGTGTTAGCAGGTATTATCAACAAAAATTCGAAGCAGAGCAGTGCAATTATATAAGCGATGGATGGTTTGAGAATGGAGAAACATTCGAGGTGCCAAAAAGAAACAAACCTTGTTGTAGTGACTTTTGTGTTTGAAGGCAGCTACAGGTGATCAAGGACTTCTAGATCACAGGGCAATCAGTACAGATGATCGTATGTATTGAAGTCTGTCAATGTAGATGTTTACATATCGTGATGAATAGAGAGTATGGTACTTACTGTGATCGGAAGGTCAATGGTGCTGAGAAGGCTGGGAGGATGTGTAAAGGGAAGAAGGTGAGGTGGATAAAGTTGTGGGCTTAAAAGGCGCTAACTATACGCTAGCGTCAGTCTTGGCACATCCATAGAGGGAAGTGAGCTCAAAAGACCGATGCCGGGCCAAAATCTACGCTAAGGTACTCTCACATGGGATCACGCTAATCTCTAACAGGAAGTGTCCCATCAGAGGAGGCAACTGGTCGGATGCCAAGCCTTTACCATATGAATGAACTGAAGTAGTATTTGTATAGTTCACTCAGTGAACTTCAAGGTATTGGAAGTTTTATATCTTGAAAACTGCTACTGAGCTGGAGGTGAGGTTGATAATAGTGGTCATGTGATGTGGTGGTGCCTTACCACTGTGAAGCTTCCTCCACGTCCCTGGAGGGGTATGCATATGTGAAGCATTCTTTATATCCCTGAAGATGTATGTAAAGCTTTCTTTATGTTCCGGGAGATATATGTCAAATTTTCTGTTGTTAGGAGGCACTGAACATCATGCACGTTCCTGAAGATGTTTGTGAAGCTTCCTGTTGTCGGATATCTCGGTCATGCAACATGCCGAACAGTCAATTTATCGTCATAAACTCGGGGTATTCCGTTCTTACTACGGTCCCAGCGACAATTGTAACAAATAAACTCTTCTCCTTCCCCTTCCCCTTCTCCTTCCCGTCCAACAACAGCAATCCAGGTCCAGGTGGTACACGATGCATGCAGATGCTTCTTCTGAGGTCTCCAGGAGCTGGCTGAGAGATCAGGTATCGGATTAAAAGTTGAAGTGCTTGGCCATCTAGCCCAAGAGTAAAAGGTCCCAAAGTATGCATGCAAGAATATTGATTTCAGGTGAGGAACTCGGAAATCTTCGATAAAAACAGGTCAAATTGCTTTCTATCGCTCCAGCCAGACTCAAAAATGTCTCAAAGCCCTTATAAGTCTCCATATAAAACACCTTGACCCTTTAAATACCGTCACCAAAATTCTCGAGAACTGTGAAGAACAGTTTCCGTTGAGTATTTGCCACAAGTGCAGATATGGCGGTGAATATTTCCCTGCCTCGGACCATTCCTCGAGTTGCCCTTCCTCCCTTGCCTCACCTCCCCCTCAAACACCAGGTGCCAGATACTGCTCGGTTCTGGCCAGTACAGTTCCCAACCCCTTGATGACCTCAGCCTGAAACGGTTCGAACGGAATGCGCTCCCCATCTATACTGATATACTCCTCTGTCACGCCAGGGCGCTTGTGTGGAATGATCCGGTAGCCTAGTATCTTTCGGTAGGACACCTATATTTATCGCGGAAAAGTCAGTGCCCGGAGACGGAGTTGAACCGGTATTACGCACGTGTGGCAGTTCGAAATGTTCTCCGGTCTCAACGGAAACAAGCATCTTCAAAGCTTGCCGACGGCTGATATTGCCGGCCACGCAGACGAGATCAAACATCCCGTCGTTCGGCAGCGATGCGGGGAAGAAATTCGCGCCGGCCGACATCCAGGACATCTATGTTGCACATGTTAGCCACCTCTCCATCGATGCAAGTCATCACCGCTTCGTTTTATCTTCGAAAGCACCGGGAATGCTAAGGGATAGAATAAAAGAAACCACAACGTACATTCCCAGCGTAGAAGTTCCCCATATTCGGCTGGTGGATGAGTTCCCAATCGTCCGGCAACTCGGAATTGACTGTGCCGAACCGCAACTCGGGAAGCCCCGTCTCGCCATGGAGAACCCCTTGCGCCTCGTGTTGCCGGTAATGTTCCCGGATCGTGTCTTTATCATCGATCGCGATCTTCACCGCTAGGTCGCATGGGTATACTGTTTGCCTCCATATTCGTTGCATCAGACCGTAAGTGAATCGCGCACCGCCCATCCATCGCAAGTCCTCCGTCCCAAGATCCACCTCGGCGATGATTCCAAACGATTGTGACAGGAAAGAGAGGAACCGCTGATCTCCCTGACTGATCGAAACAAGGTCCATGGACTTCCGTGAGGATTTGATGATCGATAATGTTGCCGCAGACGGGTCTCCCGTTCCTGTGAGATTCCAGCACATGGCATTTCCAGAACCTCCAGGTAGCTGACCCACGGCGATAGTCTTCAGCGCCTTCATAGCATCATCCCTCTTCGCCAACCCATTAAAAACTTCATGCGGAACACCATCGCCAGAACAACAAAGTATCGCATCGTAAGCCTCGATATCAATCTCGCGCGCGATATCGACCGCATGTCCGGTCCATTCCGTGGTCTGAACATCGAGAGAACAATTCGCCGCCTCCAAAATCGGCCTACACGCCGTCTCGAACAGCCGTGCTGCATTGCCCTGGCCGCCGAAGGGATTTATCAGGACCTTGTATCGTGGCCGTTGTATCAATGCTACCACAGGCTGTCAGCTGCCGCCGCACCTCGAGTATGACAGGAACCACGCACTGCCGTACGCCGCGCCCAGCACCCTCTCCGTCCACGCCTCGACCGCCGAGCGAGCCGGTAGATCGTACGGGTACGTAAGGCTGCTGGCCTTCACCCTCGACTTCGACGTCTCCGCCGCAAACTTTATCGTGACCGAAGCATCGCCGACGTCAACCCACAGCAGGTTGTAAAGCGGTATCGTCACACTATTCGCTGCGCCTACCGATCAGTCCTCGTTGCCGTGTCCACTTTCGTCCCGCAGAAGCTTACCGAGGTCGGAGGTGCCGGCGAATCCGCAGCATGACCGCGACGCGGATTTCGGAATGTGGGTATCTACAGGCCGACGTTAGCAGTTCCTCACTCCCGTGGGTAGCCCGGACGGCGGTAGACAGGCACCTTGGATATGTAGTGCTTCTGCTCCGATACTCAGCGAAAGCTGTTTCCCCAGGCTGAGGGTAAACTCGGGCCCGGGCCTCGCATCGAAGGAGGAGGAGGGAGAGGGAGTGCCCATGAGTGGTTCGGTTGACATTGGCGTCGTCGGCGTGGATCGTGGATATGCGGTACGGTACGGTGCGTTATAGGGCTTTTTTTCATCTGAAAGCCGGTAGGAGATGGGGAGGGATGAAATAGAAAAGGCAGGTTCGGACCGGAAAGCTCGGGAAGCTGTGTAGTATGCCTACCACTACCACCTACTTTAAAGCGAGCATGTGGTCAGGGAGAGAACGCGTGCCTGCGTTGTGCGCCTGGCGATTAGGCCAAATACGTAGCTCGCCCCGGCTCAGATCTGGTGGGGAGCCAGGTGCCCCACGAGCCCATCATGGGTTTGGCAGGCTGTATTGTACTAAGTTGGCCAAGCAGGAAATCGGCCGGAGAAGTTGATGAAGTAATTATGCAGGAACCGGAACAAGCAAAAAGCTACTTTCAGGTACGTAGGGCCACAGCCGCTGCCGCTGCCGTCCCGTTCACTTGATGATTTGGTACGCGCTATGCACAGTCGCCAAGGAGAACGTTGGGCTACTAGTAGTTACTGTCATACGGTGCATGCAATTATGCTCTGCAGCCTGTGGATCTGCTTAGGCTAGGAATCACAGTGAAAGGTGTACATGAAGCTCCCAATTGAAGGCCCGAATACTCTACCGGTACTGGGCCGCCGCCTTGCTACCAACATGATAGGACTCTTCAAATCGCTCGGCAATCACCCAATGCCACCACCACCACCCCACCTTTCGAGCCCACTTGAATTCGGTTGCGGGATGAGCCCTTTCACAAAGGACCACCCGTCCACGCGAACCACGGCATTCACTCCACCCTATCGCCATTCACTCCATAACCCAAAGAGCGTTGCCTAAACCATTGATCGGGTAAAGACATCCTGTAAGTACGGACAGCTATAGCGGGCATCTCACTATTCGGCCGGAAGGCAGTTTCTCGGGGAAGTGGTCGCCGGCCGGTATAGTATCTCGGGTTAGGTGAGCCATTCAACTCGAAACGACACCTAGTTTCTTCACCACCGCCCTCATCGAACACCCACGTAAACCTGTTGATATTCCCCAATGCTCCCGAAAGCCTAGTAAATCGCATCCAAACGCCATCGCCATCACCATGCCTCCCGTATTCCAGCGCCTCTGGCTACACACTTGTAACACCCTCCGGCATGGTAATCTCGATTCCCTCCTCGGTCGCTGCGTTGAGGATATACATCCCCACCTATCCCCATCAGCACGACATTCCACAATTCCGCCGGAGTTGAAGAGCTCACCTTCTTATCTGGCGCGCACGCAATCGCCAGCTTTCCATCTCCATCCTTGATATCGGTCTCGGCTCCGCGTTTCAACAGGGCGACGGCGGCATCACCATGGCCCTCGGCGATGGCATGATGCAACGGCGTGCAGCCATCCGCATCCTTCGCATTGATCGGGCTCTGATGATCCAGCAGCAGGTTGATAAGCGGGGCACTCCCCACCGCCGCCGCCCTATGAATCGGCAGCTGTCCTCTGCGGTCCTTCACCCTAGCGCTAGCCTTATGCGGCGGTCCCAGGAGCAGTCGGCACAGCGGGAAATTCTGCTTCGATACGGCGAAGTGCAGCGCCGTCTGCCCCGCGTTGGTCTTGGCGTTGACGTCGGCCCCGCGCGAGAGCAGGAACGAGACGAGGGATTCGCCGTCTTTGATCGAGCAGGCGATCTGGAGCGGTGTCCAGCCGCTGCCGTCCACCGCGTCCACGTCGAAGGAGGACTGGTCCGAGAGGAGCGTCACGATCGACAAGTGGCTGTAGCTTATTGCCCAGTGGAGCGGAAGGCGGTCGTCGCTGTCGCGGCGCGAGGCGAGCTTCGGATTCGCGAGGAGAAGCTCTTCGACCTTCGCATCTGGGTGGTGTTAGTATGGAGGTGTGTTGGTAGGTGGGATGGGGGCACGGACAGCGACCTTCGCGACAGGCTTCGTGGATTTCTTCGCGGTCGGGTAGGAGGGCTTTGTCCATTACTGATGGTGATGGTCTTTGATGTCGGAGATGCGATTATTGATGATGGTTGTGATTGGTGGCGGACTGCACGGGCACTTTACGTCATGCAAGTGCACGGTACATAATATAACTAACCCCACCATCCACCAGGTATCTACGCACAAGGTGTCACTTGCATAAACAACAGCCTCCCGACAACCAGATTTCAGACAGGCGGGCATAACATTAACCACCACGTCCTAACGCCCCCGAACTTTTAAACATCAACCGCCCTGACGACACCGCAGCCACCCTCGCCGCGATCCTTCTGCAGCGTCAAAACCCTCGTCGGCATCCTAACCTCGTCCATCCAAGTATCCGCACTCCCCGCCGTATCCCTCCTCATGACCGCATTAACCAGCGAGATCTTACTCTCCGACCTCTCCGACCTCCCCAGCCCGCCCGCCACATCCTTTTCCCCCGCCACACGGGCAACTCGGGATAACCGTCTACCACGACGGGTCCAGATGTACCCGAACATCGGCACCAGGATGAGGACGCAGCCGATTATCACGAGCATTATTATTGCCGCGGAATTGGTCATGCCGGGGATCAGCCGGGTGGGCGCATATGACGAGGAGTCCGGGGAGGAGTCCGAGTCCGTGATTGCTTCGACGACCGTGGCGGGGGAGGTGGCGATGGGTGTTGCTACTACGGCTTGCTCGGCCGACGCCGACGCCGTGGCTGGTAGGGGGGAAGCCAGGGCCGGGGAGATGAGTAACAGAATGGCGAGCGGTGCTGGGAACGATGGGGACATCGTGGCGATGTATCGGTGAATGTATGAGGTATGAGGTATGTATGGGTGGAGGTTGTCGGAATTCCCGGATCGCACACAGCCACAATCAAAAGAGCGAGGGTGGAAGTGAAAGCGAAAGCGAAAGAGCGGCCGAAGGAACGAGTGAGCGAGTGAGTGAATGAGTGAATGGAACTACCAGCACCGCCGCACGACTGTCAGCATACCTCCGAACACTCTTTCCAGTTCCCAGTTCCAAGCTCCAAATTCCAGGTCACCCACGATCATCACCCGCGATCACCGCATACATACCCTCGGAATAAGAAAACACAGTACAACGATCGATACCAATCCCAACCAGCTGTGCGCCTGTAACAAATCAAAAGAGAAACAACAAAAAAAATTCCTAAGCTTCGTTGCGGCGCGGGCGGACGTTCATGCCTAAGTACTAGCAGTAGGGAGTCCTCCCCCCCATCCCATCCCATCTTATCCCCATTCCACCACCCCTCGCTATTTCGCATTCTCATTCTCCCCTCCCACCTCCGCCCAATCCAATATCGCACTTCTCCGCCGGGAATCACCCCAGACACACCAGACATACACCCACCGAGGACACACACCGAGCATAGGTACACACATTCACACACACACACACACACACGCCCGCACACATACACATACACACACGAAACCGAAACCTCAATGAAGTTCGTTCCCTTCCCATTCTCGCAGCCCACGTTCCTTTTTTTGTTTTTGTTTTTATACTCTAAAGTAGCGCTGATACCCGGCTACCCCCTCCCCTTCCCCTCCTTCCCCCCACACACATTAAGCGCCCGCCTGTCCGCGACCTGTAGTATTTCTCCGGATGGCTGGCTGAGGGCGGTGGGGGGTGGCTTGTGGCCTATGGGTGTTTCGATAGGGCATGCGCCTGCCCCCAGGAACTGGGTATGTGGCAATTGTGTGCCGGGTGGTGGCTGCGCTGCGCCGCGCTCTTACGTCTATGTATCTTTGTACTGAGTACGAGTAGAGAGCACGTTGGTACGGTATGTAGGGCGTGTAGAGTAGGATACATAGGATTCCCAACGCCGCAACTGCTGCCGGCCGTCTGTCTGGCCGTCTGTCTGGTTGGCTGGTTGGCAGGTTGGACTTCAGCTGGAACCGCACAGCTGTGGCTTACCCAGGCACCTAACTCTTGCACGAGATTTTCCTTCTTTTCCGCACTTCGGCTGTCATGCTCATGCGCTGGAGATGAAATATTTGGGATTTGGGAGTTGGGATTTGGGATTGGAGTTATCACAGGATTGAGATTGAGGCCTGTACCTGAATCGAAATGGGGGATTGCAGATTAGGTGAGACCTTGATCGTTGCAGTTGCCCGCATCTCTCCCAATTGCCGTAGGTAGATAAAACAGAAACTTTGAGGGGAGGGGGAAGGGGAAGGGGAGGGGGAAAGGGGAAGGAAACACCCTGAAGTCAGCACAGTTGCAGTTGTAGTTGCAGTTGCAGCATTCGCGGCGGCGGATAATTGGAAACATGCAACTGGGGGGAGATGAAATCTGACATCTACCTACCTATGTACCTGCGCATGTGTTTAGGCAGAGTTTATTACATCCAACCCATAGGTTAGGTGTGCACTGTTCCGAGTCAGCCGGCCACCAAAGTCTCGGTGACTGTATAGTAGGTAGAGTGTCACTGGGTGGATGGATGGATAGGCCCATATCTTGCACCGACGATGAATGAACGGTGAATGAACGAATGTCTTCGGATATGTAAACAATGTGTACGACACAAACGCAAACCCAATAACTCCTTTTTCTCCCCTTGAACCTGACCCAACCCAACCCGACCGAACCCAACCCAACCTGACCGGCTGAGCCACCCAACTAACTATGATGATTCTGCTTGACCACACCGTCTGCACCAGCCTGCTCGAGAATGCGCTTCTTGTACGCATTGATATCACCCGGGAAAGCCTCGACGGTGCCGTTGTCGCAGACCCACAGGTGCGTGCAAACACTGGCCAACATGGTAACGTCGTGAGAAACCATGAGCACACCACCCTGGAACTGTCTCAGGGCATCGGAGAGGGCGTCCATGGCCTCGATATCCAAGTGATTGGAAGGCTCGTCGAGAACCAGGATGTGCGGGTTCGTAAGACTCAGACATGCAAAGGCCACACGTGATTTCTGTCCTCCGGAGAGCAGGCCCATCTTTTGCAGTCCCGTGGTACCCGTGATACCGAAAGCTCCGAGGTGGCGTCGGTACTCTTCGTCGGTTTTGCCGGGGAAGAGCTTGGCGCAGAAACTGACGGCACTCATGGTCAGATCCAGAGCGTCGACGTGGTGCTGGGCGAAGAATCCGACACGCAGACGAGCGTGCTTGCTAATCAGTCCCTTGGATGGCTCGAGTTGGCCGATGAGAAGCTTGAGGACGGTAGTTTTACCGGCACCCTGTGGTGATAATAATGTGGTCAGCATGCTGGGGGAGAGGGGAAATTCACCACGAGTAGAGGAAGATAGATACGTACGTTGGGTCCAACGATACCAATACGTGAGTCAAGCTGTACATCCAGATCAACATTCTCGACAATAGGCCGTCCAGGCGTATACGCAAACGAAACGCCCGACATCTGCATGATCGGCGGACTGAGACTCTCGACATCGGGGAACTTGAACACGACCGAGTATTCGTCATCCGGCTCCTCCAGAATGGGCAGCTTCTCCAACTTTTTGATTCTGCTCTGCGCCTCGGAAGATTTGGCGGCATTGTACCTGAACTTGTCGATGAAAGTCTGCAGATGCTTACGGTACGCCATCTGGTTCTCGTACTCGCGCTTCGCCGTCTTCCGTCGCTCCTCCTTGGTGGCATAGAAGGAATCAAAGTTACCGCCCTTGTAGTAGTCCAATCGCTCGGAATGCTGGTGGATGATGTCGGTTGCGACCTCGTTCAGGAACGCTCTGTCGTGAGACACGACCAGGACGGTGGATGGGTAGGTCTGTAGGTACTCGGAAAGGAAGGTGATGGAAGGAACGTCCAACATGTTCGACGGCTCGTCGAGAAGCAGGAGATCAGGTTTACAGAACAAGGCACGGGCCAGCGCCAGACGCATTCGCCAACCTCCAGAGAACGTCTTGGTAGCAAACTGCTGCCTCTCGGGCGAGAATCCCAGACCGGCAAGAATTGCGGCAGCTCTGGATTCGGCTTTGTCGGCTTCCATCTCGGCCAACTTTGAGTGCACATCGGTGAGCAGGGCGTCCAACTCGTCGCGTTGACGTGTCTTGGAGCCCATGTCGCTGGTGACAGTGACCGGATCCAGCTGGTTCACGAGGGTGTTCAGCTCCTGAGTGATCCGCGCCTGCTCGTTCAGCAAGTGCTTCCGCCAGACATCGGCGTCCAGGACTGCCTGTATAGCTGAAGTCTCGTCTCCCATGATCTGCAGTCATCATCAGAAACAGTTATCCACCAAAAGCTCTAACCATATTGGCCCTAGTTACCTCTTGCTCCACGTGGAGAATGGTGATGTGAGTCGGGATGGCGACTTCTCTCCGGGAGAGTGCCCTCAGCAGTGTGGACTTTCCGATACCGTTCTTTCCCACAAGACCGTACCGCCGGCCATAGGCCAGAGTAAGAGTGGAGTCGGTCAGGATCCTCAGACCGCCGATCGACAGATCAATACCCTCGACCTTAATCTCCTTGCTCTTTCCGGCCGACGCCGAGTCCAGGGTCAATGGATTGACCGTCATGTAGAACTCCTCGTACGCCTGCTGGTCATCGCCACCGACGAGCTTGGATGCCTCGTACTCGACGTTCTTCATGACCTTCTTATCCTGCTTTGCCTTGATCTTGCGTTCGGCCTTCTCGAGCTTCTTCTTGTCGACCCTGCTCTCGACCTTACGCGACCCGACGGCGTCGAGGTCTACCCCGCTCCCGAGGAGCCCCATCGTCGCGGAGATGCTCTTGTGCGAAGCCACGTGAATGGTCTGGTCCAACCGCTTCGACTTCGCCTGGGACGAAGATTCCTTGCGGCTGCCATGCTTCGCCTCCAGCTGGGCGACGAGCTGCGCGATCATGCCCGTGATCTTTGCCTGATCGAGGGCGGGCGGCGCGGCATCGAGCAAGATCTGGGTGACGGTGCTGATGGCTTCGGCCAGCTCGAGATCGGCCTCCGGAGAGGTGGATGTGGCGGCATGGGATAGGAAGCCGACGGAATACTCGGTGATGACGGGGTCGAGCGACGGTAGGATTGCGGTAATTTTATCCTCCATGGTTCGTTTGACAGGACAGGCAGGACGGCAAGTGGCAAGTGGCAAGGTGTTTCGGTTTCCTTTTCGATATCGCGATGAAATGAGAGGCCGGCGCTTTTTTATTTTTTATTTTTGTGGGCAATCGCGGGGAGGTTTAGGAATTTTAGAGCGAATGGCTTTTCCCAGTTTGGGGGGGGGGTGGGGCACGGCACTCCACAGAGGCTAGAGTAGCCGCACTGGGGTGGGGGGGAGGGGTCAGCTCTCGGTGAGTGGCTGTGAGTGGAGAATGAGTTGAGTGGGTTGCCACGGAGACGCGCCACATCTCTTCAGTGGTGGTGGTGGTGGCAGTACATATTATTGTGAGTGGTGGTGTGTGGTGGGTTTCTAGCGTTCGGTTGCCGGAATGGTGGAGCCACTATCTCGATCTTATCAGATTGCCGCTTCTCATTTTTTTTGAATCTTTTCTTTTCTTTTCGTTGCGTCTTTACGGGATCGTTTTGGGTGTGGTTAGCGAGGGTTTCTGGCTGTTCTATTCTCAGCTGAGGTGTTTAATTTTCGCTGGAGGGTGTGTGTGTGTGCATGGGGCCGATATGGGTCTTGTCCATGGGTCAACCATGGTGAGGAGTCTGTGGTGGCCACGGTGTGTGCGTGCGTTCGTGCGGCTGCCTACCCGATGGTGATGACGATATTTTGTTTCGCCAGAGAACCGCCTCCGAGCAAACAGACACATAGCATACCGTAGTTAAAACACAATCTCACGGAGCGTGGACACGCAAAAGTGGATCACAAACCTGGAGAGTGGCCGTAAATTGGACGTGAGACGAGCGTGCCAGACCATTCCCCAAGCATGCTAGCCCTACGGGCTCCGAGTTTCGTGTAGCCGACGAGCCTCTCGCTTCCCTAGCCCCGATCTCGGCGTCTCTCTGGCTCTGCTTTGCGTTGCTTTGCAGCTTTGCATGTCGCTGCCCGGCCAGACCTTGGATTCACTCTACTTCTGGATACCCTCTGCATGCTAGCTGGTGGCTGGTTGATGGGCTGGTCATGCCGTTCGCCACGCCACTGTTCGGCATCCGTCCACGGCCCACTACCAGCCTTGTCGCTGTCGTTGTTGCTGTTATTGTTGCTGTTGTTGTTGCTGTTATTGTTTTTGTTATTGTTACCGCTGCTGCTATTCTATTATTGCTGCTGCTGCTGTTGTTGTGATTATGGTGCATGTCCTTCTCGTATTGTCGTTGCGAGGGCGACGGTGATGGATGGTGATGGTTGTCAAGGCCCCGGGCCCGGTAGATGGAGCGTGAGCGGAACCTCCCCCCAAAAGCAGCAGCCAGAATCGGAACTACAATCGGAACCCGACTCCCAGGATGAAGCCCAGCGGAACGGTGACTTCTCCTGCATCGTGATGGTTCTAGCGTGTCAGGTACAGTGTCCGCGCAGAAAGCGGAAGCCTGTAGAGAAGGAATCCAGAAGGAGTGTGTATGCATGCATCCATGGCCACGCATAAGTTAGTAGTAAATAAACAAACCCACAGCACGGGAGGAGATTTCTCACCGTAAGGCCAGCCCGTCGGTCGTCTTCGAGCCCAACCCGTCCCATCCGTCCCCACCCCTCATCCCATCTCGAAAACCCTATGGAACCGTTCTGCGTGTCCCTCTGTGTATGCGTGGTGTGTGTGAGAGAGAGAGGGAGGACGTTCCCCGGGTTCCAGGGCGGATCAGTGCACGGGAGGATCGAGGCGTGCTCGCGCACCCGCGGCGTTTGGTCCCTTACGACGAGACTATTAATGCTGCTTTCGTGTAACTGCTAGAGCATTTCCTCTCCTCTACCGTCCTAGACTGCTAGCAGTGTCCAAGCCTGCCAACGGGCAGCAAAAGCAACTTTCAACGGATGCTCCAGAATAGAGTAGTCACCGTCTGCTCCGAGGCGAAAACCGCTATGGCCGGCTTTCGTTGGCCGCATCCAAATGGTTGTTGTTCTCTTCCCGTTCCTAGCCTTCTCTTTGACATATCCACCTCCACGACAACAAACTACTACGCCGCTTTGCTCATCTTGAAGGCCAGCAACCTCGTCCCCCCCCAGTCCCTTCCTCTCTCCCCCTTCTCCCTCCCTTCCATCTTCTTCCCTATCCCCCCCTCCACCCTCTCCCTCCTACGCCTCCGTCTCCGCCTCCTCCTTCACTCGCGCTTGCCCCAGTTCCCTCGCTCTCCCCCTTCCTAATCGTCTCAGTACATTCGTTCTGGTAGTAGTAGTGTCTGTCCCCCCTCACGACCCTTTGTTGATTCGGCGCCGGATCGTCAATTCCTCCCTTTTCCCGCCTCCCTAGGCCTTGCTCGCTGCCATCACTCGAAACCCTCAATTCGATACAAAACATTCCCCCCACCCCCCCCCCCCTATAGCACTTCCAGCATCACGATAACTGCCGTTTCTCCCCGCCTCAGAACGCCAGTTCAAACTCAATCCATCTTGATAACAAGCTCAACGTAGCATTGGGGCCCTTCAAACCCCGCTGGTCCACCCCACTCGAGAAAGTCGGAGTTCATTCGCCAACTCACAGCGCGCCACCAGCCAACCAGTAGTCTCGTTTGGATGCAATGAGCTCGTTCTGCCGTCTGCTGTGAATTGAGTCAGTCTGAATACCAAGTTCAGTATGCAGACCATCTCCACCGTTAGTAATCCCCTCAGAATCATGAGGAACACTCTCCCCCACTCCCCCCTCCTCCCGCTCTCGAAAGCCCGCCCGTTGTTTATCTGCAATTGACGCGTTTCGTTTCTCCCCCATAGCTCTGCGCCACCTCGACCGTGGGCATTGCTGCCTGTGGCCTCGCTCTGGCTCTTCCGCACTATGGCCACCTGCCTGTAGCGTTTAATTCCAGCACACCTCCATTGATTGAGGAGTCCATCGACGGCCAGCATACGTGCACGCCTGCGAACGAGTCGACCTTCTCCCAACTCACGCCTACGTCCGCCTGCATAGCTTCAGCACACTCCCGGTCGTCCACGTCTCGTAAATGGCTGCGCCGGCTGTCAGAGTCTTTCTCGTCCTCGCCGGGGAGTTCTCTGTCGTCGTCCAGCCCGTCGTCCACTATATCCTCGACGTCCTCCTCTTCCCGCACACGTTCCTGGGCAGCCTCGCAACCGAGCTCGCGCCCTCCTACCAGAAACAAACTAGTCAAACGATCTCCAGCGGAGCGTTTATCCAGAGCCAATTCACCTGTACCGCCGCCAAGACTCCAGAGGCGCCCATCCACCGCTGCTATCTACCAACCACCCACCGCTGGCGAACAGCTGCACTCTAACCCTCCCTCACCCTACCCCGTCGAGCGACCGTCCACGTCTGGCCTCGACCTCGACTTTGCCCGCTCCCGCTTCGGCCCCCCCAACAATACCGAGTCGGTCGATGTATGGCGCCCTTTCTTCCCTGCGAAACGACAGAAGAATCCCCAGCTCGGTTCCGGCCCGACGAAACTGAAGAAGAAGTCGACTGGCATCCGGCGGATCGTTCCTGATTTCTTTAGACGTAGCTACGGCCCCACCTTGGTATCCGCAGACGCAGTCGACAGCAGCAGCCATAACCCCTCCGATAAGACGAGCCACGAATTCGACACGAACTCTCTCTACACCGACACCGCTTCCACATTTTACATCGGGTCGCGACCGGTTTCGCAGCAGATGGGTGAGACGCAACAACAGCTGCGCGGAGCAGTAGCAGCAGGAGGATCGACCCGGCAGCGATCGTCGACCGCCTCGTTCCCCGCCCGATTCAGCAGCCGTCGCAAGTCCTTTTCTTTCTCGAACCTTTTGGGCGTTGCGACACACAAAAACATCCCGACCGAAACGAACCTCAACGATGACGACATCAACGGTGGACTAGCCGGAAGGCGATCCATGGGGGGCGGGAGCGTTGTCTTCGCTAGAAGACACTCCACCTCCGATGCGCTCAACCTGCCATACCACTCTTATCGCAACAATTCGAGACCCACCACGGCGGCGCTCGACCAGATGCGACGAATTTCATTACCCCCCATACAGTCGCTTTCGCTACTCGACCTGGGCTTCGACGAACAACCTTCGGAGCATTCGGAGACATCACCCGACCGTGGCGCCCAATCGGAAGAACAGCAACCACAACAGCAGGCTGAAGGACTACAACAACCGGAACACGGCTCGGTAGAATCGCTATCCAGTGTTCCTGCTGTTCACGGTCTGCGCCGTCACCGACTATCCATCATGAGCGCTTCGGAACGGGCGTCCACCTTGATCGGGAGTGAGAGCGAGCATGATTTCGGGAGCGACACGCTCTTTGATTCGATACGGACTCGGATTTCCGAGATGACGCCTATACGGGCGGACCGTATCTTCGATACCGACAGGTGTTACGATACACGATCTTCTCCTTTGCACGCTAGTTATGATGATTACGACCTACCCCATACCACCACTACCACTACCAGCACCAGCAACACCACCACGGTGCCCACCAAAGCGACAAAGGATCGCGCGAACTCGTCACCCAACGACAATACGCATACGGCGCAGCGGCTCGGTGTCGAGGACGAGGAGGAAGATGCTTGGAGCAGCGACTGGGATATTCCCTCGAAACCGGCCGGTGACGAGCACCACCACCACCCTCACCATCACCTCCACCAACTCCACCATCAACTCCACCACCGCCTGTCCGGACCTGGATTACGGCCCTACAACTCGCGCACGGGTCTAGGCTTGCATAGCAACGGGAGCAACACTAGCTTCGGCACGGCCCGTGAGGGCTGGTCGGCAGACGGTTCCAGCATGCGGGAAACGAACAGTATTCTGGATTGGAACGATGGTGTCTCCGTTCACACCTCGACATCCAGTAACGGTTACCGGCCAAAGACGGTGCACGCCAAGGAAAGCAACCTATCCTCCACCAGAACCGGAAGGAGGGCGCCGAGTATTCACGTTCGCAGTCAGAGCATGCCAGTTGTCAATACCCTGCGAGGCAGAACACCGTTACCAAGCGAGAACTGGGATGATGACTTCTTGGATGAAGACGACGAGTTTGGAACGTGCAAGAACGAAATGGTGATTCCTCGAGCGATCGAAGAGAGACAAGCCAGCATCATTGGTCACCTCGGATGTGTGAGGGAATTTGCGTTGCTTGTCGAAGGTCCGTTTGCATTGCAATTTTTTTCTTCCCCACCCCCCTCCCCCTCAACTCTCTGCCCGCTCTTTACGTATTGGGACTAGTTAGCTGACATGATTTTCAGATCTGAAACGGTTGCGCGAGCTCGCTGTTGCCAAGGGGATCCGTAACAAAGCAGATAGCGACATGTGGGACGAGGCTGATGGCATCATCGCCCTGGCCACGTTGGATGATGACGAAGAAGACGCGCCCCTTAAGAAGGAGACGCTACATCGTCAGAACACCTGGTCCCCTCAACGTCGAAGGGAGCTAAGCCATCGACTATCAGACGAAAACAATGCATACACGCTGTCGACGCGCCATTCGGCCCTGTCCCTAGAAGACGATATCTTTGGCTCGAACGAGAACCTTTCGTCCACGCCGAAATATCGGGCCAGTCGGCACCTTTCGCCAGCACCATCAACGACTTCGCCGGTCTCCAGGAAGACGATCGATAGGAACGATCCCATAGAGGTGGCTAAGAGCATGATGGAAAAGATGCAGCATCGACAACGTTCAGACGCCTCACGGCGAAACTCGACTGGATTGACCCCCAACGGCAAAGTGCACTTCGACACGGATATGCTGAGGGACCTAGTGGTGCAGACGGGACGGTTGAAGCAGAAGTTGATTCGGGCAGTCGACGGGTTCCCGCCGTCTCCAGAAAGAGGGGGATTACGATTGAAATTACGAACCATGGAAACCCCAACAGATGAAAAATTCGACTTTGATCTCAGTCCGATCAAAAGCACATTTGACGAAAACCTCGGGGGCTTGGAACGGGTCAGCTCAAAGGGCATGGGATTTTCGCCGGCCATAGGAGTTGTGTAACCCGCACCCACGCATCCGCCGAGGAGTTTGACGGTCTCTGCCAGTCTCTACCGATACACCTTTTTTTTCCAATTCACCCAATCATTATTGTCGGCGCATTCTAAAAACGGGGCTCGAAGTCGGGCAGGGGGATCGGCTCGGGGGCAACGGCGGCTGGTGTTTTCATCCTTCTATACAACGGGTTTACTTTTAGTTTTTCATTTTTCATTTTGGGGGAGCATGAGGAGTTACAATGTTCAATTTTCTGATTTCTCTTTTGCTACTACCAGGGGGGTTTTGAGTCTTTCGGCTTTGTTTCCGTTCGGCATATGATATCCTTTGTTTCTTTGGGGGCCGGCTTCGAATTCGCTTCGTGCTCCTGTTTCTGACTCTCTGGATCGAGCTCCATCACTATTCTTCCTGTAAATACATTTTGTTCGGCGCGCGCATGGCATGGGGGTGGGGGGATAGGGAGGATTACACAGTTTGCACGCCCATTGGATTGGGGGGGTTGGTTGGTTTTGGTTTTGGGCTTTAGGCTTTTTTCACATCGTTCTCGTACGGCTTTCTCGCAAACCGACGATACAAAAAAGGGGCAGCATCTTTGATTTTTGGATTGGTTTCGTTGTCGATTTTTTTTCTTACTCTTTCTCTTTCCACGGACACACAAACATCACATCACACATCACCACACTCATTTGTTTTCTGTTTCTGCTTCTGCTTCCGCTATTGTTTCAGCTTTCACTTCAGCCTCATCTGCTGGATAGGTACATCCCTTTTCCCGTCCCGCTCATTCATTCATTCGTTCTGCTTTTTGTCTTGTGTTTTGTTTTTTGTTTGTTTGTTTGTTTTTGGCTCTGCGGGGCTCCGTTTCTCCTATTTTGCCCCCGCGGAGTTACATACTTCATATACCAATTACTGTAATTCTTATTCTTACTATTCTACTACTATTACTTCTACTACCTACTGCTACCTACTACTACTACCTACTGTCTTTACTATAGATTTCTAAACTATTACCTGTGGCCTACGGCCTTTCTTTTCATTCTTCTGGACGCTCTTTGTGGCGGATATCACTTTACTTATATACTTTAATATTACCCTTACTTACTTCTTTACCCCCTTATATCCTTCTACCCGTCTGTATCAATCCTGTTGTTTCTGTTGCTGTTGCTGTTTTTGCTGTTTGATGTGTTTCGTTTTGTTTTTGCTTGCGCGTGGGAGCGAAGGAGCGGGAAAGGGAGGGGAAGTGGGGGGGTAGATAGGCTAGGCTGGGAACTGTTCATACAGAGGAAATGGAGGATATTGAGGTGGGGAGGAACAATGGAGGAAGGGAGGAAGGGGAGGAATAAGGGAGGAACAGGGCAGGAAGAAGTAAGAAGGGAAAATCGAACTGAACTGTACTTATGTATCAAATTCAAAGGCGTTATGATGAATTACCTATATCCACTATGGTTGTATATGGTAGTAGCGTGGTGAGTGAGTGGTGACGGTGACGATGATTGTGGATGTGGATGTTTAGCGGTGGTGATGGTGGTGGTGGTGGTGGTGGTAGTGGTGGTGGTGGTGGTGGTGGAAGATCGTCACCGCCTGTACTGTACAGAGATGGCCGTGACTGGCTGGCCGATGGGGATGGAGGGGAAAGAGGGGGTTATCAAAGTCGGTGATGCAAATCGTCACCGCCTGTGGATAGCCACGACTGGCTGGAGGGAGATAGAGGGTGGAGGGGAAAGAGGGGGTTGACACCATGGGACTCTACAGTCAACTCCGCTCTGGGTCGCGGAAGAACGGTATTTGGGAGGGGGCATAGTTTCGGTGGTTATCAGAGTCGAGAGTCGGTGATGCAAATCGTCACCGCCTGTAGATTGCCACGACTGCTGGCCATAACTGGCCGGTTGGGGATAGAGGGGAAAGAGGGGGTGGCAGTCAACGGGTTACGGCACTCTACTTGTGAGTCTAGAAACGACAGTATTTTCTTTTTGTGACGGGGAGAACAGTTTCAGTAATTATCAGCGACCCAGACCCAGAGTTGGCGATACAAATCGTCATAGCTCTCCTCTCCTCTACTATCAGCCCCGCGGCGCGCAACGTTGTTATTGGTGGTTGTGCTGTGCTGAGGGGAAAGTGGGGTTCTCTCTCTCTCTCTCTCTCTCTCTCTCTCGCTCGGCTCGGCAATGACCGCCTCGACACTTTTGATATCACTCGGTGCCATGCGTTGGCTGGAGCACACTGGAGCACGCTGGAGGACGCATAAGGGTGGTACCTGAAACTCAATCTTGATTGGCATGTCATGGGCTTAATCGCACCTCTCCCAGTGTCCCACTGCTGACGTGATAAATAGGTGGGTGGTAGCTATAAACCGCCAATCTCTGATCTCTCAATCTCGGATGCGCGAGGCGTGGTGATAGACAGACGGACAGACACAGGCAGAGGGAGGGAGGCAGAGAGAGACAGAGGGACAGAGAGAGGAAGAGAGGGCGTTTGACTCCTCGAGAGGTTATCTTCTCGACATATCACGACTGCAGATTTCCATAGTGGGTGCTGTGGGTAGAGGGTAGAGGGCAGTTAGAGGGATGGGACAGAGGCAAGATCGGCTGCAGGTTCGATGTGAAGTAAAGCAAAGTAAAGTAGGCTGGCTCGGAGGTGGGAGGGAGGGGGAGGGGGTTGGTGAATGGTGAAGTGGCGGCGCTGCTGCTGCTGCTGTTGCTGGAGGTCGCACCCACCCAACCCACCCACCCCCACTACTCACTCGGCACTTTCCAGGCTGGCTGGGCCGGTGCGGTGCCGGACTGTGGGTAGTGTACAGCACAGCGGGTGGGACGGCGGCAGGAGTGGGGAGTTAGAGGGGGGGAGGGGGGGGAGGGAAGGGGGGGTGGACGAGATCGATTTGGTCCGGGAGACCATCGATCTGACGCTTTACTGTCGGCGCCTTCTGACAGGTCGACATCTGGGGGAAGATAACCACAGTTGAACTGTTCTGGGGGGGGAGGGGGGGTTGGTTTCCGGGCAGACCGAGACGAGGACGAGGACGCGGTCGTTTACCCTGCCGAGCACGAGCACGAGCACGAGCACGGGGGAGGGGCGAGGATGGCGAGCTGCAGGCAGGCACGAGATGGTGATGGGTGCGATCGCGATTGCTCGAGAGCATGATGGCGAGCGCTACATAACTCTAACTAATGGCCGGGACATCGTCGACATGGTGGAGAAGCGACGAGCTGAAGAAAGAGAGCCAGCCGTTAGTTATAGTTAAAGCATTCAGCGCCCTGGGCCTTCGCGGGCTCGATGCGTCACAGGAGAGACGGATTTGGACGCCTCGTCCGGAGCCGGCGAAGGGCGCACGGGCATACCTAGAATGAAGATGCTGGAATTCGTCGCGCACGGGATGTCCAGCTGCGAGTACATGGTCGCGAAGTAGAATCCGCAGGCCTAGCTAATGCCGCCGCCGCAGCTGCTGCGATACCTACATAACACACATCACTTACATACATCCATGGGCCCATCGAAAGATACATCATCCGGTCACCCAGCGGTGTGGCTGTCTGCTCTTCTTGGCCGCCCTCCTCCTCGTCGTCGTCCCCGTCCTCCTCGTCACCATTGTGCTCTTCTCCCCCCCTCTTCCTCCCCACTTCCCCCCTCCCCCTCGAACTGACGGACGACCTCGCCCTCGCACGCAGTCCAATCCAATCCTCTATCTCCCCTCCCACTCCCACCGCTTGCCCTCCCTCCCGCTTGCCCTCGCCTCCCGCTTGCCCGCCCCGCAGTGCGTCCCGATAACAACTGGAATTCCCACAATCTCGTAGCAGAAAATATACTCAATCTGCCAACCTGTTCACTCTGAGACATCCTCAATTGCGTACCCATAGCGTCGTCGTCGTCTTCCATCGCTGCTTGCATACCGACATTGCCATCCACCCTCCTCCTCCGCATACATACGTCGTTCGCCACTGTCCGCTACCGCGAAGTTAATAGTAGGCCTTTACCGCTCGTTGACCTCCGAGTCTCCGACGGCATCTCCTCTAACTCTAGTTCTGACTCCAGTTCCAACTCTCAACTCCAACTCCTCCGCCGAGTCTCCCACTTCGCTACAACCACCAACCGTCCCGTACCACCAATCAGCCGGCGTGCGTGCACGAGAAAAGAAAGAAAGAAAAAATCACGCCGAACGACCTCCCATTCCTCTTCCCACTCTAAAGTTGTAAATATCAGAGATTGTCCCTCCTTCTCATACCAGAATACAACGCCTTCTCTCTCCCTCCTCGATATAATCCCCGAAGAAAGAAAAGAAAAAAAGAAAAATGCCTACTCCGAATAACCAGAGCACCGTCGAGATCACTGCAACCTCCCCCGATATCCTGCTGCGTCCGCAACGCATCCAGCTCGCGTGCCCAGAGGAAACCTCCTCAATCCACCACCACCACCACCACAGCCACCACAACACTCACCCTACTACCACCACCTCCTCCGCCGCCGCCGCCACTACCGCTGCCGGTTGGGCACAGCAGGACCACCTTGAACACGACTTGCGGCAGGACGCAGCGACAACCGCCGCCACTACCATCGCTGCCGAGAACGGCACCGAGCCGTGTCCGGAGGAAGACCAGGTTCTCGAACAGACCACTTCACCCGCACCACCACCGCCGCTGCTGTCGGCCGATGAAGAGAAGGTCTATACCACGGCTACCACCACAACACTCACCGCACCTACAGCCACCACTACCACCACTACCACAACCACACAGACAACTATAACAACAACTGCAGTGGCATCGCCAATAACGGCAATGACGGCGGCGGAGGGCGAAGAACGAACGCCGTCCTCCCCCGACTCCGCCTTCGCCTCGTCGTCGTCCGATAAAGATCCGCAATCAGCCCCGTCACCCACCACCGTGGCGACGGCACGGAAAATTTTCACGCAGCGATCAACAGCACCCGTCGGCGGCAACGCCAGCAGTATCAACAGTAGCAACGCCACCTCTACGCTAGACACTCTATCTGTGCCTTTACCGGACCATGATTTCTCTACAAAACGCGTAAGTTTCTCGGACTACGGAACACGGGTCGAGCGCGATGACACACCCCCGGCTACAGCTGTGGGTGGGTGGGCGCGGGAGGCGGGTGGTTGGGTGGGTGGGGATGCCGTTGTGGTACTGTTGCTGAAATGATGGTCTCTGGCACAACAGGTTCTTCCGTCCTACAGCTGTTCGTTCCTGCGCCCCGGGAGTAAATTCGTCGGAAAGCAGACTAGTGACCGCTCCACGTACGAAGTCCACGTCGAGCTGAAGCACGTCGACATGGCCGAGTCGTTCCTGTGCGGCTATCTCCGCATTAAAGGTATGGGATTCTTGGATGGATGCACCCCGTACCGGAGGAAGGAAAAGGGTGGTGGTGGTGGTGGTGGTTGTGGTGGCGGGCGGGCGGGCGGCCTTCCTTTGTTTGCTTGCTTCGCTTGGCTGGGTGGTTGGCTGATTTTGTGGTGTCAGGTCTTACGGAGGATCACCCGACCCTCACGACTTACTTCGAAGGGGAAATGATCGGCGACAAGTACTCGTTCCAGACGCGCAGGCCGGAGTGGGGATCGAGCGAGAAGAACGATTTCCAGCACTGGTCGCGGTTCCCGTCGTTCCGGCCACTCGTGTCGAAGGCGAAGCATACCGAGTTCAACTACACGAATTTCGCCCAGAAGGAAAATATCTTTATGCGCTGGAAGGAGTATTTCCTCGTGCCGGACCACCGGGTGCGGCAGATTACCGGCGCCAGCTTTGAGGGGTTCTACTACATCTGCTTTAACCAGGTGTCGGGCACGGTGGATGGCATATACTTCCACGCTAAGAGCGAGAAGTTCCAGAAGCTGCAGTTGAAGCATGTGCCTGAGAGGACGTTTGCTTGCGTGGAGTTCCGGTGAAGGCGTTTAATGCTGTTATAATTGGGTTTCCCTTGCTCGTTTGCTGTCATCTGTCAGTTTGATTGATTGGTTTTTATTGTTGTTGCTGTTGGTTGGATATCTGGGAACATATCCGGGAGTACGGGTGGGTTGGTTGATTGATTGATCATGAACATTCTTCGGATGGGCGTCTCATTATTGTTGTTGGATTCTTTCCATTCACCATTATTATTTGCTGTTTTGTTGTTTCCTTTCTTTTTTACGTCTTTTTCTTTTTCTACTTGCTTATGTCGCGTCATGATATGGCAATGGCCACCACCAAACCAATTCCCCTTCCCTCTTCACTCCCTATCTCCCCTATTACTCGACGAGGGGATATGTAACCGGATTGCCGATGTTGATGATGATGCTGATGCTTATGATACTGTTGATTTTCCTTGCGCTCGATGACGGATGACGGATGACGAACTGGTGGCCTGTAGTTGAAGGTGTGGTCAGTAGTTGAATGTGTGGTGCGGAGTGGTGTGGCTATCTGCTTGCTTTGCTTTTTGATCTTGTTTGTTCGTCTTTTTTTTGTTCTTCGCATTTTTCATCTGGTTGATTGAGATTGAGACTGAGAACTTTTATATCCTCGCCCCACCTACCTGGGGACTTGAGAATCAATGGTGTTGAGACTACGAGACTTCGAGATGACATGGAATACCGAACTACGTATTGTGTGCTGGCGGTTTGGATCTTGGGAAGCTGAATATTACGCTGGATGTTGCTTGCTTTTTGGTCTAGACCCGCCTGGCCTGGCGATCGCTGTTGCGGGCCCCAACATACGGTACATACGGTTGCGGTCTCATGACGTGGAGGTGGAGTTGGTAGGCAGACAGACAGACAGACAGACAGTGCGGGGAAGTAGTGGAGTGTGGGGAAGCGGTAGGCACTGAGAGCGGGGACGGGGACGGGGAAGGTGAGGAAGGTGAAGAAGGTGGAGAAGAAGTAGTTAAACGTTCCAACCTTCCAGCCTTCCGAGTTCCAGCCTTTCAGCCTACTTTCCAGCCAGCCTTCCATCTCCCAAGTTCCAAGCAACGTCTATCTACTCTAAAAATAGTGCGCCCGGGGGTGAAGGTGAAATTTACGATTCCGAATCTCGGAGCCGATGTGTCGGATGTGAAGAATAATGGACGAGACGGGTCAAGCCTGACCAGACAAATAAAACCCAATTCCCGCCGCCGCCGCAGAGCCGCACCCCACCACCACCACTTTCACCACCACCACTACTTTCACTTCCACTTCCGCCCCGCAACGACACTACTACACAACACAACACGCGCGCAATGTCCGACACCACAACCCCGACCCCAATGGACACGAGACCCCCTCCCTCTCCCGCCTCCGCGCCAGTAGCAAAGCGCCAAAAACTTTCCGCCCCAGCCTCACCCACCACCACCACCGCCCCCTCCGCCCCCGCCCCCTCCGCCCCCGCAACCAATGAAGAGGACACAAGCGGCATCCGCACCGGCGAAAAGGCGCAGTACCGCACGGCGCGCAAAGGCGACATCAAGCTGCCAAAGAAAAAGTACTACCGCCAGCGCGCGCACGCGAACCCGTTTAGTGATCATAATCTCGAGTAGTACGTTACTTTCTATCCTACTGTTTCTGGGGTGCTGGGCAGGGGGAGGGGCGAAAAGGGTGCTGACTATGTGGCAGTCCGCCGCACCCCGCGGCGCTGGACTGGAGCGCACACTACCCCGCCATAGCGCCGGGGCAGAAAGTAGAAGTAGCGGATATCGGCTGCGGTTTCGGGGGGCTGCTGGTGTCTCTGGCGCCCAAGCTGCCGGGCACGCTCCTGCTGGGACTCGAGATCCGGCTGCAAGTGACGGAGTACGTATCGGAGCGGATTTCCGCGCTCCGCCTGCAGCATCCAGGGACCTACGGGAACATCTCGGTCCTCCGCGGCAACGCGATGAAGTTCCTACCGAACATCTTCGACAAGGCGCAGCTGAGCAAGCTGTTCCTGTGCTTTCCCGACCCGCACTTTAAGGCGCGGAAGCATAAGGCGCGGATCGTTAGTCCCGGGCTGTGTGCCGAGTATGCGTATGTCGTAAGGCCTGGCGGGATCGTTTACACGATTACTGATGTGCAGGATTTGCACAGGTGGATGGTAGCCCATTTTGAGGAGCATCCGCTGTGGATCAGGTTACAGGAGAGCGAGCTCGTGGGGGATGTGGGCGTGCAGACGATGATGGGTGATACGGAGGAGGGGAAGAAGGTGGCCAGGAATGGGGGCGAGAAGTTTGTGGCTTGCTTTAGGAGGAGGGAGGATCCGGAGTGGTAGTGGTAGGGGGGTTTTGGAAGGGGGGGAGGGGGGGAGGGGGTTTGTTTCACGCACGGACGGAGATGGGGAGGCATGAAGAATAATCAAATCAGATTCGGTGCACCCAAAACTCCTCAAGCAGCATCATCATCATCACTTCGTAGAGCATACAACCGCCCCCTTCCCTTCCTTCCCGTATCTATCCCCCCTCCCCCTCCCAGCACTACCACCCCCTCCCCCCCGCCCACATCTTCTCCCACCCCTCGACCCTCCCCCTAACCTCCGCGCCGAGCATCATAACCCTCTGCACCGCAACCTCCACGCCCACCTGCCAGCACCACAGCCCCCCAATGACCACGACCATAACCACCACAAGGCGGATAAACATCCTCACCACCCCCAGCACCCAGCGCGTAGCCATACCCAGCAGCATGGTGGAGAGATAAAAGATCAGCAGCAGCGCGGCGATAGTCGTCAGGTCCGCGGTCTTGAGATATGTCCCCGCCCGCTGCGTCAGCGCGATGTATGGTGTGATGTGCGTCGTGTATTGTTGCAGGGTGTGAAGTAGCGGCAGCAGCTGCGCGAGCGGCGGGGGCAGGAGGTCGTCAGCGGCGGCCATTGTGCGGTTGTTTTGTTTTGGTTGGTGGGGGGTTTTTTGCGTTTGTTTGAGGGATGTGGTGAGCGGTGGGTGGTGGGTGGGGGGCGTGGTTTTGTTAATTTCGTGACGTGATGTGGTAGTAGTGGTGAGGTGGTAGTGGCGGAAGGATGAGCAGCGGACGGACGAATGTGCTAGTGGTTGTTGATGTTGACAACTAGTCACTAGAGCAGCCAAGACACGCGCACGTGACAGTGGAAGAGACTGCAATGTGTGTATGTGGCTGGGGAAGATGACTCGATATTAGGGAGGTGGTTGGGATACTCTACAGGAGGGGCAGGTAGTCTATAAGCCATGGGTTCGCACTAGGTGACGGCATATTGAAGTTGGAAATTGCTAGAGAGTGACAACTTATGCTCCGATGAACAGAACACTGCCGGACTGTAGGAGAAACAAGGGAAAGTTGACAAGCTGCGAGAAGCCGGGACAAACATTTCGATCAAAGACGGACGAATGCACCCAGCGAGTAGTCTGAATCAGCACCTTTTTTTTGTACTGCCGTCGTAACTACGAGTGATATCCCACATGTCCGACCCTCCAAACTTACAAAGCCTCACCACGCTCCAGCTTCATGTTTCCGTACCTATTATTGACAATGTCAGTGAACCAGTACTCACGACAGCACGAGCGGAAGACACTCACTTCTTCAGACGGATGGCCTGGACGGAGATGAAACCGGTGGTATCCTGGGGCGCGAAGGCTCCGATCTCGTCCATGGAGCTCTCGCTCATGTCATAGAGCTTCTCGGTCTCACTGCTGCGGCCCAGCACGCTGAACATGCCCTTGTAGACCCTGCACCTGACCTTTCCGTTGACGCTCTTCTGCGACGCGATGATCGACTCCTCAAGGAACTCGCGCTCGGGAGAGAAGTAGAGTCCGTTGTAGAGGATCTTGGAGTAGTTGTAGGTGACGAACTGGTCACGAAGCGCACGGATCTCACGGTCGAGGACGAGACCCTCGAGGTCGATGTGGGCGGAGCGGAGGATGGTGAGTCCGGGGGTCTCGTAGCAGCCACGGGACTTGAGTCCGATGAAGCGGTTCTCGACGATGTCGATTCTTCCAACTCCGTGGCGACGGGCAATGGCGTTGGCAGTCAGGAACAGGTCCAGAGGCTCGGTGACGGTCTTTCCACCCTCGTACTCGAGCTTGACGGGGAGTCCCTTCTCGAAGTGGATGGTGAAGTCCTCGGGCTTGTCGGGGGCGTCGAGTGGGTCGACAGTCAGCTTCCACATGTCGGCGGGGGCCTCGACGTCGGGGTCCTCGAGGATTCCGGCCTCGTAGGAGCAGTGCGCGAGGTTCTCGTCCATGGACCAGGGCTTGGCCTTGGTCTGGTAGACGGGGACGCCCTGGGCAGCGGCGTACTCGAGGAGGTCGTTGCGGCCAGCGAAACGGTTGTAGAATTCGGGCATGCGCCAGGGGGCGATGACCTTGATGTCGGGCTGGAGAGCGTAGAAGGCAAGCTCGAAACGGACCTGGTCGTTACCTTTTCCGGTGCAGCCGTGGGAGACGGCGACACATCCCTCCTTCTGGGCAACGGCGATCTGGCCGCGGGCAATGACGGGGCGGGCGAGCGATGTACCTGGATGGCGTGAGTCATTCATACCCACGCACGCAATGAGCAGAGTAATCGAGGCATACCCAAAAGGTAGACGTTCTCGTAGATGGCATTGCACTGAATGGCGGGGAAGCAAAGGGCCTCGACGAACTCCTTTCGGAGATCCTCAACGTAGACCTTGGAAGCACCAATCTTCAAGGCCTTCTCCTTGGCAGCCTCGAAGTCCTCCTCCTGACCAACGTCGGCCACTGTTCATCGCCGTCAGTGGGCACTCCGTCGGTACGGTACATATCGAGGTCTTACTGAAGCAGATGACTTCATAACCCTTCTCGAGGAGCCATGCTATATCTCTGAGTCAGCCATTGTCCACCAATACAGGCAATGGGAACAAACGGACCAAGGATACAGCTCGTGTCGAGTCCGCCGCTGCAGCCCGGTTTGTGTCAGATACGAGGTTCTGCGAAGCTCCATGTATGCAGAGAAAGATATCTTCTGGGCAGGTGTGGGGCGGCCGCGCGGGAGACTCACGAATACGCAAGACAGACCTACGGAGCGAATCATTAGCTTGAACATTCCATTTGGCAGGACAAGTTAAGGCAATTGCGGGGTGACGAGGGTGTGTTTACCTTCTCCTTGGCCATTGTGAATGATGCTGGTGAACTGTGTAGGGAGTGGTTGGATGAACGGTGGGACGTGATTGATTGCTAGGACAAGAGGGATTGAGGGAGATGTGCGAGTTTTTCTCTGACGCAGAACAGACCGCTGCTTGCCCCTCGCTCTCGGGACGTTTAGGTGGGGCACATCTACAAACGAGCCTGGCCCCGCTAAGAAATAAAAAATTACTTATCCATGCACATGTGTATCCCCCACGGTTTTCCCTGCTATCTCGTTAGCCTGCTCTCAAAACGGCATCGAAAAGCGCGAAAGGTTCATCCCCAAAGACTTGATAAGCCTTCGATCGGTGTTCGTCTTCATGATCTAAATCCATTAATACTTTACAGCGGCTCGAAAGCTTTTGGCACTGAACCCATAAATGAAAAGGACATGGCACGACAGAAAAAACTGGGCATTATTTAAAGAGTAATACCAAAAACCAATCACGCTGCGTGGTAAAGAAGAGAAAGAAAGAAAAAGCCAGAAGAAACATCACAAGTGAATAGCCGGAAAAGCACATGCCAGTGCACAAAAGAATGAGTTCCGTCTTGAGCTACAAGAACACACCCAACAATAGGACTCTCTTGCCCGCCAACAGCATCCGTTTCCTTGCCCATCCCCCAGAAATGTTACATTTTGGTATCATTAGGTAATCCTCTACTCCTCCTCAGCGGGGAGCTCCTGCTCGTACTCCTCGCCCTCGTCGTCAGAGACGGAGGCATCCTGGTACTGCTGGTACTCGGAAACGAGATCGTTCATGTTGGACTCGGCCTCAGTGAACTCCCTGTCATGTAATCAGTACGATGAAACCAGTGTAGCGGTGATTGCCCGAAGGCCGAGGATTACTCACATCTCGTCCATACCCTCAGAGGTGTACCAATGCAAGAAAGCCTTACGCCTGAACATGGCAGAGAACTGGTCTCCGACACGCTTGAACAGCTCCTGGATGGAGGTCGAGTTTCCGACGAAGGTGGAGCTCATCTTCAATCCACGGGGAGGGATCGAGCAGAGAGCGGTCTGCACGTTGTTGGGGATCCACTCGACGAAGTAAGAGGAGTTCTTGTTCTGGACGTTGCGCATCTGGTCCTCAACCTCCTTCATGGACACCTTTCCACGGAAGATGGCCGAGCAAGTGAGGTAACGACCGTTACGGAAGTCCGAGGCAGCCATCATGTTCTTGGGGTCGTACATTTGCTGGGTGAGCTCGGGAACGGTGACGGCACGGAAAGAGTGGGCGCCCCGGGAGGTGAGAGGAGCGAATCCGACCATGAAGAAATGGAGACGAGGGAAGGGAACCATGTTAACAGCCAACTTGCGCAAGTCGGAGTTCAACTGGCCAGGGAAACGCAGACAGGTGGTGACACCCGACATGACGGCCGAGACCAAGTGGTTAAGGTCACCGTACGAGGGAGCCGACAGCTTAAGGGTCCTCATGCAGATATCGTACAGAGCCTCGTTATCGATACAGAAAGTCTCGTCGGAGTTCTCAACTGCAGAGGAAATTAGATTCCGCGTGGACTAGCATGGAGACGTGGAAAGCTTACCAAGCTGATGTACGGAAAGAGTGGCGTTGTAGGGCTCAACAACGGTGTCGGAGACTTTGGGCGAAGGAACGACAGAGAATGTGGCCATCATACGGTCGGGGAACTCCTCACGGATCTTGGAGATCAAAAGAGTACCCATACCGGCACCGGTACCACCACCGAGCGAGTGGGTGATCTGGAAACCCTGGAGGCAGTCGCATCCCTCCGCCTCACGACGGACAACATCCAACACCTGGTCGACGAGCTCGGCTCCCTCGGTGTAATGACCCTTGGCCCAGTTGTTACCGGCACCGGACTGTCCGAAAACGAAGTTGTCGGGACGGAACAGCTGACCGAAGGGACCAGCACGGACGGCGTCCATGGTACCGGGTTCCAAGTCGACAAGGACGGCACGGGGCACGTACTTGTTACCGGCAGCCTCGTTGAAGTAAACGTTCATCCGCTCCAGCTGGAGGTCACTGGTACCATTGTACCTGTAGCACTATCAGCATCCGCGCCAGACGGAATGTCGAAAGAATTTGATATACTTACACACCGGATCCATCGAGGCCGTGCTCGCCAGAGATGGTCTGCCAGAAAGAGGCACCAATTTGGTTACCCTAGAAGAGGAGTCAGCGTCAAGCCCGAGATATGCTCCGCAGATAGCAGCTATCGAAAGAAGCTGTATCGATGGACGCAACGAGAACGGGTGGCAACGTACACACTGGCCGGTCTGGATGTGCAAAATCTCACGCATGTTGACTGTGTACTGGATTCAATGTTAGCCGATGAGCTTCGGAAGCTTTGTTGCCAACTATTGTGGGGAGGCTTTATGAGGAGACGCGTCTGGTGTTGGTGGCGACGAGAAAAGTAAAACAAAGGGACGCGCGGGGAGAGTATTAAGTGGGGTGAGATGAGATTGATTGTCGACATACCAAAGAATCGATAAACTATTGCTGGGTTGTAGAGGGTCGGCGATGGAGACCGGTGGTGTTGATGGATGAAGGTGTTGGGATGGGTAGAGAGGGAGAGAGAAGGGAGAGTGAGCGAGTTTTGAGAACGAGAGAAGAAGAGAAGAAGAAGAAGATGTTGAAAGGGGCTTGACTTGCCAGTTGGGGGTGGGATGCGTTGGGGTGGGTTGGGGTGGGTTGCGGGCTGGGTCCAGTGATTTTGTGGTTGGCTCAATTGCCAGCGAATTGTGCCCGCATTAAACCGCAACGGGGTGTGGACGGGCCTTGGCAGAAGGGGTCTTTGCCTCTGCATCCGCCCGTGCACCGCGAGATGCCCCCCCGTCCGACAGCAACAGGCCACCATCGCCGCCAGCAGTGACCTCAAGATCGAGGAGAGTGGCTAGCCTGCCACCACGAGAGTTTTCGTCCGGCTGACAATTCATTCCGGAGAGGCTAGAAAGGTGGGTACCGAAGCCACCCCCCGGTGCGCTGGGTCTCTCACGATGGAGGACGTCGCGGACGCCAGACGCCAAGTCGTGAAAAGGAGGCTCAACTGGATCCAGGGTCGCTGTGACCTCTTGTGTCCTGCCTTTGTGGGACGCCGTGGCCAGTGGTCCGTGAATACCCTGCATGCCACCTTATCGCGGAGCAAGTCCCAGTCCGTGGCACTCATGTCCAAGGGGATCCCAACCGTCAACCGTCAAAACACGCGAATGTTTTGTGAGCCAACCAAATCGCCACTCTCTGTGAGTCGTTCGGATGCATCACACGACTAGGCAGGCAGATGATAGACCTCTTCCAATCGGATTGCTTTGTTGCCGGCCACTTGACACCATACGGGCTTCTTGTGGCTAGACTCATTCACGGGATGTCACTCAGCGCGCTGCCTGGAACCGAAGTCTCTAGCTCGTCGTCTGCGGATGTTGGTCGCCATGGTTTAACAAGGACATGCGACAATAAATCGATGTTCTCTCTGTCTCTCTCTCCCTCTGCGAATGGCCGGGGATTGGTAAGCCTCGAGGCTTCATAAGCCAATATCATCGTATATGTTTTTCGTCTCTGGAGGAACGCCCTTTGAGCGCCTTGACAATATCCTCGCCCATGAACGCAACTACAAGCGACAACCCCACTACGACCACCGTCATCGCGAGCGCCGCCACCCAAAATGTCCATTGTCCGTTTTCCATCTCCCGTATATCTTTGACGTTCATTCCAAAGACGCTCGACACGAAACTCATGGGTAGGAACACGATCGTCACAACTGTAAACACAACTATCGCCTTACCGTGATGCTCCATCTGCATTTCCACATTCTGTGCCGTCTACATCACTCAGCAGGGTTCTAACACATGGGATTTGAGGGTTATGAACGTACGAGTTTTGATAGTCGTGCACACGAGCGTTTATACTCTTCCATGTCCGAGTGAAAGAACTCCAGCTTTTGAAGAGTGCCGCCGAGGGTCTCGGCGGAAACGTCGGATTCCGTCTTGATGCGGGAGAGCACTTTTTGCTGGGCCTTTACAATTCCCACTATTATGTCGAGTTCCTCAGCGACCTGGTTGATGTTCTTGACCAGCCCCTTGGATGGCGCTTGTTGTGATTCAAATTGCTGCTACAGTCAGTCGATGCGATTTGTCGAGGTGAAAGAGGAGGGGCAAACCAGGGTGGCAAGATACTGCGCGTATATCTCACTGATGTATGCCCGGGAAGTTCTGATCGAGTCCTCGGGCACCAACGTGTTGATGACCAACATCACCAGCTCCTCGACATCTCGCGGCCGACACATCTCTTCTGGCAATCCGGCGGCCGCGAATACCTCCGATTTCATCCGTATCGCCTCTCCAGTCCACTCCAGGACTGCCGAGAGTTGCTTGACGTCTTCGAACAACCCATTTACTCGTTGCCTCCATGCCATGTTCTTCGTGAGTGGTGGGCCAGTTTTCTTCAGAAACTGCGCTGCATAACTCAGCACCTTGGAGTACAGCGTGATGAGCTGTCCCTGTAGCTCTTCCGAAGACTGGTATTGCTCCGCAGTTCCAAACTCTTGCCACTGCGCGATATTGTGGATCACGAACTCGGTGAAGCGACACAGGTCTTCCGTCAATTCATCCACCCATTTACGATCTGTAGACTACATACTCCCATCCGTCAGTTTACTCCCCCGTTGTCCCGATTCGGACGGAAAGAGAACCCACCAATACCACCAAACCCTTTCCCGCCAGCAGCACCAAGCGCGGTTTAAAAGCAATCCGGAGGAAAGCATAGCTCTGCACCACATCGGCGAGGCGTATGATATACTTCTCATAGCGTCCCAAGAGTCTGCTCAAGAACTGTGGAAGCATCTCTTTGATCCGCCACTGCACTCGGATCAAGTCCGTCAATACTTCGTTCACATCCTTCGATAGGTGCGTGACCGAGCTTGAATTCTGGCGCTGCATGAACAGCAGTGACTGCCCGTCGAAATCGATACCACCCCTCCTCGGCGGAACCTCGATCGTCGCGTCTAGCAACTTCAACTTCCACCAGAGATCATCGCCGGCAGTAGAGGAAACCGTAATCACGGTTGCTTTCAGTCCTCACGATCAACAAGCCGGCCTATCTAGATGACCAACGAACAGGAAAATCACACACCTTCATCCAACCGCAGCACCCATATATACTCCACCAGAATCGCCTGATCCTTCCCCGCCGCACCCCGGACCTTCTTGCAGATCTGGTCACTGTCCCGCCCTTCAATCGCTTTCGCCGATTCACGCCTGTAGTAATGCTGGAACAAGCTTCTGGTGGGATGGAGTGCCCGCCGCAACTCGTTCACCACCGGCGGCGGGGTGCCGTACGTTATATACGGCAAAGCCAAGAAATACACACCATCTTCCACGGCATGAGTCTCATGCCGGCTGGGGGGGCCTAACATCGAGAGGTAGACACTCACCGAGCGTCACGCTTCCCGCCTCGAAATACCGCCCATGGTTCGAGTCCCTCTCCTGTTCCCGCCGGAACTTTTCGAGCAGCTTGCACACGGCTGCTGCTCGAGCCGTGTCCATTGGCGGGTTCAAGTGCTTCACCACCAGCTTCTACGAGCCGTCAGCGGCTACGCGCATCTCCCAGCTGTGTTCCGGGTATCTGTGTACCAACAATACACCAAAATTAAGTGGTTCAGCCTTGAGATGTCTACCCATCATCCTCATTAGCATCGTATACGTTCGATTGCACAAAAAATAAGACAAAGGTAGCATACATCCATCTCACGCCGCCTCCAGCACGTTCCGGTAGGGTAGTCTCAAGCTCCCACCGAGTCGTCTTGACCTCGGACGCTGCATTGTCGAAATCGAGTATCTGAAGGAACGAACGGGATGGGGACGCGTATGCATTCGGCATTGCTCTCTCGCTCTCTCGAACTCATCACGGATTACTGTTTACTTCCCCCCTCCGGGAGGCGCTCAGTATATATAGTCGCTAGGTACGTACGGTAGTGCGTGCGGTTGACCCCTGTTGCGGATGGGGCACAGTTCGCACCGATGCAAGATCCCAGAGTTCGGTATCTATCCAGCTTACATGGTGAAATGCATAGTCGCCGTCAATCGGTGTAGGTAGTTGTCGTATGCAGCCAATGGTTATCCTCCGTAAGGCATTTTTGGTTAGCTGAGGAGAGTTGAAACGTCGAGGTGTGACTACTACTTCCTACCTATAGGTATCTGGCATGTGCTATATGGTACACATCCACGCGTATATACCAGCTTGAGCTATGCAGACTGCCGGCTTCTTTTCCCAGTGGTTCGCAGCTCGAGAGCCCGTGGTGTCCGCATTCATCTCAAGCTATCTGGGTGTGTAGGCACTTAATTATCTACTCGAGTGACCGGAAATTGATAACTTTGATATCGTTTCTGCAGCCTCCGGGCCAACTGGTTTTTGGCCGGAAGTGTCCTCAGGCTCGGAACCTTGTTTGTACCGGCCCATCGCAATCGGAATGGTTACACCGGGGTAACTAAGCCCAGACAGCACAAACGTCACCCCCAGCCCGCCTCGCAGCGTCCTAATTCCTGCAAGTCGAGTTTGCAGAAAGAACCCCCCCAACAGAACACCTGTCCCTCTCGAGTTCTGTCTCTTCTCCATATATTCCTTTCCTTTCCTGCTGTTGGTTGGAAACGCACGAGACGACCAACTACACACTACAAGCAGACATCATGACCGTAACGAAAGTTTTCGCTTCCACCGCGCCGGCGGACCTGGTAGACTTCTCCAAAGACAGTCTGAAAGGTAAGTTTGCTCTTTCTGTGTGACGGACCCCCAGTACGTGAGTTGGCACTGACTGGTGCTTGTTCAGTTGCGGCTGCATCCATTGCCTTCAACCCTATATTCTGGAAGTAAGTTTCGCTCCGTTATCCGCTCCGGCAGTGCATGAATGACGATGGCTAACCGTTCCTCTCAGCATCGTTGCTCGTCAAGGTACACACATCCCGCATCTCGTCGAATCCCCCCCAGCGCACATAAGCGTCTAACCGCCGCCGCCATTAGAATACCACAACCGAATACTGACCAAGCTCTTCGGAGGCAACTCCCGCTACGGCTGCTACTTCCTGGCGGTACTGATCTTCTCGCTTGGTATAATCCGGGACTACTTCTACGAGCAAGCGCTGCGGGACCAGCCCGCGCTCGACATCCTCCAGTCACCCACCGTCAAGTACGCGGCCGGCGGTCTCTTCCTGACCGGCAATGTGCTCGTCGTCTCGAGCATGTGGGCGCTGGGTGTTACCGGCACCTACCTGGGCGACTACTTCGGCATCCTGATGGACAGCCGGGTCACCGGCTTCCCGTTCAGCGTTACCGACGCACCCATGTACCACGGCTCGGTGCTGAGCTTCCTCGGCACCGCCCTGTGGTTCGGGAAGCCCGCTGGTCTCCTGTTGACGCTGTTCGTGTTCGTGATGTACCAGTTTGCGCTGCGGTTCGAAGAGTAAGACTCCCCCCATCCTTCCCACCTTTAGTGCACTTCCCGCTGACCGACCGCGCAACAGTCCCTTCACCGCAGAGATCTACGCCAAGCGCGAGCGCGCGCGGGCCAAGAAGTCGGGCTAGATGCCGATGCTTCCCTCCCTCTCTTGTCTCGTCTCGAGACATCATGTTTTCCTATTTTTTCACGACGTTATGCTTCAACATTAAATGTCGTAGTTGAGTGTGCAATGAATTCAACTCGTTGCCGCGGTGCGTTTACCAAAGATGTTTTCCACGTTGCATGTGAAGTGAAGTGCAAGTGAATATGATGTGCGCGGAGGGAACTTGTATGTAGAGTGCCTTGACGATCGCACGGCTGAATGCTGGTGCTGGTGATGCAAGCACACCCAGCGCCGGCGCCGTGTCCAGTACATACAAGGCAAGATGACTTCATAGAGTACCTGGTGGCTTGCATAGGGCTCGTAGGGGTGTGGACGGGATGCAAACCGATATATAGTGCCTGCATTGTTCTAGCCCGGTAGTTTTCCGAGAAAGAGATGAAGCAGAGCAAACCACATCATCGGCCGAGCTATGTTTGAGGTGAGTAAGTAGATATTCAGAGTAATGACCATCAGCCCCCTTGCCTAGAGGCTAGGTAGTTGGATGCACCGTCTTCTACGGCGTTTCTGTACCTGATGCAACGTGTGTGTGTATGTGTGTAAAAAGTAAGGAACGCTGGATGGATGGATGGCTATCGTACCTATCCAGCTCATAGCCAAGCAGTTTTGGGCAAATCTTTGGTCCCATGGAGTTCAGTGGGCGGAACACTGTATGTACAATCTAGATAAAAGACGCAGTCCCGCCCTTGGAACAGTTATGGGCATTGGGATTTGTTCTCCCCAGAGCTCCGTCGTCACGCTGGCAACGACCCGGTAGTCGTTCGATTGCATGCGAAGTTATCTTCCCATAACACGACATCCAGCTTCACTATCATACCACAGCCCTAGGAGCCGCTTTATCCCTCCAACCTCCAGCCTGTGGGTATCACGTTTCCACGAATGTGGATTATATGGTACATTGGTACTCAACAACGGACACTGGTGACCAGCGGGGAACCTTGGCACTGCGGACCTGCGGACCAGCGGTGAGTGATTTCGTGTGAATTTCGCTGTCCGTTTGTAGGATTGTGGGATCCGTAGGATTCCTAGTACAACTACCGTCAGCCTTCGGGTGTGATGTGCCGCAGCAAGTCGTCATTCGTGCGGGAACAGCTTCTGAGAACTATTTCTTCTCTACAGCTCCACATCCGGCTCGGAGGAGTAGAAGCCGGGCCCCGCAACTTGGTGCTCCGGCGGTTGGCGAGTATGAATGAAGGTAGCTGGGAGGCCTGTTCTCGAGTTCTCCTTCCGCATGATTCAGACATGATGGATGGGGTTATGCGTGGCCTACGCAAGAATTAGGAAAAGGAAGACGTTTGATTTGAACCTATCTAGGTATGTCATGCTCAGCTACCTACATTCCTCAGTTAAAGATTGGAATCCATGATTTACCCATTTCCTTTGCCGGTACCGGGCGAAGCCTCGAAGCCCTTCTTAGCAAAACCGCAGCCTTGTACCTGCCTTCATTGTAACTCTGAAGATGTTTTGTGTATCCACTCTTGCATGGAGGTTTTTTGGATTTCCCATCAAGCACCTCCTAATGTACAGTTCGGTTTCTGGATTCATCGATGGATAGTCTGCTCCAGGGCCCTGCACATCCGCCTCGACGCCCCCAACAACCATGAGAGTTGTCAACTGTCGTGTTGAGATCTTTGTGGACATCGTTGATCTTCTTGGGATTTTGACGGCTATAGGTAGTTGTCTGGGCTGCTTGGTCGAACCAGTGATACCAGAATAATCCTACACTGGAAGAAAGAGCAGTTTAAGGATTACCTAAGTAGTACTTGGTTAGTACCTAGCTCGAATAGCGAGCCATGATCGTAGTAAAGTCCAAGAATTACCAGTGGAGTTCATGTTGTTGACCGGCCAGTTTGACTTGTGCTTGATTGATTTCTGCTACCGTGAATTTCGTCGGTCAGTGCATATATCAATCGGATCGGAAAACAGAGCTGCGTTTTCTTCTCTTCCTCTCAGTGCTCTGAGATGATTTGCTTTGATTCGTCGTCGGGCATGTGTAGCTTTTGTCAAGAGCATAATGATGGTGTAGAAGGTGGACAGCTCAAGGAAGGCGGATAGCGTTTGTTATGTAAGACTTGTACATCAGTGGGGGCGTCCAACTTGGCATTCTTGGCAAGGCTTGTTATTTTGAGTCCAAGCCCTGGACAAAGATGCTGCAGCACTCTAAATTCCGACCAGATTCCATGACAACAAAGGCCACCGAAAAGTGGTGCCGAGGGCGGTCTGGGACAGAGTTTCCAATATCGGCGGCTGGACAGGCAAATTGGCAGAATAGAGTCGTTCGCTTCTCTCGTCGCTTCTGCGGCACGGTGTCATTGCTACGGTACTAGGCAGAGTCGGTACTTCCCTGCTTACCAGGCTTGGGGGAGGAGGCACATTGGGTCCCTCGTCCGGCCTTCTTTCCTTAACAGCACGCCGAATATCCGTTTCTCCACCGCAGCTGACGATCAACTCCATACCCCGGGCTGCAGTCATGCTCAAACGACCGACTCAGTGACTTCATTCTATCCCGCACACAGCCAGGCATATCCCAGTACCGCGTTTTACGCCCGTCCTATATATATCCGCACGTTGTACCTTCTCTCCTTTGCTCGGACAATCATACGTTAGCGGAAATCAATCATGGCCACGGCTATACTCGACATTCTGAACGCGCTCAACGGGGCGGTGCGGCGACTTCCCAGTGTTGACTACGGCGAGGAAAAGTTCAACACATGGGGGAAGCCTACAGCCACGATAAAGTATGGTCCCAGCTCCAGCGTGTCTGTTCTGTCCCCGGAGCTGATTTTCCGGCAGTTGGTGCGAGGAGGATTATGTCGTGACGCCATGTAGCTATTTCCCTTCCCTCGTTCTGTGTGTCCGAACTGCTGCTAACCGTGCTGTTTGTGCATAGACTGCGCTGAGTTCGTAAACTCGATCACGAACGTCATTTTCATGTACCTAGCGATCCGTGGGATGCGGAACTGCCTCAACGAGGGCCACGATAAAATATTCTTCATCTCGTTCCTAGGGTTCTTTGGAGTCGGCTTGGGGAGCTTCTTGTTCCATTCTACCCTATGGTGTGAGTTGTTCCCTTAGCCCTGGGGAGGACCGCATGTGATGGAATTGTGCTGACCTGGAACACAGACTCCATGCAACTGGTCGACGAGCTAAGCATGATCTACACTACGTGTCTCATGGCCTGGGGTAGGTTACACCCGCGTTGCCACGGTATCCCGAATGAGAGACACAAAGACTGACGTTTCACTTGTTCTGCAGCATCCTTCTGCCACGGCCGCTCCATCCGCTACTCGGTCACCGTTGGGGTCCTCCTCTCCAGCATTGCCGGCGGCGTCTCCGTCTACTACCACTACCTCCAAGACCCCACCTTCCACCAAAACGTATTCGCCCTCCTCACCGTCGGCGTGCTCTTCCGCTCATTCTACATGATGGAGCGGTACGTGCGGTCCGTTGACGCAGCCTCCGTCAACCGCATGTGGAAGCTTGTCGGTTCCGGCATCGGTGTGTTCCTGGGCGGCTTCGTCCTCTGGAACCTCGACAACGCGTATTGCGGGTCGCTGCGCAGCTGGAGGAGGAGTGTGGGCATGCCGTGGGGCTGGCTCGCGGAGGGACACGGATGGTGGCATCTCCTCACTGGCATTGGAGCGTACTTCCAGCTGCAGTATGGGGTGTGGCTCAGGTATTGCCTCGATGGCAGGCAGCACGAGTTCACGCTGCATTGGCCGGGCATTTGCAGCTTTCCGGATGTTGTCAGGGTCCCGGAAGAGAAGGCCCGTGGTCGCCAGAATGGTGCTGCTGTATCCAGGAAGAAGAAGCTGTAGAGTGCGAGATACCTACCTACACAGGACGGTGCGCGAGTTTGTACTGTAGAGCTACTTAGATTGGTTCCGCTCACACACATACAAACGGGAGTAGAATTCGATACTGTAAGCAATGTAGTTCAAGCGTTAGGTAATGTAGAGGGTCTCCAATCAAGTATCAGACCAAACGCATCGGTGCATAAAGCCAGATCAAACTCAGTGTCCATGCTCAAGTCGACAACGTCAGTGAACGTGAAGGTCGGACAATTGGGCGCGCAAATCATACTCCAAATAATCGTAGTTGAGTCCACGGATCCCGTTTGGAAACCCTCCTTTGAGGCTACCAGAGTCAATTGACTACCTAGAATCTTTGTAATTCCAGAAATTGCTTTACTGCAGCATATATCCCTCCGTCAATCATAATTCTTCACCGTACGTAGGATACACTCCTCAATCCGCGCGCTTACACGGCGTACGCCCCAATATAGACCGAGTGAGAGTGAGCACAGTGGACTGCGCCAGCGTCACAGAGAATCACACGGGCTGTTGGTTCTCGCGCAGAGATCGTGTCAGTGAGTAGAGCCAGAAACCGGGTCCGACGAGGTCGCTTTCGAAAGTGGGGAGAACATGGGAACTTGTCGGATAGATACCGCGTGGCTCTACTGGCTTGTGGGGATTGTGGAAGTGGATGTGGAAGTGGACAGCGTGTCTGGCGGAGCGGTTGGTAGTGGACATGGCGCTTGGGGCTCGTTTAGATGCCGTTCCTGTAGGTAGTCGGTCTTGATTAGAGTTAAGGATTGGCGTGTGGAAACGGTACATAGAGAGATCAAAGAGAGGCTTCGGATGAGGTCACTTGGGTCATGTGTCCACCGAGTACTATTTGAATTCATTGAAAGACCTGGAAAGTATTACAACTTACACCACAGTTTAAACCCGCCCTATTACCTCAATCGCGGAAACGGTAGGTCCACCAAGTCTGGTCGTGTACCTACCCTCAAAAGTATGAAGCACGTGCGTGATTGTGGAGGTTTAGTACATAGTGGTGGAGGGTTAGCTCACTCGGACTCGAGTGCAGAGTTCCAGGTTTGAAACGACTCATAGGTATGTTTTGCTCAACGCTTAGAGACGTGACCGTATGTACTTCATTTCAATCGTCCCATATTCCCAGCAAGAAGTAACGGCCCATAAGCAAAGATAGCACAGGTAAAATAACAACGCCAGCCGACGCAAAAAAAACAACACGCAAACCACAATGACAATGCACCTATTTCCCTCCACTCGTAGCCAACACGAGCTCTCTATACATCGCCTTGAGATCATCGACGTCCTGGCACAGCTCGCCGACGCGCTCCTCGCGCTCACCGAGCATCTCCAGCGTAGTCTCGAGCCGCATCTTAGCATCGGCGACTTCGCTCTCGAGCGTTTGAACGCGGGCTTCGGCACTCCGCTTGGCCTCGACTTCGCGCATGAGCTCGACCATTTCCGCGCGTGCTTCGTCGCGCTGCGAGACGACACGGCCTAGCTCTTCCCTGCTCGCTGCCATCTCACTTTCGAGCCGCCGGACGGCGGCGGACATCCGCTCGACGAGTTGGACGGAAGGTCCGGCGGCAACGGTGGACACGGAGACAAGGTCCGGGTGGCGGTGCGGAGAGGATGGCGTGTTCATGCCGTCGAAGTAGTCGTCGACATCACCGGAAGGCAGCGACGTGTTGAGGTATGGGAAACTGTCTGAGCGTACTGGTGGGGTTTTGAAGCCGCCGCTGCTGCGTGGAGGATCAATGGATGGTGTGCGGCTAGTGGATTTGCGCATCGGCTGGGAGTAACCGAGGAAATATGATTCCGTGGTTGAGCCTGCGGCTGGCGGATTTGAACGGAAAGGGCTGAAGACTGGAGGGGGAGAGTTGGTGCTTGTAGCAGGGGTAAGCGTTGTTGGGATCGTGGTTTCTTCCCATTTAATGCGTTCTTGCTGAATGCGGGTTTGCAGTTCTTGCTCCCAGGCGGTACGCTCGGCGCGGTGGGCAGCGGTTAGAGAGTCGGATGCGGATTCAGCCGCGTTAAGGCGGGTGCGGAGGGTTGCTGTGAGTTCGTTGGCCGAGGCAAGGTCGGACTCGAGGTCTTTTAGCTGGGAGCGCATTGTCTCCATGTCGGATTCGAGAGTTTTGCATTTGAGGTTCTGGTTGGTTCGTCAGTCACTGGTGAAGCTGAACTGTAATAGATCCATACCATCTCTCGTGCTTTGCGACGGATATCACCCTCCTTCCTTGATAAATCGTCACGCTCTTTCTCCAGGCTCGCTACTCTGGCCAGCAGGCTGCCCTCGATGCCTTGCCAGTTCTCGCTGGCAATAGAATACTGTGTCTGCAAGGTCTCGACCTGTCGCAATAATTTTGCGTGTGCATCTCCTGCAGAGCCAGATGAAGCTTCTTCGACTCTTCCCCGCAACGCCTCCATCTTTCCCTCCATTACCTGCCGGACCAATTAGCGAGTGATAATACGTGAATATACCTGAGATGTGACCTACCGTGAGCTCCGCCTTCATCTCCATCTCCCTCCTGCGTGCTTTTTCCGAGATCCTTTCGGCCTTAGTCTTCAGATCCTCGATTTCACCCTTCAGCCTTTCTTCCACCATAGCTGCCTCGCTCCGCACTCGTTCGATCTGTGCCAGTAGCTCTAGCGTTGCCTTCCTCTCGTTCTCCAGCGCTTCGTCCTGAACTCTGCCTTCCGCGTCCGCCGTCCTTTTGGCCTGTTCTCCCAATTGCTCTTTGAATCCCCTAACCTCGGCTGCCAGTGCCTCTTTATCCCTCCTCAACCCATCGACCTCGCTCTCCACCTTCACGAGCACCTTGACCTTCTCCAGCGCCTTCTTCTCCGCCTCGGCAGTTGCCCTCGCCTTCTCCCTCTCCTCGGCACACTTTCTCTCTGCCACCTCCAACTTCTTCTTCAATTCCGTACTCTCCCTCGCCTGGACCCTCAATTTCTTGATGGTAGTCCTCAACTCCAATTCACCCCTAGACAGCCTCTCCCCCTCCTCAATGAGCAGAGCAATCTTCTCATCCTTCTCCGAGATCTTCCGTTCCGCAGGAGTAGCAGCGCTCCCTCGCTCGCGAGCCGCAGCAGCAGCAGATTCCTGCGACAGGTAGCGCACCTTCTCGCTCAGCGCGTCGATCCGTTCCGAAGCAGCGACACTCTCTTCCTGACGGCGGAGTTCGCACGTCGCCAGGTCTTGGCGCAGCAGCGATATCGTAGCCAGGAGCTGTTCGGGGTCTCGCGAATCGTCGTCGTCGACGTCGACGTCGGGGAGTAGCGGCGGTGGCGGCGTGGGAGCGTCTCGCACAGCTGTTCCATTCGTTTTTGCTTCGGGGGCGGCGGCTTTCTCCTCCACGCCTGGCGGCGGCGGCGGCGGCGGCGGCGGCGGTGTCGGTGTCTTCTTCTTCGCCGCCGGACTCCCACTCCTCCCGCCCACGCTCTTGGCCGCAACCACGGCCGCCAGCCGCTCCGCCATGTTTCCGCGCGCCGACTCGCCGCTCCGTCGGACGCTCTCGCCGCTGCCCCGCCGCGGCGCCGCCTCCGCTTGTACTTGCATCATTGTGTTCCTGGCCGGCTGTGCGGTGACCACGTTATTGCTGCTGCCGCTGCCGCCGTCGTCGAGAAGAACTTTGTCGAGCCGACTCTCGAGGCCCGCAAGCCCTTTTTGTAGGAAATTCATCGTGCCGTGCAGTGCAGTGCCGTGCGGGTTCCCGCTCAGGATGAAACGCTCCGCCCGAGGACACGCAGAGGAAAGATGTGAACACGTTTATCGAATTTGTCGTTGCTGCAGCAGCAGGCGGTGGTTGCGCATGCGGTAGTAGGTAATAGGAAGTAGTTGGTGGTCGTGGTGGTGGGTAGCTGCGCGCTTCCTTCCTTGCCTACAGCTTCCGAACTTCCTTCCACCCCCACCAGTAGTCTACTCTAGAGTACGGTAGGTAGTGGGCCCTGGACTGCTGGGGGTAGGGGGGTTACATAACGCGTGGCATCTTCACTCTGGGTTTGTCACACGAGAACTCGCGGCTTTTCGCATGGCTCGCTCGGGATGGGCATTGAGGGTAAATAAGAATAGCGTGCTAGGTATATGGATCAAGCTTTGCTGAGTAGTTATACCGTACGAGCACGATAGTTACGGTACTAGTACTTACTTACATACGTGTGCCTAGCATCATAGGTACGTCAGCCCTCAAGAATGCGGAAACAAGCGATTGTCGCATGTAGATGGATGGATGGAATATATCCAGCGGCACATCGCATCATCCTTCTCCGTCCCGCCTACATGCGGAATATTTTTCCCCCAGCACCCGTCTTTAGAGTAGCTTTTCCGAGAGTGTGCAGGATTGTCGTAAAACACTTTCCGTCTTCACCGACCTCACCGACCTCACCGGCCGCCGCACAAGGAATCCATCCTTCAAGTACGGGAAACGGGGGGACCTATCATTGTCCGGACAAGTGCACAACCACCGATGTTCTGTTTGCGGTCGGTCCACACCAGCGGCTTGTGGTGGTGGCTTCGGCGGCGGGCTTATCCCCCAGCGGATCGGCAGTAGAGCTCCCCCACCCCCGGCTAGTAGCCGCTCGGGGGACGCCCGGGAGAGTAATCGGGTAATCGGGTAATCAGGTATGATAACTAAACGACCATGTCGTGAGCTCGGACATGATATAGAGCTCGGCTTTACTTCGCTTCACTTTGCGGATGCGTAGGTAGTAGTAGTAGTGCGAAGTCCGCGGCCTGCGAGCTCCCTCGTCCCCCCTCCCCACCCGGCTGTTTCTGTCGAGGCCAGTTCTTATACCCGATCACCTGACAAGACCAAGCCCACTTCCCTTCCGATGGCGGATAAACTCCCACACCCACACCCACGCCCATGCCTATGCGGGAAACATGCGGGAAACATGCGGGAAACGTTCCAACTTCTGCGAGACCGGTTTCCACACACGCACGCACGCAGGCTCATGCGAGATCTTTGAGAGGTTCGGCGCTCGGGACTCGGGAGGTGGGGCGGGATCCCGACTCCCGACTCTCGACTCTCGACGCACGATGAACAACCGTTAAGGTCGTACCTGATACCATGCAGTACAGGGAGTTACCTGGAGACGAACGGTAGAAACGCCTACATCCTGCATACATGCATACGGGGAGGAAGATACGGTATGAGTACCAGGTAAGGAGTGGTTGCCTCCGTACCCCCTCCCGCGGTGACCAGCTACGAGTGCTCGCCCATGATGCGCTGGATATTTTTCAGTCAACTTCGCCAGTTAAGAACACTGCTAGGTACATGTACGCAAGCCAAAGCCAACCCATCTCCACGGACATTCCTCATATCGTCCATAAATACTCCCCACTGCCCTGTGTGCAAATATCCCTCCATATCCGACCACTTCAATAGAGTACTCTACCGTACACCATGCCTTGAATCCATTATCCGACAGCTGCCCACGACTCGCGAGTGCTCGTCCATGATCGTCCATGATCGCGCCGATTGATGGAAATTCGAATTGCCATCTACCATGTAATAGTGGTGAGTAGTGAGTCTTTATACTGGTATCCTTAAGGTACCGTAAGTAAGTAGGCAATCCAACATCAAAGGTACCGTAAGTAAGTTTACAAGGTGAGTGTTGTTGTTGTTTCATTTTTCACTCATGCTGGAAATAGCTACTCTTTGGCAGCGTGCAGATGACTACTCGTAGACCATACCTACGTTCTTGTGATAAGTACATATATGTAGGAAGTTTGTAGTCGAGGTAGATAACGGGCTGCTCGACGGAGACGCAGAGCGGGGGAGGGGATCATTCGCGGCCGGTAGAATTATGGACAAATCTGTACATGTATATTCGGCGCATATATTCTTCTTCCTCTTCCGCTTCTTCTTCTTCCCTCCTCCCTCTCCCAGCCAAAGAAGAAAAGTAGGAAGAGGAAACTGATATGTACCAGTATCTGCCATGATCTACAATGCCGAATGCAATGATGACCAAACAAAACTTTTTTTTTGAAGGAAGAAGTGACAGATACTCTGCATAGAGACACATGGAAGATCTACTACCTATAGTAGTAGGATGAGCGCTGCCAGTAAGGTCACCCTGCACCATAGTACTCGGGTGTAAGGGTAAGTGCTGCCTCACCAGTTTTTCCCCCATACAACTTAGTCACAACCACTCACTCATTTGATTGTATATTGCTTAGTACGCTCCTAAAATAGACTGGTGCTCATTAGCGCTTATAATTCGCAATGGCGGTGAGGCACCACTTATTGGCAGCCTCTGGTACATACACCCAAAGTTCAAACAAAAGGAAATAAAAACGAACCACTGGACACATCCTAGGTATAGCACATCTACTTATGTGTATGCATATGATGTATCCTTTGTCCGTAAAGACTCAGAGCGGACCTCCTCGCCGAACCGAACCGAATCACCGCCGCGATTGGTCGCCGAGGGTCATCTACTCGATACCGGTATTTCTTCGGCAGTAAGCACCGGACGGAGGATCGTCTCGAATTACCTATCAGATTCGCGGGGTTCGCGAGCTCTAGGGAGCCAAATGCGAAGATGGGGAGCCAAAGCTCTCCAGCCGGCAAAGCAGCAGATGTGACTCTTGAGAGTTTGTCAGCATATATAATACTACCAAACTTCACTTCCTCTGGGCGATCCATCATTCCTAGTACTCTACCTATAGACTAAAGTAGAGTGGGTGTAGGTAGATCCACAGTCCGCCAGGACTGTAAAATCCGTGTCGTAGGTAGGTGTGTATAAGTATCTTCTCTGGAGCGGCACCACATACCAAGTAGGCATCGATTCACTGACCATATTGGGAGTGGCGGTTGATACCCGTATGGGTTTGTGGCGGTTGACACGGGACCCGACGGAGGGTTCCAAGTGAGTAGGTACAGTAACTACTCCACTTAGCCGATCCTCCAGCGGATCTCGTGGCCTACTTACCTACATACAAGGAGATGGTGAGTGCGGGTACCGTGACTATTATCCGTTGGAGCACCCACAAAAGACAAGAGGCAAGAGACGAGAGACGAGAAACGAGAAATGAGAGGCGCAACCAGTCGCGGCTGGCGGGGGGCGGAAGACACACACACCCCAACCGTAGATATACCTACCTATACCAAGTATCGATGTCGATACATATCATATCGGAGACAGCCTCGGAGACATCCGTGGCTCTTGCCACACATGCTCAATGCTCGCTCAATGTTCAATGCTCAGCTCATCCGCGAGCGTGAGCGTGGGCGTGAGCGTGGGCGTGTGACATGCAGCAGCCTTCCCCACTGCCCAGCCCCATGCCACGCCATGTTTGCCATCCATTCACAATTTGTATGTTGAATACATATGCACAACCCTATGTAACCATCATACATATCGACACCAGTAGGTCGTCGCCTACCCACCAACCAGCGGTCTCCATCGCTAGTTAGCCTGCTCTGCTCTGCTCGAACATGGAAACTCACGCAGTCGCAGACCCAGTTGCCAGGAAACGCCCGCTAGCTGGCATGTATGTAGTAGTTCTGGCCAGTGCCCCCCCCCCCAGTTCTTCACCACAAACTAACGCACTCCACACTCCACACTCCACACTGCCATGCACCCACTGCACCCACCAGTGACCACACCCACCAGACACGCCCACCACACAGCCAGACAGACAGCCACCACACAGCCAGACACACCCACCTAGAGAGACAGCCACACGCACACACAGCCAGACACAGAGTCACAGACCACACACACAGGGAAGCCGCGCTTACCGAAAGTGCAGTGAGCAAGTGCAGCGTGAAAAGTGTAGCGTGAAAAGTGCAGCGAGCAAAGGCCGGCCCGATATTGGGTTGCACACTGCACCTGGTTGGCGTCGCCTCTAGATCTGCTGATGGGTAGGGTATCTGAGTAATTGGGGTGTGTAGTTATGTTTCGACTGCGCGAGGATAGTTATGAATCGATGATGTGGAGGGGGGGGGGAGGGGGAGCTCCGGGAGGCGCCGCGAGAGAGAGAGGGAGAGAGAGCGAAGACGTTGCTCATAATACCTATCTGGAGTAGAGTACATGGTGAAGTAGAGTTACCAGAGTAGGTAGGCCTACCTACCTGTAGACTGTAGTTGCTATAGTTAGTACATCATTAGTTACTCTACTCTACGGTGGCAACTGGAGCAGCTGGAGCAGCTGGAGAAACGCGATATGTATGTAGATATGATGATACTGGATGGATGCATGCATGCATGCAGAGCGGTGGGTGCGGTCTCGCATGCAATGCAATGCAATGTAGCGCGGTGCAAGAGAGAAAATCTTTTTTTTGTTCGTTTGGATGGATGATCAGATCAGAAAAGCAGGAAGAAAGGAAGAAGGAAGAAGGAAGAAGCATCGGGAAACGGAGATAGCTGCGCGCAGAGGGATAACTGGTGGCTGAGTGATAGCTGACTGACTGAGTGAGCAGGTAGGGTGGAGGTACTCTACTCTAGAGAGATAGATAGATAGATGGAGAGAGAGAGAGAGAGCGTTCGTATTCGCCATGACACAGGTGGGGAGCGAGGGAGGGAAGTTGAAGTTTCGAGTTCCCATCCATCTGAAAAGAAGCGAGATGGGAGGAGGGGACGGAAAGACCGGACGGATACTTGTCCCGGAGACGAGCGAGATAAGTGAGAAGTGAGCGAGTATCATTTGTAAGTAGATGTCCGGTCAAGTGGCTGGCTGGTTTGTCCGCAGCTGCCGTTTGGAGACACACGGACATGCGGGGAAAGCGAGCGACACTGTGAGTCTGCGAGACTGTGAGACTGGGAGTTTGCGATACCGCGACACTGCGATATCTACTGCGATACCGCGACACTGCGATATCTACTGCGATACTGCAACACTGCGCGTTCGCGACAGAGCTCATCGGTTTTTCTTAGCCTTTTTTGTTTTCTTATTTATTATCTTCGGACTGGTGTGGATGTGCACTGAGGGTGAGGGTGAGGGTGTGGGTATGGGTGTGGTTGCATGTGGATGGGCATAGGCTGCCATGGGGTGTCTGTCTTGTTTGAGGTTTTGGCGAAATATTCGTCGGTACCGCCGGCTGGTGTGAGATATATCCCGTGAGCTCAACGCCCACCACCCCCCGGCCTCTTCCTTTCCTCGTGATTCCTTTTCTTCCGTAAGCAAGCGAAGTTAGTGAGTAAGGCGATGGTCGGTGACTATCAATAGGTCTCGATACCGTGCCAAGGCAACGAGAGTACAAAGAGCGCCCCTCACTCATGTCTACCGGTCGAGGTAGGAAGGTATCATCTCATCATCATCGGTTGAACGAGGGGCAGCAGTAGTAGCAGCAAAGAAGTAGAGCAGGGAGCAGGAGCTCTCTCAATATTTGTAGATGACACCTACTACTAGGTATACTGGGAGTTACTACTAGTAACAGGTACATCATACCGGTACTCTGCACATGTCTTTATGCACCGTCTGGTCATCTTTGTGGGGCATCCATGTATGTAGAGAACCGGGCAAGCCAGTCGACGAGCTCTCCTTGGCCTGTGAGACAGCTTTCCAGCCTTTTTTCGAGCTCCGCCATGCACCTCTCTCACGCGCCTCCATCCTAACATCGAATGTGCCCGCCCGCATAGCAACGGATCGTCCAGAGGACGCAGGAAAGACGGTCCAAGCAAACCAGCCAATTCAAATCCCGACGACGACGACGGCGTCTTCGGCCTACCGGTACTATGCATACGTGGTCGACTCTCCACCCTTGCCTTGCCTGCCGGACAAACCGGAGCATACCAATCTGGACGAACGATCGAAAAGCATCTTCATCCCAGGATAGCGAGGGAGGTAGGTTTGAGCACTTTCCCATGCCGAAACACCTCTGGGAAGGTTCTCCATTGATCCTTCGATCGAAGGACTGACTGTACGGGGCACCATCGGGTGTGTCACCGCCCGAGGCGTAATTAGCCGCCGACAGCTTCCTACATAGCTTCCGCGGAACCACCTGGGTAGTCGAGGATCAGCAAGTGTTGAGGAGAACGGTTGGGGAGATAGGATAGGATACTCTAGGTGGCACTGCACGTTCAAAAGATGCGCGTGTACATGGACCGCTGCGGTCGGTCACACTGTCGGGTCTGCTGCGGTGGAAATAGGGCGCACCGCAAAGCATGTATGTCAGGCAGCCGCGGACTGCTGGAGAATGGTAACGTGCCGCCAAGGGGTGAGATGGTGAGGTTGTATGTCGTGCGTCGTGCGGTTGTGGGGAGGGACAACTATGAGTGGCTGGCGGTGTCATGTTGAAGGTGCAACTTCATGGACGGATACGATAAACGCTGCTACCACCACCAGTATGCAGCGTAGTTCCACGAAAGTATCGCCCGAAAGAGGCATCGTACCTCTACTTCCCGCTACCGGGCTGTGCAAGGTGCCAGTGCGTACCAGGTACATACGCAAATCATCATGTTGACGGCGAGCAACGGTGATCGTTTAGAGGAGGTCCGGCGGCACACAGATTAGTCAGCCCGCCCGCTCGCCCACCGTCCAGCCCGCCCGCCCGCCCGTCCACACATCCATCCATTCGTCCATTCACCCATGCATCATCCATCCATCCACACACGCACCCACCCATCCACTCGTCCATCCTCTGCTTCTCGTCGTGCATGTGCATTCGATGTTATTGCATGTCAAATTGTTTTTCTTTTTTCTTTTTCCTCTTTATTTTTCTTTCTTTTCTTTTCTTCGTCCGTCTCGTCGCACCCTCTGTCCTCGCTCCTGTGACTGGCTCGGTTGGATCCCTGCTCGTTCTGAGGCAGTTCGGTCCAGTTGTCTATCCACGAATCAGACGGCTCCGTTCGCATCCGCTGTTGTTGCCACCTTGTCACGGAAAAAAGGGTAGGGAAGAGAAGAGGACGAAGCCCAACGACGGGAGGACGAGTGGCGAGTGACGACGGACGCGAAGAGCGAGAGGGGCGCGTCCAGAGTGAAACGAAATGGCCAGTTGAAGCCATAGTCCGCACTCCGCAATCCGCAGCCATAGTCCGCACTCCGCAATCCGCAGTCTGATACGCAGTCCGTAGTCCGCAATCCGCACTCCGAATTCACAATCCGCGATGCGTAATCCAACCAATCAACCGCCCTAGCATATCCGTATCGGCAAAAAAAAACCGCGGCGGCGGCGCGCAAAAGCAAGAGCAGAGGCAGGAAGCAGCGGAAGCATCCAAGCGTCAAGCCAGCAGCAGCAGCAGCACACCATCAGATCACTTGCTGCGAACTACTCCATACTAGCGACTATTGAACCCAAAACCCCTCCTCCCTCCCCCGTCCCCATCGCACCCACACCCTTCGCTCGCCATACTTACTCAACTCCAACCCAAGCCCACACACACATCCCCCTCACCCACCCATCCTCCCTTCCACCCACCCTCCCTCCCTCCCTCCCCCTCCCTTCCCTCCACGATTCGCGAACGCCCCACACCCCTCACCCTTCCCTTCTCTCCCACCACACCCTCTCCTCCGCAACCACCACCCCCTTCCCCTCCCTCCCCCTCCCTCCCTCCCCTCCCTCCCTTTGCCCCCCCTCCCCCGCCCACCCCCTCCTTCTCTCCCCAGAAGAGCGTACACTGCATTGCCGCACGGTTGAACCTGACCTCTCTTGTCGGGGATCTGTCGTCGTCGCAATCAACCCACCTCGAGCCTGAGGCGGAAGCATCCAGGAGCAGCAAGACCAGCAGCAGCACAGGCCAGCAGCCGCAGCAGCGACAAGCAGCCAGCATCTCCAAGCACCACACCAACAGTGTCGGCCTACTGCTACAGCATAATCAGCATAAGCGTCAATACCATCATCATCGTCACCACCACCGCCATCATCATCATCGTCCTCCATCAACACCCGCAAACCCCCATATACAACTCGAACGCGCGCTCTCCCCCCCCCCACCCCCCTCCTCTCTCTTCCCTGTTGCTTGTCCCCCCCAGCCAGTCAGCCAGTCATCCAGTCAGCCAGTCGGTCGGCCAGCCAGTCCCACTTCCCCCCCTTCTCGTGGCCCGTGCCAGTGCCAGTGTGTGTTAGTAACGGTGCTCTTTGCGCTCGCTCCCTCGCTTCTTGCGTTTGCGCGTCTTCCGCCCGTCGCATTCTTCGCCGTCGCCGTCCATCGTTGCCTGTCTCCGTCTGTCTGCTTCTTGGCCCCCGCGGAGCTCCGCAAGCCTGTTCTTTTCCCTCTTCGGTCGCTTCGATTTATTCTCCCTCCCCTCGTACCCGCACTCAACCCCAACCCAACCCAACCCCCCAAAACCCACCCACACCCACTTCCCACTTCCCACTCACATCACTCTCGACTCACACACACACACACCCGCTATCCCCCCTCCCCCCAAACCCCCCCAACCCCTCCACCAAAAAATCTGTGCCCCCTTGTACCAAGCGACAGGCTGCTTGTTCCCCACCACCGCAGCAGTAACCACCAATCCATCCCCCTTCACACCCCCCTCCCATCCGAAGCAATCCAATCCCATCGCAACTCCATCCAACTACTCCCCACCACCCACCCCTCCATAACCACACATACAATACCTTACAGACGCGCATCCAACTTTTGGGTTTGGTCACCCCCTTCCCTCCCCACTCTACCGCTGTTGCGCGCCGCTCGTTGGTGATTGCGGCTCCGGAAAAATCCCCGTCTTCCAAACGAAAGGGACGCGCTCAGGACACAAATCGCCAACCACCACCCCCAGCCTCGCCTCGCGTTCTCATACTGCACGCCGCAACATCAACGCACCCCACCACCATCACCACCACTACCACAACCACTACCACTACCATCCCACCAACCCAATCCTCCCCACCCACCACACAACGAAACGTCCCGTTGAACGTACCTACCATCCATCCACCATCCTTCCATCCATAACCACCACCACCACCACCACCATCGAAAGTGCCAACGGCATCGTCCCGTTGCGGACATACTAAGCAGCACAAAGGCTGTGCGCGTCCGAAAAAAAGCGATACCCACTCCCGCGCACCGGAGTCGAGCGCTCATTTGACGCTCACACCCCGCCCACCCCTCCCCCCGTCCCAGCCAAAGCACGCCTGCTCAGCAGTGGCGGCGGCGATAGGCCCATCCTAAATTGCTTGAATGTTTTCGCCGACATCAAACTCGCCCATGCTTGCCAACTCGGGCTTGAATAACCCAGGCGATCTCGATGGAACAATCAACCCCGCCTCGTTGAACCCGACCGGCACCTATATGCCCGCCAATCAACACCACATGCCCTTCTCGCCGCCAGCTACGGCTACATCCGAGTACCATACGGACTCTAAGCCGCGAACCTCTCTGGAGAACGTCAGTCCTCGCGGACTGAAGCGAAGTAGATCTCCCGACAACCATAATCATGGTCCGGGTGGCGATCTCAGTGTCAGTGCAGGTACGCGTTCTTTTCTTTTGTGTCTCCTGCGATGTGATTGACGTGCCCTTCTCTCTCTCCCCCCCCCTCTCCTACCATCCCACACCTAGCCCTGATCGTGATTTTTCTTTTCTTTTTTTCTCCCCCCCCCCCGTCTTTTGTACCTGCCATACTCCAACCTTCCCCTCCCTCATATCGCTGCAAGGTCTGGTATCTAACGGATTGTCGCATTAGTCCCGACCGAGGACCCTCCACGAAGGAAACGGGGCCGTCCCCCGAAGAACAAGAATGCTATACCTGTCAGTCCACAGATGCAGGCCGCATCCACCCAGCAGCAGCAGCAACAGCATCAGCAACAGCATCAACAGCAACAACAGCAGCCGCAGCAACAGCAACAGCCCCACCTCCCGCCGCAACAGCACCAGCAACGACAACATCCACCGCCACCGCAATCGACGATTGGAACTCCTCAGGTCCAGCACGCAGCCGTCGCTCTTCCCACCCCACCCAAACCGACACCCCCAAAGACGACTACGGTCAAAGCATTACCCACCGTGCGGGACCATACCACTGACCAGTTGACCCCGGAGGGAGATGAATACATCCCGCGCGAAACGGACGATGCGGGCGATAAAAAGGTGATGATGACGGGCCACCTTCTGGGTGGGAGAGAATATCGGTGCAGGACTTTCCACGTTCCGAACCGAGGGGACAAGCTCTTCATGCTGGCGACCGAATGCGCTAGGGTCCTTGGTTATAGGGATTCCTACCTGCTGTTCAACAAGAATAGATCGTTGTTCAAGATTATTGCGACCCAGGCCGAAAAGGATGATCTGATCCAACAGGAGTTGCTGCCCTACTCGTATCGCTCGCGACAGATCGCGATTGTCACTGCGCGGAGCATGTTCAGGCAGTTTGGCAGTCGGGTGATCGTGAACGGGCGACGTGTCCGGGACGATTATTGGGAGATGAAGGCCAAGAAGCAAGGGTTTACAGAGGACGATCCAGCAGGAGAGAAGAGACCCGGCGCAGCAAAGCAGAGAGCGGCCGCTGCCAGCGAGCAAGCTGCGCAGCAAGCGGCACAGGCGAGCCAGCAACCGCAACCGACGCCCCAAGGCGGCAACACGGAACCCGCCGCCGCCACGTTGTACACGCATGAATCGGTGCAGCTCGAGCAGCAACCTCAGCCACAGATGGTCCAGCCAGGCCTCGGAGGACCCGCGCCGGTCAACCTGGCTCCGCTGCCTATGATTCACGTCATGCCGCAGGAAGAGAGGACATCGAAGGAGTTGTACAATGTGCCTCGCCCAAGACACGAGATCTCGGGACCGCCGTATCAAGATCGGTCCTCGAACATACCCATGACGCAGATTATGGATCAGGCCCATCAAACCGCCGAGTTCAACAAAAATCTGACGCAGGGACGAGCCATGCGGACGAAGATGTACGACAACATGTACAAGAAGTCGCCTCCACCCCAGCAGCGCATCACTAGCCCGCCATTGGCTGCCAACCACACACCCCAGCACACTACCCCGCAGCCTCAACACCACGCACAGATGCACCCGCAGCAACCGCCATCGATGATGAGCCCGCAGCAGCTATCCTCGCTAAATCATCAACATCAACAGGCTCAGCAGGCCCAGCAACAAGCTCAGCAACAGGCCCAGCAACAGGCGCAGGCTCAGCAGCAGCACCAGCAGGCTCAGCAGCACCAACAGCCCCAGCAGCAATCGCAACCGCAGCAGCAGCAATTGCATCCGATGAACACGCTGATCCAGCACTCCCCTGTCCGGCCAACGCAGGGCATCAAACCAGAACAGCTGCATAACCCCGCTGCAGGTGGCTACCTGCCGCAAGGTGCATACTTCCATCCGACCCAGCCACAATCGGGTCACCCGCAGCAGCCACAACCGGCGCACCCACAACAACGGCAGATACCCCAATCACATCCGCAGGCCATGCCTTCCATGCATGTACAGCAGCACCCCGTCCACCCACAGCAGCCGCAGATGTACCCACCACCCACCCCGCAGCAGTTCCTGCAGCAACAACAGCACCAGCAACAGTACCCACCTCCATCCCAAGGGTATCGGCCACAGCCACCCCCACAGCAACAGACACAATGGTGGAGCGGTGCTTAGGTCTGACGGTGGCTAAAGTGGTGTGGTTGACTGTCGACGAGGATTGTATCAGGTGACGCTTGGCTGGATGATGTTGTGGTCGTCGTCTCTCGCGGCGGCGGCGGCCGTGGTGGTGGTCGTCGGGGTGAGTGCAATTTTGGTTACGGTGACTGGGTGACGTGGTGGTGGTGGGTTCATCTTTGAGATCCTGGACGCGCAAAAGTGGACGGTGAACGGTGTGACGACTCGATTGTGTACGTGTGTGTTTGTGCGTTTGATTGTCTGGGCGGCTTCTTTTTCTTCTGGAATTTTGGATATTCTCTGTTGATTATGTTTTTGTTTATTTTCGGTCTGGTGCGAAACTGTCTGGTCTGGCCTGGTTCACGTTGGGGGATTTTCATTTTACTTTGTTTCGTGATTTCACCGGTTGATACCTCGGTTGCCGTTTGTACTCCCTTTTCTTCTTCCTTAATGCTGATGGAAGAGTCGTGATGGTGTTGTTTGATGTCTTCTCTAGCTGTTGATGTTGACGCACCTTTGTTTTCGACGGCTTCTCTGCTTTTGTTGTCTTGGTTTTGCTGTTTTCCTTATGGGGGGCCGTGGGTTCATTTTTGATATTGTTTGTCCGGGTTTGTACTGTTTTGGCTTTGACTTTATCGTCACATTCCTGATGTTCTTTCCCCTTTTTCTTCCCCTTTTTTCCCTCTATTTCGGGTTTTAACCCGATTCCGAATACAAGACTTGCTCGATTTCATTTCCTTCCTGTATTCTTTTTTGATCTTTTCTTGCCTGGGTTTGGTGTATTTCTTCCTCCTGCTCATGCTTTGTTTACCTTTCCGAACACTTTACCTTCTTTTTTTCTTTTTCCATTCTATTTTCTTCTTTCTTCTTTGATTATTTTTCCTTTATCACCGACGGCGGGACTCGGTGCTTGTTTTGTCATGTCGTGTGTTTTTTTTGGATTATTCACTTTTACTCCATTGAAAACCATTGATTCCGTCTGAGTGAGATGTCGTGTGTCTGGATTGTTCACTCTACTCCATCATCGAAACATTTTGATTCTGAGTATCGAGAGTGAGAGTGAGAATGTGTGTGTCTTTATGTTATGTAACTTATCCACTCCACTCTACTCCACCTTCGAAACTCATTCCAATTCCACTTCCAATTCCGCCAAAGCCTCGAGTTTCAAGAGTGATATACCATGATGCCGCCAAACCGGAAACCGTGCGCGCTAGTAGGGCAAAGTGTGAGACGAGACATGGCCCGGTGGACTCTAGGCATGTGGAGATGTGGAGATGTAACTAGAGGCGGATTCGGATCGGGGCGGCTATGCTGAAGCGGCCAGATTTACAGAGGTAGTCTTCCCCTCACTTGGCGGTCTGGTCGCGTTTGGATGTGTCTGGGCTCTGGCTGGGCCATGGGCGAAACATTCTTGTAGCAGTTTATGGCGGTTCATCCCATCTGTCCGACCGTCCGTATGTATATAGGTGGATTACCTATAGTTTGCTCTAGTATTACGGCGCTCGCCGAAAGAAAGTTGGCTTGTGCTGTAGTTATATGCTGTGCTGTAGTTATATGCTGTGCTGTGCGGGGGGAGTGGGTCTGGGCATTATCTGCCAATGAGGTACTTACTATGGGTGGTACAGGGAATGCAGGTACGATCACTCTACATATACTCTAGTATGATAGAGCTATTAGATATTCACAGTATGTACATACGGTTGTGATTGGGCCATGGGGTATGGAGTTTTCCATCTTTGAGTATTTGAGTATTTGAGTTATCCGTGTCTGGGACCAGTCGATAGTCGACAGTCGACAGCGATGGGCCATCGGTGTGAGTGATATCGCGAGTAAACAGGCACTTACCCCACGTACCTAGGCAGGTACCAGCATCATACCTATTGAAGATCAACCCGCAAATCCGGGAGCGAAATCTAGTCAGTCACCCGGGGACCCCTCGCCCGCAGTCTTGCAGTCTTGCAGTCTCGCGAGGATTAGCCCGATATCGCTGTTCAGTGGCCGCAGCGATATCCGAAACAGCACTTCCACTTCTTCCACCACCGCTCAAGCTCAAGCTGGAGCTCGAGCTCGGGCTCCGCCTCGTGATCGCTTCTGCCGAGTGCACAAGTGCACGCAAGTAGGCGCGCTCTCCTGCCCCTCCTCCTTTTCCTCCTCACGGACCAGGCACAAACAAACGAAGACATGGACGAGCAGGATGTTTCGGTTCTGGTTCTGGTTCTGGGCGCCACTGCTGCTGCTGCGCGGTGTGGCCGGAGTATGCATACACGGTAGTGCGCGTAGGGCGGTGGGCGGTGGGCGGTGGCAGAGCCGTGCCTTTGTGTGTAGGTATCTACCAGGATGGAGAGGGGGGGGGGGTGGAGGGCTCGACAGGTACGGACAACTGATTCAACTGACTTAACTGACTAAAAGCAGCAAGAAAGGAAAGCAGCCTGTAGTCTTAGTCTCCAGACTGAACAACCCCAAAGTACCTAGAGTATCTCTGCAGTGTTGATAATACTGTCTGATGTCTGTTGAATAGGGATCGACCGCCTAGACATAAAAGCAGCAACAGAGAACATTTCAACGTTGAGGCGACCGCTTTCCCCGCTTCGGGTCTGGCCCACGAATCTCGCAATATGTACATGTCTAGAGTATCTAGAGCATGTACTATATACATTACATACGGTAGCATGCACGCCCGACGCCTAACCATACTACCCGTACTACCCAAGCGCACCTACTAGATAGATGTATGCAAGTATCTACAAAGCATGAGCGAGCGAGCGATGGTGGAGATCATCCGGGCGCATTAGATATTTACATATTCTGGGGGGATGTACATATGTCTCATCATCGAGTCAACCATCGGGCAATCTCCGTGGGGGAAGGGATGGGGGGAGGGGAGGGGGGATGGATGGGGAGGGGAGGGGGGATGGATGGGGTCGATGGGGTCGATGGGGTCGATGGGGTCGATGGGGGGGATGGGGGGATGGGGGGGATGGCCAGTGTTCCTGCGGGTTCAGGAGCAGGAGCGGGGGCGGGGGCGGGGGCGGGGGCGGATCTTTGGTCCGCTCTGCATCGCTGCAGCACTGCACGGACGCTGGGGGATGGGGGGGTGGGGTGGATGGGGGGTATTAGGTGGTGCGATGCGCAGGGTGAATGAGAGAGTGAGAGCGAATGAGGAGTGAGCGAAGATGCTGATAGAGTGTTGCGACTTCGAGAGGAAAAGAGGGGCAGCTGATGCATCCCATCAACGACTCAACGTTCGTTCGCCATCTATGCATCCGCCTATATGCATTCGGTAGATACAACGATACGTCCCCCGCTTTACCCACAGCCGCGCCAGGCACCACCACCAGGCGCCAGGCACCACCACCAGGCGCCAGGCACCCTCACCAGGCACCAGGCACCATCACCAGGCACGCAGCGCACACAGGGTGGTACGATTTTTGCTGCTTTCGCGTCGTCGTCGTCCCCGGTGTGTGTCGAGTGTGTACCTGCATCGCCTCCTCCGCCTCCCACCTCGCCTCTTCGCCTCCCACCCACCCATCCACCCATCCACCCATCCACCCATCCACCCATCCACCCATCCACCTCGAGCCGGGAGCGAAAGGAGCGCAGGCACGCTCGTTTGCCAGTGCATCCGTGGACTATCATAGTCACACCACACCACATCATTACCTATCCTCGCCCATCCGTCCATCCCCCCCTCCCCATCCGGGAGTGACCGTGTCTGTTTCCATATTCTGTGGAACCAACAGTCCCCATACAGCGCAGCTCGAGCAGCTCCAGAACTAAAAAAAAGAATCCAAATCGCCGCTGCATGCGCTCGGATCACCTTCGATCCACGATTCGTACCGTGCACGGTCTAGCTGGGGAAGTGGTGTCTCGTGGCCTTCTTGCCCAGCGCCGAAAAAGCTGGAAAAAGAAACAGATGGAGGGAAACAAAGCAAAACAAAATAAAAAACCGTGTGCATGTATGGGCGTGGGGGCGATACGACTCGACTCGACAGGGCGTGGGGGCGATACGACTCGACAGGGCGTGGTGTGCATGTGGATGTGCATGTGGATGTGCATGTGGATGTGCATGTGGATGGGGATGCGCATGAGGATGCGGCAAGGCGAGCAAGAGAGAAAGAGGCGAGGATGGATGGGTGGTGGCCGTGTGTAGCCATGGAGATGGAGATGCCGGAACTCTATGCCCCGTCGTATCTCCGCCCTCTCGCTCTCTCCTCTCCTTCTCTCTGGTTATCTCTATCTCTCTATCTCTCTTGCTCTCTCTCACACACTCTCTCTCACACGCTCACCCACCCACACACGCTCACCCACCCACACACGCTCACCCACCCACTCCCTCCGTCACTATTGGTAATGTCATCATCATCCCAACTCCCAAGGCTGGAGAGTGGACAGTGGGTGAGCGAGTGAGGTCACGTTCTCCCTTCATGTACAGGGGATGAAGAGCGGAGGAAGGGAGTACCTTTTTCTTGCAGGGATGGGGGTTACCAGTTTCCCGGGCGTCACGGCTCTGCATATATCTCTACATGTGCTCTAGATGTGCTCTAGGCTAAGATAGAAACGAGGTGCAATGTAGAGGAGTATATAATACTATATACATTATTATTGCATGTGGGCACGAGGGGTGAGGGTTGGATGAAGAATCTTTTTGGTTTAATCATTGAACTGCAGTGTATAGCAGGTACTGTGGGTTATGGACTCATAGACTCACGGAAGCGATTGGGTGACGGGTGATGACACATGTCTGGCATTGACGTCCAGGCCTCACTTGCCTCACAGCCCACAGACCTCACTCGCCCTACTCAGTCTCACGGCAGTATGTAGAGTCTACATAGACAGCGGCAGGACCAGCAATCCCTTCGCAGTCCTAGCAATCCGTGCCCCGCAATGTCCCATCATCCCAAGCCCACGTACTCTACAAGCACAACGGCCGGCGAGCTCACCACCAGCCGTCCAGAATCCAGAATGCAGATCGATCTTCCGTCGTCCCCCCCTTGGCGGAGGGTGGGGCCCGATCGAAATCGTCGGGGGCGGGCGGGGGCGGTTGATCGCGTTCGCGTTCGCTTTGCTTTTTTCTTCTCGGTCCGGTGCATTTTCCTAATCGACTCGGTCCGTGGTCGGGTCCGTGTCCGTGGTCGGCATCCTGGGGGACGGGGGGAGGGGGGGACGAAGGGTTCAATGACGCCCCCATTGCACCAATCCATCGTGCAAGCCCGACGGGGACGGGGACGTTTGTTTGTCATCGACTCATCGACTCATCGACTCTTCGTATCCACCCCCCGATACCTGCTAGTGCTGCTGTCTGTCTGTCTAGTGCTGCTGTCTGTCTGTCTAGTGCTGCTGTCTGTCTGTCTAGTGCTGCTGTCTGTCTGTCTAGTGCTGCTGTCAGACGGAGACGGAGACGGAGCAGGAGCAGGAGGATGAACAGGAGGAGGCACAGACAGGTACAGATGCCATCATCATCGTCGTTGTGTGGGGCTGTGGCTGTGGAATATAATGTCGCAATGGCAGATGGAGATTGCCTGCTCCACATAGGCACCTAGGTGTCCGCGAGATGATGCTTGCTTGCTTACATAGGGACCTACCTACCTGCTTCGCGCTCCGCTCCGGTCCGTCGGATGGTCCGCTCGTTTGAGGTTTCAGCCGTACCGACGATGGGAGCTACATACGAAATAATTGTGTCCGCTACCTCTGGGCCTCTGGCTTTTCCATCGTGGCCCAAGGCAACTACACGCGATAGACGCGGGCCAGGCCCAACCAATGGCAAGATTCGGAATGAGATGCGGCTTCACCACCACTATTACCACCACCACCACCACCACCACCACCACCACCACCCCTTTTTCCGCTTTTTCCGCTTCCCGGCTGCATCGGATCCCGCTCCTATTCATGATCCTGATCCTGATCGTGATCGTGATCGTGATCTCGGCGGTGTAGCGGTGTAGCGGTGTAGCGGTGGAGCGGTGGAGCGCTGATCGCGCGCAAGTTGCTTTTACATACATACCTATGTCGAAGCCCCGAGACGATTGTCGAGGAAAGGGAAGAAAGAAGTAAATACATACTTTTCTCACTCACGCATGTCTCGAATGAAGGTTTACTCGCCAGATCGGACCGTAGCGTCCGCGTCCGTGTCCGCGTCCGTGTAGAACTCGGCGCTTCTCACCGAGACAGATGGACAGACAGACGGACGGACGGGCGGGCGGACGAACAAACGAACGAACTCGCCGTTCTAATCGTTCTAATCCAATCGGTTCCTTGGTGACTGACGATATCGATACATATGATACATGTCGAGCGGGTCAATGCTCCCGCCCGCCCTCCCTTCGTTTCTAGGGATCCGGGGATCCGGAGAGGAATTGTTTCTTCCTTCCGCTAGGTCTGCCTCGATTACTATTGTTCGACCGACACAGCCGGCTCCAAGGGCCCCAAGGGCCTCAAGGGCCAACATGGACAGCCCTAATCACTATACATAGGGTATAGATGTAGACTAGACGGCAGGCAGACGGCAGGCACACGTCAACAGGAACTGGAAGGAAGGAAGGAAGGAGGGAAGGTGGTGAGTCGTGACGGAAGGCTGGACAGGACAGGTCAGCACAGGACAGAACGGAATATATCCGGGCTCGAGGCTAGACTCGTCTGGTCGGTCCGTGTTCGCTTCAGCTGGCAGCTCCAGCCTGCTTTGCTATGCATGCATGTACCGATGCTGTTATCATACATACCAAAGTAGAGTACATACCGGTACCTGCGCTGACTGACTCGCCGCTGCGGCTGTGTGATTACCGTAATCCCCAAAACATCAATCTCACACACACGCACACACGCGCACACATGGTCCCGTGGCAGTCGTCGCTACCGCCGTCGTGGGCCACACGGGCAGAATCCGATGGTGGGAATGCTTGGATAGACACGGTATGTAATTGGGTATGTACCTGAGTAGGTACTCTACGTTCTATGTACCTGCGTATATGTGTAGATGGAAGTCGGTACTGTATTTACTTTGTTTCCTTCAAAAAGGCAGCTAGAGTAAGCAGGTACCGTACCTACAGCCCCCCCCCCCCCCCACCCCCCCCCAGCACGCAGATTTTCCCGCAGATTTTCCCGCAGGCCGTTCCCTTCCTCCTCCTCCTCCACCACCACCACGGTCCACCACCACCTTCTTCACCTCCACTACCACCACCGTCGTTTCGCGTCTTGCATCCCAGACAGTCACTCTCTCACGCAGCCAACAATCGACACGGACCACCAGGAACATACTCCACATACATACATAATCCATCGCATCGATACTTCGTTGTTCGCGCCAGCATTCCTTCCCTTCCGTCGCCCGGAAACGGTTAATCCAAATCATTAATCCTCGTCCCGGGGGGTCTCATAACCCACGGACGTTCTTCATCCTCCGTCCGATCCACCACGCGTTCGTTCGGATTCAGGAACCATCTCCCACACCACCGCCACCCCCCCACCCCGTACGCAGGCGCACGTATCTACTCTACATTTCGCAGCAGCGTGGTTTCCCCCTCCCCCCCGATCGCCACTACCGAATACTCTACTCTACTTCACGGAACCTCGAAATCTATCTATCCAAAACGAGATAGTCCGGACTCCGGACGGACGCGGCGCTTGTCTTCGAGGAAGAAGAAGCAGAAAAAAACGCTGTGCTGCACTGCTGCGGCTGTCCGCCCCAGGGTGTCCGATCGTCCACTCGAGTGCGTCATTTTTTTTTTAATTTTTTTTTATCTCAGAGTCCTTGTCGAGCACTCTGGAGTCTGGATCTACACTTTGTATTTCCTCTTCCTCCCAGTCTTTATCTCCGGCGCTCCGCCCCCCCACCACCATTACTACATACTACCACCATCCACACTCACCCACCCCCCCAGGACAAGCGAAAAGAAAGAAATAAAAAAGAGAGAAAGAAAGAAAGGGAAAAAAAGAATTCGCCATGTCAGACGAGCGAGCAAACTGGGCCATGGAGTCCTTCACGTTCGCGCAGCCAATGAGGATTTCTACTCTCCACGCGTATGCCAGTGATGAGCAAACCGTTAGCCCGATGAGCTCGTTTCCGCCCATCCCAATCCCGTCGCGACGCGGATCGGCTTCGAATTCCAGCCCTAGCTCGTCGGACCAGGAACTACTGTCGTTCCTGCGTGATGATGGGCAACGCGGCAGCTGTAAGAGCTGCGGCCCTACCACCACCACGACGTCTTTCGAGGACGACGACCAAGAGGCTGTTGGACTTATGACGACAGAACAGTGCATCGTCTTGGAGCGTCACTTCTCCGATTCTCGAAAACCCTCCACTAGTGAACGCCAGGCCTTGGCACAAGCCACTGGTCTCCCTGTTCACCACATCGCTGTGAGTGTCTCCTCTTTGCTTATTCCTACGCTCGTGCCCCTCCACCCCCCTCCCACCCCCCGTATGTACCCAATCCCCCTCTCCCTTAAACTCCTACGCTCTCCTCCCCTCCTCCGACTGCTTTCGTCTGTTCTTTGATATCGATCTCTACATATACACCTCCAACCCCTACGTCTGCTCTCCCCCCGACAGCAACTTGGCGTACTCACCGTATACCACCACACTCTCTCAACTGCATCATCGCCACCATTCCTGGTCCTGTACCTGTACCTGGTCCCCTCGTACCTGGTCCCCCCGTACCTGGTCCTCTGCCTGTGCCTGTACCTGTACCCGGTCCTTTGCCTGTGCCTGTGCCGTTCAGCCCTCCTCCTCTATCAATTGCACTTGGAAGCTCCCGTAGGTTATTTTTTTCCTTTGCTCGTCCCATAATCTTGACCCCGGGCATCCAGGGTCAGGCTATCTATCTCTCGTATATGGGCCGGGGTTCTCACCCGGAGAACTATTTGATTGACCACACCTTCTACCTGCATACACATGCCTCATATGTATTCGTTTGGCTCTTCTCGGACTCCTAGCTAACATACTACCTACTCAGGCGTGGTTCAGACTACGTCGTGAAAAAGCTCTGCCCCAGCGACCACAACCCGAACGGCAGAACGGAGAAAAAATAATACTTGGATCTGCTGGCCGGCCTCGACAAACAAGTACCACTATAATATCCCACACATATCCTCTGCAGATCGACACCATGCTCGCTACACCAGCACCACCGCGCCGGACCCAGTCCTCTCCCTCGAAAGTCTGCAACATGCACAATCACTCGGATCCTTCGTGCAGCCACGCATCGGCGCTCGCCCGCTCCCTACTGGCCATCGCCACCACCAACCTTGCCGCGAAGAACGAAGAAGATGACTTCCGGGAATCTGGACTAGAGCCACCCCAGTTCCAGCTGAACAGGGAGCGGACCTTCTCGAAATTCCTGGCCAGCCCGCAGAGCCCGTTCCCTTCATCCGCCTTCTCCGACTACGGCTCAAGCGAATGTTCGTCGGCCGCATATACACCGTCCGACTCGGACAACGAGGATGATCCCTTCGAGTTCGACAACGGTTCCCCGCAGCCAAGTGGTCGCTTCGATAGCGACGCAGGGGTGGTCGAACAGCCCCAGAGAGATAACTTTAGCCTCTTTGCGGCGGCCATCCAGATGAATTCGTTGACCTACGACTTTGTGCTTCCTAGCTTCCCACCTCAGAAATTGGTCGAGCGCCGTCCCAACAGGTTTGGTGGCGACGCCGTCACCCAATCCGCCGCTGCTTCCACCGCCACGGCAGAGGATCCGTTCGCGGCGAGCTTCGCCAACCAGCTACGATCACCATCACAACAAGAGGTACCGCCCTCCTCCTCCTCATCATCCTCCTCCTCATCCTCCTCCGACCCCTTCATGGATAATACCCTCGCTGCACGACGTCGGAGACCTGATTCGGATTTTTTTCTCCTTCGCAGCAACTCGTTCGCCGGGGTTCCAGATAGCAGACAGACGCCACGGACGGTTCCGATCCTTCGCCGGATAAACACCGACGACGCCAATCTCGGTCGCGTATCCAAGTACCCATCGTTCAGCCCAGTCTCGGACGATATATGGCCCGACACGGCTGTCACCGTCCGGCTGCGCCGCCGTCCTTCGTCTACCAGGCCGAGGCCATTGTCCGAGATTCTCCGCGCAGGCCCGCTGACCCCGATCTCGCCGCCCAGCCCGGAAGACGAAGCGGCATCACACACTCCCCCTCCTCTACCCGAATCGCAAATCAAGCAACAACAGCACACGCACGAGATATCACCACCGACGACACCACCAATGCCTTCGGCAGTCTTTGATGATGCATCTATACCACGGCAACTTGTGTGGTATAACGGCAACAACTATAGCAGCTTTAGCGACGATGAGGAGGACGCGTTCGCGTTCGATTTCTATAGTTCGCCACTACTGTCGGCTGGACCGGCAGCGCTCTTGACGACGGCTTCGATAGCTTCGTCGACGACCTGTGGTGATCGAGCGTTCTTTTAATTTATAATGCACACGGCCACACCATATTGTTAGCACTCTCCACTTTGTGTTTTTACTTAATTCTGCCCTTTTTCTAGTCTGTATACCTATGCCATGTCATACTCTCTCTCTATCGATCTTTCTTATTGTCATGTACGCACGCATGCATAAATCCTTGTATTTTAGGGATGGGGGTGGGGGGGAAGGGGGTTCTCGTCTTGCTTTGGAGTTTTTTTCTTTTTCTTTTCTCCTTATTTCGTATCATCACAGCACATTTTCATAGGAGTTTTCTTTTTTTCTTCTTCTTTCTTTTCGTTTCTCTCAGCTATTTGTATTCAGTCTACTCATACTCATGTATCGGTCAGTAGGGGCGGGGATGAGGGGATGGTCAGTGGGGTCGGTCGGGTCGGTCGGTCGGGGTCTACATATGAATAATATCATCGGTCCTGCTCAAGTATTATGTGCATTGTGCGTTGTGTGTGCTCAAAGTTCAAACACAGAAGTTGTGAGAGGCAAAACTGTGACAGGTGGGGGAGGTGCATCGTGTGTGATCACTCGAACAAAATCTCGTGAGCGGGCACGTCTCAAACGGTGCGTATTCGAGAAATCAGGTGCCCGGAACACAAAGATGTTCCTGGGAACGAGAAGGCGGATGAATTGGGCTAAACTGACAGCTGACAACCCTGCCCCTCGCGGGGTGGAGGGGACCCACCAGTATGACACCAGACCTCTGTTACCGCCATCATTTGTCTACCTGAAACGCAGTATCTCTGAAGCCAAGTGGAGGGAAGCCAAGGGATTGGCGGACAGCAGAATCACTCACAAGAAATACAAGTAAAGCCGGAAATCCGGCTAGAGACCTGACCCAAATCTAGAGATGGCCCGCAAACGCCTCGCCTCGAGATTCTACCAACTCAAGACAGGACACTGCCTCACCGGCCAGTACCTCCAGTGGACGAAAAGCCGTCCGGAAGACCGCTGTGGCTGGTGCCGCTACAAGACACAGAGTCGGGAACACCTCTTCAAAAAGTGCCCTGAATAGAAAAGTCAGCAAAAGACACTATGGGCAGAAGTCCGGAAGCAGACAAGGAGGGGGAAAGACCGCTTCAAAATCCGGGACCTCTTCGCAGATGAGCGATGCAGCAAGGCCATCCTAGAGTTCCTCTTCTCCACTGATGCGGGCAGACGGATGCCTGAGACAGGCCACGGCGGAGGCAGGGAAAGTCACATCGGGCCGCCTGATGAAAGTTAGGTTGGACAGTGGCGGGGAAACGGGGGGGGGGGGGACGGGTAGATATTGCCATGATCTAGATAGGTCGCACGCAATCAATGAATGAACAAAAAAAAAGAACGCACCTAGTGTGAGAAGCGCCAGCACGCCGGTCTGAGTGGATGCTGAAAGATGATACACGGCGTGGGACATGTATATATGTACTGGTGTGGTATGGATCTGGTCTGGGTATGGGTGGGTCCCTGGGCGTGAACCTGGACGTGAACCTGGACGTGGACCTGGATCGGCTGGTGCGGGGGAGGGGAAGGGATGATGGATGTACACCCTACCCAGGGCGCGGGGATGGGTGGGTTCCAGGGAGTCTGTCGGTTTCGTGCACAGGTGGAGCGTGGAGCGTGGAGGGAGTGGGTTGCTACCTTATTATACACCGGGCCGGATGGGCAGTAGGTACAGTGTTGCCGCCACATACTGTGTGGGATCACGGCAGATGCGGTAATGACCACCGCCCATCACAGTTTGCATGTGGAGTAGTCATAGAATACGAGATGTATATCCACGGCGTAGACACGGTACTCATGAGTGGCGAACACAAGTGCTCACAAGCAGCCACGGCCCATCACAGACCCTCACTCATCACTTGCCTCCACCACTCCGTGTGTAAATTTCCTAATAATACGCCTCTCCCCACCACCTCAGTTGTCCCACCTCCCCCACCACCCCCGTTTCCCCCATTCCCTCCCCCCCTCCCCCCCCCACCGGAAACTCGAGTGTATCAAACAACCCCTCCCACCCCTCCCAATGATGCGCGCATCTATGCATAGCCCTCCCAGCATCAGGGAACCACGCAGCGCGCTCCCAGTCGACAACGCCAACGACGGCATCGCCATTCTCCGCGATGATGATGTTGCTGAGGTCCCAGTCCATGTGTGCAAACACTGGTAGTGCGCTTGCGGACACGAGAGGGGATAGGTGCGGGTTGTGAAGGAGGAGGGAGGAGGTCGAGGGGAACGGCCCGCAGTGCTGGAGTTGGTAGGGGCGGAAAATACTCCCGGAAGGGTGTGGGCTGTGAACGTGCCCTGGATAGGGGGAGGGGATGTGGCTAAGCTGACGGATGTAAGAGCGGATTTGGTACTGGAGGCCTACATGGCGGGGTTAGTACTGTGGGTGAATGGGAAGGAGGGGGGGGGGAGAGCACCTTCGCGCTGCCGCGGAGATATCGTGTCCCAGATCTCTTGGTGGTTGACGCAGATTCCAGGGATGCGCGTGAAGACGTTGAAGCTGGGGTTGTGGTTAGTCGGGCTTGTGGTGAACTGGTGGCGGCAGGGGGAGGGGAATGTAGAGGGGCAGAAGAAGGGGGAGTGTATGGTCACTGGTAGAGACGCAAGCACTCATGCTCGCAAGCAAGCGGGCCTATGTACAATCACCGAACGAAGCGGCCATGTAGGCAGGTATGTAGCAAGCGGCGGGCATGCGTGCGGGGACGCCAGCACCATCGTGCCCACATCCCTCGCACGATCGGAGTGAGTGAGAGCAAAGAAAAGGTGACATACTCAGCGCCCATATAAACCAGATCCGGGACGGGAATGTTGGTATGATTCCTGACGAGTTCCAGCGCGAGTACCTCGTTTTCGTCACGATACTTGAGCGTGGAGTGGTCCGGAATATATCCGCCGACACCGAGCTCGTGCGGTCCCAATCGCTTCTTGAGTATGTGGTGAGGTAGGTGGTGGATGTAACGCTCCAAGGGAGGCATTGGTATGTTGGATGGTGTGCACAGGGAGAGCCAGCTTTCGTCGGCCATTGCTGTGGTGGTAAAGTGTGCGGGAATAGTAAGTGTTTTGGTGTGTATTGGGAGGAGAGAGGGATATGTGTGAGTTGTGATGGGGGGAGTAGGAGAGAGGTGGTTGTATACCGATTGTGCAGGAAGCCGGCCAGTGGAGAGACTAGACTGTTCAAGCAACCAGAGACAGTGCTGGTTTCCGGCTAGTCATCCATCCATCCAGCCAGCAAGCCAGCCAGCAAGCCAGTCAAGCCAGTCAATATATCCCACCACCCGCCATGGCCATCGCCACCTCCACCTGTCCGTTACCGAGTGGCATCAACCACCAGCTCGACCACCAAGAACGCGGATCCTCCTGGCTTATATAGCCCGTCCGGATCGATTATACAGCCCCCGGCCAATCCAGACAGCTCCTCGCCGGTATCGGCCGCACTCTGGGACTCCTCTCCTCGCTTCTTTAGTCCTCTTGTAGACATGCCGGTCTTGGCCCTATGGCTTTCCCATCCAGCCACCAGTGCATTTCCGATGCTGACTGCAGACGACAGAAATGGGAGATTTCCTCCGACAGCCAGCGGCAGTTGTAGCGAAGATAGCGCACGCACAATCACCGGGGGGGGGAGGCCTTTGGACACGGCTAGGCTTGGACACCGCCGCCGCTGTAGACAGCGAAGGGGAGAGGGGTGCCAGGTAGTGGTGATAGGATATCCCGCCCAAGGGGGATCTGGGTATCCATTGGTGTGCCCCAGTGACCAGCTCAACATGCGGAGAATCCGAGAGCCGTGCAGGATGCTTAAGGCTGAGAGCGTGGCCAAATGGTCGCAAAGTACATATCGACCTCGCTGGTGGGCTGCAGCCGCACTGCGAGTTGGCACTCGAAGTATCCTGACGGCGAAGGCGGCGGCTAACAGTATCTACCGCCGCTTAGTGCGTGTCTGGGCAGATGTAACCGCCGCTTATGGAGGTTAGCTGGATGTTAGGAAAAAGTTAGACTTGATGGAGTGAGCCAAGGCGTAACTATGATGGATTCGAACTCTTGGGAGTTGGAGCAGTCGGTATTTACCTTTGTGACTAATGTACTTGATGGGAAAGTGATCTCGGTGGGGGCGGGTGAGATGCTCAATGCGGTGTTTTGAGGGAACGACCATACAAACCGTCATTATGCGCCTCCCGATAACACCGCAACGAATCATAGACGATGACACGCTCAATCGACGCTATGTACGGATGGGTCACATGACGCCGAAAAACGATGAAATTGCCACCGAGAAATCGCAGGCCGCGATGAGTGGGTCTTCTGCACGGACACCCCAACCCGCCGTTCGCCACGTTGTGCGATCGTTTGCAGAGGCCGATCGCAGTGAATCAGATCACCTAAGGATTGCCATCCGCACGGCCGGAAAGGAACGAACAGAAAAAGCCGGCGTCATCCGGACTGTGAACAGAAAGTGGGGGGGGAAAGACATGTCCTATCCTACGTAGCGTATACCGTCCTAGGAGAATTTTGACCCCGAGTACAAAAAGAAAGCGCACCAGAACCACAAACAATATTCCCACGCCAGAAGCAGACCCCACAAAGATTCGATTATGAAAAAGCGCGAAGAAAACCGACAAGATTTGTATACAACGCCTCTGGAGAACATTGGAAAAAAAACACCGATGCTCGATCCCTCCGAGTAGTACCGTAAGTCATCGATGTTATATGTAAGGTCCCCCAAATCAAACGTGTAGACTTTCCGCCGCAGCCGCCCTTTCGAAAGAACAGACTCGTATCGGGATCGTCACGCACGACTACCAGGAGCCGCCGCCGATCTGCTCCTGGTGGACCTCGAGGGTGTCGCCGTCCTGCATGTCCAACTGTAGCAGAGAGGAAAGTTAGCAACATTCTGGAATCGTGCGAGAAGACGATGTAGAGATGTTTGTCTGCGTGGGGGTAGAAAGCATCCAGCCAGTCAACCGCCAGGTCGACGACCCAACTCAATCCTCTGAGCCCCCTCATCCCCCGACTTACGGTCGAGCGAGTATAGCTACAGTACCAAGGGGAGCAGATGTGGGCGAGACAAGCAAAACGCAGGAATGACTGGAGTACTAACGGTATGGGGCGAGTCCACGCCCGAAACTCTGGTTCCATCGAACAAGAAGCGAACGCTAGCCGGCGCCTTTCCCTGACGGTCGCAAAACGCGTCCATCAACTTCTTGAGTTGAGTCGACCTCTTGATCTTGAAGAACACTTCATTGTTACCGTCGGTGACCTTGATGTTGAGGTGCTCGGATTGTTCGCCGGCTTCCGGCTTGGAGGGGGTGCTGTTGTCGGCGTCGGACATGTTGTTCTGGCGTTCGGTGTTCGTTATTTGGCGGGGTTGGTTGGTGATGGTTGAAGGTGTGGGGTGATGTTGAGAAGGTGGATTTAACTTTAAGGGTGTTGTGTGTGGTGCAAAAGAGTGAGAGAAGAGCTCGGCGGAGGTAACGCGGGGAGGGCTTGGTATTGACGCGCCCAACCTAGCAACCAAGTCACGAGGACAAAATGTATGAACCGTGGATATGTTTCGAGAAAAGCAGTAGAGTAAAGATACTGCCACGGATAATGGAGTCTCGATATATTACTTTGCTGTTCTCTACCAAGTGTGAGATTCCACGGCGCCTGCGGAGTTACAGACCGGATGAGGTCACGCTCTGGAAGAAGACGACTGAGCGCAAGAGTCGCCTCAAGACACAGCCAGCCTCCGTGACAATCGCCCACCCCTTCACAGCAATCGGAGTCGGCTAACAGTCATGGTAAGTGCGATATATCCATCATCTATCTTGGGTGCGGATGCTTGCTGATTGTATTCTCCACGTCCAGTCATCATCTCTCGAAGCCGCTTTAAGGATCAATCCTCCATGCTATCCGCGCGCGGTATGTTTCACAACTGCACTTCTCGGATGGACTCTTGGCTGATGGGCGCCTTGTCCCTCGACGCAGTGTGCCATACAGAACTGTCTGCAGAAGAATGGATACAATGAGGCACGATGCTCAGCACTGATAGACGCGCTGTACGAATGCTGCACCGAGATGTACAGGCGCGAGGGACTGGCGGAGAAGAATGTGTGCTGTCCTCAGAAGTCACTGCTCGAACTCAAAGTCAAACAGAGGGCCGAAGAGAAGGCCACCGGCGCAGAACTTCGCGAAACGAAACGACGGTAGCAGCATCGACTGGACGGTGGGAGAATGGAGTAGAACTGTAGCACGGGCAGATGCATTATGCATGAATGTTTTTTCTGCACAAATACGGGCTCCCTTCGATGCCCAGCACAAACTTGCCTGTTTGCTTGCCTAAGACCTATCACACCCGTCGAAAGACACTGCTTCTTCGTACCGTCCATCCCCCGACGCAAACGCTCTCCCCCAGAGGTTAACTTGTACTCGCAACCAACGAGTCGATGCTTCGTCTGTGATGGTACTTCACCGTAAAGCTTCCGCCATGAAAAATGTATGTGACATTTGATCTTATACTAATCTCACAGCTCCCCACAAGTGGGGAATTGAGATAGTTAGGGACCAGATGATGCGAAAGCCGCTCTCTATATGAACACTGGTAGCGCGCGAGGACTGTGCAATAGCAAGCCGAACAAACACTGAATGTTTGCTCCGTGACTCTAAACAGCGCCAAAGACATAAAGAGAAAAGAAAAAAAGAAGCGGAGAAGTTGCACGCAAAACTTTGGACTTTATGCAGCCGCCAAGCCATTTTTAGCCGATGAGGCTGAGTTGGCGTGCGAAGTGCGCCGAGAGATTATCGCTTGGCACAGAGATCATCTGATTATGGCGCGTTGCTTTGCTACGGACAAGGATGATGGTCTAAAGAAACGGGTCATCATCAACAACACCGACGGACCGAGCGACTCGACTCAGTGAACTCCCCGTGCCTACACGTTTCCCGACGAATCCTTGAATCCTCCGAGTCTCCATACATTCTACAATACTCCCCAGCGTACCGGCATCTAACATGGCGCCAATCTTTGGTGACTCTTCGCGCCCCAAGAGGAAGAGTACCACTACCAACACGGCCGCCAACGGGGAGAAACCAGTCTTCGCGTTCAACGCGCCGAGTACCTCCGGGAGTAGCGGATTCTTCAGAACGGACGCATCACCTCTCGCGCAGCATCGCCCCCAACAAGTAAGTGGTACTCCCAACTGGAACGCTCAGGTTTTCGATGAGCTTCGGTGGCTAATTGCTGCTCGTTCAGATGGAGGACGGCTGGGACATGGGAGAAGATGTATGGCAATCCGGAAAGCTATGGTGCGGTAATGGGCTAACAGCTAACTTCTCGCAGAGGAGTGACGAGAGTCAAGTCGAGATGGACGATTCACGGGCGGAATACGAAACTTCAGGTGTGTTGCGGGTATTCCCCGCCTTGTCGTTCCGTGTCGCTGACGATGCGGCAGCAGACACAGAAATAGAGCTGATCAAGCCGGAGTTTGTGGCTTTTGCGACCCGGCTGGATGATTCGGGGATACTGCGACAACCATTGACGAACAATACCGAAGAAAGTGCCGCCGCCGCCTACGATTTGATCTCGACATTTCAGAGCTACGCAGCTGTACTCATGGAGGAGTCTGAGCGGGCCTTGGAGGATATGACGGACACCACGCTCGAAGATCCTCGAGAGGAATATGACATCAACGAGACCAAGGAGCAGGCGCGGTACTGGCAGCTTGAGCATCAAACATGGGAGCTTTTTGGGGCTCTTATATCGCATCGTCTGTCTGTTGGCAACCGCCGCCACGACATGAACTTGCCAGGCGACTTGGCAAACGACAGATTCTCCAGCGATGTCCGTATTAGGGAGCATTTCTTCGACGCAGACACATCATTTACGGAGTTGACCATAGTGCTTGAGTGGTTACGCCGCTACTCGCCGGCGCCTACCGCCGACGAAATCGAGGTTCCAGGACTTTACCGCGAAGGAGGAGGTTGGATTTACACGAAGGAAGAGATCAAGAAGCAAAAGCGGATGAATCAGAATAAGCAGCTGTCGCTCTTTGGCGCTAGGGGTAGTGCTTTTACACCAGCATCATCGCAGAATTATGTCACCGAACTCGATCCCGATGCACCCAGTCGACAGGGACGACAGTTGGAAGAGCAGGACGAAGCATGGGAACAGTACTTGATGAAGCTAGTGTGGGGATTCCTGAGGAAAGGAGAGATTGATACCGCACGTGACATGTGCGAGGACGCCGGCGAGTTCTGGAGAGCAGCAAGCTTGAATGGTGGGCTGGATGCATGGGATCCTAGAATTGACGGCGTCCGGGAGACGGACGAGGAGGATTTTGCTGTCAAAGGAAACAGAAGGAGGGAGCTTTGGAAGCGGATGTGCTATGCTCTCGCACGTCGAAGGGGAGGCAATCCGTATGAGAAGGCTTCCTACGGAATCCTGTGTGGCGATGTGGAAAGTGTAAGTTATACTATGATGGTCTTGTCTGTTGTTGCTGACGGTTCCAACGTAGGTGTTGCCGGTGTGCACAACATGGGAGGACCTCCTCTTCGCTCATGTCAATTCCCTTGTCGAAGGATTCTATTCGGCCAAACTCGCCGAGCTATCCAGGATTCCCGCGGCGGTGACACGATTCCCTAGCTTTGATGCCATAGCCTACCATACTCGGGGCTCTCTGAGCGACGAAACAATTATGCCTCGGATATTAGACGAAATAGCTGCCAATAGCAACGTCAAAGAAGCGAAGCTGCCGCTTCGGTCAATTCAAGGCTCATTGATTTCCCTCCGCTTCCCCGCACTCATACAGGAGCTCGCCAGACAACTGCGACAATTCGAGGAGGTTCCAGACTATGATCCACAAAAGGATGATATTCCGATCGCCGTAGATGCAACCGATCCCCGGACGCTGCGTGTCGCCGTCCATATCCTCATGGTTCTACAGGCTTTAAATGCTGGTTCCGAAGAGGGCACAGCATACCACGTGGCTGCGGAGAGGGTGATTTCAGGATACGTCTCTACTCTTGGCGAGTGCGATAAGTTTGAGCTCGTGCCGCTATATGCGTCGCGCCTGTCACCGGAAAAGGCGATCGCTATAGTCGGTAAGACCTTGGTCCACTTCAAAGGCGATGGTGCCAAGCGGGAGGAACTCATTCAGCAAATGCACCATCACGGAATCGATGTGGATGGATGTCTGAAAAAGACTATGGAAATCTCGCTGCAACTGTCGGAACCCCACTACTCAACATCAATCGTTGACGGGGCAAAGAGTTTCAATGGCTTCACTGGCGAGCTCCGACCAGAGGACCAGCAGCTCATCAGCGGCTTGGAGTGGTTGATGTTGGGTAGCGTCTCGCTACAGAGCGAGCTCGTTCGTGGGGCATGTGATGTTTACAAGCGGTTCCTGCGTAAGTTAACCTACCGCTTCCGACCGAAGTCCGCTGCTAACGTGGTCCAGTCACCGGGCGCTTGTACGCTGCCAAAACGCTTCACACCGACGTCCACTCGAACAGAGTCATATTCACTCGGGGTGCTAACGGACATTCGGGCGATCCGATGGAGGAGAACGAAGGAAACGGCCTGGATGACAGCGAGGAAACTCAGCTTCTGGTGGCTGTATATCTCGCCATGGAGAGCCTTATCGATGCTATGATTGCTCTCGAGGAGTGGCGCGAAGCCCTTAAGAATCTTCCCGAGTAAGTTGACATTTGATCTGACGGATGGCATCATAACTGACGAGACAATTGCAGACGACCAGATAGGACAACCGCCCGCAGACTTAAGCCTGTCTATGACAAAGTGGTCAGGTATCTCGCCCCCATGGTTAAGGACTTCTGCGACGAGGAACAGCTCTTGCAACTCACCGGGATTCGTCAAATCCGTCAAATTTACGTTCCTGAAATGGTCATTGCCTTGCACAACGTCTATATGGACGCCGGAAACTACATCAACCCTAGCTACATGATGAACGCCCTTGAGCTTACGGCTGAGGTTGCAAACCCCGGAAAAAACATCTTGGATACGTTCAGGGAAACTGGTCGGCTGGCTGAGTACGTCGATGTGATTGCGGCTGCTAGCAGGACGCTCTTGGGCGCTACTCAAGATGGGGCGAAGGATTTGGTGATCTGGGCTGTCGACAAGTAGGGCACCACTTGTAATACCTCTGGCCAACGGTGACGCGGTGTGAATTTCGGGGCTGTATGTACTACAGATATGGACGCCGCACGGGAGTTTCATAGGCGGGTATACTTAAGTAGGCATTTGAATTCTTGATCATACTCTTTTACCACAGTTTCTTAGGTGGGCGTCGTTTATTTATGGTGGGCGGGGATGATACAGGAAACTGGGTCATTGTTTTGTGTATTTCTGTTGCTGTACGATAGCGGACCGCGGTTTCTTTGACTTTTTTTAATGGCTGATGGCTACGAGTGTGTGACTGCGAGTGCTGATGTTCGATGCTTTCTTGATTATTGTCATTCACGTGCTATACCCGGTAGTAACCGACGTCATACCAATTCCCAGCTAGATCCACAACTTCAACACACCCCGCACCGCAGCTCCAGACTAACTATATATCGCGACACAATGCTTCCCCGAACACTCCGCCTCGTCTGCCGCGCCCCGGCCGGCAAGAAGCAATTTGGCAAATCCATCCCCTCGCAATTCCTGCGCAGCTACACCTCGCCCGCCAGCGTTCCCCCCGTCGAACTCAAGAAGACCCCACTACACGACTTTCATGTCGCCGCCGGAGCGAAGATGGTGCCCTTTGCTGGGTACTCAATGCCCGTGACCTATGCGGACCAGGGACTGGTCGAGTCGCATAACCAGGTGCGCACGAAGGCCGGGCTGTTCGACGTGTCGCATATGCTACAGCATCGGTATGTAACCCACTCCGTTTGGGCTGTGGACTGGGTGGAGGATCTGGGTATTGATGCAGCTTGACGCGTAGATTCAAGGGCCCCGGGGCATTGGGCTTCCTCGAGCATCTCACGCCATCGGACCTCACGCTGCTCAAGCCGCACGAGAGCACGCTGTCGTGTTTCCTGCACCCGGTGACGGGCGGGATCGTTGACGACCTGATCATCACGATGCTGTCCCCGGACGACTTCTACGTCGTGACAAACGCCGGGTGCGCCGACAAGGACCTGGCTTACATCCGCGAGCATCTCGCCGAGTACCCGCACAAGTCCGAGGTTCAGCACATCGTCCTCGCCGGCCAGGGATTGATCGCCGTTCAGGGCCCAGATGCGAAGGTCATCGTGCAGGACTTTCTGCAGCGCGCGATGGGCGATGATGTGCTGGATCTAGGGAACGTGTACTTTGGCCGCTCGGTGGTTGTCGATACGCCCACGTATGGTGAGCTGCATATAGCTCGTGGTGGTTATACCGGTGAGGATGGGTTTGAGATTTCCATTCCGGCGGAGAATACTGTGGCTGTGACGAATGAATTGCTGGAGATTGGGAAGCAGGGGGATATCTTGAGGATGGCAGGGCTGGGCGCGAGGGATACGCTGCGGTTGGAGGCGGGTATGTGTTTGTATGGCCACGATCTCGACGATTCCACCACGCCCATCGAGGCTGGGTTGAAGTGGCTGGTTGCAAAGAGGAGGGTTATGGAAAAGTCAGTCCCCACGCCCACGCCCACGCTTCACGCTCTCCGCTTCCCCCGCTAATTAGAGGCAAAACAGCAACTTTAACGGTGCTGAAACCATCTCCCGGCAATACAACGACGTCTCGCAGATCCCGCGCCGCCGCATCGGGCTCACGGTAGAGAAGGGCGCGCCCGCCCGCGAAGGCGCCGAGATCATCGACCCGGCCACGGGCGACGTTCTTGGCACCGTCACGTCCGGTTGTCCGTCGCCCACACTCGGCACAAACATTGCGATGGGCTACGTCAAGTCCGGCTTCCACAAGTCCGGCACGGAGTTGGCCGTCAAGGTCCGTGGGAAGACTCGCAAGGCGACCGTTACGAAGATGCCGTTTGTCAAGACAAACTACTACAGAGCTCCATAGGTATGGCGTGTCGGTGTATATACATGCCTAAGTGCCTAGGTAGTGGTTGCTTCGTTCGACAGCAGGTAAAATTGAATCTGGTCTGTTTGGCGTGACGTCGGTGCACGGGATCTCACTCGCGGTTTCGAATTTGGAGTCTAGAACAACAGCCAGCGTTCTGTTGGGAAACTGGTGATGTGCCTACCTACTCAGCCATGATCGCTACGATGATTAAACAAAACAAAAGTTCGGTGTTGGGACAACGCTTTGTTGTCATGTCACATCATGTCAGATCAAAACTCTAGAGTACGGTGGGTAGACCACCTGACCCCTCTGATCGTATGTATGCATCTGTGCGTTGTCCGTTGTCCGTGTCGGCTTCGGTGGGCTGCAGGAATTGGAACAAAGGAATATGGCTTGCATGCAGGTACGCATGCGTGGATTCCTCTCGACGCTCGATGGAAGCTCGTGAGAACAAAGGTCGTCGTTCTCGATGCAGCCATTGGTGTTCGCAGGCAATGGTGTTCGCGAAGAGCACCGATAAGAAAATACTCTACCAAAGTCGGCGTTCGAATTAGAGACTCGGAGTGGCTTAGACACTCAGGCACTCAGACACTCGGACACTCAGGCAGTCAGACACTCAGACATTCTTTCCCCTTCCCCGCCCCCCCGCCCATGCAGAGCGGAGGCAGGCAGAGCGGAGGTCTTTCACTTTGTTTCAGAGTTTTCCGCGTCGCGTCGCCTGATCATACATAGATCTAGATCGAAGCATCGAAGCATTGAAGCGATAGTGGGTGGCCTCTATGATCGGCGGCGGGGGGGGGGGGGGGTAATGTCACAATGTCACAATGGCGCTTATGCTGATTGCGCTTCTGTGTATCTATGTGGGTAATGAGTAGATATGCGGCGTGGGTTCATGCGATACATTGAAGGAGCAGGAGCAGGAGCGGGAGGCAGGAAGCGCGTAATGCGGTTGGGCAGATGGCAATTATACATACCACCTGGGCGGGTATGCTGTGCTGGCGGCTCTGATCCCAGTGGCGGCGGCGTCTGGGTTACTCTACTCTACCTAGAGTACCGTACCATCGGTTGCGTCTCCCACAGTGAAGACGAGTGTCAACATCCACCACCCATCGCCGGTTTCTTCCCTACCTGGAGTAGAGTACGGTATGTAGAGCACCGTAGGATCTCAACACTATTCCTCCAGCCCCCCCCTCCCTCCTTCTGTCCCTGCTCTCCCCTCCCTCTCCCCTCTCCCTCTCTCTCCCCCCCGGGCCCGGGAAGTCCATCCGCAGTGGCGTAGTGACAACACATCTCAAACATCCCACATCGCACATCTCCCACAGCACATCCCCCACAGCACATCTCCCACAGCACATCGCACATCACACACATCACACCTTCACACCTCCACCGTCGCGCGCAGAAAGCCGTTCTAGACCCGTCGTCGCGCCCAGCATATCCTCTGCCAGTCGTCGCGCTGGGGCACGCGTAGAGTAGTTACTCTAGGTGCTAGCTAGATAGGTGGGTGGTGACACGACGGTGGGGCTTCGAGGAAGTTCCCGGGAGAGATGATACGGTACTATACGGTACCATATGTACGACAGATATACTCTATAGAGTACGTGATGAAGGGGGCGCAGCAGATCAGGAAGTCGCAGATGGGATGCTGGAACCAGTAGATGTTCACGTAGAGCCCTATAGTAGGGGTACTCAAACCTGGCTGGAAATTTAAGTTGTTTTTACAGGGTTCCGGATCTTAGGGTGCACTAAGCATCTCCTCGCGACGCTAATTCTACCAGCTCTCAGGCGACGAGTGGGCGGCGACGAGTGGGTGGTTTAGATGATGGGCGGCGACGAGTGGCGGCGGCGGACGACGTGGGTTGTGACGCAATTTGTTTTTTCCTCGCTGCCGGCCTAACAAAGCGCCCCGCTACTCTTGTCGCCAGCCCAGCTCCCAGCCCGGGTCCCTCAAACCTAATCTGCAGGCTGGGGCATGCTCATTAGGCAACGGTTTTTGCCGCTTTTCCAGCCAGCCTGGTTCCCAGCCAGGTTTGAGTACCCCTACTAACCTCTGCAACTACGGTAAGTAGAGGTTCTCAAACCTTGCCGGGTGATCTGGCCGGCCGGAAACCCATCAAGACAGATTGACCAATAACGATGTCCAGCCATGACATTCGGGTTTGAGGACCTTGCCCTGCGGGGCTGGCTGGCCAGGTGAGTAGCTCCGAGCACATCCAGGGTACATCCCTGACTTCTGAGCGCTTTCTACATCACCCATCCTCCTGCCCGCTGACTGGAGTCAATCCTGCTCGGTGACTAGAGTCATTACTTTAATGACTCCAACTGTGGGAGTTGATTGACTCTTGCAATACTTCCTGGGTAACTGCCAATAGTTTAAGGCCAATGGTATCTGTACTGATACTAATGTATTCCCGTGTGTATGAAGTATGTCGCTAGCTTGCTGGGTGTAACACTCCGTCGCGTGCTGAGTTGCACATCCTCTTCGCCATCATCAGGTTCGAAAATGGAGTCGACTGTCGTTTGCGCGCGGATGTTGGAGTCGAGCAACTCGAGCACAAATTTTCTTGTAGATACACGAGGCATTCTTCTGGGTGATGACTGAGTTTGACCACAGGATGGAGAATATTTTTACAGTCTAGTTCTTGATCCCGGAAACTACTCACAATCCACCTACCCATTACGACGAACTAAAGGAAAGCTAGAGGCGAGCTAGAGTTCCTGAAGTCACCCAGACAATTTTTTCTGAGCTGGAGGAGGTAGCGGTGCCGGGAAACCTAAAAGATCGCCAAACCAGTAGAAAAACCTAATCACCTAGCCGGCCAGGTCACCCAGCAAGGCTTGAGGACCTCTAGTATTACCACATAGAACGTGTGTGTTGTGCTCCGAAGCACAGAAGAGTTCCTAGCGACGCTGTGACGGGTGTTGTGGACGCTTCTGGGTGGTTGGCCTGGGTTAGGGCTCCGGACTCTGGCTCCTGGTGGGAGTGTTCAGCAGGCTTTCGCCTTCGTTAGAGTGCTCTACCAGCCTACCAGCGGGGACTAGGTGCCAGTGTGCTCTAGTATTCTGGCATGTACCGGTACTAGGTAGCATGTAGAGTAGCTAGAGTGGGGGATCGGGCTAAGATATGCGTGGTTTGAGTTTAAGCAGCCTGGGTGACGGCCATGGGTGTACCTGCTATATGTACACGGGTGTAGGGGTAAGTGGCGCACCTTTTTAAGCGTCATTTCGCGGTGGTAGTGGACCTTTTTAAGTGTCATTTCGCGGTGGTGCATCACTTTCCCTCACACCCGAGTACTAGGTATGAGACTAGCACTCTACTCTAGTCAAGCATCGAGAGAATTAAGCCCCGCCGAGCATCGTTCCCACACCACACCCCGTCGCGCCGTGTTGGTCTCACGTATGCCAGTGTCCAGACTTCATCGAGATGGATGAACGAATGAACTCCTGCCCTCATATATATCTGCCAGATTGCATACATAACCTGGAGGAACAAGGCAGGGAATCCCATTCTATTCAGAAAGTACCTGTTCTGAGCAGTGAAAGGTGAACGCTGCTGCAACTATCGTGAGTCGTGAGGTCGAGGTGATTGCTTTTCTTGGCTCGTTGCCGTTTCCTATTTTGCGAATTGATTGATAGGTTGCCCTGAAGAAGAAGAACGAAGCACTCTAATACTCTACTCTAACGACCCTTTGTATAACCTGAAAGCCTGCGCTCTCTGCTCTGCTCTGCCCTGCTGCTACTGTCATTTCTATTTCCCTCTGCACGCTTTGCTGGCCCATCTTCAATTATTGGAGGTCTCCCTTTCCCCCCCCCGTCCCTAATCTTCTTCATCATTGCCGCCACCTCCAACACCAACACCACCACCACCACCGCTACTACTTCCACTACCACGACCCCGGACGGACGTCCTCCTTCGCTTCCTCCTCCCCCCGTGAATGGTAGGCAGTGACGGTGCAAGCTCAGCTCAGCTCAGCTCACCCAAGGCACCTGCTGGCAGCCACACCCCATCACCGATCAAACCGCCCGCAATTCGCCCCATACGTTCGTCGGTACTGCCATACATACCCACCTACCTACTCCCTAATCTAGAGTATACTCGGTCCGCAGGTCATCATCATCGCACAGAGATATCGCTACTGTCTTCCGGCCGTGTGAATACAACATTCTTACTGTGCGCAACCCCTCTTCGCAGTGCTCACTCACTTCGTGAGATCGATCCCCAACCACACCGCCACACCACACCACATTCCGGCGACAAAATAAACACGCTCAACGAATACACACACACCCACACACAGACTCTCACACACACCCACACCCACACGCCCACACATACACACGCTCAATCACTCACTCACTTACCCACACACACCCACCACCCACTGACACGATACGACGCGATTTGCCCGGGGAACATACGTACAGGCCCTCGGACTTCGCCATCATCATCGTCATCGGTTCGCCACAATTAAACCTGGCCCACGGAAAGCGAAACCAGACGTGAGTGTGAGAGTGAATCAACCTGTATCGCTTCGGCTGCTTCCTTGAGAGCACTGTTATCGGCAAACAAGCCTACTAGTAGAGCTCGCAAAGCATGTCCGGCACAACTAAACCCGATTCCGTGAGTGCTCTTCCTTCTTCTCCATCTTCCGCGATACGACGCGATACGACGCGATACGACGCGCCGACATTGTTTGCTTGCGGGGAAACTGTTCGCTAATGGTGGGTATTGTAGGGAGGCGGTGGGAATCCACGGGCACAGTCTCCAGCGCCCCCTTTAGCTTCGCAGCCGGCGCAGCAGCCTGGTGCGAGCCCTGCGGGAGGACTCCTCACTGTCCCCGGTGGCCCTTCGCGAGGCAATTCGCTCGACCAAGCGCACTCCGATGGTGGTGACACCTTGGTTTCGCCGCCGTCAGCGGATGGCCCCCGTGTACACGAGGATCATGATGAAGACGCCGACCCTCTGAAGCCCGATCCAGGAACGGAGAAGGACTTTCAGGTGCCCAATAACGTCTTCGCGTTCTCTCCCGGCCAGATGTCAAAGTTGAACAGTCCAAAGAATATCCCAGCCCTGAAGGCGCTGGGAGGAATTGAAGGGCTGGCCGTTGGTCTGAGGACGGATCTGAAGGCGGGATTGAGTCTCGATGAGACGACGCTTGAGGGCGCCGTCTCGTTTGCGGATGCTACCGGTGGTGCCGATCAGTTCGCAGTCGCGCCTGATCTCTCTGCGCCGAAACGTGTGGGAACCGTGGGTGCGCAGCCAGCGACCGCGAAACTGCACCCCAACTCTTACAAGGATAGACTGCGAGTGTTTGGAGACAATCGCCTGCCGGAACGTAAATCGCAGTCGCTTCTGCGGCTGATGTGGATCACGTTGAACGACAAGGTGTTGTTGTTGCTGTCCGCGGCGGCTGCTATCTCTCTGGCATTGGGATTGTATCAGACGTTCGGCGTCGAGCACGATCCGAATGAGGGTGCGTCGGTGGACTGGGTGGAGGGTGTGGCCATCATGGTCGCCATTGCTATCGTCGTGCTCGTCGGTGCCGGTAATGATTACCAGAAGGAACGCCAATTCGTCAAGTTGAACAAGAAGGTAATTTGCCGAGTTGCCAAGCGGCCAAGCCCCCCCCTCCGTTAGTTGTGGATGCTGATTATATCATCAGAAAGAGGATCGTACCGTTAAAGTCATCCGCTCTGGAAAATCCTTGGAAATCTCGGTTTATGATCTTCTGGTCGGTGATGTATGCCATCTGGAGCCCGGAGATCTCATTCCTGCCGATGGTATCTTCATCACTGGTCACAATGTCAAGTGCGACGAGTCTTCTGCAACCGGTGAATCCGACCAGATGAAGAAGATGCCCGCCCTCGACGCTATCGCACAGTACAATACCGGAAATGTCGACGTTCACAAGTTGGACCCGTTCATCATCTCTGGAGCAAAGGTTCTTGAGGGTGTTGGTACGTACGTGGTGACTGGTGTTGGTGTTCACAGCAGTTTCGGAAAGACTATGATGGGCTCGCGCGAGGAATCCGATGATACTCCGTTGCAGAGGAAGCTGAACGATCTGGCCGAGGCTATTGCCAAGCTTGGTGGAGCGTAAGATCCTCCGTCAGAACCAGAAGATATATGCGTGAGGAGATGCTGACCTTATGTAGTGCTGCCCTTTTGCTGTTCATCGTTCTGCTCATTCGCTTCTTGGTCAACCTCCGTGGTAGTGTGGAGACTGCCAGCGAAAAAGGACAGAATTTCATGCAAATCCTGATCACGGCCATCACTGTCGTTGTCGTTGCTGTGCCCGAAGGTCTCCCGTTGGCGGTTACGCTTGCCCTTGCGTATGCCACCACTCGTATGTTGAAGGACAACAATCTTGTCCGTGTCTTGCAGGCTTGCGAAACCATGGGAAATGCTACGACTGTGTGTTCGGACAAAACTGGTACACTCACGCAGAACAGGATGACGATCGTTGCGGGTACGGTAGGTGCCAACCAGAGCTTCGGCGACAGGCGCAAGGTGGAGGCGGATGCCGTCCCCGAGAACAAAGATGCCGAGACGGCGGCACAGGAATCATCTATTGCGGCCTTCATCACGGCTCTTCCGGAGAATATCAAGGAGCTCCTCTTGCAATCAATCGTCCAGAATTCGACCGCTTTCGAGGGAGAGGAGGATGGAAAGCCAACGTTCATCGGATCCAAGACTGAGACGGCCATGTTGATCTTTGCCCGCGACTACCTTGGAATGTCCTCCGTCGGCGAGGCCCGTGCCAACGCTACCATCACTCAGATGATTCCTTTCGATTCCGGCAGGAAGTGCATGGGAGTGGTCGTCAAACTTAGTGATGGCCGGTTCCGCTTGATGGTTAAGGGTGCCTCCGAAATCGTGCTCAGACAATGTTCTCGGATCGTCACCTCTGACGGCAAGGATGTCGACTTGACCCCCGAGGTTGAGGGCGATATCGGCGAAACAATCTCTACATACGCGAACCGTTCGCTCCGTACCATTGGATTGTTGTACCGCGATTTCCCCGCGTGGCCCCCGGCTGGTGCGCGCCAGCTGGAGGATGACCCTTCGCAGGCTGAATTTGACGACGTTTTCGGAGACATGACCTGGATCGGTATTGTCGGCATTCAGGACCCCCTACGTCCCGGAGTCCGCGAGGCCGTGCTTCAATGCCAGAAGGCTGGTGTCTTCGTCCGCATGGTTACTGGTGACAACGTTATGACTGCCAGGGCAATCGCCGAGGAGTGTGGAATCTACACCCCCGGCGGCCTGGTCATGGAGGGCCCCAAGTTCCGCCAGCTTTCGCCGGCACAGATGGATCAAGTCATTCCGAGATTGCAGGTGCTTGCACGGTCGAGTCCCGAGGACAAGCGTATACTGGTTAAAAGATTGAAGGAGTTGGGAGAGACTGTTGCGGTGACTGGTGATGGAACGAACGATGGTCCGGCCTTGAAGATGGCAGACGTCGGTTTCTCGATGGGAATTGCTGGAACTGAGGTCGCCAAGGAGGCCTCTGCGATTATTCTGATGGACGACAATTTCTCCAGCATTGTCAAGGCGCTCATGTGGGGACGCGCTGTCAACGACGCTGTCAAGAAGTTCCTCCAGGTAAGCCCGTGTAGCTTCTCGTTTGCCGCCGATGTTTACTGACTTCTCTTTCCCAGTTCCAACTGACTGTCAACATCACTGCTGTGCTTCTTACCTTCGTTTCCGCCGTCGCCTCCGACGACGAGACCTCAATCTTGTCTGCGGTGCAGTTGCTCTGGGTGAATCTGATCATGGACACCTTTGCTGCTCTTGCGTTGGCTACCGATCCGCCTGCTCCGTCCATCCTGGACAGAAAGCCCGATCCCAAATCTGCACCTCTCATCACCGTCAACATGTGGAAGATGATCCTTGGCCAGGCGGTCTATCAGCTTGCGGTCACATTCGTCATGAACTTCGCCGGACTGAAGATCCTCGGTTATCCGGACGACGAAGAAGGATACGCACACCTCAAGGCTTTGATCTTCAACACCTTCGTTTGGATGCAGATTTTCAACCAGTACAACAACCGTCGCTTGGACAACAAGTTCAACATTCTCGAGGGAATCTCCAAGAATTGGTTCTTTATCGGAATCAACGTTGTTATGGTTGGTGGTCAGATCATGATCATCTTCGTGGGAGATAAAGCATTTTCGGTCAGGCGTCTGGACGGTGTCCAGTGGGCAATCTCCATTATTCTCGGAGCCATCTCACTTCCCGTTGCCGTCGTCATCCGCTTGATTCCCGACGCGGCGTTTGCCAAGATTCTGCCCGACATCATGAAACGAAAGCGCGAGGACCCCGCCGTCTACGTGTCATCTGACGAGGACCGCTTCGAGTGGAACCGCGGAATCGAAGAGATCCGCCACGAGCTTTCGTTCTTGAAGATGGTCCGTGGTGGCCGGCTTAATCAGCTCAAGTTCAAGCAGCAGCACATCAAGGACAACTTGTCGCACATGCTGCGCAGTGGCTCCAAGTCGGAGTTACCAGAGCCTACCATCGAGGACAGAGTTGCGCCACCGACGTCGGCTGGATCTCACCGCCGCAGGCGATCTCGCTCCAACTCTACGGTTTTTGCCGCCGCCGCAATGGTTCCGTCCATCGTGGCCGGAAGTATCGGTGGCTGGTCGCCTGTAGAGAAGGCGCCTTCACCGTCGAAGGAAGGGGCTGGCGATTTACTCTTCAGCTCGCAGTCGGAGCAGGAGAGGGCTAGTGGCTCATTACACCCCGGAACCGTGCAGGGCGACCTACCCATCGAACCCGCCGCACCTACACCCGAACCGCGTTCCAAGTGAGATTCCGATGTAATTGTACCTTTCTAATGTCTTTCTTTCTTTCGGTGCTGTACGGGTAGAGGCAGGGAAGGAGGAGCTTGGAGGGATAAAAGTGAAAGTACAAGATACCACATAGATTGGAACGGGTGGATATGCTGTGGGCAGGGGGGAAATGGGTTACTGGTGCGCTTTCACTGGGCTATTTTCCTTTTTTTTCTGATGACTCCATTTACCTTACCTCACGTTGTTTGTTCTCTCTATCCTTTTCTCCTTTTCTCCTTACTCTTAATAATGTGTTTCGGATAACGATGGTTTGTTGGTGTTTGAGGTGTGCAGTTGTGCTTTTTTGTCTTGCTTGCTTTGCGATTGCGATTGCGATTGTGTTTTAACGTGTTTTTTCTTTCTATTTGACGGGACTTCATCATTACTAGGTACATCCTTTAGTTTTGCTCTTTTGCGCTTCTGCGGAAGGGATACTAGTTCTTCTATCGTTCTAATGGGGGAATGAGGATGTGGAGGTGGAGGTGGAGGAAGGTGGAGGGAGGTGGAGGCGGAGGTGGAGGTGGTAGGGCAGAGAAGGGGGGGGGGGGGGTGTATTATATACGGCTGCTATGGTTTCAGATGAGATGAATGGGAGAGCATTATGGGAGTTTTATATGTAATGTAATGCAATACGATGATTCATAAATATACCTGGTACCTACCTCCTACCTACCGAATGACTTCTGCTGTAATTGATCGATCGTAAAGAGTGAAGAGTGGGGCGTCTGTAGCGGCTACTATGTATGACAGGTAGCCGCCAGAGCTCAAGGATCATGGCGTCGGCGGGATCCGGTATGTAGCGGGGCGGATCTAAAGTCTAGGTCTAAGTCTAACACTTGGAGGTATTTACATGCGGGCCACAGTGCTTCTAACACTTAGAGGCAGGTACACTTCAATAGAATAGATTGGGATTCCGACGGGCGGAATTGAATTGAGCACGTGCGGGGTCGGGGGTCGGGAGTCGGGGGACGGGAAGGTGGGGCAGGGCGGGGCGGGTATAAAAGGTCTCTCAGCTGCCCCGCAAGCTTAAGCTGGCCAGCTGACTGCAGCCTGCACGTATTACGTCAATCCAATTCGGTCCGGGGATAGCCGAGCTCTACTCGTATCAGCTACCTACCTACATAGAGTACCTATCTAACAACCGCAACGACGAGAAGGTGACTGAAAGAGAGAAATAATGAAGATGGCGATGGCACGCAATTTCTACAAGCTCTCGGCAGCTACGCAGTTTCCGAGACCGGCGGTTCTCACGCTGGGGGTACGGCTGGGGGTACGGCTGGGTACAGCGAGATACCAGAGCTCGGCGGCATTCAGGGTGCCGGCCGTGGACAATGAGGTCAATGTGAGTACCGTCCACCATTTGGTCAAAGCTCAGCCCAGCTCTCTGTCGGAATGCTGAACAGATGGATGGATGTTACAGCAACACTACCCTCGCGACTCTGAGGAGCGCTACGCCCTCGAAGCCGCACTGCGGGACCTGCGACACAAGTCTCCGGTGTCGATTCCCCTGCACATCGGCGGCGTCGCCATTTCCACGGAGGATTCACAGCTGCAGGGGATCCCGTCCTCGCACGCAGACACGCTCGCGATCTCGTCTGTAGCGACTTCGTACGAGGTGACGGACGCGATCGAGGCCGCGCTGGATGCAAAGGAGGAGTGGGAGGGGCTACCGTTCGCGGATCGCGCAGCCGTGTTCCTGAAGGCCGCGGATCTGGTCTCGAAGAAGTACCGCTACGACCTGATGGCCGCGACGATGCTGGGGCAGGGGAAGAATGCGTGGCAGGCGGAGATTGATGCCGCGGCCGAGCTTGCGGATTTTTTAAGGTTCAATGTTAAGTTCGCTGAGGAGTTGTATGCGCAGCAGCCACCGAAAAATGCATCGAACGTCTGGAATAGGGTCGAGTATAGGCCCCTCGAGGGCTTCGTCTACGCCGTCAGCCCGTTCAATTTCACGGCGATTGGTGGGAACCTCCCCGCTGCGCCCGCGCTCATGGGGAACGTCGTCGTGTGGAAGCCGAGTCCGGGAGCGCTGTGCAGCAACTACCTGGTGTACCAGATACTGCTCGAAGCCGGGCTGCCACCGAACGTGATCCAATGGTGCCCGGGCGACGCCGAGGAAGTGACGGCCACGGTCCTCGCGCACCCGGAGTTCGCCGCACTCCACTACACGGGCTCAACACAGGTGTTCCGCTCGCTCTACGGGAAGATCGCGGAAGGCGTCGTCTCCGCCCGCTTCAAGGGCTACCCTCGCATCGTTGGCGAAACCGGCGGCAAGAACTTCCACCTGATCCACGCGAGCGCGGACCTGCGCAACGCGGTCGTGCAGACCGTCCGCGGCGCGTTCGAGTACCAGGGGCAGAAGTGCTCCGCCTGCTCGCGCGTCTACGTTGCCAGCAGCGTCGCGCAAGAGTTCCTCGCTGATCTTAAGGCGGAGGTCGAGGCGCTCAAGGTGGGCGCCCCTGACGAGGGGTTCGATAACTTCATCGGCCCCGTCATACATCGCGCCTCGTTCGATAAGCTCCGTGATGCGATTGATGACGCGAATATGGACCCCGAGCTGGAGCTGCTCACCGGCGGCACCTATGATGACGCTGAGGGCTACTATATCAACCCCACTATCTACGTCGCTAAGTCACCCAGCCATGAGTTGTTCGGCAGGGAACTGTTCGGGCCCGTCCTGGTGGTTTATGTCTACCCCGACGAGGAGTGGGAGGCGACCATGCAGCTGGTGGACGAGAGCGGTGGCGGATACGCGTTGACCGGGAGTGTGTTTGCGGCCGATCGCAGGATCATACGGCAGGCGGAGGACGCCCTCAGGAATGCCAGTGGGAACTTCTATATTAGTTCGTTTCTCCCTCCCCCGCTTCTACGCATCGTTTTGAATATGATTGGCTGATTGAGATGGGGATGGATAGATTGCAAGTCTACAGGTGCCGTGGTCGGACAGCAGCCGTTTGGTGGCGCGAGGGCAAGTGGGACTAACGATAAGGCGGGGAGCGTCAGCCTTCTCTCGAGGTTTGTTAGCATGCGCAGTGTGAAGGAGGAGTTTGTCGGTGCTACTGATGTCGGGTATCCGAGTAACGAGGTGTAGCTGGGCGGGGGCTGCTCTTTGTTTTTGTGTTCTGTGTGTTTGCTTGCTTGCTTGTGCCTGCCTACTTGCCTGCTTGTTTGTTTGTTTGTTTTCTGTGGGAAGGGCTTTGCATAGGTTCATTCAGTACTTCGTACCTTCATTCTGGCTGTCGACGCTGCCATGAACATCGATTTATCGTCGTATACAGCCTGTCTAGGCTACGACGACCACAAAACCGACCATTCCTGCCACCCAAGATCATTGGCGGATTGAGCTCCATCATGTTCTACGGAAGCTCATGAGTGACGTTCCAGGAATGTGTATTCAAACAACCGTCCACAGTCACACGCACAAATCCTTAGCTAAACGAAGCAGTTACTTGCATTAATCTCGAGAGCCGTTGTAACTACCACCCCGCACAGCTGCAGAGCTCGCGTCCAACAATAAGATACCCCCCTCCCCCCCTCCCCCCACCCACACCCCCACCCCCACCCCCACCCCGGTCAGCGCCACGCCCTGTTCTCGCCTCGAGGTTGATTTAGCGAAAGCACCAACGCGGCACCTAGTCAAGTTCCAACAACGTGGGGCATTAACTAGTCCCAAACCTAAAGCTCTGTGCATAGCTTCCCGAAGCCCATCCCATCCCATCTCACACATACCCCGCCAACCCACTCTTACTCTCACTCTCCACCCTCCACCCGCCCGCATCCACGTCCAGCCCCACCAACACCGACAACGATACTGACACGAAGAATCCCCCAGCACGCAAGCACGCACAATGTCGACCTCAGCGGCGACAACCTCCTCGTCGGCATGCGATCCCGACTATGAATTCGATGCCGCATGGGTGCAGGCCGAGCGGTCTTCTTCGTCGCCGGAGCCACAGCCGTCGTCGCAGCAGCTAGTTGTGCACACCCGCGCACCGCCCAATGCCAATGTCCAGCGCGGCTACGGCGGCGGCCAGCAGAGGCAGCGAGAACCACTGCGTGCGCCGCCCGGTTTTCCCGTGAGACAGCCTGTGGGCCCCACGGTTAGTGGCGGCGAGAGCTCGAGGGCCGGGGCGAGCCTGGGGTTTCAGCACAGGATTTCCGCGGGGCAGGGGTTTCAGCAGCAGCAGCAGCAGCAGGGCCAGGAGTTTACGCTCGTTCCGCACAGGGGTGGCCGTAGGAGCGGTGCTGCGAGACAGGCCCGCTCAATCGTCAGCGATACTGCCAGCACCGTGTCCACCATACGCACTGCGACGACCGCTACGACAGGTTACGGTGCGCCCGGAAATGCTATGGTGCCGTATGAGGGGTTGCAAAGTAGCCCGGCTTGGGGCAATAACGTTTATGGTGTCGAGGGCTTGCAGGATGAGTATGGCATTGAGGGATTTGCGAGGCCGAATATCCTGCAGCTGGAGCAGGAGGACGAGGACTACGACGATGAGCATCCCACTGGCTTCCGGAGGGCGAATGAAGCTGATCTGGCTGAGAGAGCGGGACAGCCCCCTGATAGTATGGCATCTTAACTGTCGGACTGTGGCGTTGGGAGCACTGGCTAATAATGTGTGTAGATTCTTTTGTGCTGCCTACTCGCCGTCACGCCGAATTCGATGCCCGTTTCTTTGGTGCCAACAGCCACAATGTCCTGCACATCGCGAGGAAGACGGGTACCCATATCTCGATGCCGGTAGACATGAGCGAGCCGGTGCTGTGGATGTGGGGAACTGCTGACCGGCTGTTGTCGGCGAGACGCGATCTGCATGCGCTTATGGAGCAGGTTCAAAACGATCTTGAGCATGGAGCGCGGCGTTCCAGTCTATGGGTAAAGATCAGGGCCATGCCGACGGATAAGAAGCAGCAGATGATCGACAATATGATCAAGGAGGCGAGGGTCCGCAAGATGTATCGGCTGCCGCCGCCGACTGGTATTTCGTTCCCGGCGGTGGGCATCTTCATCTGGCCGGCCAAGGAACGCAGTCCGCAGCAGATCCTCGGATTGGCATGTGAAGCGCTTGACGATATCCGCTTCGATCAGAAGGTCTGGATCCTGTTCAACAGGAAGGGGAACATGTTTCGCGTTCTCGGTGACGACCCCAGGGACGTCGACATTGCCGTGTCGCGCATTCGTGGCGTCTTCTGCGAGGTTGCGGCCAAGAGGCGGAGGCCGACGAAGATGGTCCTCCTGCACCCACCCTCCGTGAATCTCAGTGCCACCAAGATCGTCGCCAACGAGAACCACGACCTCATCAACCGCCAAGTCACGGTCAAGCGTCTCGAGGCGAACAAGGGTATCCAGATGTTGCTAGGCGGCCCCGCGCCGAATCTGAAGTTTCTCCAGTCGTGGAAGATCAAGAGCGAGATCTTGACCAGAGCGAATGACACTTACATGCGTAAAGCACTCGAGCAGGGCATACAGGATCTCACCTATTTCCTGGGCCATGCGAGGATCAGGGTATACATTGGAAAGATGGTTCTGTACGGCTACAGAAGGGCAAGGGAAAACACCTATGACATTCTCGACTTCGGTGCGATGGTTCGCAACAGCCAGACCGACGGCGAGCTCATCAGGTCTATCGGCAGCGGTAGATACGGCATCAAGGACAATGAGGTGGCCGACGAGCTGCGCCAATACTGCGACCGTATCTTTACGCCGATGGACACCAATCCCGATCACAGGAGCGAGGGCCCAGTCGTCGAACCCCAGATCTCGGCTACTTTCGAGCTCAAGCTGTACGACGAGCAGGGTGCGGCTCAGGATATTCGTCTGGAAGTCACTTACGAACGTCTACCCGGCAAGAGGGAATACCGTCCACTGGACCGTCGCTGGCTCAACACGAGGGACAAAGAGAGCCGTCCCAATGCCGACAACCCGCGCAAGGGACCGGTCAACATCAAGGTGATAGATGTCCAAGCAGATCTCGGATACCAGATCGAGATCGTCACCTGGTCACTATACCGCGAGACACACTATCCCATCTTCCAGGAATTCTCTCGGGCTCTCGGCATCGAGTATATTCCGGACGAATTCACCGCCGCACCCCTTCCGGAGCTAGGACAGCCCGATACCCGCCCCACCATCCCGCGCATCACGTTTGTCAACCTCCCCGGCATGTCCGTCTCCGGTGTTGTCCAGAAGACCAAGTACCGCTACTACCTACCCCGCACCAGTTACGTCTTCGAACTGACGCGGTACGAACATCTCCCGATTCACCCTGTGTCGACGCTGTACCCAGACGGCGTGCCCATCTCGTACCGAGGCCTCGACACGCCATTCGACACGCGCTGGGGCTGCGCAATCTGGCACAAGCGCTGGGACCAATACCTGAGCCAGCAGGCAGTAGCGCAGCTGGGGCAGCGCGGCGACTGGGACCCGGACATTGAGAAGTTTTTCCCCAGCTCGTCGGCGCAGCCCGCCACAGACAGCGACGCCGAAACGGTAAAGGACGGCCGTCAGCGCGAGCACGTCCCCGACGAGTACAACGACGACGGCTTTGCGGAGTTCCTTGATACCGTTCGACAGGTCGTACGCCTCGTCAAGAGCGCGCAGGAGAATGTCGCCCGCCAGAAAATGACGCAGGTGGAGGCGTGGACGGGCGGCCAGGCTGTTGTGTACTAGGCTAGGTAGTGGGGGTGGGTTCGATGTGTTCGCTGTGTATCATCTGGTTGATTGAATACTCGGTTTGGTCTGGTCTGGTCATTTCGTTACCTACGTCACATCCTAGAGATTTTTCGGCTTGATTTTCACTTTTTCTTTTCTTTTCTTTTCTTCTGTTTGTGGTGATACCTTGTGCATGGCTGAGGTAGATGGTAGATATAGCCTGAGTGCTAGGTAGTCCGAATGATACTTCATGCAGAGCCCAATTCTCGTGAACTCACTGGTATCATCGTTCGTCAAAGCTCCCAGAAAACCACGATCAGCATGTAGTAGCCCCAACCGTCCAAACAAACTCATGATCCCGATGCATCAACCAGACTGATCTATTATAAAAAACACATGCATGAGTGATATCCCCACATCCCATCTCGTCACCAACCCTTGAACAGAAAACAGAAAACAGAAAACGAAAACGCTTGGTACATCAAAACTGTCTCCTTCTCTGTAATGTTGGCTTCCAATCTAGCGGGTGCGTCTCCTCCGTCGCGTTCTCGTCTTGTTTCCATATTTTGACTGTTTTTTTGTTAGTAAGGGGAGCATGATCAAGGGGGGGGAGGGGGGCTCACTCGTCTTATCCGCCTCTCCAGTGATGAGTCTAAGCCCCGTCTTATCGAACGTCGAGCAGAACACCCCCAACTCAGCATCCAAACTTCCCGGCTGTGCGGTAGTATCGAGTCTTTGGTAGCGGTACCCGCTCTTCCAGTCAAAAAAGCACATTTCGCCATTATCCGCGCCCGAGAAGAGGACATCGTCTTCGTTGGCTGAAAGCGTGTTGATGATGCCGCCAGCGCCCTCAAAGTTCTGCATGAACGCGCCCTCGGGACACTTCCACTGCTTGATGTTGTCCGCGGAGCCAGAGGCGAACGTGAACTCCTTTGGGTGGGAGCAGAGCGCGCGCACGCTCTTCTTGTGGTGCGTGAGCACCGCCATCGACTTCCCCGCCGCGAGATCCCACAGCCGGATCGTGCTGTCCATCGACCCGGTGATGATCTGCGGGTCCGCCTCCTGTGTGAGCAGCGACGAGATCGTGCCCTGGTGGCCGCCGAGAACCATGACATTGGTGCGCGTGCGCATGTCCCACACCCGCGCCACGCCGTCTCGTCCTGCAGTAACGAGCACGTCCAGCGTCGGATGCAGCTGCAGCGCATACACACCGCTCAGGTGCCCGTGGTAATGCCGAATGACGCGATTACTCTCGAGGTCCCAGCACTTGACCATCTTATCCTCGCCACACGAGAACATGTAGGGGTGGCGCGGACTGACCGCGAGGCCGCGCACGGTCGAGATATGTCCGGTGAGCGTCAACCGCAGCGACCCCGACGCCAGATCCCAAATCTTGATGGTTCGGTCCCCCGCCCCCGTCGCAAACCACTGGTTCCCCGGCTCGACCGTCAGCGTCCGCACCCACCCCAGATGCCCGGAAATAACCCGCATCAGCTTCCACGGCGCGTGCCACTTCGGCTTAACCTGCTGTATGGCCTCCCTATGGACGAGACCCGTCCCCGCGCCAGGTCCCGCCGCACCCGGCAAAAACCCCGTCCCCACCCCCGCCCCCCTCGGCCTCAAGCTAAGCGCCAAACTCCCCTGCCCATCACCCGCAGGAATGCCCTCGATAAGCCTCTGCGTGCCGACATCCACGCCATCCTCTGTACCCGCGAGCGCCAGCTGCTGCTGCTTCTTGCCACCGCTACCGCCAGTCGTCGTTGTCCGCCGCTTCTTAGCCGCACCATCGATTTTTGCCTGCAGCGCGGCGGGCAGCGTCCGCACGCCGTCGTACTCGCTGCGCAGCTTCGCGGTCAGCAGCGACTTGTGCGCCGTCGTGTCGTCGAGCGCGGCGCCGGCGAAGTCCGCGGCGAAGAAGGCGCGCGTGCGCTTGCTTGAGGAGTGGACGAGGGACTAAGAGTATCTGTCAGTACGACGGGAGGGGGGTAGGAGTGAGGTACAAACTTCGGCGGAAGGGAGTGTGGTGGTCATGGTAAAAATTGGTGTGTGATGTGTGGGATTTGTTGGGTGCTGCGGAGCTTTCGGAAGGGAGACGTGACGTGATGGGAGTTTCTAGCGTGGCAATAACTTTACGCGGCGAGTGCCGGGTAAGTTGGCTCTGTCGCGGTGATGGCGATGATTGCGCTCGATTGGCTGTAGTTGAGGCACCAGGAAGAATTGTGGGAGTGCAATTGTATGCATGCAACCGTGAAAGTGCTGATATTGGCTGGTGTTGCCTGAGAGGCAATACACGCATTCATGAAAAATCACCCGGTGCTGGCGGCGACTTCACAACCTCCGTTCTGCACGCCCGTCCTTCGCAGTGAGCTATATAAAAGCAGCAGATTTATGCAAACAAGAACTACGAAAACAAGGGCTAAAGCAATACATCCTCCCACGCCATACTCCATCGCCAAATCAGGCTATCAAAAACAAGACAAAAGTGCAGAAGGAACCCAGAGAGTTACAGCAGTAAAGAAACCATCCCGAACAGAAGAAGCGCCCATAAATACAAGAATGTACATATGCAAAAGAAGTTCACCTGTCACCTCTTCGTCTCGTCTTCTTGCCATGAGTAACGATGTCACCCTCGTCCTCCTCTTCTCTGCCTTTCTCGAGAGGCTCTTCCAACTTCCATCCGTCCATATCGTACCAGTCTTCACCATCGCTGAGACCCACGCCTTCTCCGGTGTCAATGTCAAAGGTTCGTAGCTCCGTGTCTCTGGATACCTCGGTGAGATGCTTGTGATACTCCCGCATGCCCTCCATGGTCCTACACCAGTCCCATACTTTCTTGCGCATGCTTTCCGCTCGCAGTAGGCCATCATGCACCTTCTTCAGCCCACGGAGGAACTCATCTTGGCGCTGAACAGCGGCGGATAGCAGACGGCGCGTCTCCTCGGCTTCCGCAGGTGGCAGACCATTGTCACGGTCGACCTTGTAGTCCGGCGGGAAAAAGAAGGGATCGATCTCGATGCTGGGAGCTTCCGAGGGCGGCGCGGGTGAGCCGCCATTATTCTGGTTTGCCGAACGCGTCGTCATCCTACGGGGTTCTGGCGGCGCGCTAGCTTCGCGCATCTCTTCGTCATGGGAGCTTGGGTCTTCAGTTTTTGGAACTGTCGTGTCGTCATCTTCCATGGCGGTGTCTTGCATAGGAGTGTCTTTATTCTCTGAGTCAGGGAGCGCGGTCCGTGAGCCCGAAGCTGTGATACCATTAACTGCTCCCGAAATCTCGTCATCAGGTTCAACTCCATTCTCGGCGGGTTTCGGCGTGCCGTTCGCAAGCTTGCCGTTCGATTCTGCACCGTTTGTCGCACCAGCCCGCCCGTTTCCGTTGCTTGTCAACTCAGAGAACTGCCGGAGGATGCCCTCGCTCCGCTCCCGCGTCATCGAAGTGTGGTCCTCTTCTGTCCAGTGCATCTTCTCCAGGTTGATAAACGGGTCGTCGCCCAAGAACTTCGTTAAAAGGTTCTTCAGTTTAACCGTGTGCGCCTGCTCTTCACATATCTTCACGAGTGATTGCTGCAACAGCTCATTAAGAGTGCGTGACGTGTAGATGTAGGCCAGCGAGGGATGCGAGGGTAGATCTGCGGCAGAATCGAGTGGGGCCAGGAGCTCTGTTTCCAAAGAAGCACTTCGCGTCAGTAACCCGATCCTACACCCAAGGGCCGGAACAACAGGAGCTATAAGTGACAGGTTACACACTCGCGATGTCCAGTCCTTCATAAGGGTCTGTAGATTCATCCACGCTTCCTTCTGCGTCACTGCTCTGCGAATCCTCTTCGTCCGAATCGACAGCAATCTTTTTGCGACGACTGGGCTTGCGGTAGATGATCTTTTTCCGTCTTCCGAAATACTCGATTTCCTAAGTGGCAGCGCGATTCACGTCAGCAAACACTCCTCCCCGACGTACCCAGCGGCTAGCACAGCAAGTATACCTCTTTGTATCCGTTAACCCCTCTACCGTCGTCTAGTTTTCCCTCGTGGACGTTTTGTGCCTTGCGCTTGAGCTTACGCCCGCGGTTCGAGTTCCCGACGATCGTGTCATCCGAATCGGACGCTGCAGTGAGGCGTTAGCAGGATTGCCGCGAGGAGTGAACAGCGCGAAGGTAGGTGGGGTGTAGGAGGAGGAGGAGGAGGTAAGACCATCATCGCGTGCTGCCAGGGCACGTTTAAGGTTTCTGCAGATTGAAATCGTCGGTCAGTTTCGCCTGACCTTGTAGGAGAGGAACTGAGAATCACTGGAGGGGGGGGAGACTGTGGGACTTACGTTATTGTTTCCTGAACTAACCGGCGTTCGACAGCCATGGCGGGAAAGTAGAATGGCGAATCTAAGCGTGTAGATTGGTAGGTGGGGGAAGGAGGATATGACGAGGAGGAGAAAGAGGAGGAGGAGTGGGTTGTCCGCGTTCTGGGTGTTTGGCTCCCGAGATGGAGCGAACCAACGAGCGGACCGCCATGCTAGTGAACTCTCTCTTGAGCCGCCGGCGAGCCAAGATGGTTGTGTCACCTAGCAACCATAATTCATGCTTAAGTGCAAAGCCACAGCATCATACAACAAGAAGGAGCAATCACGCAACAAAGAAGAGAGAGGTGAGGAGAAGAGAGGAGAGAAAAGACAAGAGTAGATCTTCAGCTTAATGCTCTGTTCTCGTCTTGTACAAGTTCGTGGATCAGCTTCTAGCTCGGCGATAGAAGGATTTCCGAGTGATTTCCGATGACGTAGTGTGGGGAAACTTCGGTTGCCATAGGGAAGGGATTGATAACGACGGTCATCACGAAGAGACTGTGAGGATATATCTACCGACTGGAGTATCCAAGTAAGTAAGCGGTTGGAATAGGTACTTTGTGGCTCTGAGATTTAAGGTGAAGAGGGGGACTTTAGGGGTACCTACTATCTAAACGGAGGTGGAGAGAGAGGGGGGGGAAATCAATGAAATAGAGGTGGAACATCGAGGGGGTGCACCGATTATGCGCGCTTATGACTGATCGGATGTGGGGCTCAAACAAGGCTGAGCTGAGCATAGTCGTTTCGAGAGTTCCAGTACAACAGGAGCAGAGTGAATGGTACCTACGGGTACAGGCAGACGGAAAATCATATTTGAAGCACTCGGGCCGAAACACAAGCTCTCTGGGCACCCTCTACTTGTAACCAAAACACCATCGCCCGAAGATCATCAACATCTCGAAAGAAGCTTCCTATCTGTGGCTGTTGGGAGGGCGACTCCCTCGAGGAGGGTGCCTTGCCAAGCCACATGTACGTCACTAAGTAGAAGCAGACAGGCCCGTCGCACGAACTCACACCCACTCCTCCGCCATAGCTAAGAGGCCACCAAATGGACGCATATCCTCAGGAGCTCATCACCCACGAGGCCCCGCTGGTAGTCGTCTCCGGGCTGGGAGCACGGGAAAGACACAGCGAGATTCCCCCATACCCGCTACTCAACAACGGGTTCCACGTGTTTTGCGACCTTCCTCCGATCACCGACGACACGGCTGAGCGCCTGGTCGACTACTTTCAGAAGAACGATGCCACTGGATTGTGGGGTAGGCGCGGGGAGCGGGGTGCAAAGGGACCGCAGCTCCCAGTGTTTCGGATACGCCTTGTAGGACGGGTATGAATCGAGCTTCCTCCGCCGTGTCATTGAAGTTGGGCGTAGTGCGCTAACTGGGCTCAGGAATACCGATTGCCGCCTCGAAAAGCAAATCCGCCTTCGCCGGGAGCTCCAAGCTCACCTTCCGAAGGTCCACCCACGCGAGTTCTACATTCGCCGATATCGCCGCTCTCGCCAGACTCGCCGCTATTCCCCGATGGTGCGCTCTCGCATATATGGCTTCGGAAGCACCAGTCACTACTCCCAGCTGTGTTCGTTGCGTTTTTCGGGTTGAACACATCGACAAGTGATGCCGGCGTCCAGGCGCTCGAGGATAACAAGATCATCGAGGCGATAAACAGATCCAAGCAGCACTTTTTGACCTCGTCGAGCGGCTCCCTGACGTCGACGTCTTCAATCGGAAGTGAAGAGCTGCGTAGTAGTGGACATCGCACAAAGTTTGTGGCCGTGGTGCTGAGTGAGCGGTCACTCATGACCTCGGCGCAGATTGATGACCGTTTGACCTTCATCAGACGTGGCACCGGACTCACCACGAATGCTACATTTTTCGTCGCCCAATCCAACACATCGCCCGTGGAACTGGAACAGTTCGTGCAAGGCTTACTGGCTACAATATGGCCCGGCGCAGTGGAGTACTATCGGGAGCTCTCCAAACATGCACGGCGGAAACGAAACAAGGGCTCGGTACCGCCACCGACAATCCCATCCTCGCGCGCCCTGTCTTCGCAAGGGTGGAATCTCCGTTACGAGTTCAAGCTAGGTGTGTTTGCGGAATTCCGCCAGGAGATGGACGGCGCCGGAAGAAACTACGAAACTGCCTACGAGAAACTCCTCTCCGAGGTTTTTGAGGCAACAAGCTCCTGGTCAGAGCGATGGACGGAGGCGCGGATGTTCGCCGATATACTAATCTTGCGGATCATCCGGTGCCATCTGTGCGTGGAGAACTACGTGGCCGCGAAGCAACGTTGGTCATATCACATCGCCCGTATGAGGGACGTGATAGATCGAAAGGGCAAAGGGACACAGACATATGGATTCGCTGCGTGGTTGAGTCGTTGGAATAAGTGCCTCGCAGATCTCTTACATCTTGCGAACCTTCCCGTGTTCTCGGTCAGTCTTCCACCAGTGCGGATACCTGGACTTGTGGACCAGGAACCTCCAATGATCTACTTCAGACCGGATAAGGTGGGCGTCAGCTTAACATCGCACGAACTCTTGCACCATGCCGGATTCTACTACCTCGCCGCAGCGGAATGGACGAAGGTGCGTGCGAAGAGGGCGAGGAAGATTAATTTGGATGATCGCGATGTAAATGATACCTACTTGTGTCCGACGCCGCGAGAGGAAACTGAGGTCGACCATGCCGCTTTGCAGATCTCGTATCTTGCGCATGCGAGGACGGAGTTCAGTCTCAGGCAGCAGGAACGAATGGCGGAATCCATATCCTACCAGCTTGCGGTGTTGAGGATGGCGAAGGCGACGGAAAACCCCAATCTTTGGATCGAAGCGCTGAAAGATCTTCGAGGCATTGCATCGCGATACCGCAAAGAAGGGTGGTGGATCTTGCTCGAGGATGTTTTGTGGAGAATCATAGAGTGCGGCCGCGGTAGTGGCGACGCGGGAAGCGTAGTACTTGCGGAGTTTGAATTGATGTGTAAGTCCGTGTTCAAGGAAAGGCTAGGAAAGCGATACGACTTGGACAATTGCTTGGAGGGCATTGATACTCTGAACGTGAAGCCGACTATTGTGGCCAGAGCTAGCGATGTCGTGAATATTCGTGAGTCTTGAACCATCATGTGTGAACTGCGACATAGTAATGACGGTTTCATAGTCTCCGTGTGCTACTCCTTCGAGTACCCAACTGTCCATGCGGGCCAGGCAGTGAACTCGCAGCTCAGCATCGCTTCAAATGCTCATCCCTCTGCGGCGCCACTGGTGTTTTCGGAGCTGAAGATAACATATGAAGGAGGCCTCAAGACTGTACTTCTCCGCCATAAAGCCTCGTCGACCTCGGAACAGACTCGACCGGTGCGGATAATCAATTTGCAATCCGCCCTCCATGAGTACTCGGAATCTGCTGATGCCCCGCTACAATCACCAACGTCGATAGCATCGCACACATACATGGTAGCAGATACAGATCTATCCATCGCACCGGGCAAAGTCAAGGTCTTTGAGCTTTCCGCGATCCTGAGGGAAGCCGGCAGCGCCAAGGCGATCTGTGGTACCTTTGGTATTGTCAACGACAGCTTCGATCTTGATTTCGTCGTGATGTTTGGCGAAGACGATACCCCGGCTGCTGTACATCCGCTCCCGACTAAGAATGTCTTCACGACACAGAATGGCGGAACGAGTGTCTGGTGGAAAGAGACTGCCGGTGGAAAGATCGTTAAACGGCCGCTTAGAGCTGCTCCTGACTCGTTGACCATCCTTCCTAGACCGCCGAAGATGGAGGTCTCGGCGAAAGGGCTGGAACATGGTGTTTACACCGATGAGGTGGTTAGGATTGGTCTTGAGGTCTTGAATGGCGAGGATGAAGATGCAGATGTGAGCGTTGATGTCAAGATTATTGGCTGGCCCATGGAAGAAGGTAGGTTAGAATTGCTCCACGACGGTAGCTGGGCAACTAACACTTGCGAAGGGCCAGTCATCACTTGGCTAGCAGACGATGGCTCCGCCCTGGAACCGACAGCATCTCTCCATCCTCTGGGCAACATGAAGCCCAACCAGCATATCACTCGATACTTCACCTTTCCCTCCGCTCCCGAACCTGCAGACTGCACGCTCGAGATTAAGCTCCGCTATAACCTCGTATCGGACCCTGAAACGCCGACGGAAAAGATGGTTATGGTGGACATGCCCATTGTGTCTCCGTTCGACTGCACCTTTGACTTTTCCCCGCGAGTGCGCCATGATATCTGGCCCGACTACTTCTCGCTCGACAATGAGCTATTTGCGGACGATGGCGCTGCTAAAGAGGATGTTAAGCCGCAAGGGATTGTGCAGCGGTGGCGCCTGATGGCTGCGATTCAGGGCGTTGGGAAGGATGATATCACAATCGAAGGATGGGAGTTGCCTCTGCGGCAGGTGGCTGGCGCAGCGGCGTGTGAAATCTCTCCTGGTGAGCAGAAGGCTATCTGTAAGCATCATTCCTCTCCTGGATTTTTGCGACTTTTACTAACACATCAGCCCTCGAACCTTCTAAAACTATCAAAATTCCCTTCAGCCTCGATGTCTCCAAACACAGTCTCGAAGACCGCAGTCCGTCCACGCTCGACACAACTCTCCACCTCCACTGGCGGCGCACTTCCTCCCCCACCACCCCACTAACCACTACCCCCTTCCGCGTTCCCCGCCTCTTCGTCCCCCTCCGCGAACCCCGCGTCCTTGCCGAATCGCACCCCTCCCGTACCATCCCGGGTGCGTTAAACCTAACCTACACCATCGAGAACCCAACCAACTACTTCCTGACCTTTGCACTATTGATGGAAACCAACGACTCCTTTGCATTCTCGGGGCCAAAGCAGATGGGACTACAGCTGCTGCCGGTCTCTAGGGAGAAATTCGAGTACACTCTCCTGCCGTATGCCAGGGATACTTGGGTCCGCCCTAGTCTGAAGGTCGTGGATCGCTACTTCAATAAAACGCTCAAGACTCTGCCGGCTGGCGACGGCTGCGCGGCTGAGAAGGGCGTGTTGGTCGTGTGGGTTCCCAAGGAGCTGCTGCCGAAGCCCGAGGAGGCGGGGGATGGGGTGGAAGACGGGGATGAGGATAGTGAGGAGGATAGTGACTTTGAGCCGAGCGAGAGTAGTGAGGATAGTTTGGAGTATGCGGAGGATAGTGACGAGGAGGAATCTGACGGGGAAGGAGATGGAGAGGGTGATGGAGCAGAGGGAGCAGAGGCGAAGCAGGAGGAGAATGTGGGCGCCGACGAGTAGTGGTACTAGTAGATTTGGGTAGATGGGGAATACGATGGGTGATACTTCATGTCTTCCGCCGAGCCGCGCTAAAGCTTTCGCGTAACTACCCCACCATGCCACACACCATATGTATGGCGCGCGAGCTCCCACTTCACTTCCAATCCGCGCACCACCTCCACGCCCATCCCCCCAGCCCAGCACAGCAAGCATGTCGATCCCCAACGAAGCGCTCCAAAAGGCACTCCCCCCCGCCCTCCCTCTCTATCCTTCCCTGCTCCCTCACTAACACCACCCCAGTTAATATCCGACATCGACGCCCGCGCCTCATCATCACTGCAACAGCTGCAAATGGTGCGAACCCAGATCAGCACGTGCAACCGCGAGATCCGACTGCTGCAGCTGACGGGCGAGGAACTGTCCTCGCTGCCAGCGGAAACCCGCGTCTTCGAGGGCGTCGGGAAAATGTTTGTGCACCGACAGATGCCTGATGTTAAGGCTCGCCTGGAAAATGAGGAGAAGGGCCTTAAGGGCGATATTACGGACCTCGAGAAGAAAATGAGGTACCTTGAGACTACGTATGTCAATGCGAGGGAGGGGCTGGATGCTATACTTAAGGGCGGGAGGAGCTAGGAGGGGGATGGGGGGGGGGATGCGGGATGGGGGGAGGGCGGTGGGAGGGCGGCGGGACGTTACTATACTACACACCTACCACAGACTCGGTGGATGGAGATAATGAACTTGTTGGACGGATGGAACTACTGTACTAGTACCTATGGTTGTTCCCACGGAACTTAACCGGTGATCCCACAACGAGGCACCTTGAGGCCCTGGAGGACTCTACTCAATGCTTCCTCCAGCGTGCACGTTCTCGTCCACGTCCTCGCCACGATGACGCTTGTAATAGTAAATCTCGTCTCCCGTAGATGGGCTCGGCTATGTACGGTGGACGCGGTAGATGCGGTAGATGACGACGTTTAAGCGTTTAAGCGTGGACCGTGTGGCGAAAGACTAACGGGACTTCACTTGGTGGTTGAGCTTGTGCCAACCTACGCTGGAAGACAGCTCAGTGATCAATCAAGTCTCCGGCCCAGTGCTGAGTATTGGCATCGTCTAATCATAGATTTTGGCACCAGCATAATTACTCCACTCCACTCCCATTCCACCCAGCCAGCCAAGACCATCGATGTGCTCACTGATTGGGTAGTAGAGGGCGTCTCGAGTATTTGTGGCATGCATAAAAGCTCGCCGGACCACAATCGCCAATGAGACGAGACGAGATAGGTATCTCGAATGTTTTGTATGGACACCTCGGTACGGACATGAAATAGTAGTAGTGATCGCCAGCGGTGGTAAGAAGTAGCAGAGCCTAGAGACTGCTTCGCATTGTCCGTTGTCCGTTGTCCGTGGCAGGCTTGAAGGCTGACCGTGAGGCGCTGTTGGAGATTGCGGCTGGCCCCAGCCGGACCATTAGTTATGACGGGAGGCTCAAGGAGGACCTTGCGTACCTATGCACCTGTCTCCGCTGAGTCGAAAGCTGTAGCCGTGGGAGCTGTGTCTTCCGCTGTGTCCGTGACGATCTCATCGCTCGCTCGCTCGTGCTTGCGTTCAGGCGGTGAAGAATCCCTTTTCATTAGCCGTTCATTGACGGCGAGCGGTTCGAAGGCGCAGACTCAGGCTTGGGCAACTGTACCATAGTCTGTCCTGCAGCATGCGAGCGAGATATATTCTTAATTCTGCATGCTGCGCATCACTGACTATCACTCCCCTCCAGGCTCCCTTCACTGCCATCCATCTATTGTGCAGAAATTGCAGGGATTAATCACTCGCCGCTCACAGCCCTCTGCCGTCGGCCAGGCCTTCGGACAGCTTACAGACAGGCTGTAAAGTAGAGTAGGTACACGATAAGATCGATCGGACGCTTTAGAGTTCTGGAATCCACCGCCCGCGAAGGTGTGAATAAGTCAGTAAGTACATCTTACTTGGTTATAGTAGGTAGAGTAAGTTGATGAGCTGCGCTGTTCCACACTCTGCCGACTCCGAGTTTTTCATGTTTGCCAGCTCAGTGACAGTTGCGCCACAGTGAGTTGAGTTTTTATTCTATGGTACTCGATGGTCAGGCTCTGAATAGACGGGAAAGGGAGGGGTCAGCCTTACGCATGTGGTGCCGTCACTGTCGTGTCGTTTCTCCCTACGAACTGTTCCGGTAGCTATCATACCTACCCTACATGCAGGGTGAATATGGAAGGAAAGGAATCTGTCTCGTGCCACCTCCCCCCACCCTCCTACCGTCATGTCGTCCCGGAGCCTCGTGATCACGGCCACGCTCCGTTTCGTTAACATGTACCTATTCTACCGGTACCTAGTGTGTCGTCTCACTGGATCACTGGATCACCGTCACCGTCACCGTCACCGTCACAGCCACGCTCAGACGGATTGGATTGTCGCCAGTCAGCGCTCTACTTACCAACGGATTGGATTGTCGCCAGTCAGCGCTCTACTTACCAACGGATTGGATTGTGAGTTTTCGCCCGAACCGCGCGATTGGATGACGAGGACTGGAATGCTCGCTTCTCTCCAGAGACAAGACGGCGGAGAGGAATGGGGGCGGATGGGGCCGCTGGGGGACGGGGGCGCTGGGGGACGGGGGGTCCTGATTCCTGAAACGCCAGCCTCCAGTGTCCACCGACCGGCAAACTTATGCGAACTTGCGAGGGATACCTAGGAATAGAACACGCTGTAGTTACGTAGGTAGTCTGTAGTACCGCGGATACTGAAACACCCATGGGTGGTGGTCGGTCATTTCACCCGCGGTGCAAGGGAGGTTGGCCGCGGGCGCCGGGCGGGCGGGCACGGCGTGTTCCTGGATCAACACAGCAAAACAACGACAGCGGAAATGGAGAATGGAGAATATCCCGGGGTTTATTTTTCTTTCTCTTTCTCTTTCTCTTTCGTTTCGATGTAGAATACTGTAGAGTACGTTGCTGCGCATGGGGTGGATAGCTGGTTACCCAACACCTACACCGCCATCTCGCCGGGGGGGTGAGTCAATTGAGCTCTCGGTAGAGCAGGGGAGGGAGCATCTCGATGGCAGGATGGATGCCTAGCTCTGCTGATAGTAGGTACTTGGGTAGCCTGCCAACTAGCTGCTATGCCATCGCTCTGCACCTTTGCTAGGCATTTGTGCTTACCATACAGAGATTCCTGTGTCTATCGGAAGCCCATACATAAACCGATTTCGAGGCTCTCTTGCCTGCGGAATGGCATAGGCGTTGCGTTTGCGCTCGAGACCGGCTGAGCGACGGATGGGCTCCTGCATACGGTGTTGGCCTGGGCCGCCCGCTGCCGAATGAGGAACGAGGAGAAAGACAGGAAAGCGGCGATATTGTCATCGATTCGCCATCGGCATGCTGTGCCACTGCACACAGCAGCAGGCAGTCGGATTAAGAGGACTGCGTGTGTTTTGGGCGACATATCGCATCGTGTTAGAGTGGTCTTGCTTCCGATGAGCCAACAGCGGCCAGCGTTACCAGTAGTTACTTGAATGCTAGTAGCTCACCTTTGCCCGAATACATCTCTTCGTGACGAGGTGGCGTTCGTGTATGGCGGTGAGGGGCTTTCGACGGGGAGGGCTGGGAGGACTGGTAGGGAGCGAGAGAGGCAGGGAGGGGTTGCTGTTTGCCGCCAGCTCTGCTTTGCCGGCACCGCATCGCATGGCAGGTGGTTGCCCCGCCTCTTTGCTCGCTGCGGCCTTTCCCTCTCTCTCCTCCCCATTGCAGCACCCACCACCACTGACCAGGCCACTCTCTCTCTGCGGCGGCTGTGCTGTGCTCCCGCGCCCAACCCCACCCAACCCCTCCCCCCTCCCCGTGCCGTAGTTTCCCTCCCCCGTAGTTTCCTCTCCTCCCCCTCCCCCTCCCCCTCTCTCCCCCTCCCCCTCCTGCCCGTAGTTACCTGAGTAAGTCCTTACTGTGTGTTCTATGCGCTGTCCTACTTCACTATCCTGCCTGCCTGTCTGCCACACCCATTAATAAGGACCGCCGCTGCCCACCTCTTCCATCACACCTTCTTCCTCTTTCCCCTCCTCTTCTCCCCTCAGCGAAAATCCCCCCCCCCCCCCCCCCCCCCCCCCCACTACTAAACCCCCATCCGGACCTCGAACAAAACCCTCCGTCCATCCAGAACTGCGAGACAGTTTCTTTCTCATCCATATCGTCTTCCCTCCCATCCCAAGCAAGCTGCCTGTTCCCTCCCCCCGCACAACCCCCCGCCAATAGTAAACAGAACACCCCCGCCCCCTCCCCGCCAAAATGTCGTACTACGCCGATGTGCCGCAATACCAATACGCCAGTGCGCCCGCCCCTCCCCCACCCATGGACGCAACATACGTAGTGCCACCGCCGCCTCCATCGGCCTTCTCCCCGCACTCCGACTACTATGCGCCCAACTCCCCGCTCGTCGTCGCCGCGTCCCCAGCGCCGTCCGCCATGCACAGCCGCAGCAACTCGCACGCGCGCGGCGAATACGTCGCCGGCGAGCGGGTGTACCTCGCACCCGGCGGCTACGGGGGCGCACTCGGCCGCAGCGGGTCCGAGCGGGGCCGACGCAGCGGCGGCGGCGGCCAGATCGTTGTCGACAGCCGCCGCGCGCTGTCCCGTCCCAGGTCCGAGAAACAGTACTACGACACCCAGTCTAGGCAGAAGAAGTACTACGTCGACGACGATAACTACTCGCAGTACAGCACTAGCAGCTACGGCGGCGCAGGCGACTCCAGGGATCACTCGCGCGATGTGTCCAGGCACCGACGGCATTCGAGAACTCCTAGCTGCGCGAGCAACGAGAGCTACGATGATCGGTATGCGGTCGGCGTGTACCGCCCCTCCCGCCAGGAGGAGGAGTTGACAGAGAAGTTGAAGGAGGTCCAGAAGCAGCTGGAGAAGGTGCAGGTCGATGCCGAGAAGAAGCGGATGCAGGACGAGCAGGCAAGGCTCGAGAAGCTGCGCGAGCAGGAGATCGAGCGGAAGGTGCAGGAGCAGATCAAGATCCAGAGAACGAAGGAGGAAGAGAAGGCGAGGAAGGAGAAGGAGAAGATGGAGTCCGAGAAGAAGAGGATTGCCGATGCTGCCAAGCAGTTGCTCGAGCAACAGGCGGCTGCCGCGGCCGCGGCGAAGGCGGCGAAGGAGAAGGAGGAGATGGAATTGAAGATGAAGATCGACGCCGCCCTCCAGGAGGAGCGATCCAAGTACAATGCCGCTCAGTCGGGCAAGAAGACATACACCCGCTTCAGCAAAGTGCATCTATGCAAGGAAGCACTGGAGGAGAGGGGGATTCCTTTCACCGAAGAGGTTAGTTTTTTTCTTTTCTTCGACACTCTACGATATCGAATGCTAATAAACTTTGCGACAGGCTGATTACTTCCTCGTCCACCGCTTCGTCGAGAAGACTGAGCAGCAGTACCTCTGGGCACGAACGAAGGAAATCCGAGGTATGTTTCTCCCTTCTCCTCCTCTGGAGCATGTCGACTGACAAATCAATAGCCTACTATCAACAAATCCAAGAAGCCGCCGACAAGGCTCCCACTGTTCCCGGTCCCAATGGTGGCTACGTCAAGTATGTCCAGATCGCTGGCCAGCCATACCCCATGGCTCTGCCAGTAACAATCACACACATGCCTGGTGGAGGCCAGACACAGCGTGTCGATCCCATCAAGATCAAGTGGAGCGACATCTTCAAGGCCAAATAAACTGACGGTTGTGTGTCGCGTACGCAGCCGTTGGCGCCGCTAAACTCGGGTTGCAACAAGCTACGCGCCTCGGTTGTCGTAATCAACACACTGGGAATGCACGATGTCTCTTGTTTTTTGTTTTTATTTATGCTTCTGGCTAGAGAGCTTTATGTTTTGTGCTTTTATGTTTCTTCGATCCAAGGGTCGACAAGAAAGGTGGAGAGGATGGTATGGGGAGTTTTCTACGTGTTATGTATGTCTGTCTGTTTTACTATGTCCTGGATGATTTATTTGTTATGATGGTGTTTTGTGTCGTTTGGCTTGTGGCTTGCTTGCTTGTTCGCTATATCTGCGGTTCATTGGTTTATATATCTCACGATTGTGAAATTTGGATTTGGATTGGATGGATTTGGATGTGTGTTTTTTTATTACTCTTTCACTCCTTAAAGCCGTTCAGTTCAGTTCCATTCAGTTCAGGTCCATTCACCTCCAGCACATGATGACCCTCACGAGCAAACCCCTCCCTTGACCTCGCGACATCTTACGCCTTCTCCTCCCCTCCCTGGCCCTGCTGCTGTTGCTGCTCCATAACCCGCCTTCTTATAACCTCCTCGACGACCCTGACATTCTGGCCCTTCTGGGCGACCACCTTCTCGAGCTCGATCAGGCTCTTGGACAGCACGTCGACCTTGGCGGCGTAGAACTTTACGGCGTCCGTCGTCGTCTTCTCGACGTAGTAGCCCGTGCCTACGTCCACCATCACGTGCGAGGTCGACGAGAGCTCCCCCGGAACGTATAGGGACGTGGTGAGCGGGATGAGGAGCGTTTTGCCTAAGGGCCTTCGGGTCAGCACCTAGTAGGAAGCGCGCGGGGGGGACGGGGGGACGGGGGATGGGGAGAGGGACGGAGGGGAAAGGATGGGGGGGGGGGGGGGGGGGGCTAACCAGCACAGCTGTCGTTCACACCCGTTTTGACGCTGATGATGCACTCCTTGAACCGCGTCTGCGCCTGCCGTAGCTTCGTGAACGACGTGGTTAGGTGCTCGAGCTCGTCGTCCAGCTGCTTTTTGACCTGCGCTAACGTGTCGAGAGGGAGCGTTGTTAGGTCGACTAGGTGGTGTTAGTGGTGCTTCGGGGGCGGGAGGGGGAGGGGGGGGAAGTACTTTGTTGGCCTGACATAGTCACGGTGGCGATGGTGATGGTGGGGGAGAGGGGAGGTGGGTGGGTGGGCGTGGTGGTGAGGTGTTTGGCTTGATGCTTGATGCTTGATGCTGGGGAATGTTTGGTTGGCGGGGGTGGGGTGCGGCTCTTGCGCTACTAGTAGTGGTGCACGGGGGGTCACTCGGCGGTGTCACTCATTTCATCAAAAACGACTCGCGGGTGGTTGCGTGAAGTCAAGCAATTTGATTCAGTTCTCAGAGCTCTGATTGTGAGTTACGTTGCTGCCGGCGGGGGCTATTGGCCAATGGCAACTCACAACTCACATCTCTCGAGTCTCGACGCAAATAAATGTCGAATGCGAGTACCAGCCAATGACGCAGCAGCACCCAAGCACCCAAGCATAACGCGTAAACCCGCCCCCTGACCCACATCAACGCGCCACCTCTCGCCTCAAGGCTCACTCGCGTCAACCAATTCCAACCTTCCAGTCCGTCCGTCCGTCCACCCACCCACCCACCCACTACACAGACCCGTCTACTTACGACACGATGCCAGCCACTACCACACCCACCTCGCCCACGCCACCGCCCTTACAAACCCTCAGAAAGCGGCGAATCAGCAGCAGCAGCAGCAGTGCGCTATCCAAAGCGCGCGCGCGCCTGCGCGGCGTGGTCCGCGACGACAGCGACGACGAGCTGGGCTCTGAGGATTTGCCGTGGGAGTGGGTTTACTCCCCCTCTACAGGCACAGGGAGGGATGGGAAAGAAAAGGAGGGGAAGGAGCGGAAGGACAAAGAGGGGAAGGCTACGGAGCGGAAGATAGTCGGAGCGCGCATGGGCAGCTTCGATGTGCACATTGGCGACTGTCTGCTCATTAAGGGCGAGGGGTTGAAGGGGGAGGCCTATGTCGGTATGGCGTGTGAGTTCGCCGAGGGTAGTGGGGGTAAGGAGGGCGGCGTGGGCGTGTGCAATGTCAACTGGTTCTCGACCGAGAGCGAGATCCGGCGGGGCGCGAAGAAGAGGACGGATTCGTTACCGGTAGGTTTACCGTCCCCTTGGGGGGAGATGTGTGGCTTACCCGTACAGAACGAGCTCTACCTCAACCCCTCATACGACGAGGTGCCGCTGCCATCGATCAACGGGCGGGCGATCGTCCTGTCGCCGGCCGAGTTCAACAAGCAGTATCCCGACGGCGTCTCGAAGAAGTCGAAAGAGTTCGGGAAGGTCTTCGTGTGCCGCCGCGCATGCAACCCGCGCACTGCTACGTACTCGGACGAGTTTGTGTGGGAGGACCTGTATCGCGGCCGCGATACGGATATCTTTGCCATCGGTGACTATGTCCGCAGGAATACTAAGGCGACGAGGAAGGCGCTGGCGAATGTCCACAATGGGAGCAGGGCGAAGAGGAGGAGGGTCAAGGGGGATAGTGTTAGTGACGATGATGAGAGGGATCGTGATTGGGATAAAACGCTGTCTGAGTCAGAGGACGATAAGTTTGCGGATATAGCTGAGGATGATGAGGATGATGAGTACACCAAAGCCCCGGCGACGCCTAGCAGGAGGAAACGTCAGAAGGCGCCGGCAGCAGGTACGCCAACGAGAAGAACGCCCGCGAAGTTTACGACTCCGACGCATAAACGGGTCACTATCAAGAAACCACTCCTGTTCACGCCGCTCAGCACTCGTACACTCTCCGCCGCTACACATCTATCCACACCCTATGCCATAGCCCGTCACCGTCTCCATGTCTCAACCCTCCCCGCATCGCTGCCGTGTAGAGAAGAGGAGTTTACGGAAGTCTACACACATCTGTCGGCGGCCATCACAGAGGGCACCGGTTCCTGCATCTACATTTCCGGCACACCTGGCACCGGAAAAACGGCCACCGTGCGGGAAGTGGTCTCGCAGCTGCAGGCTCTCGTGGCAGCCGAAGAACTCGACGACTTCACCTTTGTCGAGATCAACGGCATGAAAGTTACCGACCCTCACCAATCCTACTCGCTATTATGGGAAGCCATCAAAGGCGAGCGAGTCTCACCCTCGCAAGCCCTTGGCCTACTGGAAGCAGAATTCTCCACTCCAAGTCCTCGCCGGGTACCCTGCGTCGTCCTGATGGACGAGCTCGACCAGCTCGTCACCCGCGGCCAAGGAGTAATGTACAACTTCTTCAACTGGCCCGGCGGGCGTTACTCGCGGCTGATCGTGCTGGCGGTTGCGAACACTATGGATCTTCCCGAGCGAACGCTTTCGAACAAGATCTCATCCCGCCTCGGTCTCACGCGCATCACATTCCCGGGCTACACCCATTCCCAGCTGCAAACCATCATCGCCTCGCGCCTCGAGGGCGTCCCGGGCAACATCGTCGACGCCGACGCAATCCAGTTCGCCTCACGCAAGGTCGCGGCCGTCTCCGGCGATGCCCGGCGCGCCCTCGACATCTGCCGGCGCGCCGTCGAAATCGTCGAGTACGCAGACTCCACGCACCCAGACGCAACTGCACCGGGCACCCCGTCCCGCCGCGAAAGCATCGGCGGTGGTGGCGGCCTCAAGGCCGGCGGCAGAGTCACAATTCCCGTCATCAAGAAGGCCATCCAGGAATCCACCTCGTCGCCCCTGCAGACGTTCCTCAAGCTCCTGCCCTGCGCAAGCAAGGTCTTCCTGGCCGCGCTGCTGACCCGCGTCCGCCGCTCCGGCGTCGCGGAGAATCTCCTGGCTGATGTATTCGAGGAGGCGGAGCGCATGGCGGTCCTCGCTGATGACGTCGTGAAGGAGGTTGTCGCTGGCGGCGCGAGGCGCGCGGGGTTGGCGGCTACCGTGGCGGCGCTGGTCGATGCGGGCATCGTGAGTGTTGAGGGGAGGAAGGGGGAGAGGGGCGGCCGCGTTAGGTGTCTTGTCGGCGAGGAGGAGGTCAAGATGGCGTTGAGGGGGGATAAGGAGGTTGGCGGCATGATGGGCGTGTGAGGGGGGTGCTTTTTGGTTTGTTGCGTGCTTTTGTGTGTCTTTGCTTTGCGTACGATACTCGTGGCTCGTTAGATAGATAGATATCCGGTGTTTTTATGTCACAGAGAGAGACTGTCCTGTCCTGTTCAGAGAGGGCCGTGGCGAATGCTTGCTCGTGAAGCGATTGATCCTATCCTCCTTATGTGTTGCTGGCAGAGGTGTTTGTATGCGATGTTTTTCCTGTGTATCATGGACTCTATATTCACGAGTAAAGAACTTTACAACGAATAGAGCGGTTTGAATTTCTCGGGCAATGATTCCGTGGACGATGACTCCATAGGATGGTTCTCAGTCATCATGGACATGATCCTCTGGATGTATGAGGGACGTTTCAGGGGATAGATATCTACGCTGTGGCGAGTGACCAAGTTGATACCTACTATAGACAGACAGTTTACGGCTCGTCAACCGCGATCCAAACCGACCGACAAGCTTTGAATTTTGGACAATTACAGCTAACCGATCGAGCAGGGCTGAGTCCTGACAAGTTACAACAACTGACGGGTCTTTCAGATATCCTACCTATCCTACCCTGATGACATGAAGCTCAAGAGTCAAGACTGCACCCCACGCAGTGCGGCTACGGATACCTGTATATAGGTCGACCTAGGCCTCCTCCTCCTCCTCATCATCATCATCATCATCATCATCATCATCATCATCATCATCATCATCATCATCATCATCATCATCATCATCATCATCATCATCATCATCATCATCGTTAACGTGGGAAAAACGTGGGAGCTCAAGAATATGTCCTCGATGGCCTCCCGTGGTCGGAATAACGTGGTTGATATTGCAAAGGAGCCCCGGGGTACATACTCGTTATTTATCGGCGTCGGGATACATACATACACCGGCCTAGCTGTAGACTCTGGAGTCTGGAGTCTGGATTCACTCCTCAAAGTCGGGACTCGGACTACCTAGATTTAGGTACCTATACCTAGTACTGGGCCAGGTCTCCATCTCTATATTGCCTCAATTTCGCTACCAGATACTCGTATATGGAGCATGTGGTTATGTAGGTATAAAGCCCGTGACATCGACGACCACGAACCGCGAGGATAGGAAGGTACCTCGGCATATCTCTCCTCCGCTTGTTGGGAACGAGATATATCTAACTACCCGCGTACCTACGGTATTGTTGAGGTCTAAGTTCGAACTTCGGCCTCCCACTCACTCCGTGGCCGAAGGGAAAAGTGAGACAGTCTGGCTTCAGCACAGAGTCGGATCGGTAATTCATCGATTTCGGGCTCCGGAGAATTTGTTGTTGTTGGGGAGTGATGACCGTTGCGCACATGTCCCTCGGCTTCTTTCCGCCAAGCCAAGACGAGGCCGTGATCTGGATCTTTGGGGAAGTCTGGCCCTTGCAAAAGACAGAAAGACGAGCTGAGCCTCTGAGCTGAGGGGGTAACGGCTGGCTGGGATCGCACTGGCCTTGTGAAATTTCCATGTCCCCCACGTTTTCAGTCCGTCGCCAAGAGGCTGAAAAAGCAAGTGACAAAGGGACCTGCCGAGGTTGTCGTTGCTGACGCCGGTAGCCAAACCCTGATCCTGATCCTGTGCCTGAGTGCCGGTGGAGTAGGATGGATGGATGCACGAACGTTATTCCTCGATCCCGTAAGCCGTAGCTACGAGCCACCACCACCACCACCACCAGTCACCGTCGGGAAAAGGAGAAGCATCGAATTTCCTTCAACTCAAACGCCGCCAACGCCGTCGCCGCCGCCGAAGAAGAGGTCCGATCGACGGAAGCACCGATTGGTTCGTCCTCCTTTTTTTACGACGCCACGCAAGGCAAGTCCGGGCTTATACATACACTACCGGGTTTTGCTTGTTGGTCGGAGCTATCTAAGCTGCTCGAGCACCTTCGGAGTTTCACAGCTTCTCCGATATCGACAAGTTTCTTGGGCTTCGGCACTCTACCTACAGACACAGCTCAACAGAAGTCAGATCCCGTCTCGTAGATAACTCCGCCCCACCACCACCACTACGTGGAAAATGTCTATTGCCGCAGGGTTGCGCAGGGGAGCTGTTGCATGGGCTCGAGCGAGAGCTCTGCCAACATCTTCATCGGTCCGGGCGAGCGCCGGGCGCGGCGGGATATCCGATATCGCTTCCGCAGCACTTTACAAAAGGCAGATCTCGTCCACAGTGTTCCCGGGCATCAGGAACTTCCAGCCGCACTCGATATCACTCGCTTCTCCTTCCCGACGACTGTATTCGACAGCCACAGTACACGCACCAAGCACCTTCTCCTCGCGCTTCAAAGACCACTTCTACTTCCATCCGATCGCCTGGTTCGGCTTCGCCATCGCTTCCACCATCGCCGGCGCCGCATTTGTAGTCATGTCCGCCGCCGACTTCATCGCATACTCGGACGAGGAGTCGCTGCAGCGCTTCACCCCGTCCGCACCAAAACAAGTCGAGATCGAAGAGACCATCAACAACCACCCACTGGCGATCTCGCTGCGGTCGAAGCCGGAGTTCACCGAGTCTCGCCCAACACTGAAGGTCCATGAGCAGTACCGCACCGCATCACTCACCTCTGGCGCGCTCGCCGGCCCGGGCAAGATCGAAGTCCCGCCCTACGTCTGGTCCGAGGAGGGCGGCAAGTCGCTCGTGTCGATACTGTATCTCGGCCCCGAGCTGTGCGGATACCCCGGGCTCATTCACGGCGGAATGCTGGCGACGCTGCTAGACGAGGGGCTCGCGAGATGCTGCTTCCCCGCGCTGCCGAACAAGATCGGCATGACGGCGAATCTGACCATCAACTACCGCAAGCCCAGCCCGGCAGAGTCGTTTGTCGTGCTGAAGGCGAAGACGGTGAAGGTCGAGGGACGCAAGGCGTGGGTTGAGGGGCATATCGAGACGCTGGCGCAGGATGGACAGGAGCCGGTCGTGCTCGTCGAGGCGTCGGCGTTGATGATTGAGCCTAAGCAGGCGAAGGTTCGTGGACTCTCTCTTCCTCAGCAGTGAATCCCGCTGACACTAGGCTATGTTCTAGATGATGGCACCTTTGGTTCCCCTGAAATAGTGTAGAGGCGTTGTTCCTTCCCGTTTCGATTCCGTTCCGTCTCTTGCTTTGTTGTTCACGGCGGGTGTTGAGTGTTTTTTCTTGCCTTTTGTGCGTCTAGAATAGTAGAGCGTCTGGCGATACCGTATACCTGTTTTTTTTTTTTTTTTTTTGCCTTGATGATTCTCGTTCCAAATCACTGTAAATACCTCTATTTTTCTTCTTCTCAAGACGTACCCCCTCGTACATACAGGATGCACGCGTGATGTGGTGGGTCATACGGCAAGCCAACGTGCATATCCAGAGCGCCACCTTGGAGTCAGGAACTTCCATGACGCAATGACATTCCCAGTCCGCGTAACCATTCATGATTTCTTTTTTTTTCCTGCTGATTACTATCGGTCGCCTCGCTGAAGATTTTTTACTTCTGACGGGCGAAATGTTTGCCCCGCCGGTGTCAGACAGACGTGAAGGAAGATGCGCGGCCAGTGAGTAACTTGTGCGATTGGGCCGGATCGGAGCGGACATCTGAATTTGCATGCTGGCTGGCGCGGCTCAATTGCAAGGTGCGGAGGCGGGCTTCCCCTCCACTCCCGAAACCCTTCACCGCTGCTGCTGCTGCTGCTGCTCCACTAGCTACCGCTCCAACCAACCAACCATTCGTCTTCGCCCGCTCGCCCACGCCCACGCTTGCGCCCCGCGTTCGCTCTTGCTTGCTGGGAACAATGACCTCTCGCTCCACACGACTACCATAACTCCTCATCTCCGCAGTGCAACATCGCCCCGCCCCACCCCCGCCCTCACACAACTACGTCACAACCATGTCGCTCACCTCCGCGCCCTCCCCGCCGCTCGCCCGCCGAAAGCGCTCCCACTTCCTCTCGGGCGGCCTTGGCGGGCTACTCTCAGCGGTAATCCTGCAACCCGCCGACCTCCTCAAAACGCGGCTGCAGCAGGCCCCGCCGCCCGGCTCCTCCGCCACAGCCACGCTCCTCTCTACCATCCGCTCGATCGCCAAAGGCCCCGCGCCGATCCGCCAACTATGGCGGGGCACGCTGCCGAGCGCAATACGCACCGGCGCCGGCAGCGCAATGTACTTCTCGAGCCTGAACTTTGTGCGCAGCACGCTCGGGGCGGAACGGGGGAACCTGCCGGCGGGGAGCAGCTCGCTGCCGCAGCTGGGCGGGCTGGCGAACCTGGCGGCGGGCGCGGCGACGCGCGCGGGGATCGGATACCTCATGATGCCGGTCACGGTGCTTAAGGTGCGCTACGAGAGCAGCTTGTACGCGTACACGTCGCTGGTCTCCGCCGGAAGGGATATCTTCCGTGTCGAGGGCGTGCGCGGCTTCTTTAGTGGGTGGGGCGCCACTGCTGTGCGCGATGCGCCGTATGCGGGACTGTACGTGCTGTTCTATGAGCAGGCGAAGAAGTCGCTGTCGCGGCTGCAGATGCGGAGGGTGGGCGGCGGGGCGATGGACGATAACACGGCGATGGTGATCAATTCTGTCAGTGGGGCGGGTGCGGCGGCGGCGGCTACGGCGGTCACGAATCCGTTCGATGCGCTCAAGACGAGGATACAGGTCGATCCCGATAAGTACCGCAACATGCTTACGGCGGCAAAGCTGGTGTGGAACGAGGAGGGTCCCGGGGGCAGGCGGTGGAAGGGGCGAGCACTATTTGATGGGCTGGGATTGAGGGTGGCCAGGAAGGCGATCAGCTCGGCGTTGGCGTGGGGTTTGTACGAGAGGATGGTGAGGTAGACGGGATGGCGTTATTGTTTTTGTCACGAGAGGGGGTACCCGGTTAGAACCATGTTACTTTTGTCGGATGCTGTATGATACGTTGGTCGGCTTGTTTGCTGGCGGTTTGGTCGGACTGGTTGGTTTGGACTGGTGATGCCGATTTGATGAATCCGTAGACTATTTCTACACCACCACCACATAGCACTGCTACTAGGTACCGCTACCAATACCGCACTACATCCGCGCATGACATGAGAGCGGTGTAGATGCGGTAAGAAACTACACATTATTCAAGTCGCGACCGTACCAGAGCAGCACAATACCCCGGCGACCGCTTCCCGTGACGTCTATTGGTACACGAGCGCGGGGATTATAATCTAGACTCTGCCGTTCCCTGGTGCTGTCCACAGGAACGCGATGTCTCCGGTGCAAGCTTCCTCACTAAACACAGCACAGTGCACACACCCAAACGAAAACGCGGGGTTCGGGTTCGCTTCTCAGATGCTCAGTCCGGGGGATAATTTCGATTTAATCCGGTGGCTTAATCTATCCACCGCCCTTGATTCGTGCGCTTGCTGAATATCTTTCCTGTCCGAGTGAGCCACTCTATTAATTCTTTCTATCTCTGCGTATGTACCGGTTCCACCTGGAGGGGGGCGGGCGCAAGATAGAGATGAGCTGAGTGGTTGGTCGGTTGACCACGTCGATAGTGCTGAACTCAATCCTTCCGCACATTTTTCGGAGAGAGAGATAGGAGCGAGACAGAGAGAAGGCAGGAGAATAATAATGAGAGTACGATACCTCCATCGCATCGTGCATAGATAAAAGAGCTCTCCTGCCGTCGTCCTTCTTCCCACCCAGCATCTATCCGCAACATGTCGTTCTCCCCCTCGCAACCTCCAGCGCACCTGAGCTCCCTCCCCCCGCGCCTACAACGTCGCCTACTAGCGCCGGAAACAACCGCGCCGAGTGCCGCCCTCTTCAGCACGCTCAAAGCGCTGCTCGACTCCGCCGCCGCCGTGCCGCCGGAGCAGAAAAACAACGTGTGGAAGCTCCTCGCGCGCTCACCATGCCAGAACCGCACCGCGCGCGCTCTCGTCCGTCGTCTGCGTGCGGACGGCCTCGGCGCCGTCGTGCTAGATATCAGACAGGGGTTCCAGTTCCTGAGAGACGGGAGGCGTGCGGGTGGCAAGGGGCCAGTACCGAGGGGACGGGCCGCCGGGAGGACGTGCGAGCTCACAGGCGCTACCGGGGTGGGCGTCGGCGTGGGTGTGGGCATGGGGGGATACATCATCCCCGCAGGCATGGAGGGGTGTCATCGCGCCGAGCACTTTTGGCGTCTACTGGAGTTCTTCTGGGAGACGGAAGATGTAGCGGCGCTGAGGGAGCTGTGCGTTGTCGACGGAGTGCTCGCGAAGTCGAGTGCGAATGTGTTGAGTCTGTCGAAGGACGCGGCCGAGTGGTGGGATCGCATGGCGTGCTGTGTCGATCCGGTGTGGGAGTCCATGCGCGACGGCGAGAAGCGGGCGTTCAGAGTCAGAGTGAGGTGGATTGGACGGCAGATGAACCTTGTGGATCATAGGACTCAAGGAGAGCTGTTGAGGCAAGGGACGGAGGTTTGTTTTCTGTCGCCTCTGGATGAAACGATAGCTGACAGGTGCGCAGTTTGACTTGTTCACCAAAAATCCCGGAAAGTTCCCACTACCGGATCCCGCGCTGCTGCATATTCGGGCCGTACTGGCGGGTGCGGCAGTTCCGCGAGGGGCACTAGGAGTGTTCTCGTGGCATTGCGAAGAAGAAGACGGAGACGAGGAGGAGAGCGAGACAGGATCGGACACGGACACAGGCGACGACGAAGAGGATGATGGGCTCGATGGGGAATGCGCGATGGGCGACGACGATGATGAAGACGAGGAAGACGAAGAAGACGATGACGATGCCGATGACAATGTTTCGGATACGGAGGGGATGCTGCAAAGATGGCTCGGAGATCAGACGAAGGACCGTACCATGGACGACGATGTACGGGAAAAAGGGCTAGTCAAGGAGTTGAGGGCGGTCAGGGTGTCGAAACCATGGAGTGTATAGCGGCAGTAGCGGGATGGGTTGGTTTTTATTACGTCACATTTTTCTTATAGCTACACTTACTTAGATACCCTTATGATAGAAGCGATTCAGTTCTTTAGCAATTCATTCATCCAACAGAGCCCCCTGAGGGATATATACCATCACTGTCAGTGGGAAGCTTGGCAGTTCATCCTCCGCTTTCATCCCAGCTATCGTACACTCAGGTTCTTCTTCCCTGATGTTTTCCGAACGACAGCAGCTTCGATGGGCTGTTTACTGGATGGCATTGCTTCAATATGGTTGGACACCGTAACCATCTGAGTAGAGTGGAATGGAGTATACTCTATTGTGGCGGCACGGATAGAAGCGGGGGCAATGTCAACTTGGCTTGTATTTACGGTGTGCATTGAATAAATAGCAACATTATCTCCCTATCCTCATCAGCCATACACCTAAACCAGGTATCCATTACACTACCCTCTCCGCCATCTCAACCTCATACTTACTCGCCACCTCATTCCCCTTGACCAGCTCCTGGAACCTCTCGATGCCAATGGTGGTGGTATGACACCACGGCTTCCTCTCCCCCTCATCCCTGATCACCCTACAAAAACAGCCCGTCCACCCCTCCCTCGGCCACTTCGCAACAACGTCATCCATCGTCCCACTATGCACCAACCCCGCAAACTTCCCCGTATTATCCAGCAACGTCGCAAACTGCACGACCGCGGTCAACGCCGTCAGCGTCTCGCCCTGTCCACCGTCCGCAGCACCATCATAAACATCCTGATGTCTGATTATCGCCTCGGCCACCGAATCCGCAAACACCTCGTCCGCACCTAGCACGAGCAGCGTCTCCCGCGCCTTTATCGCGCCCGAGAACTCAAACGACATCGCCGTGTCCGCCAGGGTCGTGCCGAGGTCGTGGAGGAGACTCAGCATGTAGTACACCTCGGCGGAGAAGGTGGCTTGCGGGAGGTGCTGCTCGCGGATGGCGAGGCCGAGGTGGTACACGCGCATGCTGTGGTTGAAGGTGGGCTTTGGGAGGTTGGAGGCCGCGAAGTCGGTTACTCCGCGCGCGAGGGCGGTCGACGGGATGGGAGGGAGATCGCTGACCAGGAGCGGCTTGGGCGGGTGAGGGGTCAGGATTATCTGCTCTAGGTTACGGGGAAGGGCGGGCAGGAAACCGGCTTCCGAGAGGGCGGGGGCGGACGGGAAAGGCATTACGAGCGGCGAGTCGTCGTTTGGATGGTTCCGCTTGGATGGGTTCGTTTGGATGTTCATGAATTGAGGGCACGGGTAGTTGGTTTTATATGAGCTCGACGAGCGACCACCGACGTCATGCGGACATCAAGTATACATTTCGTGCTACATTCCGCGGAGATGGACGGATTAGCCCGGGGATCACCAACTAGACACAATGAGCGGGAGTGCGTGTGTGTGGGGTAAATTCGGCTTCTAAGTTGGTGTTCTGTACATATGCATCCGGTATATACACTAATCTTCCCACTGCCTAGACTTGTAGCTGTTGGATTGTAAGCCTACTAATCGTGAGGGGGTTTTACGTGCATCGATTGCTCGACTACTTTACAAATAGACGACATATCCTCAGCGGCATACGGTCTTTATGATCCGTATAGCTATGGCTGTTCTACTGCAGTCGTGATATTAGTGGTGATTAGTGAACCTATTGCGATGTACCACTCGTCGTGTTCCTGGAGTCGAAGCTATGATTAAACAAAAAACAAAAAAGCTTTTGCAGAATAACCACATCTTTCGTAGCGACAATACACTTCACTGGGTCTCCATTATCATTTCCAACAGAATCGTGAGTAGTAGTAACGGCACGAGTGAGGAGTGATGAATGTCCGCCCTCAGTACCCATCCACCCATCCGGAGATGCCGGGAGGAGGGAGGAGGGGGGATGCAGAACTGCCGACTAGATATACTCAGGAGGTTTAGTGTCGTAGCGAAATTCTGATATTCATCCCCTCTCCTTGGCCTGCATACATACAGAACGAAACGCCGGCGGGATGCGACACCGCTTGTATGTACATACCAGGTAGGTACCAGAACGAATCCTCGGACGAATGGCCCTGATTCACGTGTGCCATCCAAGAATAGTAAACACCTACCTAGGTAGCTCACATGGCTACAGTTAAACTTGCGTATAGTAACTAGAGTAAATCATCCACCAGCGACCAGTTCCGTTTATATCGTATCGTCGGCAAGGCTTGGAAGGGGAGTGGTGATGCCGATTAATATAGTACAGTACATACCGCTGGCGTGCAATTGACATATCTTCTATTGGAGCTTTTCGCGATTTGCCGAGGCATTCGAGAAAGTCGTTGAGAAAGCTGGTTCCACGCTGGGCGAATGGGAGGAACTCGTCTAAGCCGATAAAGGTGTCATTCACAGTTAGAGGCCTTGGAGATTCCATCACTCGAACGCAAAAATGACATACCCGGGTATAGCCAGTCAATAGTTTATTGAATAGCATAGCAGACTCAACGGCCAGTCAAGATCTCATGACCAGCCTACTTCCAAACACATTTTGTTCAAGTCCTCCGAATAGCCCCGCCAGAAACCGATCGATAAAATACTCATCTTCGAACAAACAACGGTGAACCATCCCATCTACCACCGGCATGTGATTCTGATTCAACCCTGATCGGAGCACAACTTAAACGACGAGGTCCAACAAATCCCACTCATGATATAGGTACTCTGGGGTAACAAACTGAGGCTATGTACTATCAAGCAAACCGCAAAGAAAGCAATACACACATCCTCCTGATCTACAGCACCTCAAACTCAAAGTAACAGTAGGCACTGTAGTCCAGATGCAGCCCACTGACACCCGCCGCAACCTCGCCAACATCATCCTTGATGTTCCCCTTCTTATCCCTTCCGAATGCATTTCCGCCGAGGTAACCAAACTCCGAGTCGAGCTTGCTCTTGCACTTCTTCGCCTCCTTGTCGCCGGGGGTGCGGATGACGGCGCTCACAAACTCCAGTGGCAGACCATATCGCAGCACGCTCTCCACAAACACGCCGAGGGCCTTAACGTGGATCCACGCGGCGAACAAATCCGAGTACCCCGTGCGCGCCAACCGAATGATCTCATTGAACAGCTGCCGTTCCTGCTTCTCTAAATCCCTCGCCTCCGCCGCATCCCGCTCCACCGCATCGTCGCTCCACGTGAAGTCCCTGGGCGTAAATTTCGCCGCACGCGCCTTCTGCGCGAACTCTGCCGCGTGTTTCTTGAACAGGGTGACGTTGTACAGTAGGTATTCTCCTTCCTCATGTAGTAGCTGCGAGGAGCGGGGCACCACCATTGGCGTGAACTGCTCGTAAGAGTGTAGCCAGTCTTTTTGTAGGTTCTTGGGGACCACGACCAGGAGCGTCTCGAGGTACTCGCTGTTCGATACGAAGTCGGATTTGCGTAGGAGCGGGGCAAGGGAGCGGGTAGTCAGGTTGCCAGTCGTCTTTCGCTGCACGTTGATAAGGGACGATTTGATGTTTTGGTAGGAGCCGTAGGCGGATTTGATGTCTGCGTCAAGCGCGACGACTTCCTGTTGCTTTTTGTTAGCTACGAGGATGGGAGGGGAGGTGGGGAAGCCATACTCGTTGCAGTGCTGCGAGCGTCTCGCCGATGCTCTTGTCTGCTCGGTATTTCACCTTGTTCCACTGAAAGTTCTCGAGGTACTTCTCCACCGGTTCTATCACCACATCAGCTCTACCACTCCTCTCCCCTGAGGTGGCTTAGCACATCGGGGACACGCACTCTCGCCAACAAGCTTATGTCCATTCTCTTGGCCAGGGACGATATTGCGTAAAACATCGACAACCTTATTTACTGCACCCTCGACGTTCGCGTCGAGCTTTGCGAGCTCATCCGCTTGCATGACGAGTGCGTCGAGCGTGCCGATCTTGAATTCGGGAATGGGGAATGACGAGACGCTCCCTGCGTCCGACGGGATCACGCCGCGGATTTTGGCGAGCGCTTCTGATGAATCATGACTGCGCGAGATCGAGGTGGGAAGGGCAACAAGGAGGTAGCGCGAGCCGGACATTGTAAGGTTGGGCGTTGAAGGAAGGGCGGAAGGCGGGCTGTTGGTCGCGGGGAAGCTATGATACCTTACAGGGACAGGTAGGAAGTGACGTTGTTAGCGCGGTTCTGCGGATTAGTCAGGGAATCATCACCGAGCATCACAACGGAACCGTGAAGCAGAGGATATAATACAGCTGTCTTTCTTCTCGACTCAGACACATATTAGAGTAGTGTAGAGATGTGAGACAGAATCTATAGCAACAATATGAAGAGGCCACATCCATATACTACAATCAGATCCCAACTTTTAACAAAACAAAAAAATAGCACACAACTGATTACACCTAATCCGAGAGCATGTCCGCGTAATCCTCCATGCTGGCAAACGTAGGCAGCGACTTGAGCTTCTTCTTCCTCTTCTTCTTCTTGTCTTTCTCGGTCTCGGCCTCCTCCTCGACGGGTGCCGATATCAATTGGATACCACCGTCGTCCTCGTCGTCGCTGCCAGTATCCAGCATCTTCTGTCTCTTGGCAGTAGCTCTTGCGAGCTGTGCCTCAAAGTCAATGGCCGCATCACCAGTGACCTCCACCTCCTCCTCATCATCCTCACCGTCGTCGCTACCCCACTCGTCATCGTCATCCCCAAGGTCAAGATCCTCATCGTTACCCATCTCGACATCATCATCGTCATCACTGATTTCCAGATCATCGTCATCATCAAAGTCGACATCTTCCTCCTCGCCCGAGCCCTCAAGATCACGACGACTGTCAACGAGTGCCTTCCAGATCTCTCCCTCGGCTTCACTATCACTGCCGTCGTCGTCGTCATCTTCATCCCTCTTCCTCTTCTTCTCATTCTTCTCACCAGGTCTAGTGATGTTGAAGTAGTGGTGGAAGAATACCTCCTCAGGCTTAACCTCCTCCACCTTCTTCTTCCAGAACGCCTCGCTGTTGACGGGTACCTGGGCCCTACCGTCACGCGTAGAAATAACCATACCCAAGCTCTTCCCGCCAGCAAGAGGTTGCATGATGGATGTTCCACGAGTGGAGGCGGACGTAGTCTTCGGGTTGCGGTACACGAAGCGGTCCAAGAAGTGAGTGAGTGTGTGCATCCCAAGATCCGGTTTGCTGGGCATTGGCTTCTTCTCAAGGAGACACTCTGCGAACAGGGCGACGGTGGGGTGGAAGTGGTTCAAGAATGGAAGGAGCTCCCAGAGACAACTGCGGTCTGCAGAGGCGTGAAGGGGATCTCGCTTACGGCCGTCGTACATGGGTCCCACTACCGGTGTGGCCGGCTTGGGGATGGGAGCTGCCGGGGTGTTCTCGTCTTCTTCCGGAACATCGCGGAAGACCTCCTCTTCGTCATCCTCGTTAGGTTCGGGATCGGTGATGAGGGTGCGGATGCTGGGCATATTGATTTCCAGCTCGCTCAGAAGGTACAAGATACCGCAAATGAAGGATGGTGCGTGGAGCGTGGCAACCTGAAGAATGCGCTTCACGAAAGCCTTGACACGCTTGACTGATGTGTCCGACTTTAGTGCTCGGAAGAGAAGGTTGAGATAGAGCGCCTGCTTGGAGGAGGTGATGAGACGCTGATCGAGAAGAGATTCGTAAAGAGTCCTATAGAACCGGTCGGACACAGCCTACAAAAGAATTAGCATCCACGATAAATCTCATTGACAGCTGATTCTCACCTGTTTCGCATTGGAAACCTGGAAGATTAGGATCAGAGCCTGGACACTAGTGTTGAAGTTCCCCTGGTGAGTGATCCGGAACAGTGTATCCATATGCTTGTCGAAAACCTCATCGTCCACTTTGGAGAAAGGGAATGCACGATTCACACCCGTCAACACCGCAGATACCAGCTTGGCGTTGGATTCCTCCTCGATCTGAGACTGCTCTTCCTCCTTCTGCGCACGGAGGCGAGCCTTCTTGTTCAGCTTCTTGTCGTCCTTCTCTTGCTTCTTCTCGTCTACAAACTTAAAGTGCGATCCTTTACCGGTCGCATTCGCACCTGTCAGGATCGGTTGAGAGTTTTCTTTGTGAAGCAGCGAGGTGAAGACACCGAAGTAGATGTCGAGGAGCTTGTTGGCCACATCATGGTCCAGAGAAGACAGAACTGTCTGGTTCAAGGTGATGATCGAGTAGTACTTGGCGTTGGTGTGGTTGCCAGGCTTAAACACCACCTCCGACTCAATCGCCTTGATAATGATGCTCTTCATCGCCGGATGTGCGTTGGTTAGCTGGAGGAGCAGGTACGAGACCTTAGAGGCCACTTTCTTATCCGAGTCACCCTGCACGCATGTCAGTGTATCGTTTCGCATGATTATGAACCAAGTCATAACTTACCAACTTGTTCACTAGAACTCTCAGCAAATTAGCCTCCTGCTCCGGCTTTTCCTTCAACAATGTGTAGACGTATCCCACGGCATGGGTTCTCGCGTACACAAGCTGATCCGTGCACAACTGCTCCAAACACTTCAGGACCTCAAAGTAGAAGTTCTTGAGCCAGTCCTCATACGCCCAGACAAGCAAGTGGATATCGGTTATCCCTTTACCACCCAACATTGGCTGCTTCGCAAAGAACTTCAACTTGCGGTTGGGAGGAAGACACACGCCCTGGGCAAACAAATCTTTGATGGCCCCGAGCGCCTGGATCGACTGAGATCTCGACTTCTTCTGGGCCAATCCGAGAAGGCTCTCCAGCGTTTTGGTAGTGTGGAGAGGCGACTCCTGACAGATCAAAGTGAGGGCGGAAATCTTATCGGTAAGAGTACCGCCCTGCATGATCTGACTCAAAAACTGCCGATCCGAGGACTTGACGAGCTCCGTCTTGCTGTAGACATCGTTTTCGGTCTGGAGGAGGGTCTTGGCGCGCTCGTGAAGAGGTCTAATCTCGCGGGGCATAAGAGGCTGCACAGGTGCGGTGAGGGGAGGAAGCGGTTCTGCGTGCCAGTCAGGACGTTTGGGGAAAACCTATGACATATTAGCAAGCCAGAGACAGTATGATCGTGAACGATGACCTACAAGTTTCGAGTTTCTAGTTATTGGGACAGGAGCAGCGGCTGGCGCTGGATCCACTTCTTCCATCTCCACATCGCCGTCTGCGTCTTCCGTAGCCTCGTCCTGCTCCTCCTCCTCTTCCTCCTCTTCCTCGTCCTCGACTTCTCCCCCGTCTTCCTCAGAACCTGCCTCCTCGTCCCACTCATCGTCGTCGACCTCTGACACCTCCTCCTCTTCCACATCCGACATTTTCGCACTGGCCAAACCGATCTCTTTCATGAACGCTTCAATGTCGGTTAACTTAACATCCCTCGGTTTGCCGACCTCCTTAATCACCAGACCCTCCTCTTCCTCATCGTCCGAAGCAATGCCATCTACCAGAGCAAGATCCTCAGCGGTTCCGCCAAGCTCGATGATTTCCTTCAGCAGCGCCTCCTTGTCAATAGAGGTAGATCCAGCCTTCTTCGGGAATGGGTCATTGTCCATGGACGGTTTGCTGCTGGTAGATCCAACCTTCTTTGGGGGTGGGTCATTGTCCACGGACGGCTTGCTGCTGGTAGAAGAACGGGGCTTGGTGCGCTGGGGCTGCCACTGCGGTGCCGGTTGTGGCTCTCTCTTCTGCTGCTTGGCCGGTCTCGAGGAATTCTCGGGCCTCGGTTCTCGCTGCTGCGGCTTCTGGGAGTCCTTGAACCTGTCGCTCTGAGGGGGTTGTGGGTCCCTCTTGCCCGCCTTTACGTCGCCGCTCTTCTTGTCCTTGGGCACAGTCGTAGATGCGGGCAGCGGCTTCCCCGACGATTTGTCGCTCGGCTTCTTGTCATCGGCGGCCTTCTCCTTGTCCTTCCCCTTCTTGCGATCCTTCTTTCCCGCCTTCCCTCCACCGCTCTTGGCCTTCTCGAAGTCACGCTGAATGCGCTCCGTAAGTTTGCTTAATGCATCCGCCGAGAAGACCGGCGCTGCCGCTGCCGCTGCCGTATCGTTGCTCGTGGTGGCTCCATCGGACTTTTTAGAGTCCTTCTTTGCCATTCCGCGGATTCGATCGATCGTCTTTGCTGCTGAGGTGGTCGTGATGGAAAGAGGAAGTGCGAATTCGTGGTGTTTCCTCCCCCACTGCTGTTGCCCGCCTGCTTCGAGAGCGCGTCTTCGCTTTCGGTTTTTTTCTTCAAGCGCGTGCAGGGATCAACAGCGGCTTGCGTATTTGTGGGACTGGCGCAAATAATGTTTGGCCGCGCTCAACCGAGAAGCACCGCAAAACTACAGAATCTGAAAAAGTTTCCTGATTTTTGTTCTGCCGATAGAAGAATCGAATAACTCTTATCATCAAGCTGAGAAAAGTGGTCACGAGTGACACCGTGTGCAGTCCGCTCGGTCTTGGCTCGAGCATGGATGAGTGATAGCCGCCCTCATCGCCGCAGGTCCGCCCCCCCCCGCACTCCAACATGACACTAACACTACTACTCCTACGGCGGCCCACATCCAGTCTCCTTCGGACCTCACCATGCCTTTACCGATGCTTGAACGTAGGCAATCGTGTCGCTGTTCCATCGCCCTCGCTCTAACACAGACAGGTTGATCACCGCAACCGGCTGTCCAACTTCTTCGTGCCAAGCGGCGGCATTGCCCAATCCAAAGATGGCCCAGAAGACACCCACGCTCTTCTCGTACGGACGGGTTTCCTACGGCAGGCTTATTCGGGGATCTTCCATTATCTTCCGCTGGGCTTCCGCGTCCACGAGAAACTGGAGCGGTTGATCGACAAGCACATGCGCAGCATCGGGGCCTCCAAGCTCGCACTGTCATCTGTATCCACCGAAAAGTTATGGGAGAAGACAGGGCGGTTGGCTGGTGGTGGGGCCGAATTGATGCGTTTCAAGGACCGCAAGGGGACGCGGTACCTTCTTGCGCCTACGCATGAGGAGGAAATCACCGCGTTGGTCGGGAGCATCGTCGGAAGTTACAAGCAATTGCCATTGCGAGTTTACCAGATTGGACGGAAGTACCGAGACGAACGTCGGCCACGTGCAGGATTGTTGCGGGGAAAGGAGTTCACCATGAAGGATCTTTACACTTTTGACACGACAGAGGCGGCGGCGCTGGAGACCTACGCTGATGTCCAGGTTGCGTACCGTGCGCTATTTGACGAAATAGGACTGCCGTATTTGGTGGCAGAGGCGGACTCGGGAAACATGGGCGGCAAATTGTCGCACGAATACCTATACCCTTCACCAACAGGCGAGGACACGATCCTTTCGTGCACGTCATGCAACTACACCGCCAATTCGGAAGTCGCCATCCCTCGCCCTTCCCCACCTAGCCAGCTTCAGCCCTCTTCGTCCGAGATTGGCCTGCACCACTCCATCACTGTGGATCGTATGACACTCATTAATACCTACTTCCTGCGCAACTCCAAGAATGCTCATGGCACAACCGAGCCCAACGAGGTCAACCTGCATCGTATCAGGGACTTAGTTCCTGACCTCGATCCGAGTGTATCTCACCCGCTTGACCTGTTTTACGACAGCTTCACACCTTACCCTGCGCCTGCCGAAGATCAGAAGCACAGCCAAATCATCAACCTGTTCGACAGCGCGCTCCCGTATCCACTCGCCGAGTCCTCGTTTTCAAACCACACCGACCACAGGAGCCACTCCAGCTTCATCGCTGACAAGCGCATTCCCACCACCTCCATATCAACCCACCCCGCAACCGGCACCCGTTTAACGCTGATGAAATCCCGTATCGATGATAGCTGCCCACGCTGTGAGGAAGGACACCTTAAGACCACCACCGCCATCGAGCTAGGCCACACCTTCCACCTCGGCACGCGGTACACAGTCCCGCTCAATGCTATGGTCAGCACCGTCGAGCAAACCCGGGTGCCCATGCAACAGGGCTGCCATGGCCTCGGCGTATCCCGCATGATCGCCGCCATTGCCGAGGGCCACCGCGACAGTAAGGGACTTGGCTGGCCCGCAGTCGTAGCACCGTTCGAGGTGTGCATCATCACGCACTTCTCCGAGGCCCGTGAGGACGTCGAAATGATCTACGATAGCCTTACCAGCGGCAACACCAGAGATGTAGTGGTTGATGACCGCGAGCGTGAACTAGTTTGGAAGATGAAAGATGCGGATTTGGTCGGGTATCCGGTGTTTTTGGTTCTTGGCCGCGCGTGGAAGAAGGATGGGCTCATTGAGGTGCAGAGTCGTCGCGCGGGTGTCAAGTCGCTTAACGTTAAGCCTGAGGACTTGAGGAAAGTCGTGGACGAGTTGTTGAAGACTTTGTAGGCAGTATAGCTTGTACGTTAGGATGGCTTCGGTAATCTGCAATTCGGCTCCGAATTCAGTGGTAGTCAGTCAAGTGATTGGTTCTAATACCGTACCTGACCAGAGTCACCAGGCGATAGCAACATAAAAATAACAACCCGATTAAATAATGTAAATTCGCATGTGATTGTATAGACCTGTGCCGACACAACAATAGCAAAAAGTGGGGTGCGATTGATGCGGAAGGTCTCCAGTAGTACTGATCGGATTTAAATCTAGCAGTCTCAGAAAATACAGATTTACTCTAGCATTTGTTTCCCCTACAGTCTCAATTCTACGGTATCGACAAATTAGATCCACGCAGTGTTGTAAAGATACGTTTACTAAAAAGCCAGAAGGACAATATACCGCACTTCTTTCGAATGCAAAATACTACGCACTGTCCAGAATACCAAAGAACTACCAGAGAACTACTTAATTCGCAGAATACCGGTGGTGTAGAGAAAACGTCATGCCAATCACATATTTCCTGGACTGTAGTAAAACTATCAGGACAAGAGTCCTACGGAAGAAATGCCGTGCTGAGCAGAACGCTCCGGTCACTGAATCCGGTATGCATATGTCAGGAACCCTCTAGGTTCAAGAATACGTACTGTGAGTAGGACGTGCTGTACGCAAACAAACATTTACTGCATTCTTGTAGGGCAGGAAGTGCCGTAGGCCTACGGAATAAACTGGAGAGGAAACCATACGGATTGTGCTGAATATAGTAGAGCTACCGAGTCCCTCATGAATTGAGAGGTATCAGGCAGTGCCTACACTACGTAAATTTCAGCGAGAGGATGATATGTCAGCGAGAGGTGCAGCTGTCTGTGAGAGGTGGAGCTATCAGCGAGAGAAAGAGGTGATAGAGAAGCTGTTGGCGAGAGAAGGAGCTGTCGGCGAAAGGCAGTGTGTGAACTTCTCTAGACCCCACCACCGGGTTGGATGGGTGTTGGTAAAGGAGCCGTCTGCAAATCCGTTGTGCTAGGTAGTAGGTACTGCATCTACCAAACCCCGTGATACTTCAAAAGATCGCATTGTATGATACGGACCCTAAAGTACTGGTAAGCACCGATTTCTGCAAGCCCGGAAGTCTTTCAGTAGTGATACCGCAGCCATCTGGTCGAAGATCACGTCAGTGTTCTCCATAATCCGGCCCAGACTGCAGTCCGGACGGGATAAAAGTAGTCCGTCCCGTCCGCCAATTTGCTGGACGGGATTGGACTGCAGTCGACTTCAGTCCGGTAGTGAAGAAAGTGCCACTTTTTTCAGCACTTACGGTGACTTAGCCCACCAAATATGACAGTATTTCCCACTATCGTGTGTTCAATTTCGTCCAGTACCAGCAATTATGCGCCACAATCTTCGATCATTACCGACAAAGCTGCGCCACAATCGTCGTCCAGTACCAGCAACGCCACGGGGTCATCTTCAGCCGATGCGCATACTACACTCATACTTCCCTCAGCCACTACAACCACCGATAATACGCATGGAGCTTTTTCTCTTGTAATTCATGTCGCCTTCTGATTTTTTGCTGGTCTTGGCAGTCGACTGCAGTCCGTCCCGTCCGACAGATGTAGTCCAGTCCCGTCCATGGGTCCGGACGGACTGGACTGGATTATGTAGAACACTGGATCACGTACTAAGCTACCGAAGTTGACCAAATATGCAGTCTTGTATAGGACGAGCCTGCAACTACACGCTTGACATACCTAGTTACGCAGCGCATTGCAACACTGTAGAACTCTCGTTGTCTATAGATGACGTATTACTTTTTCGATACGTGATGCGAGAAAGACGATACGGCTCCTGAGCCCTGTCTTTATGGGAATCCGTGTTCTTTAGACTTTTCTAAAAGTAGGCATATGTATTGAACAAAAATCTGGTAGTTCTTCGGTATTCAAATGACTATGATATTCTTCCCGTATCAATCGTACCCCAATTTTTGCTACTGTCCCTACACAATCACTCCGAGTCCCAAGGGCAATAGGGGATCTAACGCCTATATGTTTTACAAAGAAAAGTAACCACTCGTTTTTTACTCCAGTGTTTCATCACTCTGTCATGACTGCGTCCGGACATGACAGTTACAACTTCCTATCCTCCCTTCCCAACGGCCGTCGAAGACGGCTGGTCCAAGGGGGCCCCTCATCCCTCATCACACGTAAAATAAAAGAACGTAGGGAAAGAACAAAGGAGATGCGCACATATTCTACCCCTAATCATCCGCTGCAGACGAACCGCTTGTCTCTTCCACCTCACCATACTCACTGGGTACGATCCTGCTAACATTCATCCTTCTCCGAAAATCGAGCGCAGACTACTAGGAGTGTGCGCTTTGCTAGATTTCGCCGCCGTTGAGTCTGATCGCATATTCTTCCATGGTCAGTACGCGTAGCACTTGCTCATGCGCGATCCAATCAATGCGTACGCCTAGACCTACTTCCAATCAGTAATGCCTCGTTTCAGATAGGCCAGAGAATTACTGCTGAACTCATATGGGAGCCGCTCTGAGCCGCACTCGTTCCAGACCACCTGCTTCGTCTCTTCGTCAATCAATGCGTTAACCCGAGTTGAGCTTGAGGGAAAATCCGGAGACTTACGAGTGAGATATGGTGATACTATAGCCAGCACCCACCTCACACCGCTGCACAACCTCAGCCCTCGACAGCAAAGAATCACGCCGACCCATAGGCTTTTTCACGGTATTGAAGAAAGCATTCCCCTATTACGCAGACGCATCTAGGTATCCAGTTTTTTTCACGGTTAGGGCACGCTGGCATGGCCCAGTGCGGTTTTCACTTCACTGACTATCACCCAGCGGTAGCCACATCGCGCCGCTGGACGAGAGATGGGTTGGACAGTGAGACAGTGGGATGGGAAACGGTATGTGTACATTCCTATAATCTAGATAGTAGTTAGGCCGCACGCAATGGACGATTAAATAGAAAAAGAGGCCCCGCTTTCCCCCAGTTGATGACTAAACACAAAAAAAAAAAAAAGCTCCGGCAGTGTTCGACATAGTCCGGTCCGGACTGCAATCTGGACTAGACGAACTGCCAAAATCTGGTCCAGTCCTGCCCCTTGGACAGACTGCGTAAAAGTAGTCCGTCCAGTCCATGGATTTCGTGGACTGGGTGCGGGCTGCAGTCGACTACAGTCCGTCCTGCTCTCGATTTTATTTGGACTACCTAGTCCGTCCGAACACCGCTCCCGGATGGACTGCCAAGATACAGTCCAGTCCAATCCCAGGAGCAGGACGGACGGACTGGACTATGTCGAACACTGTCTAACGAATGGTCAGGATGCCACTAGATTATTCGTTAACGGCCCTTTATGAATAGCCTTGTGTACTCGAATAACCTCGTAAGCTGGAGATATATAGGCTGATAGGTAAACAGATCATGGCTTACTTTAGGAGGCGTGAGTATTCCTATACGGCGGATACCGATTAGGCCGAAGTGAGCTTGTGTGTACGCTCGGAATCTAAGTTGACACGGGGAATTACTGAAATTCTCACCAGAGAAGAGCCACGACGAAGGGAAGCTCAAGAAAGCATCGTCGGATCTAGGTGTGTCATATTTGGCCAGTAACCCCGAATCACATAACATAGCATCGCACGAAAGGGAACTCCCCAAACCCACATTGCAAGTTTGATCGCTATAGTGGGATTTCAGTTCCTACGTTGAAGAGCAGTGTGTATATAGGGGCCCGTAGTACCGCTGAATCATCCATCGTTATAGCGTCTTACCTGCTGTGTGGGGGGACTTGGGTTCCTCGCCGTACGTTTTGCTTCCACCCTTCGCTCGATGATGGAGATCATCATAGGGATTCGCGCCTCCACAGCTGGCAGCACAAAGAGCGGAGGGTTGAGCAGGGAGGTTTGACTCGCGGGGAGGGCTGGGCGGAGAGCAATAGGGAACCGGTATCGAGCAGGCGGCCAGCGATCTGTGACTGCTACATGGAAACGGATATGTAATCTGCCATGATCTAATAAGGTTGAATGCAGTGATGATTAAACAGAAAAAAACAGCCGGCAGCGCAATGCGTGTCACGTGATCCCACCTCCGACTACCGAGTGATTAGCAGTGCTCCATCCGTGATGCCAAAAACAAAAACCGTCACCACCCCGGCGGGTGGCTTGGAAACCCCAAGAGCTGAATAAGAAGGTCTTTCACCTGGGTTGAACCCGAAACTTTCCCTTAACTCCCCTCGCCGATTGCGTGGTCTAAACCACTAGACCACACTGGGTTTTTTCCGTGCTGGAAACATGAATTCGATGCTTATAAAGTGGTGGGTGCCCCAGCGATACACAATAATAACGACGAAGTGACGACACCGCCAGATCGGAGCCTCTGGATGATTCTTCCATCGCACGATGCGGTATCGCCTGCTTTGAGCGCTCCGAGGCACTGGCCTTGATGCCTCCGACAGGAGATGTGTGCGCATGACCACTCTTCCAGGGCCGGCCTGAGTCCGTAAAATCCCGTGCCAACGGCCGATGCTTCTTGCAAGAACGGAGGAGAGTCGTTCGCAGGAGAGCAAATGTCTGCCTACACCCAGTAGACAGCAAGTACCGTAGCCAACCTTGCAGCCCGTAATGAACGCATACCGTCATCCTCACAACTATCCACTCGGCATCATGCCTTTCGGGTTTCCCCACAATAGGTGCGACGCGAACTATACGGAGACCTTCAGGAGCAGGTTAGTTTCTCGACCTAGCGATAGACGATTGTGGGGTCTGTTGGAGCTCAGAAGTCAGCGATTTTGGCCAACCAAGTCATGTTTCATCCTCTGGGTTCTGAGAACACGCTCTTAAGACATATGGAAGATACGATAGGTAAGTAATCTAAATATTGGGGCTCGAGTCGACAGCCTACGAGCTGACTTGGCTCATGCTGACGTAGGTAGGCCAGTGTACACTCATCACTATCCAAGAATACGACTCGGATTCGGAATCCAACCGTAGGGACCCCAGCCCTGTCTATGAGAATTCCAAAGCAATCCAGCCAATAAATAAGATGCTGAAGAGTATCTCTCGTGGGCGGTGCTTTAGGGCTTATCGGTTGGTTGTACTAATTGCGTGTATGTTTCGCCGGGAAATTTCATAGAGACGGCACGGAGC